ACACTCTATTACTTCGTCCTACATGTAAAGAAGTTGTTTCTCGAGGTGAGGACTATTAATTGACTCGGTCATTTCCGGTATACGAATCCGATTTCGTAGTTGTTTTCTGGTTATATTGTCTATTTAAGTGAAAATGTGAGAATTTTTATGAATTTTGCACGAAGCAATTCTATTTGTTACAAATTTTTGAGCTCTTAATGTTTATCAAACTGCCAGATATAAAAAAGTTGTCACAAGTGATATAAATAGAGGCGGCATCCATGTTGATGGCGAAGAGTTATCTCGTAATCTCAGAGGCGTAGTTGTTTCCAACAATCGAGGTAATGTGCAGCAACAGGAATCTTATAAAATCGTATTGGAGCTTTCCAAAGCTATAAAATTACTTATGCATCTCGCATCAAAGCGGATTCCCTGGCATTGGAAGTCATTTGCGCAACCAACTTGTAAGCTCATGCCGCCATTCACACAGACCTGGTGTAAAGAGCATTCTAAAGTTACTCATTCAGTTTTATCTTTTAGGCGACGTAAATGAATACCAATGTCTGAATAGAATAAATAAGGCTCTGTTCCACAAATATACCTTGAACGTTGCCTAACATCGTATGAGGTAGCCTGGACGGATTCTTGAAAAACAAAAATAGCTAAAACAAAAGTTTGTAGCTGCATTTTCAGCGGGGGATCTATGTGGGAGAATGGATTTTGTCGCTTCAACTGAAAATAAGCAGAACGTACGATCGTTTCTGTTTAGGGTACAAATGTTTAATCAGGTGTCGATCACGATACCAAAAAAATTATTTCACATATTATATATATATTGGTTGTATGACTAATCACATGGAATCATTCAAAACAAAGAAACTAACTCTTTCGCTGATCATTCTCATTTCCATTGTTGCGAAAGGTTCTGGAAGTAGAGACTTCCTTCATCTCCATTATGGGCATTTTTTTTCTTCCTGCATAAAACCCCTGAAATTGTGTTGGCATAGCCTTTTCATCTCACAACCTAAGAACTTACTGAGAACAGGAGCGCTTGTAGCTAACTCTCTGTACTGTTGGTGAGAACACAGAGCTACAAATGGCACTTCAGTTGCACTACTGGAATTGGGAAAAATGAATTTGAACTTCATAAGTGCGAGGTCCCTTACAATACTATTATGAAATGAAGAATCGATTCCATTATTTTTTGTGAACATGACGATCCGGGCATTTCGCTTTGGATAGTCGCAGCATAAACAGGGGCCAAAACAATGTTTGATATGCCAAACAGTAGAAAAAGATTTCGAATCAACTATAAATTTGCACGATTACTGCTTAGTTCGAAAGCCAAGTAAGCACCTGCGTAGAGCGAATGTTTTCATCGAGTTGAAACCTGAGGCTCAACGAGTAAGGAACATCCATTTTCTTTCTTGATGCAGAAAACTGTGCTAGAAGTCGCTTGTTTCTATGTTCTAATTTGAGCATTATCTGAATGTTTTCGATAGTTTTTTTCAGAAAAAAAAACGTAAAAGGGTAGTTCAAAAACTTACAGTTGCACCAATGATACTAATTGCCAATGCAAATACTGCTAATACCAACTTCATCTGTCTAGGAAAAACTGAAAATGTAATTTCCTCATGAGAATAGAAGCCCTATTGATTTACCAAACACATAAACAGAAGACCCCGAAACACTTAATACACAGGTCAAAACGACGGCAGCTCGAGAAATGAAAGCTCTCTTATTGGTCTCGTAATCACGGAGAAAGAATGTTGCAGTAAACCTCTCAAAACAGACCGTAGATAGACTGAATAAGATTTCTGTTACAGGAATAGCGATAGTAGTTTTCTAACCTATAGAGGTACGTTTGGAAAAAATAAACGTTCACGAAATTATAGATCATGCTGACGATTTGCATACTGTTATCTTGAAGAGAAATGAGTAATACACAATGATGAAGCTTACCTGGAACCTCTAGTATATCGAGCTGTACTGTTAAGAAGAATATCCGGTTAAATAGATAGAAGATATAGTTGTAACAAAGTGATCCAATGATACATTTCAAGTTGACGTGAAGAGTCAGCCTTCCAATAACATGAACGAACAGAGGAAGAAGAAATAAGTTTAACACTACTAACACAAATTCAATTATGTTAATAACAGTACTAGCTTCAGTGATCCCAACGTCAAGACAAGTAATTTTAATATCCAAATCATGATGATACATGGAGTTACAGGTTTGCCTACAACGAATCGTAACAAACAGATCAAATGTTCGGAAATTAATTTGTTCAAGACATGCAGCAAGATGTAACAATAAGAGAATACGAAGTATTATAGTATCCTGTGTGTACAATTTATAATTAAAATGGCTGAACGAAGAAAAACAAAACACGTCTTATAATCTTCTATAACGAAAGAGTGTTTTCTATTCATTTCTATTCAGAAGGCTGAACGCTGGTACGTATTGGTTTTGTTCGATATCAATTACAGACCACTAATTGCAACTTGAAAAGTTTTGGCTTCTGATGATACGTTATAAACAAAGTGTTGAGCAAAAGTGATGTATTGAGTACAGCCAAAGCTGATTATTCACAAAATACTCCTCTATTTATATTCTTATTGTCTGGCGAAATCTTATGATTTCCTAAAGTTCAACCGCATACAATTTGCAAACGGTTGAACAACAAGCTCTGCCTCCCAAGCACCCCCACACCTGATTTTGCTAATATGTACGTGTATTGCTCAGACGGTTTTCATTCGATTTGTAATCTTCGCATAGAACGGTTGTATTCCACTTATAGATACTCATTATAGCAGTTTTCATAACAAGCTTTGCCTGTCTTGCATATTTGATTTGAGAAAACAGATGCGATTTTTATTTCAGAGACATCATAACTGAAAAAAATGACGCACTAGGAAGTTATCTTGAAAAACTAAAATGTTATAAATAAAACTATACTAGTATTAGTTGCAGATGCTTATCAGAAACACTGCTTGTACCAGCTTTCGAAAACTCCTAAGGGGTCGTTCAGCCCTTTGTCCTGCAATAAAAAAATTCGAGTAAGTTAGTAAGCGGAAGTACTTACATTAATCTGAGCACGACCATCGCTGACAACCATCGTTCCATCAGCTTTAATAACTCTCAACAGCGGTATTGTTTTGATTTCGTACTTGGATTGAAATCTCCTAAGTACAGACGTCATTTGTTATTAATTAATTCCCGAATTCCCTACTGAATTCGTTCATCACCATAAGGTAGAGCCAACCAATCGGCATGCTTATCGGCGAAGTATTCTTCTAGATCTGCTTTAGCACGATCGCGGGACACAAAAACTATTTCTAGAGGTTTACCAGCACTTTTCACTGTCTCATAAAAGCGCTGTAAACGTTTAGTACTTAGTATGGGTATTCATGTTCATTCTCTTACAACAAGCTTAGGAGTAAACTGGCGACACGGTGGGCACCAGCCAGCCGAGAAGTAGAGGGCTACTACCTGAATTCTACCCTGACAAAAGTAGTTATCGACAACTTACTTTACCGTTGAGAGCTTCGCCTCCTTTGACTTCAGTCAAGTCGCGTTTGATCAAAACAACATCTTTCAGCAACTCAGACATGCTAGAAGTTGGAGAAAAAATTATTTATTCCGTCAGAATTTTTAGAAAAAAAAGCATAATTATACAGGAATGAGAACAAAATGGAGATAAAAGGACCGGACAAAGAAACATCAAGGCAACATACTGAACTATATTAATAGAGCATTAATGTGATTAAAAGTAAACAGCGAAACCTCGAATATTAATTTACAAGGTTTCCACAGGTAATTCAATACTTGAAATTCAATTAATTCCCATCTGCTTCTGGACAATTTCTGCGCTAAATTTCATGGCCTCCCGACGAACTCTCTTTTCATATTCGACTCTGCAATAGGAACAGTGACTACGCAGTTGTTGTGATATTACCTATTTTGGCAGTAAATTTGATATGCTTCAGCTTGAGCTGGATCTTCCACGTTGGGGTTATTTAATAAATCTTGAATACCCATTAACAATTGCTTAATAGAAATTGATGGCTTCCAATCCTTATTCTCATCTAATAATGAAAGACAGACGGTTCCTAAAAAATTTTTTTTTTTTAAAAATGAACTTCATTTGCGTACCTGATGGATACACATTGGGGTGGAAAAGAGGAGGCTCGAATTTGCACTTAGGAGGTGTTGAGGGGAAATCATCCTTGAATATCATGCGCAACTTGAACGGAGGTATAAAGGAACGGACTCGATAAGTGTCCTACCTTGAACAGCCCTCCTTCCCATACGGTATCCTTCTTACCAGGAATGGCACACTCCCAGTTGAATAAATTAAGAGTGCCGTCTGGATTCTTTGTTGGTTTAGCAATAAAACCAAAAGGATGGTCTTTTCTCCAGGCCTTTCGTTCTTCGGCTAAACGCCCAGCGGCAATTCCAGACATGCTTAAAACAAGCAAAATGTTACCTCAGAGTGACAAAAAACAAAACAAATTGGCGTAGAAAAAACTATAAACCACTCTGACAATAAACTGTGGACAACAATACTCGAAATCAATCTAATAAAAACAGAAAAAAATTTAAAAAGTTGAATTCGAATCGAGTTAATTTACACGGTTTCACCATTTGCGTACGGTCGTATAAGGGGACGCTGAATTGCGTACATGAATTGTTTCTAAAAATATATATTTCTATTCAAAAGGTGAAGGCTTATCACTTTTGTTGTGAGCTTTATTGGCACTCTCATCCTAATCTATGAATATCTTCCCAGCGGGGGAATACCTTTTTTGAGAATCATATGATATTTTCGACGTTAACCAATTACATATCGGCAAGGTCTTGGACCTACATCTGGTTTCTCTGGCTTGCTTTGGTTATTATATTCTTCTTATTCATTCGCTCTGCTCCGGCTAAAATGAGTGAATCGTTGGAAAATGTGAATGTTTTATCCTCAGGTAAGACTTGCCCTTTAAACAGAGTATATGCGTGTATCTCAGCTTCTTCATATTTTTACAACCTTACGCCCAAGTTTTACGTTGCTTTGACAGGAACATCAAGTTTAGTGTCAGGAATTATTTTGATATTCGAGTGGTGGTTTGTTTCATAATATGTTCTTCTCTATTTACTTCGCCTACAGGTTCAGTAGCAGTGTCGATACAACCAGTGAAGACGGCAGTGACAATGAGGACGCTACTGAGAGCTCAAAACCCATAGCAGGTAACTCAGTACAATCCGCTTTATGCTAAATTTCTAAATTATCAGAATGCAAAGTATGGCGCAATCCCATGGCTTTGTTCAGGGGTGCTGAGTACAACAGATTCAAATCTATAGTTTTCCTCGACCCATTAACATTTCATGACATGAATTTGTCTGCGCAGGATCATCAGAGTTTCTTCACTTGTGAAGAGGATGTGAATAGACCTGATTATGACAGTAATTCTCTCTTATTGGTTTCTGATTCTCTATTGATTTATAATAGTTATGAATGTTGCGTTTCGAGAACGTGATAGTGACGCTCGTATAACAGCGGCCAAGGAAGCTTTAAGAATAAACGAGGACTGTGCTCCAGCTCTTGTTTTACTGGCCGAAGAAGAATGTCCCACTATTGCAGAAGCAGAGATTATGTTGAAGTATGTACCTAATGTTGTTTGTTTTCAATTTTTCTCATTACCAGACGAGCATTACGTGCTACTGAACTCAGCCTAAGTTCCATACAAGGAAGTCAACTAGTAGCGCATGAGAAGTTTTCTTTAGACTCTTATCAAAGACAAGGAGCTCGAAGTTTGTTGAAAATTTCACTTTAGTTAATTAAAAACATTTTCTAGGGCGAGATTTGAATATGCTAATGTATATAAGACGCCGGTTAGCTATGTGTGCCAGAAAACAAGGGAGGTCGAGAGATTCAATCAAAACTTTCAAAGAGGTACTAATTTGAGAAGAACTGAGATGAAGTTTTCTAAACCTTTTTAAAGATCATTCGAGAAGGGTCAATGAGTAATGTGTTGGGTGTGCAGGAGAACTTGGTTGAATCATGTTTAGAAGTTCAAGCTTACGCTGATGTTCAAGGGTTACTTGTGAGATATGATGGTAAGTGCAGAGAGATGATTGCTCGTATGTCATATCTTTCTTTTCAAGATATTCGGGAACCTCGATCAGCTGTGATGAGTTATACTTCTGCTTTATTAAAGGCGAGAGCTGTTGTTGATAAGTATGTTTGTTGATAAAAAAGTTGTTTCATTCTATTTTCTAGATTTGTTTTCGATCCATGTCAAAGGCGTGGTCTGACTTCTGGGGAAATAACAGCGATAGAAGCCATTATAAGAGCTATCGAATACAATCCTCATGTTCCTATTTATCTTCTAGGTAAGCGATGATTCACGTTCCGTTTATTTTGGTTTTTACAGAGCAACAATCGATGATATTGCCTCCCGAACACTACTTAAAGCGAGGAGATTCTGAAGCTATTTCATATGCGTTTGCTCATATCCAGCATTGGAAAAGAATTGATGGAGCTCTTCAACTGTTAGAAGCTGTATGGAAAGGAGGTTTTGACATCTATGTTTACTTTTTTTACAACGATCACCTTGCTACAGAGTTTTCGGATTACACATCGAGGTTTCCTATTGGGGGTTTCTGCTATCCGTATTCAAACTATATTGAAATGGGTGATCGAGAACTATTACCATGTAAGATTCAAAAGTGTGGCAACCCAAATATCTAATGCTTTTGTTTAGGTTGGCATGAAGTTTCAATCTTTCCCAAAAAGGAATCGACATTCTGGTCCGTGATTCAAACATGTTGTTGTATTTTCATTGGTCTCTTGGCCATTCTGATTCATTATTATCCTAGCAATGCCAGTGACATTTACTCGACGGTAAGACACTGGTGCATGGACGTATAATAGAAAATGTCTCTTAATTTCAGTTCCTCATTGTTTCGAAGACTTTGTTATCATACAGTCTGAACTTCTTGCAAAGCTGGATTCCAGAAAACGTAATAGGATTGCTATCTTCACGGCCACAACCTTCTCCCCATCGAGAAATTAATTAATCTATTTAACTTTATTATTCTAGTCATGTATATATGTTTTGACACGTGTTACGTGTGTAACATGTATTTAATGCATTTAACTTTATGTGGTAAATCGATCTCACACTTGTGTTGTTCTTGATTTCACTTTTGGTTCCGACCAATGATACTTGCAACTGTTTTTCTAACATCAAGCACAAACAATCATTTAGCAATTTCATGTCGGTCGTTGGACCGGCAGATTCCAAGAAGCTTGTTGAAGCTTTACTTGGAGATTTGAGACTTATATCTACCGAATCCAAAAAGAAATATAATCAAGTGAAAGAGGTCCGTCTATTTATCTGAGTATAATCTGATCCTCGTTTATATAGGCTGCTGAGTCTGGCGTTGTCAAAGTACGGAATATTAGCACTGCGTCTTCGGATTCTACACTTTTAACAAATCTACGTGCAGCCTCTTCAGAGTTACTGCACCCATTGGCTTTGGCATGTGGAACTCGCCAATCTCGTCTTGTGCAAGTTGGATTGCAAGGGATCCAGCGATTAGTTCAACATCGTATTCTTGAGCCGGTACCTTGAGGGAGTTTTCATTAATTGAGTATTCCCTTTCAAGAGCTGTGCCAATGTTGTAGTTAATGAGCTATGGTGCTTAGTTGAATCAGAATGTGAAGAACTGCGTGTTTTACAAACAGTTCCTCCTTTAGTTTCGGCGGATTTACTAGTTACTGGTAATAATTTAGCCAAGGCAAGTTTAACTGATTTTTCTATTCTTACTTTCTCGTTTAAGTGCATCGTGATGTGCTTTCGAATGCATTTTGCTAAGGATACTGTTGTGATAAACGCTGCTTCTGCTGCTGTTCGGCAGCTAGTTGGGGGTGTTTTCGAACGTGTTATTCAAGTAATCCATTTCTAATTCTTCCTCACTAATGAGATTTTTCTTCAGGAAGACGGAGTTTTCAGTGGAGATCTCACAGTTGTCCCCCCTTCCGGAGGGAGACCTTCTTCTAGATCTGCCCCTCCAACATTGAGACCTTGTGCTGCTGATGCTTACATGCTTTTCAAAGTAAATTTATTTATACTGCACTTCTCATACCAGTTTTTTAAGGATTTATGCTTACTAATAAACGCTGAACCTCCCATTTGGCTTGTGGGGATTAAAGAGATTACAAGAACCTTAGGATTAGAACTTCTAGAATCTTTATTGAAAAGTTATCCCGGAGTTTTCCTCAAGGTTTTCTTTGAATTTCTGTGCTGTGTAAACCGTATAAATGATTTAGCATGCGGAACTCGGTCAATTGGTGAAGCAAGAAGTTTGCCAGCTCATTATTAAACTTTTTTCGGCGAATTTCAAAACAGCACATGTATGTTTCTTATTTCCCTTATTATCAGTCGAATTAGCATATTCTCATTGATCATGACGTGGCAATATATTCTAATTAGATCGAATTACCTTGCTTAGTTTTTCGAATTCATTTCTCGTTCATTTCACTCCCTGAATTGATATTGCTTGCTGTTATCCTTCGTTTTTCTAATTTTTTATTTCTTACTTTCAGTTAACTTCGCAGAACGCATCAAGTAAACTTCAACATAATAATGCTGGCTCCCCACCCGAGAGGCCTTTCTTCCCAATTGCTATGAGACTCATCAGGATTGTTGTTGTACTCATTTCGTTCTATCATCAGTTATTAGTACGTTTTAAAACTGCTATAACCCGCATTTTAAAATTTATATTTTAGCAAACAGAGAGTGAGATTTTTATTTCACATTTGCTCAAGTTCGTGGATGCCGATAAGCGTGGATGGCAGAGACCTCTCGCTCTGGAAGCGTTACACCGAATAGTAGCTAGCTCCGACATTCTGAGGTTGAGTCCTTGTTCTTCAATTTATTGAAACGTTTTATTAGATGGATAAGTGAAAATTTCGATAATCAACCCTCTTCTGCCAAAATTCTGAAGCAGATCGCGGAATGTTTGAGCAGTGTTATTCAGCAGGGCTTCGTCTCAACTCAATACAGTTCAGGTAATTGCATTTTTCAAGCTTTTTCCATCTGTTCATTCAGACGGGGAACTCACTGATAGTGAACTATCTCAGCAGTCCGGAAGTCCCGGCTTCTATTTAAGAGGAGTTTGGATTCCTTATATTGAACATCTTACCACTAAGAAGACTATTCTGTAAGCCATTATCCAGTTTCACGTATTCATAATGTCTTCCAGCTTTGACTCGTTAGAGCGCCATGAGCCGAGTAACATACCCGAGGGATATGTCGTGTCAAGATGTTGCTCCATGTTAGCTGATATGACTCAAAATTCATATATTGCAATAGATTACATAGTTCAACAAGGTAATAACCATAAAATAACGGTAATATGACGTTTAATTTAAGAAGAGAGTGGTGAAACTAGCGAAGGTGTTTTATCTGTGGCTCTCTCCCTTTATGAAAGCATATTTACTGGACTGCTGTGTGGTTTCACAATTCTTCTAAATGCCAGGTATGTTCATCTCGGGTTTTTTATTTTCAACTCAATTTTTGAAGTGTTGAAGAAACTGTCACTGATCTCCTTCTTTGTGGTGTTTCGACTTTAGTTGCTATAGGATGTAAATTACGTGTTGAAAACTGTACGAGACAATCTCTCCATACATTGTGTTCAGCCAGTTTGCCAACATCACAATACTTGACAAAGTATGCTGGGATACAACCAATGGAGCAACTCCCGGATCAAGGTTTAGTTTTCGCTAAATCAAAAAAAATTTCACGATTCTTCTAGGAGTATTAAGCGAAGCAGAACCATCTCACAGTTTTCATCAAGTGGTGGCTACAGGTTGGCCTTGCCCTTCACCCGCTGTCTCTTCCGAGCTGTGGACTCAACAAGTAGCGGTTAGTATATATTTCACTTATCTTTTCAAACTTCATTGTTTTCAGCTGTCGTCGAGAAACTTACAAGCTGCCAGAGTCCTTATGGGTGTTGTGACCGGTCACTCACAAATGCTCCAAGATTTCTGGTGCAATTTTTGCGTATAATTCTGGTTCTCTTACTTCATTTTTAAGGCTTCTTTCCTTGACGGCGTGTGAACATCTATCCTGGTTGTTAAACATCAAACCTAGTACAGGTGGTCTTTTTGTTAGAGAAAAAGTGGATGCCGATTCTAATTCGGGTTCTGTTATTGTAACAGTTACAAACGCTGCAGTGGCCGAAGTACCCGTTCTGGTAAAAAAATGGTTTTTTTTTTAGTTGTAATACTTGATCCTTCAGGCGTCTTTTCTTGATAAAATCAATTTCACTTCAAGTGTTCTAAACGAGGAGAATTTGGGTAAAATGGTTGACGCTTTGATAAGGTATGCAATTGAATGTGTGTTTTCTCACTCAGATTTATAGGCTCTCTGATGAACAAGTAACCGTTGCTTCATCCGGTAAGGAATGCTCGTTCTATCCTTTGGCGTCTCTGCTGCGAGTATGCCTCAGTAATTTAGAGAGAGTAGAAACACTCTGGGCTAAAGTTACTGATCATTTCTTATCGGTAAAATTGATTCTCTTATTTTGTTCTTCATGGTGTGTACTTTTCAGATAAGTTGTCACAGCTCTCCCACATTGAGAGAATGGTCTTCAACTATTCTGACCACTCTAATCAGGCAAGCGGTGAAAGGAAAAAGTGGATGCTCTTCCGACGAGCATCAGGCTATGTGCTTGTCTACCTTGCTATCACTAAGCAAAACTACGTTCCCGGAAGCAAGAAGGAAGCAACTGGAATGTTTGATGGCAATACTTCAAACGGAAGGTTCTCAACTTCACTCAAGTTCTTGGGGGACTTTGATAACAATAGTTTCGTCAGTAGTCGAAAAAGGATCAGAGTATGTCTTGACTATTATTTATTACTATTATTAACTTTAGATGTGATGAAAACATCGTGCGGCAAGGGTATATGTGTGCTCGACTTGTCTCTACTGATTTCTTACAATCCCTACCATTTGAATGCATAGGTTCTTTGGTCGAAGCTATATCAAGATATGGACAGATGTCAGACCCTAATATTTCCCTTTCCGCTCTCACACTCTTGGTATGGGTATCTCGTCAGTTCTTTTCTTATTGACAGTTTTAGTGGACGATTTCTGATTATGTATATCGAAGAACAGACTCAATCGGTCCAGATGGAGCAGAGAAAGTTTGGCTCGTGCTTTATACGTGTCTGTCAGAACTTTGCGTTGATCCAAGACATTCAGTTCGTAAAAGTGCTTGTCAAACATTTTTGCAAACTGTGGCTGCTCATGGACATGCTCTGAGACCGGCAACATGGACTCATATGATTTGGCAGGTATTTTTATTACAATAAGTTACTATTCACTCTCGCTTATTCAAGATTATAATGCCTCTTCTCGACCGTGTTCGTTCTAATACTAGGAGTGCCTCTAACGAAAAATCTTCAAGTTCTCTGATCATGCATCACTCCAGAGATACAGAGCAGAAACAATGGACAGAGACGTGTATTAATACTTTGTCGAATGCATGCAAAATGTTCAACATTCAACGAAAAGTTCTACTGGATTTAGGTAGAGTTGTTTCAAATTCAAGAAAAAAATTTATCAGTTCAGATGATTTTCCATCTGCGTGGGAAGCAATGTTGTCCTACATTGAATGGGCTGCCTGCTACGATAATGCGGAGCTGTCTCTATTTTCATTGAGAAGCTTCCAGGTAACGAGAAGGTTGAAATCATCAAAAGTTTTTCTTTTGTAGGAAATATTGCTTGGACGAGTTTCAGCTCAAACTCTGGATAGAAATACACGTGATCGATCGGCTAGGTTATTGAAGCTTGTAATTAAATTTCTCATGAATCCGTTCTAGTAATCCCGAAAATGCTTGTAACGAGCAAATGCCTCAACTCCCACAAGGACAATGGCTCGAGTCATGGAATGTACGTTAATGTTTAATTTTAAAACATCCAGAATATTTTTTAGACGTGGCATTCAATCGCTCGGGGCTTAGCAAAACTTGGAGCTGCCGCAACCAACTCACAAGGTTATCACTAGTTTTGTTTTGTCACTGTTCATCCTTCTGCAGGTGGTTTGGTAAAAGGAGCCTATGTACCAGGTCCATCTCACTTAACAACTCTTCTTCACATTTTCCCTGCGCTGTTCGAACGAGTCGCTAAAGTTCTTCCTATCGAGGAGCTACTCTATGAACAACTTCCATCAGTGATTGAGGTTATCCGGCTGTTTAATGAATACAAAACTTCGATATTTCTAAGAGTCTTGTCAGTGCTCCAGTTCCATCAGAGCAAACGCCATTCATTATGCCTTCTACAAGTTCACAACTCACTCCCACACAAGAAGCCGTTTTAGACGCCATACGAACCACATATAATGTTTGTAACTATCGCGAACAATTTTTTTGATTTATGTGTTTTAGGAATGCCTATCACCTACAAGTACATTGCGTAAGGCCATTGCAGACCAAATACGGCTTCTTTTAAAATTCGCTTCATTAGCAGTTCGTAATAATCCACGTACAGCTCCACCAGGAAAGAACTATGTAAATGAATGATTCCAGCCCGTTATGTCACTAATAAGAATACTTACAGAAGGATTGGGCGCTGCAATGTGTTATTCCTTTCGCCGAAACGTCTCTGAAAATGGCTACCGAATTTTTCACAACAACATCCTCTTTCCCCGAAGTGATAGATTCATTGGTTGCAGTTGATCTTGTTCAGGTATAACAGACGATTGTGTTCTGTATCTTATCTTTCTGATTTAGTTTCTCGGAGAGCCGTTATATTTGAAATATCACTGCATCTCAACGACTACTTGGAAGTTGGCTGCTTCCTCTTTGATGTCTGTACTCAAATCAGCAATCCCATATGCTCGGCAGAATCGTGAGTTATTGAACCACGTTCTTCTATTATTCAAGTTTTTCAGCTGAAAAGTTTGCTCCTTTCTGGCCGGCGATCTGTGAAACACTGGAAAAATTCTTGTTCACTCCACAGTAAAGTTGCATCTCATATTGCATGTAATTCGTTTGATCTTTCAGCACATGCACTAGACTAGCCGCAGATGAACGGAAACGTGATGAATTGACGGAGTGTCAATCCATTGATCTCATAAGGACTGAATTATTAAGTCATTCATCCTCTATTCCTGCTTCAGCTGTTCAACGACTGATTGCTCTGTTAAATCGGGGGTCAATATCTCAACTAGACCCCAATGATGTTTTAGGTGATCCTTTTCGTTTTACTAATCATTTTTATCCCTACCTTTATTATGCGATTTTTTCCAACACAATGCATGATAACCTTTACCTCTAACCTTGTTAAGCTTCAGATGCTCACACTCAAAGAGCTGAGCTAGCAAGAGCCTGCTTTGAGGCTTTACTCTCTACATCGAACGATGGAGATGGAAGTCTTGGTCACGTAGCAGTCTCTAGTTTACTCCAAAGATGTACACAGGTATGAGCTTGCTAATAATTTGCGTCTAAAAACCATTTTCAAGGTTATGGGAGGATTTGTACGCGATCGGAGTGGATCTGGAGATCTGCATTTACCCAGAATGCGCTTAGCAGAAATGGTGTCAGCTCTTCAAGCAATTGAATCTTTGATTAACCGACTTGTAAAGTAAGAAGCACAACAAAATGCGAAGTTTTAGTTTGTTTACTTTCAGAAACCCTTCTCTAACAGAATTATATTCACAATTAGTCTCACTCTACCCCACAGTCGTCGACGTGATACCCTGTGGTCATAGCGATCCTCTATTAGAGAGTCAACTAGTTATTACCCTAAAAGCGTATCAAACCCTGCTTCTGCTGAAGGTGGTTCCTAATTTCAATTCGTAGTATGTTTCTTCTGACATGGTTACTCACTGGTACATATGTTCCCCAAAACTGTGATAGTTTAATTACTTTTTTCCCGGTAAGAAAACCTCTTTTTTTATTTTTTGGGGGTGTCTGCCACGATGTTTGTCTTTTACTAATGAGAGTATATATATATTTATACATATATTCGTATATTCACATATACATATATGGATGGTTCAACGATTTTCTGAAATTAACTTTTGTATATTACAAGGTGCTTAATTAGGTGATAATTGTAAAACATTGGGTTGTTCATTCCGCGTATATTCAATTATCCCATAATATTTAATCAATAAATTATTTTCTATTGAGTACTCATCTCTCCGAAACTGTTCACCTCGTTTCCATTTTTTGATTGTACAGACAGTATATCGTTGTGATTGGTTACATGCAGATGATTAGGAAGATAACATTCGAGTCTCATTGGCTTATAGACTTACTCCCCAAAGTAACTTTTGGGAATGGAACAGAGAGTATTGAACTTACATCCTCTGCACTTTGGTATGATGGTGAGACTGGAATGGAAGATTTGTTGAACCTAGAGACTGAAGAGGAGATTATTGATTTTGTCACCAATTTATCAGGAGCATGGAGCCTAGTCTTATACAGAGTACAGACTACCAAACCCAACTTTAATTTCACACAACAAATTTTAGGCAGATTTGAATAAAATCTTCGTAGGAAGAGATATTTTTGGCCGTCAGAGCTTAGTATATTGTAGGAAAGATAGTTCTTTGCTATTGGGATGTGCTATTCACGAAAATCTCTCAGTAAGTATTTGTTAGTCAGTTCATTCTTCTCATAATATTCCAGCTGGATTGGTACGAAGTTCCTTTCGCTCAAGTGACTAGCTGGGATATTGTAGGAAACTCTTCAACTTTACATTATCTCATTCCGGACTTTGAAGAAGAATTTGTTAAGAATTGGAAAGATGTTCTGAACATACAGAAAAGCATTTTTGAGAACAACAAAGTTGGCCTTGTACAGGTAGGACGAACGAGATAGTTAAGAATTTGTTTCTGTAGGTTAGTAGGGAGGTTGGTCAGTCTGCTGATCCAGAAGCAGTAGACACTCTCTTCAATCGTTTGATCAGAAGTTGCTCTCGGAGAAAAGAAAGTAAAAGAATTTTGTGTTCTATTCCATGGTTCTATACTTTATAGCAAATGCTGAAAATGGTGTTGCCTTTTCCGGAGGTGTAGACAGCTTGCTTGTTGCTCATGCCCTTCTACAAGCAACTTCCAATAATGAAAGCATCACTCTTATCAATGTTGCTTTTGGTGAAAATGACAATGTAATCCCACCCTATTCCGTTCCGACTGAAAGTTTTTTATAGGCCTTTGCATCTGCTCCTGACAGAAAAAGATCTGTCGAGGCATTTACTCATCTGACTGACTGTTATCCTGATAGGCAGATACGTCTTGTTTTGAGAAATGTAACCGGAGAAGAGTTGAAAACCAAGAGAGAGCAGTTCATTGCTCGAGTTAGTCAGTATACTTAGAACAGAAGTTTTTCATATTATCAACAGGCTGCGGCTCCTTGTATGTCTGTTCTCGACGATTCTCTAGCATGCGTTGTGTGGTTTGCTCTGGAAGGTAAAGGGAATGAATTCAGAACAGGACAAGAGTTTACGTAAGTCATATTCAATTTTCGCTTATCTGTTAATTGGACCGATCTATAGCACGGGAGCAAGTGTATTCTTTGTTGGAAGTGGGGCAGATGAAATATTTGCCGGGTATGCTCGCCATCGTAACCGTTTTCAAAAGGATGGACATCCATCAGTCGCTGAGGTGAGAATTGAGATGAAATAATACTCAATATAATAGTAGGAATGTCAACAAGAATTACGGAGACTGGGTAGTCGTAACGGAGGAAGAGATTCTCGTGTCGCAACACAACTACAACGAACTTTAGTGTATGTTAGTTACAAAACATCTTTAGAATATGTTTGTATTAAGAGCCCCATTTTTAACTGATGAGATTGTGAGGTGGGCTAATGAACTACCCATTCTTCAGAAGTGCGACTTGAGCTTTGAAAGAGGTGTAGGTGAAAAGAGAATAATTCGTCAGGTTTTGTTTCTTACAACAGCAATCAAGTTTTATCGTAACTTACACAGGCATTGATGAAGTTGAACGCACCAAACACAGCTCCTAAGCAAGCAATGCAATTTGGTTCGCGAATTGCCAAATTGACAAATGAGTCGAAAACGGTGAAGGTCAGGACGTTCTTCAGCTCAAATTGCAGGATCAAAATATTTTAGGGTTCTGACGTTTCGAGTCATTTACAATCCCTCAAGAAATTATGAGGCAATGTGATGAAATATTTGGTAAGAAGCAGTAGAACCTCCAAATCCTGCACTTGACATACGTTTTGTTTGAAAAATAAGCATTTTCGAAAAAAAGTCCTCTATGCTCCATCATTTTTCATTAATTTTCATAGTTTTTGATGGATTCACTTGATATGATAATCACTGAAAATGCTTTGCGATTTGATTGGACATTCAAATTTCATTAGCAATAAATAATAACTTATTCATTATTATGTGCAAATGCCTATATACAGATATGCTTCGATGTAGCTGAGCTCACGTTTTTCAATCACAGATAGACTCTGTCCTATGCTTTTTGACCAATTCCACTATTTCTTCTGTACCAGCAGGCTTACTGTTATCATCTCTACCCCAATCTTGTATTTCACCTGTAAGGAACACAGTGACTGATGTTTCAATGAGCCGTTTAAATCATACCTGACCCGAACATAGCGAAAACCAATCCAGATAAAACTGAAACTGCAGCAGCTACGCAAAACAGTTGTCTCCACTCTTCGATACTACCCTGAATATCCAACAATAGAATGCAGTAAATTCCAAGAGTACTTACTGTTTGTTTGACCAGTCCAACTGTTATAGGAGTTGACAAACGACCAAGCATTGCAACAAACTGTGAAATGGACGACAACGTCGCCGTGTATCTAGGAGCAAGAGACAGAAGAGAGGTGTAGAAACCGGAGGTGAAAGTTCCCATTAGTAAAAAGCTGAACAAAAGTTTAAAGTAAAGGATTGCCGGTTAGAGAAACTTACGTGGTACAGAATAAGGCAAGACCTACCTCTTTGTTGCTGCAATCAACAAAAAATGCGACAATCACAAGACATACGGCACTTCCCAAGTTAGCTACAAATTACAGATTCTCCAGTTTCTTCCATTGGAATCTTACCAACAACTTGTGACAGTTTCACAGCTGCGGTCGGAGTCAGGACTTTTTTCTCTTTCATCTTGTCCATGAACAAGCCCCATATTACTTTGAAAACAAAATTGAAAATGTTTGGAATTGCAATGTATATGCCATTCTGGAATTTAAGAATCAACAAAGAAGAACCCGTTAACTTACTGTCATCACACCCAATTTCAGCACATCTTTCAAGTACGAAGGTAAGTAGAGCTGGAGAAGAGTCATGAAAGCGTTTATAACAAAGTGGCATTGAAGTTGGGCGAGGAAAGCAGGCGATGTAAGTACTTTCATGTAAGGTACGGATTGCTTTCTCTGGAATAGTTCGGATGAATGTTGCTGATATGCTGGCAGATTATACTGAGGATTTGTTTTGAGCTGGCATTTTCACTCTCAAATACTTTCTTTCTTTCTTAGTCATGTATTTGCAATCGTTAGGTTGATTACTTGAAGTCAGAAGCCAGATTAGGGACCACAATGAACCAACTGTTCCTAAAAATTCAAGTTTTCTTAGAATCTTGTATGCTTCTACATGCACGAACCGCACACATAGAAGATGCTAGTCCATCCCCAAGAGGAAGCACACATTGCTGCAGCAAAAGGATTTCCCGCAGCACCTATTTGATTGTAATTAGTGTATACGTTTTTGCATGTTGTTTAATATACCAGCCAGCTGATTCCCAGTAGTGAACAATGCTAAAGCTGTACTTCTCTCTTCCATGGGAAACCACAAAGCAATTATTGAATTGATTGAAGGAATCACAAGACCCTAGAGGATAACAAGCTGAATGAGTTTAACGTGGAGCTGTTACTTCTCCGAATCCCATCACAACTCTAGCTATGAAAACAGCTATGTATCCCACGTTTAAGGCCAAGTATGGAGTGACTAAAGAGCTAGCCACGTACGTCATCATAGCTGCTAACAGAACCAGACGAGCCGAGCCTCTCTGATATATAACATTTAAACCTATAGTTATATAAGTCTTACTTGCACTAAGAGCATTCCCGGCAGACAAACGAATAAAGCTCCAGTGAAAGTACCTCCGAAGATAAGATTTTGTTGATTATGTGTCCAAGTGAGAGTACCCTAGAGCATCGAGAATTAGAGTCATGTTCGTTACGCTTACCCCGTAATCTACAATAACGTGCTTGCCATCAGCTTTTTCCGGAGTACAGCCACCTCCAGCTCCTGTCACTATACTTACATTTGCTAAACCAAGCTCGTCCAGAATTAAATCCTCAAGAAAAAACAATAGGAACAGTCCAGGGAAGCTTATTGATTACCGGCTCTAAGAAACTTGTGCTGATATTCAGATCATGGCCAATCAATCTGAGAGCTTCTTCTTCCAAGCTTACAGCTGTTGAATTAATCATACATGTCATAGTTAAGGCAATTTGCATTCTCATAAAGGTAGTACAACAAAATCCAGTACTGAGTAATAAAATCAAATGAAACCTTCTTGATAAGGGATGAAAAAGAGCTATAAATAGATAAACTGTCTAATTTTTGATCGGTAGAGTACTTACGAGCTTTTGGAACTCTCCATAATAGACTTTTGCTCTGTTTGCCTGATTCCATTCTAGGGAAGCAAAAAAATGCTGAGGCAACTTGAGATTGGTCTCTAAAATTCTGAAGAGTAAGAAGTATTTTTGATAAAGTCAAACACAACCGCTCACATATGCGAAAAACTAACTAAATGAGGCTAAGCAAGAGGGAAGCTTTACGTGAAATACGTAAGCCTATGCTAATTAGTCAAACGGGTACACAACATATCACTTAGTCAAGATGAGCAATTGATAGAATGATAAGAACAGCAGAAATTGAAAGTTAAAAAACATGTTTGAACACAAATTCGGAAAATGATAAACACTACTCTCAGCTGCTCAGTAGATATCAAGGAAATATTTCCCAGCTCATGAGAAGTTTGTTGAAAAATAATGTTCTCATAGCTAGAATGGAAACGTTTTAATTGCGATCATATCTTATCAAAGAAACAAAAGGATGATGATTTCAAACTTCAAGTCGCTGCTGTTTAAGCACAAACTCGTAGTTTCAAGTCCAAATGATCATTGGGCACACACATCTCCAGATTTTGGGAGCAAAGAGAGTTACGAAGTGAAAACCAAAAATCTTCGAGAGAGTAGCTCAAAAAACACAGACTTCTTATATTACAAACAAGCGATTAAAAGATTCAAGAGCATGGAATTAAGCTATTCCATATATGCTCCACTTTATAATCAAAGACCAGCAATTCAGAGCTATTCTAATTGGTAGGCGTCAAAGGATAGTGAAATGAACAAGAAAGAAGGAAATCTTACTCTTTCTTAGCTGGTTCTATTACTGGGACTCAAATATCAGACATCACTTAGAAAAATCTTTTAACTAAATAGATTATTTATCAGTTAAGGAGCTGTGATCATTGGGTGCAGCATCCGAGAGCTTTTGTCTGTCTCAGAAAAACTGATGGATTACGCAACATTTGGGGGAAAATGTTGATAAGTTACGAAGAAAATCATAATTGGCATCTAAAATCACTCACGAAGACAAGTGTTCTCTCTTTATTTTGGATGCACTCTGTTCTCTTTGCTCGAGCAAAAGGTTTAACTTCGTTCTTCTACTCAAAAAATGAAACAAATCATCAGCTTGCATCAGAAACTCATAAAGTGTTTGATGTTTGGCTTAACTGTCTGAATAAATATGCAACTTGGCAGTTTCATCAGGGAAAAAAAAACTTCTCCGCTCCATAGAACACTCAATTAAAAATCTCAAATGTATTCTCACCTTCTTAATTTCGAACTTTCAACAGACTCTGGCTCCGAGCTTAAGAGTACATTCTCTGTCTCGCGAATATCTCAACCTCGTCATCATTGAAGACTATGTACTCTGTAATGATAAGATGATTCAGCCAATTAGTAGCCGGAAGCGATAGCGCTGATCAAACTAGGAAGAGAAGAGAACGGTTGGTAGCCGAAAACCGCTGACTTTTCAATTCTTCAAACCTATTTTATCGACCAGAACTATGATGGGTCAAAGTTGAAAGATTCATGAAAACAAAGATTTGTAAATTGGTTTCTCATGTTTTCAAGTTGTATAGATTAAACTCTGAAAAAACATGCTTAATTACTAACGACAAGATAATCGTGTGAGAATTGAACAAGGGCACCATCCCAAAGTTTTCTTGGGCTGAAAACCAAACTGATCGAAACTTGCAAATAATGCAGATAACGAAGTGTCCACTATGAAAAGAGATGGACTTCTCTGTTCATAACAATCATGAAAAAACAGTTGATGAAGAAGCTTCCAATGGAGAACACAAAAACAAAAAGAAGAAAATAATAAAACTTTCATTCGTCTTGAAGTATATTGAATCAGTAATTCACGCGAAAATCTATCAATGGAATGTATTCTAAAATCACTTACAATAGAAAGTGTCTACACTTTTCCCAATAAAGTCAGTAAAATTATGCAAAAGTGGTGGGACAAGTCGAAGTATACAAATATCTTACATCACCTACTATAAATCTAGAAAACTGTTTGAGTATTGAACTTGTTTTGCCAAAAAACAAGGATTAAGGTTACTCCATACATTCCTGCGGCGATCCAGCATTGTGTTGCTTTCTCACTATACTTGGCTTCGATGACACTGAAAACATATAGCATCATCAAAAATTATTGAAAGTAAACAATGAAATAGAAGTTCGGACAAAGAAAAATGTTGCCTACCCTGTGCTTGGGTTTTCTTCAGTGAAATGAAGATCGGGGAAGAGGGTAACAGCTTGAGTGTAGAAAAATACTCCTAATAATCCGAGAAAAACGACTCCCCAAACGGACATTATCATGCTGAAGTTCAATAATAGCTTACGGTATTGATTGAACTGAACTCACCAGAAAGCGGAGGTGGTTGGCCCGAGGATAGGACAAATCTTGCCCATTTTGTTCTGAAAAACTACTATGTGATCTACAATAATTGGAAAAGCATCTGATAGGAACTATGATAAGGAGAGGAACAAGATAAGATTACGAGCTTAACGACGGCCACATAGTCAAAGTTAGTAACGAATTGGATAAGAGACGAAGCATGTCCTTCATTACTTCATGGTTTGGTTATATTGAAAAATTAAAAAGTTATTTTCAACAGTTTATAGAAAATAGCCAAATTTATTCTCGCTCGTCTAAAAAGAGCATTGATTTCTGGTCGCCGTACGCAAACGGTGCGCAGCGAAACACGCCATAAGAACAAAATAATAGAATATAAAAATTAAGCAAACTGTGATACAAGACCGCTTGAAGCTTATTGTTTATAAAGATGGAAAAATTTCGAAAATATGTTTAGTCATCAAAGAAAATATCAATAAAGCGATTAATTTTGAAATTACGGTCTCGTGCTCTAATCGATATTGGTGCGTGTTGCGTGTTTGTGAACATCGATCTCTAGTCCACACGGAGAGAGCTTCAACTTAGTCGGCTCTCCATCATTTTTAACCTGCTTTGAAAATAATTTTTAAGTTATATTTTCTAATTTTGTTAAATTAGGATGGGAGTCATTATTCCTCTTGTTTCTGTAACAGCTTTTTGGCTTCTTATTGGTATCGGAGGGCCATTGATTGTTCCAAAAGGACCTAACAGAGGTTGGTTTTTGATTTTACACTAGAAGAACAGACGATTCGATTTAAGGAATTATCCAAACTATGATTATAATGACTGCCGTTTGTTGTCACGTTTTCTGGATTATGGTGAATTTGCCAAAGAGGATATCCCTATTATACTTCATCATTGCAGATTTACCTTCATCAACTCAATCCCCTGATTGGACCTCAGATTAATGTCAAGACAATTCGTTGGATTTCCGAAAAGTGGGGTGATGCTCCTCAGGTTCATAATTAAAGATTAGAAGAAAATGTTAGTTTTAACCTTCTCTCAAACTTCAATCCCTAAATAGTTTTGTCTTGGCTCTCAGGAGCGATCATGTGCCTTATTGGTTGCTTGACCGAAAAGGAAATGGCTGAATATAAGTTTCTTACAAGAAACTAACTTTTTTCTTACATTCCAGCTTCGTGATATTTGTTTAGATACCTAGACTTGTGATCATTTCTCGTATTTTTATTGTATATTTGACAGAAATGTAATTTTTTATCATCGACTTCTTCTAATCGCATAATCCCAAGCTGAAAGTTACCATAGTTTGATCGAACATATACATATGACTCGTCAACTTCCTCAGCCAACTTCCTCGGTTACATTCTTCGGAATCTGCTTGGTTGCAAATTTTAAACGTTTCATTCGTCATATGAGAGTTGTAGAACACCTGCAAAATCACTGGTATGGTAATCTCGAAGTTATACTCACTTCGTATTTTGTATGATAGGGAGCTGTTAATCGTTCGCTTATTCGAAACGGAAAATCAGGTACCCAATCTCCATTTCTAATAACTCGGAAGGCTTGATGGATCTATGAACAACTAGAACAGCTTTTTCATTACCGAAACCTTACCAAGCTGTTATGTAATTTCGCAAACGTTTCGTCTCCTGCTCGAGGACCAGAGAAACCGTATTCAACGACATCTCTTCCATACTTTTGTTTGATGTGGACGGAGAAAATACTAGCCATTGTACCTCCGAGAGAGTGACCACAGGTCTGAGCAAACAGTCTCAACGTCGAAAAAAATTTTTTTCACTAACTAGAACTTGATAAGTCGGATATTTTTCAAACGCTTTCTGCAGATTTGTATCGATCCCGGATTCGACAAACGTTTTATATGCTTCATGATAGTACCGTACCATTTTCCCTCCAAACCCTGTATCCACATACATCCCTGTTATAAATTGAATAGCTTGAGTAACGAACTGAAAATGATTTGAGACTTTCCGTGTTCACAAGATTCCTACTTGAATGGGGCCAACTGTGGCTTGAAAACAAACTATTATTTGACGATTCCAATGGTTCACTGCTACCAAGCTCGCTAATGTATGCTGTAAGTCGTTCTTAGTCGTAGAAGTACAGAACTCAAACATACTGCTCCAAAAAACGTCTTTATCGAAATTTCGGCAATGACCTCGATGTTTTCGTTGACTTTATCCAGACAGGATTTAACCTAGTGTTAATGTGATGAGGAGAAGGAAGAAGAAACTTACAGCATGGGGATTTTCGCTATTATGAATTCTGTTAGTTGCTAGAATATAGTAGATAACTTTACTCCTGGAGAACTCATCACTGTATTGCGGAGCGATTGCTTGATCAAAAGGACAATTTACTGTACTCAAAATGGATTTTGAAGGATGGCAAAGATATTTTGAGGAGACACACTGATTTTTAGACATACACCATCTAAATGTACTGGTAGGTAATGAGGAAGAGAGATCTCTAACCTGCATTTCTTTCCGCTGACCAAAGCACCAGAGCAACTTTCGCAGTTATAGTAATCAGAGCAAGACAGTGCTGTGAGTAATGGTAGTAGGAAGAACAGTGTCAGATAAGAGATACGTTCCATTTTCTTCGAGAAAATAAGAATATATCTGTCTTTGTTTGAGAACCATCATGTTCAGTTAGTTATTGCGATTATCACCATGACTACCTTACGAATCATTTTGACAGGTGTTCTGTAAATGAGAATGTTGAATGAATATTGTTCTATATCGTTCGAATTTATTCAAACTTTAAGGAGATGTTTGCTCTTTTTATTCAATAGACAAATAAACGTGATGACAACGTTGATTCTGAGACAGACAATTACATGGAACCCTCTCTTATCAGTTACGAAGGTTCAATATTACTCTTCATACGCACCTTCTCTACCCCAACTGTATAATAAACGTGGAAGTTTTTTTTCTGCTTAGTATTACTCAAAATGTTATCTCCTACTGAGGATGATTTGTTAACTATTGAAGATCATAGAATAGAATTAGAAAAAGAGGTTCGTTTATCAGATTCAATTCTCTCCGCATTATGTTTTCAGATCGCTAGTTTAAAAAACCAATTAAAGCATTCACAAGAGAAGAATGAAAAGCATGTGGACACTGTAACTACTGTATCGTTTTCAATTACTAAATGTTCTACTTATAGAATGCAAATCTATCTGTCCAATTGAGAAAATTTCAAAAAGAAGTTGACGGCTTGAGAGCAGAAAACTATAAGCTACGAGCTGAGCGTTGGAATGATGTGAGTGCGTTTCTTACTTCTCAATATAGTATTTTCTCATTAGATTAAACATATTCTCAAAGAGAATCAAGATCTCTCTATCGAAGTTGAAGATGTGACAACTCTTTTCCAACAGCTCACTTCTACTAATCAGAACCTTTGGGAGCGTTATGATGAGATGGATTCAAAAGTAAGTCCAAATACATTTATTCTAATTAGTATGATGCGGAGCTACGTAATCGTACTTTCAAGCTCGTGATCAATTCATTCGAGAATAATTTTTTTCATGAAGAACGGTTGTTCATGAGAGTTGTTAGTTAGTTTCAAGTTGAGAGAAGTTAATATTGAATTAATAGAAGATTATTGTTAAGCGTACCAGTTTCCGTGTCTTCTCTCACAATCAGTACGATAAAGAGAAAGAAGATAGTGAAAACTATAAATAAATGTAAATATGTTTGGTTGAGGTGATGGAACTCGAAGGCAAATGTCATATATTACGCAAAGAGAATAAGGAAGTGAACAGAGAGAACAAGGCACTGGAAGACTTGAACGCTTCTGTCATACAGGAGAACAGTATGTTGCAAAATAAAATAAAAGTAAGTACTTCTACATATTAAAAGAACTAACTTTGATTTCTGAAGCAATTGAAAGATCGGAATAGAAGGCCCATAGTGGTAGATAACGATGGTTTTCCAACCGACTCCCGTCTGATGGAGCTTGATTACTACTATGGAAACATATGTAACTACTGCAAGCGGGTTTATCTTACTCTTCATTTTCAGCACGGGAGGAAGCCCAAAACATTTTGAGTCAGGGCAGTGAAGGCAGCTTCCTCATACGCAACTGTAAAATGACTGTAAGTTGAGTCTAAAAAAATATTCAGTAATTTGACTTTCAAGGTGAAAGATTACACAGTATCTGTCAAGTCTGGAAAGCATGTCCGACATTTTCTTATTCGAACTCAAGGTAGTAGACTCTTCATTTCTACGAATGTTTTCGAAAACTGGGATGCACTTCTTACATATTACACGAAAAAACCATTACAACAATCAGGATCTCGATTAGTTCGTCTTGGTCAGCCATACACGTTAAAACTAAGTATTGTTATATAAAAATATTATTCACAACGCAAGGATTTAAACTTTCTCGAAAGCCAAGTACCCTTCCAGTTTCAAAATTTGTCGTTTTTTCTCCAATCCGAAGCCATATCCACCAATTGTGCCAGATGACGTTATGACTCTACACGAATAGTTCTCGATCTATATGACCTACATACCTGTGGCATGGGACCAGAATAGCGACAGGGTTCCGAGCACAAGCAGAGGCTACAGCTCTGACAGCTTTTGGCCTGCCAGCTTTCTCAGCGAGCTGACGATTTAAGTATTATAAAACTGAAAAGTAAAATCGACACTCACAGCAGCATAAGACATGCAAGTTCCTATCGGTATTTGTTTCATCGCTTTCCATGCTTCGACGAAGAACGGTGTTCCATGCATGCTTACAGGTACATCTACAGGCTTTCCAGAACAAGCTAATTTTATCTAAAAGATATCAGCTCGGAAGTATGTTTCTTCGTTTACTTACATGTTTTTCGTTTTTCATTTTACCTTTCCTGGCTTTTGGATTGTTGAAATACTTCATCATGCGATCGTAAGTTGCATCCATGTCAGAGTTATTAACCATCAATTTCAAGTAACAGACTTCATTATCTTCAGTTTCACAACAGAAACATTCGCCTAGTTCCGTAGAAAAACAATCAAAAACTACAGATTCTATCATTCTAACTTGTTTTATAACTTTTCTCAAAAGAGACAGCTTCATGTATCATCCGCCCTTTAATTTCGCATTAGAGCAATTTGATTGCTGAACTAGGAATGGTTTCATGTAGCTAGTTTATCATGAAAAGCGGCTTGAATCCTATTGCTGTTTGTGTTTCCTATGTGCTTGGCTTAACTAAAACGTGGAACACATCTAGATCAGGCAGTAGCAACAACAAAACATATTATACGGATCGACGGATTCATGCACTGATGTCCGAGTGGTTAAGGAGTTTGACTCGAAATCAAATGGGCTCTGCCCGCGCAGGTTCGAATCCTGCTCAGTGCGAATTTTTTGCAAAACAGATTAACATCACTGAACACACAATTCGCCATCTAATGATTGGAAATCAATAGTAGACTAATACAATAATCAATATAATCAATAAAATCTTCAAAATATTATGAAATTTTATTATTATGTTTTTCAAATATAGCGAAGTTTCTTCTTATACACAGGAGAAGAAGTGCTCAAGAAAGACATGTCATATGTCTGATCTTCTACTGCACCGTAACTTTTCTCATAACCAGATGTTTCAGTAACTTTCTCCTCTGAATAAGCCCTTTTTTCTTCAGGTTTTTCATCGCCATATGTGTTTTGTTCTGTGTGTTTCACATCAATCGCTTCATCACGACGAGGGCAAGAACAATAAGCTGCGTCTTCGCCAGGGAATCCAGGCAAGCCAGGCTGCAAAAGACAGATTGATAACTATTGATCAATGAGTGAAAAGAATACCTCTCCTGGTCTTCCTCTAGGACCGGGCATTCCGGTGAGTCCAGGCTCTCCCACTGGCCCGGGCATTCCGTCAGGGCCTTCTTCTGCAACTCCGGATTCTCCTGGAGGTCCAGGTGGTCCTCTTGGTCCAGGCATACCCTTACGACCAGGTAACCCTGCCCGATATCTGTACCCTGGTTCTCCTGTTTTTCCTGGATTTCCCAATCGTCCAGAAGATCCTGGTTTTCCATTATCTCCAGGTGGTCCTCTGACACCATCAATTCCGTTTTTACCAGGTGTTCCATCTTGTCCGGGTTGTCCTCTAGGACCTGGCAATCCAACACGGCCAGGCATACCTTTTGATCCGGGAGCTAAAACATAAATCATTCGAAGAATGTTTGCCAATTAAATACTAACGGCCTGCGGGACATTTGATACAGCCGTTTGATGTGTAGTCTCCATTAGCATTCATGTCTTCAGCAGGTATACCGTTTGGACCTGCTGGACCAGGATAACCAGGAACTAAAAAAAAGATATGTTTGTTTAAAAAAAGATTCAGTGAACCTCCATCTTCCCCTTTAGAGCCTCGAGGGCCAGGAGGGCCTGGAGGACAAGAATTTCTTTTCATACAGCCTTAAACGTTTCATTGACTCGGAATACATATAAAGAACATACTGCATTGAGATGGAAGGTCACGTCTGTACCTTAAACCGAAAGCTTTTTCAAACTTAACGGTAGGTACTTCTCTCTTCTCGAGCCTCACGGCATCATACCAAGCATCATTTGTTAACTTCTAAAGAGTTTAAAGTTGGAAACAGAAGACAAAAGGAAACGAAATTACATCAATTTCTTCAAAATCTCTCATTGACTGAGCAAAAAACTCATGATACTCATTGATACTTGATTTAATGTACCAAGCTGAGAAAGATACCAAACTGATACTCAAAAGTATAGAGAATATAGCCACTAGAGACGTGCGATCCTTCATCTACACTGGAAGAAAATAAATAAGTACAACAAGTGCGGCAACACTAAAGACAATGATGATTACTAAGAAACAGCTTAGTGTTGGAACAACATGATAATAATAAAAGCTTGTTCGTATTTCAATTATATAAATAACTAAAAGAACACGTCTAAACCTTGGATTTCAACAATGCCTCTGTCTTCATACCAATTCTGGACAATGGTAGCCAGCTAAACGGGAAAACTTGTTAGACCACTAGTCGGAAGGATGGGATGTAGAACCACATGATAAGAAAACGAAAGATTCGAAAAAAAGTATAAATCTATGAGATGACATGATTATAAAAGCCAGATTTCGAGATTTCACGAGAATATAAGTTCATCCTTCCGTTAATTTATCTTGTCACGTTTAGCTTAAAAAATCAGTTTTCTGCTTGCATAGGTGTCAACGAAAGTGCGCGAAAACAACTAATTGATGTAATTAGTGGAGAGGATTGCTGCAGGACACTGATCCTGATTCAGAGTTACGTTCAGAACTATGAGAAAACCCAGCTTTTGGGAGAAAGAGATTCAACAATCGCGAAAGGAGCAATACGAAAACTGAAAGAGTGACTCACCTAATTAGGAGATGCCAATCAGGAACATTCCTTCACAACGGTATATTTCCTTCATCCTGTCGCTTGATAGACAAATCTGAAAGAGGGAAAAGGAACCCTACAATACAACATTTAAAAGTATTGCGAAAGTAGTGAAATGCTAATTTCCCACGTGACGGGATTCTCACGTGATTACACGTGTACACAGTTTATTTACTTTCTTGCATTCTACAGAATGGTTGTTTTCGATGCATATGCAAATTCTTAATCCCTTCGCTTCAAACTGAACAGCATACCCCGATTTCAACGTAAGTCTTTCATAAATTTTCATCTCGCGCCAAATTTTCAATACGCGCGAAACTCAAATTTTTCAAAAACAGATACTTTTCTTATACAAATGGTAGTGGTTGTTAGTTGTGTATGTAAATGTTCATAATTTTTGCATGTCAGTGTTGATTTGATTGAAGTTACATGTTGGAATGTTATGAACGCTCATATTTTACAGGATTAACAGTAAGATGAATAACTTAACAGCGGACTTTGACAACTATGCAAGTTACCATGAGAGTGATGGGTATGTATGCTAACTTTCAAGTTGAGCATGATTAGAAATGAAAGATCATTGTATGCGGTGTGTTAGAAAGTCCGTGGGGTCAGAAATCTCTTAGTTACCCTAGCAACCCATTGATGAATACGTACCTCCGTAACATTCACTAGTTTTAGGGAACACATGGAAGAAACTAACAAAACGTTAGAAAATGAACCTCCTTCTGAAGAGGTTGCTGCTCCTCGTCATTCTTTATCTCAGCCTGATTTACGTAAGCGTGAGTATAAGCTCGGGCCTTGACAAAATGAAATAATTGCAGGTCCCCGTAAAGAACATATAGAAAAAATTCCCATATTAGCCACATTCGAAGAAAATAAAAGGTTGAACCGAGAAAACTTCATCTTAAATGTGAGTAAAACGTTTCAATCTTCAATCTTACTCGTTATTTCAGTCGAAATTAAAAGATGCAACCTATAGAGAACGCGAGCTTAGAGATCAACTTCCTCGTGAAGTTGATGCTATAATGGAAGAGGTTGCCGTTTTATAGCTTTTTGAAACTAAACTGTCACTTTAGTTCTTCGCTCTTCAATTAGGAAGACAAGAGTTCGAGAGAAAGTACTCTGAACTTTCGGCAACTGTTGTGCGTGCTGAGAAAGCTGAAGAGAATGAGAGAATAGCTTTGGAACGGGCTGAGAAAGCTGAACAAATGTTGTCTGATCTCGAGAAGGATACCGATAGTGAAAATGGTAGATTAAAGGAAGATTTAGAAAAGGTATGATAACTGGAAATGATGTATCGATATCTCCGTTGTACAGTTGCGCATAAGAATTGCTGAACTCGAAGAAGTCAATTGTGGCAATGATGATTGGACCTTGGCTTCTAGTGCTGGAGATAGGTAATGAAGTCGGCATGAGGATATGAAGATGAGCTTACTACTCTTAGGGCTATGGAAGAGATCAGCGATGAACTTGAACGTTGCAAACGCGATTGTAATGAACTTACTACTAAAAACAAAGAACTCGAGTCTGTAATCACCCAATTAAAGGAGGATTTGGACAAAACCACTAACAAAGTTTGTTTTGATTAGTAATCTTCAACCATGTTCGAGTGGTTCAGACTTTCATGCTGGGTGTACCAGAAGATACGAATATACTTATCGAAAGAATCAAGAGCTTGGAAGAAGAATCAAGGGTAAAGGAAGAGAATTATTCCGCTGTTATCAAGGTAATGAGGCATACACGTCATGCATATAGCTACAGTAATTCAGTCTTACATGAAAAAAGTAACAAAACTCGAACGCGCCCTTGTCAGAGCAGAAGGAAGCTTTGATATAACTCCTAATTTGACTTTCACGGCTACAGACAAAACAAAACTTGACAAATGCGTATGTTTAATTTTATGACATTGCTTATTTTCATAACATTAAAGGTAAAATCACTAATGAATGAGCTAACCAGCGCTCGTAGCCAAAACCAAGAACTGAGACGTCAATGCGCTGCGTTATCAGGAGGGGTTTTAGACATCAGTTCCGTTGTTGACAATGATAATATCCGCCAAAAATTGGTAGATTTATCTCATAACATCAGTCCAAGAGATGAAAACGAGGGCGAAGATTATAATGAGAACGTATGGTTTATTAGCTTTTGTCTAATTGATAATATCGTGTTTAGATTAGAAAAGTCGTTGAAGAGTGTGATGAGATTTTCCAAAAACTTGAACAACAAGGTCTTCTTGATTTGAGCTATGATTTGAGTGCTGAGTCCAGTGGCAACAAATCCAATAGTATGCCAGTTCTGGAAGCCATTGAGCGAGATGCTGAAGACGAAGATAATGATGAGGAAAAAGGTACACATAGAGATAGCTCGGTTACTTAATTTTGTTTTTTTCAGAGCAAAATAAGTTCGAAGACCCAAATATGTCAGAACTGTTGGCTGTAAGTAGAAGTGTGACGTAATCTTATATAGCTTTTCGATTGCAGATGAATCAGTCAATCAACAATATTCTTTATCACTCACTCAACACCTCAACCGAAATCGGAGAAACTCGAGTATAACTTCCTACAAGTCCCTGAATCGGTTGACAAACTTTTGTTTTAGGTGAAGCTAGCCTCAGTTCGCACACTCATTTCCTCCATGTTTAATCGCTTGAAGGGTTCGGCTGCTTTGTTTGAAGAGATTTTCGAATATGTAAAACCTTTTTTTAAAAGCTTGTTTTAAATAGTTTTACAGCTTTCTGAAGGTAGCGAAGCTAACAAAGAGCTCGCAGAAAAAATTTCACAAATGTCCCTCGAATGGACAAAAGCACGCAGAGAAGCTGAAGATGTTTCTAATGTTATAGACTGTATGTTAAACTTGTTTTTCTTCCGGTGATTTGTACTTCTCAGATGCCGAAACCAGTGTTGCGCAACTTCAAAACCAATTGTCTGCCTTGGAGAATTCCTTAAACGAGTCATCATTCATCTTCGAGGCGAGTCGAAGAATAACTCTCAATCGCACGGGAGGAGTAGACATGAACATGAGTCGTAACCGTAAGCCATAACTACACATTCTGCTCATGAGTTCAACATACTCGTTATAGTACATATGTCAGTTCTTGAGAATCAAAACTTAGCTTCTGCTCACAATGAGTTGAATAACTTGAGAACGAAGTACGATGATGCCTGTGAAACAGTTGATAAATTGAACGAGTTGATCGAAGAGCTCAAGGATGACAAAGCTAATGTATGTAGTTCAAATTTCTCAAAACTTTCACTTCCCGAAAACGTTTCAGTTAGCTTCAAGTCTTTCTATGGCCAATTCAAGTGTGGATGTTATCAGAAAGCATTTGAATGAGGTTGAGATCGCCAACAGCAACTTGCAATTGGAGAAAGATGAGTTCAGTGCCCGTTGTTCGGATTACCAGCAAAATACAAAACATTTGACGGAAATGTTGCAGGTTTTAAAAAAACATCTTAGTTTACTTCATTATTTGATTAAAGAATATGCAAACCGAGTGTGATTCCTTACGTGAAAGATTAGGAGGTCTGGAGAAACATAATAATCTCCTTAATGAGGACATTGCTGCCTACAAGAGGGTTGAAGATCAAATGAAGATGGACTTGAGCTTAGCAAACCATGAGGTTTTTGATGCTTCTGTAGAAATTAATACTTTTCATCTTTGAAGAAAGAAACACTGATTAGTAGCGTAGAAGAGTGGAAAGAAGAAGCTGAAACCTTCAAGCAATCATTCGAAGCTAGATCCGCATCATTGAACAAGCTAAAAGAAGATTACAAAGCCTTAAAGGTGTTCGTTATTGTGGATAGTTTATTATTTTTGAGCTACAGATCGAAGTTGAGCAAGCTTCTACTGAGTTGGCAGAAGCAAAGGTTGCTTTGCATTCATTCGAGAGAGATACGGAAAAACAACGTCGTTATTTCGAAGAAGAAATTAGAGCTCAAACTGAAATAGCTCAAGCAGCTCGCGACAACGTAATCCATTCTGACGATAGAAGGGGCATAGCTGTTTACTGTTTTTTAGGCCAATGAATTAGCTGAAAAGCTAATGGATAAGGAACACTCGTTAATTGGCGACAGACAAAGCAAATTTGGCCTCGTTGTAGGAAATGATGAGCGATTGTCTCTTATTGATAGAAGCAACCAAGTAAACCTCATCTCTTGTTTAATCTTTAACAACAAAAAATTATTAAGAAAACAAGATGCATTCAAACAGATGACGATGGATTAGCCGAAATGTTAACGGAATATTTCAGTATGTATACGAGATTAGCTACCTGTGTCAGGAAATATCTCTCGTTCTCACAGCACGACTACGATTATCAAACTGAAAAGTTTTCAGAAATACACGTATTCTAACTGATCTCCCGTTACTTTCAGCTCTGTTGAATTTATGGAATTCGATTTGAACAATATTGAACAGGAGATAAAAACCTTCTGTAAACAGTATGAAGATAATGTAGAGCACATGGTTCGTGTTAATAACAAGTTGATGTAAGTTTTCAATACGTTTAACGTTTTTGAAATTCTCTGTTAAGAGAGTATGGAGAAGTTAATGACTCTTGCTCTCAGCCTGCTACATCTGATGTTCCACACTATCAGAAAACTGAAATCGAACAAGGACGTCGTAAGTTTGGAGTTTTTGATAATAGTACAAAGTTTTGCCACAGGTGTGTCTCCACTGAAACAATTGTTGTATGCTCTCACTATGCAATCTGTCGATTTGGTTCAGAATGTCAAGCTACTTCACAAACATATGGTATGATGATTCAAAGCAGTGGTTAACTGATTAAATTATCTAAGGATAACCCCAAACGCGGAGATATCGTTGTTAAGTTGTTGAATGATGCTCGTTCTCTCAGAAACCAGCTTAATGACAACTATGCTTGTTTCCAGTCGAAGGATAAAGAAAACGATTTGAGCCTCGTTCCCCAAGGAGAAGTAATTCAGAAGGTAATTATCCTTTCACTTTTGATCATAACCTGATGTCTAAGTTGGAACACGCGGAAAAGGTCAATGCTGTACTCTTTGCGGGTCTGAAGCAAGCTAATGACAAGCTCATTGAGCTCGAGAAAGCAGTTGTAAGTTATCAAGTGTTTATGAAAGTTTGAAGGCTACTTTCTTGCAGCCCAAGAGTAACAAGGCAGTTATTGAGAAAATATCGAAAGAAATGGAGAACATAGCTAAAGTCATGGGATCGGCCCAGATCTCATCTAAGAATCTCTCATTGGCTCGTAAGCCTGTAATGAAGCCTATTGCTAAGAACACATTGTAACTTTCCTTCTTGAGAATCTCATCCTTCTCGCAGGCTCATTGTAGATAATCTTCCCTCTTTTTTTTTGTCATTGGTTTCATTTTTTGAAGTGAATAAAAAAGTTTTAACCACACGTATAAATTATTTCAGAGCTAAAATGTGCTAATACCTATTCATACATTCTGTAGAGGCTATAGAAAACACACATTCGGTTTCTTTTCACATAAGTTTGGATTAGTTTTTACAATTCATCGGCTGTTTTTGAATGTAGTTATTAGCTGAGCAGCTTGTCAGGATGAATGAATATTTTGAAAAGAAGAAAAGGATGGAATCAGATGAATTGGCTTTATCCTCATGGCTTAATGATGTTTCAGATTGGAAAATTTTGCCCTGGAAATCTTCTGTGTGTTTACCCAAAGAGATGTTAAACTATTTGATTCATTTCTGTCTCAGCTCATCTTAACTATTTGTAATTCAACCTAACCATCTAATTCAGAAATGCCATTAACGTCTGTATATTTTGTATGCACCACAGGATTTTTGCTCAGTATAGCTATGGTCTATATATTTTTGGGATGGATCATATTCCGACGATGGAAATATTTCAAATGTTCCTTTTTTCGAATTTATTTGGTGGCTACCGCTGTGGTAGGTCATTATCTATCGGCTTTCAATAATGCTTTTATGATTTCATTATCTCTCATCCTTCATTTCATCTCTTACAGAATCTCACTAGCATTTGTGTACAGTTTATGACATATCGACTTCCGTTTCATACATGTAGCCATTGCTTATTGGCTGATTTTTTTCGAAAAAAACATTTTTTTGGAATGGAAGTTATCAATTTTCTCTATGTACATTGCTCAATCGTACAATACAACATCTGTCTCATCTTGTCGTTCAATCGGCTTCACTCTCTCTACTATCCATCATCATGTGAAAAGGTTCGTTTTTTTCATTTCAAAGATTTACTTTCTGCTCTCAATAGGATTAGATTGGATGACAACAACTGAACTGAATGAGAATTGAAAGAAAACGAAAGAAAAAACGATTTTTTTTATTTCAGAAATGGCGAAACATGTTCTTTTCGCTCTCATTATTGGCTGTCTGTGCTCCATTAATTATAGATTATCCTTTAATAAGAGGACAATCATTCTATCAATTCGTTGACAAGATGGACATGTTTCAAACACGATCCACAGCGGTAATTACATCTTCTGAACTTCTTCCAACTTACCATTTCTCGAATCATTCAAGTATTCAAATGAACTCTTCAATGGTGTCATAGTCTATAGCGGAGTTATAACAACAATCAATTTGATTTTGAATGTGCTCATGGCTTCATATCTCATATCTGTACGTAAATAATATTTTTTTTCTTCCATCATGAACAAAGACGATGATTACAGAAAAGGGATCGAGAAATAAAATCATCTGAACGCAAATTATGCATTATGACAACAATACTATTCTGCTTACAATTCTTCAACTTCGTTCGTTCGGTATAATCTCTTATCAAGTACTTCACTATGCTATGACGGTTTCAGATACTATGGAACATCTATAATGATCATGAGCAGCGCAATTCACTTGTTAATCGTTTGTTACTATATATGGAGCCAATATTTCTAGATCTCATGGTATCATTTCCTCCAATCATTCTTGTACTTTGTAGTCGAATTATTCAACGCCAAATTCATGAAATATTCTTTGCCAAAGACAAGATTCCATTAGCTTCACAAGCTCTCTAATAATGTAAAATACAGTACAAGTGTTGTACATTTATATTTATATATATATATATATATATATGATTATGTTAAATGCATTGCTCTCTCTCTCTCTTTCTCTCTCTCTCTCTATCTCCCTCTTATTTCGTTTTGTTTGTTTATTCGGGTTCTGTTTCGTAATTACTGTAATTATCCTCATTATATGCTAATAACAGCTACGTCGTTATCACTTTGTATGCTAATTTTGGGCGCGCGCGCACGCACATTCACATGTGCAAGCAGAGTACCCTAAGCTTACATGTATGTGATTGCTTATTATCTTAAACGCAGGTGCACAAAACGGTTGTTGTTTTCTTAATTTTATTTAATTTCTTATATCGTTATGTTATTTTTGTCCATAAAGTTACGTTATTAGCCTCTTGTTTTGGATATAATTGGTAAGAGCTAGCTTGAATGGTTCTACAGATCATTGATAGGCTATGTGTTTACGCAGTGGCCATCATCACTCAACAATCAGTTGACGAAGTCAGAAAGGAAATTTCCTATGCTATTTGGTCTTTCTCTCTTTATCTTTAACTTATTCTCTCAGCAAATTGTTTATCTTCATTTTCTCTCTCTCTTTGAATAATAGTGTTCTCTTTGATTTTCTTTAATACAAACTGCGTATGCATATAGCCTTGACTGTCTTCTCTCTTCATCTTTACCTATATTCTGTACTTATTTTTGGAAATAATGCAAACAAAGGATAACTTTATGCGTAAGTTCGCCTGTCTCTTGCATAGATTATTATGATTTACTTATGTTGTGCTTTGGTTTGTTTCCGTCCTCTCACCACCATATCTATATATGACCACTGTCATTATGTTGAAGATGTTTCTCTTTTTGCAACATTTCGCATTCAGCTCGCAGTCAACCGGACTTCCTACTTCATCGCATCCTTCTCGCGCACACAGTTCTATCCCAATCTGTTCGTTTCAATGAAAATATGAAGATGGAGACGAGAAAAAAAATTTTTTTTCTCCCATCTTATTACTTTCATTCACTCTCATTTTCGTTTCCAAAATGATTTTCTGCTATTTTTTTGTTCTCTTTTGTCATAACGATACATCTCATTTTGAACTTTGTTTGTCTAGGTTGGGGTCATACATGTGCGCAAGAGACCTACTTCACTCCGAAATTTCGTGAAATTTTAATAAACCTCATCTCAATGTGATCACGTTCATGTGTTATACAAATCAAAACCCGAATATGTAACGGAACTTTCTTGTGTCTTTTTGTCTTGTCATCTTATCCTTCACCTACTGTCCAATATAAACGGACAGTCATCGCCCACAATATTTTCTTTTTTTAGGCTCTTTCATTGTTTCTCATACACTCTGCTTATTCCCTTTTTTGTTTCTTTTGTGTGTGCATTTTGTGTGCTATGGATTAATCATGTGTCAGAGCACAGTCTAAGCTTAGATACTTTATTCTGACGTTAAGTTGTATCAGAAGAAAAAAAATGCCGCAAGGCATTAAAAGAAGGATTTGAAAAAAAAAACTCGAAGAACTGGTCTTGTTTGGAATGGTATCAACCCCGTTCACCACAACTCAAGTGGTCAGACGATCTTTAGGAACTGTCCTCTTCACACCCTTTTATGAAAATTCAAACTTTTGATTTGAAACCTTTCTCTTACCCTCTCTCTCTCTCTTCTCTCCTTGCATCTTTCTCTCTCCAAACTGTTTTTACGGGCAATCTAGTGTTCAAAACGCTATTTCCTAACTTTATCTTCAGATTTTCGAAAAAAAAAGGATTTTTTTCTTTCATAGCTTTTTTTCGCCATTAACTTTCTTTTGCATGCTCGATTGGAAGGATAGTCATGCTGAAGAAAGTTTACATTACGAGCCTAATCCGCTTGTAGAACTGGACGTTGCATGCTTGTTAGTTCGGACAGTTCCAGCTCTGTCATTTCGCGTTAATTTTGTTGGACTTTTAATATCTTCAATTGCATATATTTTGTCCATTTTTTTCGTTCAAATGAAGCATCCAAGGCTTTCGCATGATAACCATCGTTGCTGTTGTTTGGAATCTGTACCAGGCCCACACTCCTGTAAGGTTTCCTAATTGCTTGGAAAACATTGAGTCATCTATTGGCTTCTGTCATAACATTTATTAGAAAGCTTAATTTTCTGACAGTTTGCATGTTTATTCTGTAAGCGTTGGCGATCATTAATGCCCTGTATTTCCGGCTCGCCTACCGTCCCTTCATAATCTGCTGGTTAATCCTGGACTCTTAGTTCCACCACGTCCTCCGTCATTGATCATCTGCACCTAGCAACTCCTTGGACAGCTGCAAATCTTATTCGCGGAAGACGACAACGATGTCAAAGTCATCTGCTTCAGCTATAATGTTGAAATTAAATGACTAATAAAATTTTGAAAAAAACTGTAGTAAAGTCCGATTAAGGCGATAAAGACGTTTCTATGAAATCGGTCTGATTCTTCCTCGCTTGGAACTATTTCAGTCATCAGTCTCATATGACATTCATTCAGCTGATTGTGATGTTCAAGCTTTGAGATCTTTTTTATGCATTTTAACCCTATCTTTCGCATTCGTCCGTTCTTGTCTTCCTTTTTTTTTCTCTTCATATTTGACGTTGATTTGCTTGTCAATTAGAATGATCAACAAGTTCTGCTTCTTCAACAGCATATTGGCTTCTTTCCTTTTTTGTATTTCGAAAAAGAAAAGCCGACAGCTATAGTCTGTATCGGTATACCATATATAGTAGTTGAATATAAAAGAAGTTCTTTTAACATTCTTCTGTGTTCAAAAGCTTTTTGTATAGTTTCGAGATAGATGAACACAGTGTTATTTGTCCATAGATAGAATTACTTTGTTCCGCTATCTGTTTTAGTGCGAATTGCATGCGACCTCATTCAGCCATAAAACCTTTACGTTCTTAGAAAATTTGTTTTTTTTTCTTTTTCTTGTATTTTACATTTTCATAACGAAGTCATTTTTTAATTTAAAACATGTTTGATCACGAAATATCCCACGTATAAGCAGATTCCAACAACTTAACTCTTCTTCGTTCTCGTCTTCTTCTTCGTCTCTTTTTTTTTTGCCCATATTTGCTCATCTAGTCGTGCTTCGTTGCCAACTTTTGTATTAACAACAAGACATTTGTTTGTCAACGACGACTTTAGGTCATCACGTTTTGTCTTTTTTCCTTCAATTCTCAATCATATTTTACTTAATTTCCATAAAAATTGCTTAGCTGATAGTCGATAGTGAGGTGAAGGGAGTGTGTAAGGAGAGAGTGGTCACCTCGTACGATTTTCAAACGCTGACCGCTTCTTTCTCCATTTCTCTCTGTCCATCTCTCTCTCACTACTCTACATGCGTTTGTTCTGTTCAATGAAATGGAAAAAGTACGACTCAACCTTTCTTTTCTCTCCTTCACCTTCTAATTATTGAGAATGAAATGTAGTTAGGAAAAGAAAAAGTTAAATAACCATCTGCACATAAACTTGCCTTGAGGCGATTTCATTTTCTTCTCCTTCTTCTTTTTTTTCTTTCTGCTGACCATAACGAAATTGGCGATGATCAGAACGACGACTACGACTACGACAACGACGACGACAAGAATTAGCCGACTCTCACGACATTCGAATAGTTTTGCGTTCATAAGGTCATAAAGGAGCATTTAATGGAAATGAAATGGTTCTTTCAAGAAATATTTCAAATTTTCTTTCAACTAGACGACACCCTTTGTCAAACAACAACAACACTTTCGTTGGGGGTAACAATCTGTAAAAATATAATTTTTTTTCTTTCATCTCAATATCGTTGTTTGGAAGATGAAACCGTCTAGAAGCGCAGAGAAAGAGTAAGGGGGGGGGGGGTTTCCTTCTTCCAATCGATTACTGATCGTTCTCCCCTCTCTCCATCGTTAATTTGATGAAGTGACGCCTTATGAGGCGTTTCGTCGTGATGGTCAAAGATTTGCAGGAACAAAAAAAACATTTTTTTTTCGTACTTCCGACTTTCATTTTTTTACGAAAAGGCAAATGAGAAGGAAGACGTTAGCAAAAAGCCCAAGAAATATCAAATGACGGCAATGACGACAAGCAAACCATTCCGTAACTCAACTCACTCACCGTTCCATTAAGAGCTGGCCGTGCCCTTGCTTCCCCTGACCACCTCAATTACCTCCCTTTTTCCTCCTTTTTTTTTCTCTTCATCTTCTACAGTTTTTCATTTCCCCTTTCACACAGTTCACCATAACTTATTCTCATTGCTTTCTGTCTTTTTTTCAATTTTTTTTGTTTTGTGTATGTTTGATTCCAAAAAAGGACATCATCATCATTATCTTCACCAAATATTCTTTCAGATTAAGTCTGCTTTATCCAGTTCGTCTGGTGACCGGCTTTTGATGCATTCTATCAAGCTTTCCTTCATCTTATCAATTCTTTTATACAAATTATACAAAAACCTTTTTTTTCATATATTCGTGTGTCTGACTGTCTGTCTCATCATCGTCGTCGTCGTCGTCGTCGTTCATCCAATTATTGACACGCAAAATCTTATTAATTTCTCATTTTTTTTCACGTCTCTCTCTCTCTCTTCTCTCTTTCAAAATATCTTCAGATGCTGGCCTTGAGGAATAGTTTTCCATCTGAACTTATTGTATGGCTGCTTGTACTCAATGACCCCCTTTTCCATTAAAGTTGATGAAATTACAAAAATTTTTATGAATTTTCTCACAAATTGCTTAACATTCCCATTAAAATTCTAATATGTAGTCATTTGCATCAGATTTTATGACGAACGTTCTTTCCTTTTTTCGATTTTCGACAAGGCTTCCACTACATGTTCCGTTCGGCTATCGAGAAGCCGTTTCGAAATGCAACCAACCTGTGCGCACAAAAATATATTTTTGTAATCTTCCTTCTACTCCTTTCATTCCATTTTTTTTCCTTTTCTGATAATAAGAATGAAAATAAGCTTTATCCTTTCATGGATCATATATTACGGATATGAATATCCAAACTAACCATTTCTATTCAGTTTTACCATACATGGCTGATCTTCTGGGTCATACGCAAGCCGGATAGAACACAGGATTTGTGGCTGATCATCTACTATTTTTGAAAATGTTTTTCATATACATTGCTTATGCATGGGTTTATGTATATACATATAACTAACTTCTCAACCAGCTCATCTTCCTTTGTTCCATCTTTTTTCATGTTCGTACCTCATCATTTCAAATTTCTCTCTCTCTCTCTCTCTCTCTCACTCTTCATGCGCATCCTCTTTGCACTTTCTCTTCTCACCATGTTCTTTCTCTTCTTCGAAACACGAATTATGACTGATGACATCTATTAAGAAGCTCATTTTATCCAAATTGGCACGTGTGATTTTCGTTTTTCATCATTCTCGCTCACAATTCCGTTGACAGGACGTGGGAAAATTTTTATTTTCTCACTCAAAATCGATTGATTGATTGAGTGTAATGACCATATTTGACGACTTCTTAAGGAATTTTTCATTTTACTTAACAAATTAATTGGAACATCTGTTCTGTATGAACATGTCATTACAAATAAGATTTGTTAACTTATTTATAATCATATTTCCTCATTCATACGTCCTAATTTGCATAATTCATCTTTTCACGTAAGTGCCACGTTTATGTCTCTCGATTGTCTTATCGTACACAGACCGGTCGCATTCTAGGTGAGTTTCAATTAATTTTCATTTTTTTCTGCTTACAAGGTTATTTTCTGATTTCTTGTAAGACAAGAAGGAAACTGTGAGGTTAGCAGAGAGAGAGAGATAGAGAGAGAGAGAGAGAGAGAGAGAGAGAGAGTAAGGAAGAATAATAATAGGAAGACAGTTTTGTTATTGCAAAACGTTTTAAATGACTTGTTTTCATAATTCCTAAAGAGGTTCTCTTTGATGATTATAAGTGATTTGTATTATTTCTTCCTTTTTTGCCTCAAAGGATTAAGAGGTTGAAGGTGTTGTTTATGACCTAATATAAGCAAATCTTAATAATGCCTCGGGGCAAATAATGAATGTTGGAAGTGAAAGTCACATTTTAATGGTTTTGATCTGCTTTCTTGGTGTCTTCCTTCATTCGTTGTTGTTATTGTCAATCGTCATTCACCTCGTACCATCATATACGCATATGTTATCAGAAATATTCACTTAAAATGCTGATTTTCCAGCTTCTTCTTCTTCTTGTCCAAAACTTTATTGAAATGAGATGAAGCCTGTCGCGCCAAATCGACAATGTCATCGTCGTATTCAAACTTTTTCATTTTTTTTTTATTTCAAATTCCATTTCGTCGCTTAATAGAAAATAAATTTTTAATTATAAAAATAACCTTCGTCCCTTTCATAAGTAACTTCTCATTGACGAATCTCCTAATTGCTCATCTACGTTATCCAATCGTTTCAATGCCAATTTTAAAAAAATATTTTCAAATATTCTTCTTTTCATCATTTTCCTTTTTCCTCTTTTTTCTTTTCGTTCGCCTCTCCCTTCATCATCTACCTCTTCATCTTACTCTCTTTCTTTCTCTTATAATCGACTTCCTATCTCTCTATCTCTCGTACATCTCACTCATTCTATCTATTCGTTTTCTCTCTCTCTATCTCTCTCTCTCTTTGTTCATTTAGAGATTTTGAAGAAAAATGGCTTTTTGTTGACGATTAAGGCAGTTATATCCTTTTAGTTGCATTTGCCATTCTTTCAGATAAAAGATGTCCTTTTAAGGACCTACACCACCTTTTCTGTCAGTCATCTTCCAAGGCCATAAGGGTCTTATGCTCGTCTCTCAGGACTTGAAATGCCTTGAGGGCGCAAGCTTGCAAATGCGGTAGATTGTCATTTTTCGATTATGAGAACGATAATAATCACGTAAAAACTTGAAACTGTCGTTTTTCTGCATAAATCCAATCATATTCGTTTCCTACCTGATCGCAACTTGTTCAATCACCAGAAATAATTGAAAGAATTAGATGAAAACACATTGAATCCATGAAATGGAGACTCATTCTCCTAAAATTCTATTCATTTTCAGTTTTTACACCCTCTACTACCTTATATGTAGTCTTTGACATGTTCTTTTAAACCTTGGTATAGACAATTCCTTCCAGTTAGCTCCCTTCCTCTCTCTCCTTTCACTTAACTCATCCCTTCATCTGCACTTACAATCTCTTACTCCCCTCACTTATTCACTCACTCGTCATCTCTCTCTCTCAGTTATATTTATGAAGAGAAAGGTATTTGATATTAAATATTCCAACTAATTACTCATCTGACCATTTGTGACCATGTAATTTCTCTTTTCAATTCCAAAATCTGCCCTTATCCTCTTCCATTCAACTGTCCTTCGGCCTTTCTGCCCGATATCCCATTCGACATTTCAATTACTATCCGGTTTATCTTACAATTCATACCAGTTTTTCTGATATATTTTATCATTATTTCTTTTTCTATATTTAATTTATATTTCAACAAATCAATATTTCAATGTTTCAGTTAATTATTTGTTTTCTTATCTGACTATGTAATGCCATCGACACCATCCCGAACAGAACTGGCATGGCTCTTCCCCAAAGAGGTTTGCATATCAACTTCCATCTGTTAATATTCATTTTATTTTAATTCAGATTTCTACAACGACATTATCGAGCACTGTATCATACTCATCAGCCCTTAGTTGGTCATTCGTTGCTGACCATTCACTATTACTTATTGGAATTCTTTTTGTATGTTACGACTCATCCATTGACGACACTCAATACTCATTACAGATGATTGTACTAGCCGTTTCTTTAATAGCTGTTCTCATTCAATATCATTGTCAACGAAAATCTAAAACATCTTTAGCACACACTCCATCTCAGTGGACAACATGTAGCACAGGTAAAACAATTCTTCATTTCGTTGAACTATGAACATACGGATGAAGTTCAACTGAACACAACCGTTCCACACGTCTGAACACGCACAAAATGATTTCTGAGCGCGTCTCAATAGCATTGCGTCGAGTCATTTATGCAAATCAACTGACGTGGATATACAAAAGACGATGGTAAATCCATGTCCTTAAATGAACATTTTCTTTGAAATCCGATGTCTGTTGTGTGTGTGAGTATGTACGCATGTGTGTACATGTGGTATATGAAAAGAAAAAAAACTGGAAGTTGAGTTGGTAAAAATGGTATTGCTCATCTTTGGTTATGATTTGAATTTGTGTTTTTCCATTTTCTCACTTCTTCTTCTTCTTTTTTTTTCTTTTTTTTTCAAATAAGAGAACTGCTGACCAGATCTCTTACAAACACAAAGCTGAACCTGCTTGGAATTTGATTGACAAAAAATATTTTGTTCATTACAAACTTTATTCGTTTTTCGTTCCGGGAAGCAGAATACACATCAATGAACAGTAGTATCTCCCCATTTCCAACATCAGCAGTGATGGTAGTAGTTGTCACTGGCTACTCACTGTTAGCTCATGCTTCTTCTCTTCCTACTATCTCCAATTATTCAAAATAAAACAAAAAGCCAAAAGAAAGTCCATAATGTGCTTTCAATTGATACGGAAATCGGCTTTTTTAGATGTCAATGTTGACATTTAATTTTTTTTTTCCAAAAACGACTGCAGACTTCAATTTTTTGATTTTTCTGTACACAAATCGTCATGAAAATCGTATAGCCTTAGAGCTTTTGTCATATTATGATCGGATGCCATCATCTTTAAGCTGACGAACGTTGGTATGCTTCATTCTTTCAACACGATTCAACACTACTCTGAACTGAAACGGTGACAGAACGGACAGTTCTGAGATGGATTGCAGGCAGTTTCGCTCTTGCTGTATCAAAAACTTTCAAAATCTTCTTCTCTCTCTATGTGTGTGTGTCTCTCTCTCTCTATCTCTCCCTCTCTCTTTTACCTTTTTTTGTCATCTTCACTCATATAGTCCCTTTTCGTTCTTCAGTACTGTTCAAATCACTAGTCGCTCTTGTTATAAAGAGAAAGATAGAGAGAAAATTGAGAAGAGAATAAGCTTACAAGAGAGAGAGGGAGAGAAAAAGAGAAATACAGAGAAAGAGGAAACTGGATGAGCTCGGGCGCACCCTCAGACAACACAAAACACACAAAGTCGTGGAGCGCTGATACACCTTTTCCCCTCGCAAGCACGCCAAGTTGTTGGCTGCGCTTCTGCTCATCGCACTTTTCAGTCTTTAAATCCTTCATAGATCTATCCATATTTGGCGTATCATTGGTTTCGCTAGACATCTCATGCAAATTAGTATTTTTCATTTGATTGCCTTCGTCAATTCAATATTTCCTTCGTTTACTCATCATCTTCCAACTTCATTTCATATTCTATTTTACCTCATTCAGATTTTAAAATATTATTATGACGGATGTGTTCCTGAATCCTCTGTTCGATAGCTCAGATTCTGATTCTGAGAGATCGTCAAGTACTGGACGAGGACTGAACCGATCAGCTCGTTCAATTCCTATTAAAAGATCACCGTTTAAACATAATCATCATCATGTAGCTTTACCATCATCCTCAAACTCATCCAATATCTTTCCACCTCGTGGACCTTCCTCCAAAAGTCTTACAAGCTCAGCATCATCATCACATCCATCATCACCAGGTAAAGCTTAAATCAACAGCTCCAAAGTTAAAAACTGTAAGCAAGCACTCCATTTTACTTTGATCTGCTCCATGTGTGTAAGTGTTAGTGTGTGTATATGTGTGTCTTCACTGTTTTCGCAAACTATCAGCTTTTCCTAAAAATTTTTTTTGTCTTCTCCATTTTTCGTCAAAAGATTAACGTAATTAGTGGCAAAAATAGACAACGAACGACTTTTCTCATTTCTCCGATTTCAAAAATGTCTGTAAAGCATGGTTTGAACCAGTTTTTTGTTGTAAAATTGTTCAACTGAAATGATGTTGGTGTGGTGTGGGGAGAGACTGCTTGTGATGATGGTCAGTTGAGAAGCTCGAATAAGAGAATGAACGAATAGCGAACACCCTAAATTAGTATTATTTTTTGTTTGAGCAGTTGTTATATCGAATTTCTTTTGTTCAAATGCTTTTATTCAATCGATATCTCTCGTTGGCGTCAAATGGACTTTGCACGACTTCCGACAATGTACGTGCGAAGGCAATCGAGCTTTTGCTCATTATCTTCTTTTCTGCTCAACTGACCGTATCAGCTGTCAGGAACGATTTAGCCCTGTCACAAGCTTACCATACAGCTTTCAGTTCGTATCTTTTCATCTGTTAAATAGAACGAAAGAAGGGGGAAATGACGACGAGATTGTTTGCATTCGCTCACACTCATACAGACACACACACATACACATAGACGATTTCTGTGTCTTCTGAAGTCTGCTAGATTTCGTCATCACAAAAATGCCTTGTCAAAAATTAGAAATAACATCCAGATGAAGGATAAACACGAGAATGTATCAAACAAAATATCGCCGCCAATAAAAAGTGATCAAGTATTTTCGTTGCGAGAGTCACTTGAATCAGCTTAAGCTGATGATATCTCATGATTCATATATTTCAGTCAGCTCAACCTACTCAACATGTGGTTTACTTCAACTGATTGGTTCCGATCTTCGACAAGCATTGAACGGATTCCTGTTACCTTCAGAAGCTATCGTACTTGAAGCAATTGTTGGAAAAGGTTTGTTCATCATCGCACTCTCGTATTTCTTCAACAAACTTTATGAGCGTTCGTTAAGTTGTAAGCTAGATGTCAAAACTCGGTTGTTTAAATTTCATTTATTTGGCTTTCCTCTTCAACACTTCAGGGTCAACAGCTTTCAGAAGCTGAAATGCAATGTGTGTGTGTGTCAAAAGTTTTCTTACTCAAAGTCAAAGGGAGTGAAAGATGAGAGAGTGTTAAACGGCTCAATAAATTTGTTCTTTTGATGAAAACTATTTGATCTAGTGAAGATAGTAAATCTTCATTTATTTGTTAAAGTTTTAAGAAAAAGAAAAAAGAAGGAAGGAAAAATAAAATATTTTCATCGTTGCAGGATATTTTGGAAATGTGTATCGAGGCAGGATGCGTGATCCAATGAATAGATTAGTTCCTGTTGCTGTTAAGACGCTAAAAGGTAAGATCGCACAAGCACATGTTCATCTTTTGCACTCATCAGACACATTCAAATCACTTCATATTGCATATATGAAGAGAGAGAGAGATGAAACTTGAATGTGTCAAGTACTCTCACATTATATGCAACAAAACACTTTCCATTTTGAAAATCATCTTCTTCCTCAATACGTTTGATTCGCTCCATGACTGTAGCGGCTTTTGCTTTTCATAAACATCTAGCTTTTTGAATTAATAAACCGGAAACGAATAGAATGAATACGAAGAAAACCAAATATGGACCTTCCAAATGCTCATGTCACACTTTGCAAGAATTGTGCTTAAGCTATTGAGTAAATATTTCCGTCAGAAGTTACGTAACGCCACTTCAAAAAAATATGGATGAAGCCTCCAAATACTTTTTTTTTCATCTTCAGGAGAACATTCACGTGATATTGCACATATTGAGAAGTTCTTACGAGAAGGAGTCATCATGAAGCATTTCGATCATCAACATGTACTATCTATTCTTGGTAAGATCTATATTGATAGAGGGTTGGAAATGAAATACATATTAAAGGAATTTGCATATCACCCAGCGGCACACCATGGGTTATACTACCATTTATGGAAGGTGGAGACCTTAAAACTTACATCGCCGATCCAAATAGGGTACTTTACATGAGATCTAATTGAAATTACTTTACCATATAATTTTTCAGTCGTTATGCGTATTAGAGTTACTTGATTTTGCCTATCAAGTATCTCAGGGTATGGCATATCTGGCTGCTCTTCATTTCGTTCATCGTGATTTAGCTGCCAGAAATTGCATGTAAGTTTCTCTTCTTCATTACCATCAAGAGCATCTGATCTCAAATATGCATTATAGGATATCTTCTGATCGAATAGTGAAAGTAGCAGATTTTGGTTTGGCAGTTGATCTTTTAGACAAAGAGCTTTACATCGATGAATCGGAAACGGGTTAGTTATGCTAATTACAACGTCATTCACGTGTCTCGCTGCTTCAAGCATTCTCATTTCTAATCTTTCATTCTTCACAAACTGTTGCATTCCATTCTCTCTCTCTCTATCTCTTTCTCTCCCTCTCTCTTTCATCTGACATTTTCTAAGAAAATGCAATAGATGAGGGGTCTGAAAAAGAAAAAAAAATTTATTTTTCATCATTGCAGGACCTGCTCGTCTTCCCCTTAAATGGCTAGCGCCGGAATCATTACGAGATCGAAGAGTATTTAATGCTTCAACCGATGTGGTAAGTTCAGCTTGAAAATAAATTTTAATTATTTTTCTCATATTATACTTTTTTTTCTCTTTTAGTGGTCTTTCGGTGTTTTATTATGGGAATTAATGACAAGAGCCGCTTCTCCCTATGGGGATATTTCAAATATTAAAGTTCGTCAATATTTAGAAAATGGCTTAAGATTACCACAACCAACGCATTGTCCTGATGTAGTGTATGTTTAACTATATAATTATATATCTTATATTACAATTATTATAGATATAATTTAATGCAAAGTTGCTGGCGCTCTGATCCTATGGAACGACCGGACTTTGCTTTTCTCAGTCATCGCTTACGTACACTACTTCAGGTATGATACTGATTGTTTCCGCATTCCATACATATCGTTTCTAGGAACATAGCCCTGAACCATTTAGTGGCCGTGTAAGGCCGGGAAGTGAGCCATTCCTGTTGCCGGTTTTACCTGGTCGTCTCTTCACAAATTATTTTGCTAGTCAGCTTCATCGTTAACGAATAGCTTCATCCCCATATATTCATGCAATTGTTTGTTTTTCATCTAATTTAGTTGAGTCATTCAGTCTTTCATACTATATGAAACACAAATAACTATAACGGCGTGTAATCGGTCATTCATAGCCATTTGACTTTCAAGTTATAACTATATCATATATGATTATAACTCAAATCATATTCTTTATCTCTCATCTCTTCCAGAAGCTTTCGATCTAGAAACATGTTCGTAGAAATTCTCCCTCCACCCTCTCTGCTCATATCAAAATTAATATATATATATATATAAATATATAATTTATAGATATATATGAACTATATCTATATATCTAACTATATTTTTATATAATTAAGGAAATCTGACCAATTTCCTTTTTTAGAAATGATAACAACCTCTCTGTCGTCTCGTGTTGGAATACGTGTGAATATATCATGTGTACTAAAACTCTTCTTATCCAAACTCTTTTTAGATTACTTTTTGCTCATTCCCTCTCTCTCTCTCTCTCTCTCCCTCTCTCTTCCCCTATCTCTTCTTCTCTCGTTGTGTGCGTATGTGCACTCTCTTTACAAGAAAACCTTTTTTTTTGTTTTCTTCTCTTCCTTCATTTACCATGTTAGATGAAATCTCTTTGCTTATTAGAAAATCATCGACAAAAACCAAAAGTGTCTTAGAATAGTTCGTTTTCATTTCATATTCCCGTCAGCAATTCAGGTATTCATACTGTCCAAAGTCAGTTCATTTGAGTTTTCATTTATATAATTCCAATTCATATGTTTCATTTTCTTTTAAATAAAAATTTTTTTTTCTTCCTTTTTTCACTTTTTTTTTGAACTTCAATTATCCTTCATTCAAACAGACGAAGACAACTCTATTAAGCTTCATTAGCACAATGAATTACGTAAAAAAGAAATTAGCATATCACGTAAACTAATTGTTTATTTGAAATGAGTGAGTGCAAGCTGTGTGTGTGTGTGACTATGCGTGTGTACGTGTGTGGAACGGTTGTGAATGTTGTCATTGGAAATATTCATTTTCTTATTTTTTTTTATTACTCATCTATGTATATATATTTATATAAGTATATATTTATACTATCTATATATATATAGTTAGTTGTATACATATGATATTGAATGTTAGTGTTCTAAAGATGAAAGAACAGTCTGAGGACAAGATTGAAACTCCTAAGGGGAGGAGAACATATCAAGAAATGAACATTATAGTAAAGGTTTTATAAATATGATATAATATAAGAAGAAAATGACGACAAAGAAATAGAAGACGAACACGTTCATTCTGATGATGATAATGTAAATGATGATGATGATGAAGAAGCTTCTGTCTTTTTTATAATTTATTCCATGCGTATAGAGAAGACGACTCTTTCCTATTAATAAGTCCATGAAGATCATTGATGGAAAGCATTTTAAGCTTTTCTTTATCAACAACATAAAGCTCTATTATTCTAAAATGTTAGCATTTATTCATAAGTTATGATTCTATCTAAGCTTTCATCTCTGTTACTCTCTCTATCACACTCGACTCACTCTCTATCTCTCTCAATATCTCTACCAGACAGTATTCAGTCGTTAACACTAGAAGCATACTTCCCAGCACTCATTTCCATATTTGACAATGACGTTGTTTGAGCTGTTCCAGAAATTAAGATTTCCGGCTTCAAATTAGTCACATTATAGCATAGAAATTGTAGATAATCGTATTGCCCCCAAAAACGACATCCAATACTTCCCGTCATGACTTCAAACCTTCGAAGCTCAAGCTGATTGAACGTTCCATATACGAAAGAGCAAATCCATTTCAATCATTTACATTTTCTCCTATTGCTTCCCCATCTTTACCTCTAACTCTTTCTATGTACATATGTGTGTGTGTGTGTTGTATTCAGCAACAGTTTGATGATATCAAAGCAACATATAAGAAAGCTGTGAAACAGAATCATCATCAACAACAACAGAACAACATCGGAAATGTTTGTTTTTCATTGAGAAGTAAAAATAAGAGAAGAAGGCGACGACGACGACAACGACGTAGTTTGTATTTGTCATCTTACCTTTCATGATTTCATTTCATTCGCATTATGGAAGATGGCTTTTGAATGTTCTTCTGCTTCAGCTTCTTCATCTTCAGAAATGCTGTTTACCTTCCTCTGCCATTTCATCTTATTAAACGGATTTTACATTCAAAAATATTAATTTTCATCATTTCCTACGTCTACATTTTCATATTTTTATAATATAACATAATCGCGAAATGAGAAACATGCCCATAAATGAACTTTTTATTTTCAAAACCAAGAGAAGCGAAAAAAAAAAGATTTTTTTCCGAATGAACAAAATAATAAAAAAAAAGAAAAAAAAATCCTTTCTTTCCATTCCTTTTCCGACTACGTTCAACCGTCCTCTTGACTTCAGAACAAAGAAATGAAATTTGCACGTAAATTTTGACGCGAGAACAACGTGCGAATATGCTAATCAAGTCGACAACTACTTTTCTGTTTAAATCAAAACTTGATAATGGCATACAAACAACAGAACGATATTCTCTCTCTCTCTCTCTCTCTCTGAGAAAGAGGAATAGAGAGGACGAGATAGAGGGAGGTGGGAATGCGATGCAAGCTTGTCTATCTCCAGAATAAACCTCATAGTTCTTTTATTGAATAAAGAAGAGAAGCGCATAGAGAGAGAAAGATAGAGAGAGAGAGAGAGAGAGAGAGAGAGAGAGAGACGAACACATGTTTTGAAAATTTAGTCTTTTTTTGACCTTATTTGTCTTATTTGCTGCTCATATTTCCTACTTTCCATCATTATGCATTGGAAAAATTGTTATTCTAGTCAACATTCTATTCATTTCCCATCTATCCTGTTGGAGCCATCAGCTGAAACAGAATGTTCATTGTATTTCTCACACTTTTTTCTTAGTTGAATTTTCATGTAAATATAATACATAAAAACATATAAAAATTTAATTTCTTTACCCATCTACTGCACACTCCATCATCTTACCTCACAAATCTCATTTCTCCCTCTCTTTCTCTCTATCTCTATCAGTCTCTGACACATTTTTAAAGCTCTCTCTCTATCTCTCTCTCCATATTCTTATTCTTTATGTTTATCATCATTGTCCCTCTTTCGTCCTCTATCTCCCTCTCTCTCTCTTTATCTTTCTCTCTGTCTCTCGTTTTTTTGTGACAACTCTCTTTATGCTCTCTCTATTCAACTCCCTTCATGTATCAAGATGCTTTTCCTTTATTTTTCTCTCTCCCTCTTTATTTTGTCTCAGTAAACTAACATCTGCTAACTATATCTCTCATTCCATCCATCTCTCTCTCTATGTCTATTCAAACCTTCTATCCTCATTTTTTTCTCTCTCTAGCTTACTCTCTCACACCCTGCACCTCTCAAACTAGAAACAAAAGTTTTTCAGTGAATTGTCGTTATAATTAAAAATAATTGTGAAAACCTCAATTGATGAGAAGAAGTAATTCTTAACATTATTTGAGAACAATTAAGCCTTTCAGTTAATCCAGAATTTTTTGACATTTCCTTTCATTGTCTTGCAAACATTTAGTTCGTAATACCCACCATACATGGATATATATATAGAGAGAGAGAGATTGATAGAGAGGGAGGAGATAGAGAAGGAGAAAGAGAAAGAGAGAGACAGACATATAGACAGTCACTGTTCCACAATATCTTTTATTACTTTATTTATTTCAAATATTCACAAATGAATTTGCATCTGTCTATGCTTGTGTGGGGGCATATAAGATTAGAAATCTTTAAAAAAACACACCGAGTTTCACAAGTTTCATCCAACCTCTTGTGAGTATGGGCTTTCCTTTTGCCATCCTTTCGTTTCCCTCCTTTTCTTTTTCTCCCTTTGAGACTTCCTACCCCCCACCTTCTTTCTCTGAGTGTCCCTCCACCTTCCTTCTCTCACTCTCTCTATCTCTCTCTTTCTCTCTCTCTCTCTCTCTCTCTCTCTCTATCTCATCTTAGACTCTTGTCTTTCCTTTTCACATACTTTTTCATGTTGTTTCTCCTCTGCTAAATCTTCCTCGTCGTCTTTCAGTTATATAAAAAAAAAGTTTTTTTTTGATCACAGTTTAAATTGAAATCGTAAAAACTCGCTTTGCTTATCATCAACATGAAGCCTTTGTGATACGACAAAACCTTTTTTTCCTTTTTTTCACTCAGGCTTCGTGACGCCCACTGCTTCAATGCTTCTTATGCATCCACATTCGGCTTAAAATAAAATTCATAATTTTCATTATTCATCAAGGTTTTACACTCATTTCTTCTATTTTCATCCAAAGTTAATCAGGGATTTTCACTGTCTAGGCATCGTCTTTGAGATTTTCCCTTTCTTAATCTCATACATCCTACTTTCTCTCTCCTTCTCTCCCTTGCAACCTTTTTATCAATTATATTTCACTCCAGACTCTCTATATACTTGTCATTGCTCTTTCTCTCTCTAGTCATCTCTCACTCTCAACATTTTTTCTGTTTTAAAACTTTTCTGCGTATAATACACGTGAGATTGACGTGAGATCTCTGAAACTCATTCCATCAGATTTTGACGTGCAGATCGGTCGGTCGGTTGTTCTTTTGCAAAAGTCATATCTGCTTCTTGTCTTTTCTCTCTTTTTTTTTATTCTTTTTGATTTCTTTTTTCATCGACTGCTCCTGCATTTCTCAGACAATCCAATAGTTCTATTTTACCTCAACGTTCATTGAACTTTTTAATTGCAATTCCTTTTAAAATATTTTTTTTTGAAGTTTGATTGCAACAGCGTCAGGACTTCATGACTGCCATGCCATGTCCTCGCTCATATTCTCTCTCTCTCTCTCTCTTTCTTTTTCTCTTTATGTTATCCTCTCACCCATTTCTCATCCACCAAACAATGATTTTGTCGTCAAAAATATAAAAATCTGAATAGTTTAGTGATCAGCTACTGAAACTTTTTATTATTTCAATTACAAAATACAATTATTCTCTCTATTGAAATTACAATTTTTCGGCGAACATGCTCATCTGCGTATAGAAGAAGAAGAAGAAGCAGGGAGAGGGGGGAGAACGACATCGTCGACGACGACGACGACGGGGAGAGAAAATACATTTTCCATTGCGGCCGCCATTTAGTCGACATCTTTGGGCGTGTTTCTTGATATTTCAGTAAAATTAGAATAAAACAAAAAAGGCATTTTCCTTCTTTCACTGTGTTTTCAACTAATCGGTTATGGTTTCTCATCCTATTCCACTACCTTCTCAGCATCTTTCCTTCCATTCCATTCATCTCTCTCTCCCTCTCTCTCTCTCATTCACTCTTTCTGTATCTGCCAAAATCATTATTCCTGCAGCTTTTTCTCTTTTACTCCATTGTTTTATAAGATTTTTTTGATTTAAATGGGATTAGACGACATCAGAATCGTCTCTTTCTTCTTTTTTCCTTTTTTCTTTTTCTTTTTTCTCTTTTTTTGCACATTTTCTTCACGTGGGAGAAGAGTAAAGAAAATGAAATTAAGAACTGACATGGTTTGATTTTGAAAATCTGTGGTCGTCTTTGTGGAGCGTTGTTTGAACTGACATAGGGGCTTCATATGAATCCTCAGTTGAATTTTAGGAATTAATGAACTAATCATCACATCGTCATAGTCTCCTACTCAATTTTGACTGTGGGAGAGAATGGATAGAGCTAAGAGAGAGAGAGAGAGAGAGAGAGAAAGAGAGAGAGGGAACAAAATGAAATAGTAGAGACAATCTAATAGAAGAAGTAGAGAAGATGAGAAATAGAAAAGCTTTTGCTTCTTATCAAGAGATCATATGTCTACGACACAAATCAAAGCTCATCCATTTAATGAATATCTAATATTGTTAATTCTTTATGAAAAGACAAAAAATTTGCATATCCTAACAGATGTCTGTACAAGGATTAAGCATCAATTGCGTAGATAACACCGCATGGAGATAATTTTTTTCCCGTTTAATCTGTTATCACTTATAAGAAATCAAACAAATCTATTTCAAAAATATTTTTTTGTTCTTTCAATGTGTGTCCAGAAATATTCGAATTTTCAGATTCCTTTTTTCCTTTCTCATTCTTTACTCGCTTTCTCTCTCTCTGCCAGTCTCCCCTTCTTTTTGGGAGAAGAACAAGTTTGTTCTTTCCTTTCTCTTCATCTTCTCATCACCAGAAGAGCTGCTTCCACAGCTTCTTCTGTTCAAGTGAGCATGTCCTTGCTTACTTTCTTGTGAACATTGACTATGTTACGAACTCGTGTTGTTGTCTTCTGACTTGCATTTCTAATATTTGATACATTGGTATCGTTTCAGCCTTGCAGCCGGTTCTCTATACATCTACGTCCATGCCGTCAGATGTAGCTGATGCAGATGATCAATCGCAATCTGCTCCTGAAGATGTCATCTACTTATTCCTTCCTAGAAGTCATGAACTCAGCATTAGTCGACTTCTCACTTCTATTTCCTTAATAGGATTGTTTACTATTTCCATTTGTGGAAACGCCAGTCATTTAGCGTTGCAGGTGGAAGTTTATTTTCCAAAAAGATGTCTATGTTGTTTCTGACCGCGTGTTTGAGCTTATTTTAATCCTTGAACCTTTCTTTACGGAATTTAGATGGAAATGCATTTTTAATTAACCACCTGAGACACAAAAATAAATTGTCCTAACCACATAAGCATGATCAACACACAGTGTCTGAAACACAGTGAGAGAGAGAAAAGAGAATAGAGAGAAATAGAGATATAGAGATATAAATGAGGGAAGTAGATATGTATATTTGGACTGAAGGTAACAAAAAACAAAGTAATGAAGAGAGAAATGAAAATAGAGAAGAAGATGGTGAACTTCATGTAACCGATCCTATTACAGTGCTATGCCAGGAGATTCCAAACATCATCCAATCGCATTATACAACATTTGATAGCCGTATTATACATCTTGTGCTTTCTTGTAAGTTTCTCTATTAATATCATTTATGTTAGAATCTCATTTCGTCTATTGTTTAAAGGTTCCAATGGCTTTGCCCTGTGTGATTTTGGAAAAGCTTGTAAGCATCTGGATGTTCGCTCCTCATTCCTGTTCCATCTATCATTTCTTCTTCTCATGTGAAAGAGCCTTAATACCATGGATTACGGTATTTTTATATGTTTTTGTTGTAAGTTTTAAGCTGTAATTTATATAACTTTACCTCATTGTTCTCAGTTAAACCAAAGCCGTTCGAATGTGCTGCAAGCCCAACGACCTTTATTAGGACTTTGTTGTCTCATTATGCTGATTCTCATCTTTTTTATCATATTACCTCAAGCTTTTGCCGGAGTAGTAAGTTTCTTATTCATTATCCAAGCATTGCCTAAAAATTTGTCTTAATCCATTCCATACCTAACGCTTCATCATTTAGCTGGACGTTGTGTTCTATCAAGCCGTCCAAGACGTCAAATTCGTGATGGTCGTTCAAATCAGTCGCTGTAAGAAGGATATGTCAGAGCTTTATAACTTCATCCACGTAATACCTACTTTCATATGATCATCAGATATACGTATAAACCGTCTTTCAGTTAATCATAGAATTTGCTATACCAATGGGTCTTCAATTATATTTTCTATTTCGATTGTTGTCAGTTCGACACTTCTCGTCATCCAAGCATTTTTGTAGAAACATGGTAAGCTCTTTCTTCCGTTGCAAGGTATTCCCCCTGCATACACATGACTGTTTTCAGTTTATCATAACACTCTTACAATTTATCTGTCATCCCCTCTACTATCTGCCGTCAGGACTGAAGGTTTTCTCAAATACAGCTGATCTTTTCATATTCAATGTAATTCTCAGAATTCGCTTTCTGACAGTCTGCCAAAAAATTTCTATGCTGACGATCTTCCATCAATGCTTCCATTCATAGTTCCGGCTTTCATTTGGCTTCCTCTGAGCAGTTTATCTGTTTGTTCCTACAATTGCAGAGTATATCCTGCTACCGTTTGCATCACACTTTAACGTTCTCATTTCAGAAAAACGATGAAGCTGATGTGTAGGAAGTGAATGCACATAATTAGTCTTAATTTAACTTCCCCCCTCTGTTCGAGTCCCACCAACCAACAATTCCACGTGTCTTTTAATTTATTCTAATTAGCCGACATAAGACGCCACGTCGAATTACTTTTCCATTTTTCTCTTCATCTTAGGCACTGAATGGTTGATTGCACTTTTCTTTTTTTTAATTATCCTGATCTCATATGATCTGTTCGGTGTTTTCTGCTCTATCTCCCACTTCTCTCATTAATACGCGGTCGCTCTTCAAGTCATCATCGTCGCAACTAGGAGTTTCAATATGGAACTAACTCCGCCCTAACAATTTGCTCAAAATTTTGATTGTTTTCTTTATATTTATCTTATTCTATTTTCTACATTTTTTACTTTAATATTTTGTACAAAAATGCATAATAATAAAATGAAAAATATGAATATTCGTCTTTTCCACTTATCATGTTAACTAGCGCTGCTGTTCCACTCCGTACGCAGTAGATGCCACGCTCTGTTTTGTTTTTATTTTCAACAATTAAAAATCAAAGAGAAAAAAGATAAAACAATCATATTTTCTGCTGCAGACTTGTTGTTGATTTGATGGACTTCCAATCGAAATGAGCAACACGTCCTATTTGTCATTTGCATTTTGTTGTGTTTTTCAAGATTTCCCTTTCGACACTTCTTTTGCCTCTTTCCTATTTGTCGTCGTGCCATCCAGTCAGCCTGGCCTATACGTATGTTCTGGAATAGAGGAGGCAAAAAGCGTAGAAAGTGGATGCAAGTGGCAATCTCCTAATTATATTATTCATATAAATATAAATCTTATTTGATCAACATTCAATTATAACACTCAATATTTCAGTTTCCGTGACAACGGCAGAAATATTTTTCAGTAAATCAAGTTTTGAACGACGGACCGAAGTTTTATTGAGAAACTAATGGTTTACTTCCATTACACACAAGAATCTTATTTATGTTTCAAAATTTTTGTTTTCAGCTGGTCCTCCACACTTCCTTCGACGATATCCTGTAAAGGTTAGTGAGATGTACTCGTGCGGATAAAAGAAGACTCACGATCTGTGCTCCGTCACGAACGAAGACGAAGGTCGGCATCACTTTGATGTCATATTTTGAAACAATGTCTTCCTAAAATAGAACAAGTCGAATGTTTTCGTGTATGCTCAAAATCACTCACGCATTCGTCAACATCAATCTTCAGAAAGAGCACGTCGGTGTGTTCTTCCGATAGTCTCTATAGTTATCAATAGTTTGTTTGGGATGACGCCTACGACTTACAGCGAATTTCGGAGCCATTTGCTTACACGGTCCGCACCAGGTAGCATAGAAATCCACAACAATCAGCTTTCCCTTGTTCTTGGAAAGAATGTCATCGAAGGCATCCTCAAAAAGGTGTCAATAGCAAACAACAAATACAAACAGATTGTTTGATAACTTACGACATCAGTGGGCTCCTGGACAACCATGATTAACGTGAATGAATAAATCTATTTCTTACTTCAAAATTGGATGAAAATTGGCCCATAGGCGGAGCCACAATTCAGATGTAATTCACATGTTTCAGTAGAAAATTGTATAATTTATATATTTCCATAAGAAAACACATAGAATTAGTGAGATTTGGTGTTATTTACAATGGTTTGAGAGTGAATATGAAAGGAAATACAATTACTTTGTCATTATATATGAATGGTTGAAAGTTTTTTTTGCGGTTATTGATTGGAAATGTATGAAACGCATCACAAGCCCTGCTGGGTACATTTTTAGAAAACTTATTATTATGAACTTAAAATTTGATTCAATATTTACAAAAAATAAGGTTAACTAGAATATTATAATTACTCATATCTGTTCAACTAGCCGTACTCAGCTACATCACCAATGGACCCATAACAAGCCGTAAAAGAACTTTTCTTACAAAAACTTTTTTTTCGTGTTGCTAAGTTGTTGATGTTGTTGTTCTTCTTCTTTTTCTTCATCATCTTCACCTTTTCCATCTTTTCATATTTCATCTGCTATACTCGAATGATACTCATCCAACGAATCATCTCGGCTTCTCATTGGTGATAAGAACACCGGCTGTCGTCGGGCACGATCACGCGTCTCACATATAACTCTCCAAATTCGGCAAGCAGATCCACCACTTCAAAAATTTATCATTTACGTCGCAACATCAACTTTAAACTTGACATACCTTACACCCAAACTAAGAAGTTCTTCTCGTGTAACATAGTCTAATAAATCACGTTTAGTGTATTGTTCGCCTAGAATTAATTGAATTGAACGATCATCCACATCCAAACACTTGAGCCATTGGAACACTTCGTTCTGAGTCCTGAGAATATAGACTGTTATTACGAACAATAAAGTTAAAGTTTTTTTTTCAAAATCCCTTTCTTTTCCTATTCAACTCACGTTGTCAGTTCTGATGTTATAGAATTCCGAAGATCACTCTTGACAATCATTCCTTGTCCCATGGGTGGATAGGTATGGCGCCAACTGCTTAAGTTTTGCAAAAACTGCGTTCGATTTATTCCATTTCGAAGATGTTGATTGAGATCTTTTTCAGCATTAAGAATACTAAAAGGGACCAAAATAAGATAAATTAGGACAAAACAGACAAGTCTGCATACCGTTCTAGCAACGTATCATTTTCCTCTTGAATGTCTCTTAACAAGCGGAAGTCTTCTGAACGTTCTTTGATTTCCACCCGAACAGGTGATGCAGGTCGACTATCACTGTTTTCAATCTGAAAAGGAAAGAAAAAATATTTCATATTATTGGCAATTATAGGCTAGTTGTTTGACAGTTTCTCATTGTTAAAGGCTCAAACGCGCTAATGAAGTGTTTCAGGCGGAGCAACAGAAGTTTCATTTTCACTTGCTAGACGCTCAGAGTCGGTTGTTCTCAATATTCGTTTGAAAGTAAAACAACTCAAACCCACATCAGAAGCAGCAGACTCTTTCGAAATAGACGCTCGATGATCGATAGTATTTTGAGCAGTTCCTGTTTCAGATCCAGGTATATCTTCCGCCTGAACAATGATTATTTACATATTTATCAATAATCTGTAAAATCTCTTACATGTAGCAGGACAGATAGATCCGGGCTCAAAATAGATAACGCTGTTTGGACTGCACCGTTTATTAGATTGGACAGAGCGAAGATCCAATGAGGCTTAATATCCAAACGGCGCAAAATTGGTTGGATGGAATCATAGAAATCATAAAAAGCTAAGTTAATCTGAAATTAATGAAACAATATAAGCGTAAAGAGAAGGATTAGGCACCTGTGACATTTTGGAGGAATCATAGTCTAAAGATGATCTGATATCTCTCAACGCATCGTGGATACACTGGTTATTCTTTTTGAGAATATAATCTCTTACACCCGTGAGCAGGGTGTTAAAAATACTATCCGTCACCTAAGAAACTCATTAGATCCTTCTACGGTTTTGCTTGTTTACCACTATATCGTCATTGCCAAGGGAGTGAAGAAGCTTAGATCGCCATGTTTCAATGATCTGGTCTTGATATTCAACCATAAATGAAGCTAGAGTATGTCTTCTTTCCGAATCTTTTTTCAGCATGAAGAATCTGAAGACTGCATTTGATAAACGTTCAACCAGGGTATCCGAAACCTGTTAGAATTAGAGTTTTCATCACTTATTGTCCTATTTAATAGAGCTGGAGCTATCATGGGGTTAGTCGAAGGAGAAGCTACTAGTTGAGGGTGTGTGTTATCGTCAATGATAGGACTTGATGGCTGACTCAGATGAAATCCTGGATGATTACTAACACTGGCTCCAGCGCTAGCTGGAGCATCTGGAACAGGGCTACAGGAGTATGTCCTTATCCGACTGTAATGAAAGAATTAGATGAATATATTACATTTTTTTGGGTCTTTTACCTCTGGTCAATATTAAGTTTAAGCTTCCTTTCTTCCTTGCCCGAGCTTGCGGGTGTAGAAGCATCGATGGAGTTACGTTCGCTCACACCCATGCCACCAATATGCGAAGTGGATCGTAGCATTTCTGAAAGTACAAAGTTTGAGAAACAATGTCTGTAAACAAACCACGTGATTGTTTGGGAGAATCGACATGCTTCTTGTTGATGGAACCACTTCTTGTTCTGGAGATCCTGCATTAAATTTAATATTTCTCTTGATTTTCTGCTGTCGTCTAATACAATAATCACACCCGTAACCCATCCCAAGAAAGTTAGTAAGGCATTAAGAACGAAAGCAGAAACCAAAAATGGGAGAACATGAAAAACTCACGAGTGGTGGTATTGTTGAATGAATGGGTCAGAGAGCAATTTAAGAGCGTTGGGTCGAACAGTAGCATCCGGCTCGAAGCAGCTAAATTTAGAAATTAGCTCACCAACGATCTTTTTCAAAACAGAAAAAGAAATAGAAACAACCTTTTAATGAAGTTGTGGCATTTCTCAGAAATTCCATTTGGCAAAGGAGGATGAGTCTTCAGCATTCCTACCCGGAACATTGCAGCTTGTGGATTTTGCAACTAATTGCAATTAAAATAGATAAATAGTATTAATTTCATTATACCTCAACAAAAGGAGGTCGCCCAGTCGCCATTTCCACCATAGTACATCCGAAACTCCAGATATCAGCTGGAGCTCCATAACCACGTTGACCGTGATCAATCACTTCTGGCGCCATGTATTGTAAGGTTCCTATAAGTACTCAGTTACTTTCCTTTCACGGAAAGAAACCTGTAAATGTTTCTGTGACAGGATTGAGGCCAGCCAATCTCTTACAAGTTCCGAAATCACTGATTTTGCAAACACCACTGTAGGTATTAACAAGTACATTGTCACCCTTGATGTCTCTGTGTACAATTTTCTGCTCGTGCAAATATCTTTAATTATAATCAAGAAATTGTCGTGTCGGCGCTTTGAAATCCCTCACCTCAAACCTTCCAAGATTTGTTTTCCATATAATACCATAGCAGGTTCATTCAAGGGACCCCACTTCTTTCGTAACAAACTACTGAGAGAGCCTCCAGGAACGTGTTCCATAAAAATCAGGAAGATGTCATTTCCAGTATCTCTTAAGATAGTAACATCGTCGCTAAGAATAGCTTATTTGCCATCTAACCTGTGTGAGATGTCACAACCTAAGTATTGTACAATGTTTTGGTGACTTAAGGTGGAATGAAGATTGATTTCCTCCATCAATGGTTGTACCTAAAATTGGAAATCGGTATCACAAAATACCCCCAAAGGACACACCTCCTCATCATATTTGACTTCAATTTCTTTAACTACAATTTGTCGTTGAGTACAAACATCACGTGCAGCATACACAGTTCCATAAGTTCCTCTTCCCAGAACAACACGATCGCCATTGTTATTAACTTCATATTCGAACTGAAATAAGAATAGATCAACTAATTATAGCGTGATCGTTTCAGTCTCTTACATTTATTTTTTCTCCATCCAAATTGGAAATAACCCGACCATGGTTTCCATCAGCGTCCGTAGTCATGTCCACGAGGGAGTTGTACATTCTAAAATGGGAATCGGATCCTTAAGAAGTCTCATAACGACCGTACTTTAGACTATGAGCAGCAGACGGGAAAATCAGGTTGAAGTCATCCGAATTCTCATGCACATACAAGTAAATGGAGCGATCATCGCGTTTCGAAGCTGAAACAGCCTTGATGTTCCCGGCTGTGAAATGCCATCGGTGAATTCCTAAAGAAAGATCATGATTCCACAAAGGGAAGAAAACTATGATAACCTGGAGGAGGTTTTTTTTGCTGACTATTTTCGAGTACGTGACTGAGAATGATTGATCCTTCGGTTTGGTTCATTGTCAAGTATGATGGAGTGAATTGCTGAAAGCGAACGATAACTTATAAGTAGACTGTTTCTTTTTCTGATTACTTTATCAAATTCAACGATGAGCACTGGATATCTTGCACAATCAACATCATGATCAGCTTCTGTTGCTTCCATGAAGAACTCTGTCCAGAAAAGAAACTGTTGTTTCTCTTTCTCAACAGGACTTATGGTTGCAGCACAACGGTTAATCAATTTGATATTTTCCATTGTCGATTTCAAAAACCTAAACATCTAATTGCATGTGGAAAAATCTGATGCTAAATATACCAGACAGGAGGTTTGAGCATGGCCATTTTGAGAGCAGCTTCACATGCTTTTTGATAATTCTCGGCTAGAACAGAAACTTCGAAATACGTGGCTACATCCCAATATTCGGTCAACTGATGTAAAGCTCCTTTACGACCAAGAAGGGAATTGAGGACAACGGCTTAAAAAAATGAGAAATGAATTCTGGTATGAAGAATAGGAGCTTTACTAACCTATTTGCTGCATTTCCGCATTACTCTCAAAGTGTTCTCCTCGAGCTCTTAATAGAGTTGTCAAATTAATTCCACTATACTCAAGAGGTGATAGTTCGAAAGCTTTTCGATACCTTAACAAGTTTTATTAGGATGACACTAATTAAGTGTGAATTACCATTGAATCGCATTGTTCAAAGACTCCCTATCCTCATAATTACTAGCTATGAATTTGTCTTTATAAATACGACCTTAAAATAACCTTTCAGAAGACAAAGCTTTCAAATCACAACCTGCTAGACAAATAACATCCGGACTGAGAGCTTCCTTGTCGGTATTTGTGTTGATAATGCCCATGACAGTTTCCAATGCCTTATCCCGATCACCAGTGATATTTCTCCTGAAAAAGAAGGTCACTATGCCGTCATGATAGTGTCCGAACCTATTCAATGCGAAAGCATATTGATATCTGATTGCTTGAGCTTCAATTAAAGTACAATCTTGTATCTTACTAAGATCATCAATAAGAGAGATCATTCCTCCATAATTTTGATTATCACTACAATAGAAGCATGTCATCAAGAACTTTCCTTAACCTTACCGATACGAAAGCATAAGCTGGTATACTGTATCCACTGAGAGAACGTCCGGATTATCAAGACGAGCTCTCATCTTATCCAGAAAATCATTGGTTGCAGCTGGATCAGTTATTTCGCGAGCTTTTCGTAAATCCGAAAGAAATTTCTCTCTCGAATGAGCACTGAATGAATAACATTGAGTGTTATTAAAGATATATGAATGAATCTATATATTCCCGAATCGAAATCTGCTCACCTTGCTTCGATTTGAACATTCTTAAGCGCTTGCTTCATACGAGATCGAAAATTTATTGTTTTTCCAGATTTGAAAGAGAATGGCTCATCTGCATCTTTTTTCGTCTGAAAATTTAAAAATAGAAAAATTTGCATAACACAAACGCGCATTCGATTTCCAACGCAAGCATGTTCATTTAGAAACGAACAACTGTTGGGAACGGTCGAATTCAGCTGTGCGCAAGGTGTGAAGCTCAAAATGTTACAGTAGACATACCCTGTCAAAGGATTGAAGATGTGCGTGCTCTGCTGTTGACATATATACAATCGTAGGTAAATGAGCATGAGTTTTCTAAAAGAATTGAATATGTCACGTTTCCATTTTTATAGCGGTTTTTCTCACCCTTAAAGCATCGATAATGTGATATTCGTTATCAGATGAGAAATAAGCTAGAATGATATTATAGAATTGACCCATGCTTTCTCTAACTCCTGAAAGATATTGAGAAATCGTTGAGAATGTAATTTATTGTTCTCTTACCTATGTGATAACATAAACTAGGTTGCTGATGAGTAACTGTTACATCGACCAAAGCCACATCAGCATTATAAAAAGTGTCTAAAGTTTGCGTTTCTCCAAAATCTAGTCGATCAAAGTTTATTCTCTGCAAAAAAGGGAAGAGAAGTTGAAGCATATTTGTTGGAAACGGATTATATGAAAATAAAAACATACGGTCAAGTTAATATTTAAAGAATCAGCTACTTTTTGGACATCTTTCAAAGCCAACTCACGGGCATGTAAGCTTTTTTGAACTTTCTGGTCTATGACAACTACAACTTGCAACTTACGTGCGAATGGTTGCGGCTGTAAAACAACAAAAAACATAAATAATTTAAGAAATTTTAGTCATACCTGTTGATCTAGTTGATTAGAGTTAGAGGCTACCCTGTTATGCTGATACATGGTTGTTGAGCGTGTGGGTATGGGCACCTGACAAATCTGAAATGAAATAAGGAAATTCACAGAACAATAAAGTAAAAGCATATATTTTTGTATTTTCAGGAAAGCAGAAAATAAAGAAAAGCCACTTACATCATGAGAAGAATCGCTTTTGATAGAGTTAACCATATTTACACAACATTGGGTTAACTACCACCTGAAACACATTTAAGCATGAGAATGTAAGAAAAGAAAACAAAAACGTCCAGTCATAGATTCAATTCGATGTTTGGAAGCTTTAGGTACAAAGAAGAAAGAAAAAACAAGAGAAGAGAACGAAGAACAGCAAAATCGTGGTTGAATTTCTTTGCAAACGGCATAAAGGACAACGTTATCGATTGGCGCGGTCCCTCTTTCCCGTGACTGACTTCAGCACTTGGCCGTTCTATATCCACTAATAATACAAAAAAAAATAGTTTTTATAGATAAAAAGACAGTTGAAAAGATGATCGCAATGATTTGTTAATGAAAAAAAAGGAAACGCACGCAGTGCAAGGTGAAAAGTAAGCGAAAGGACAGTGCGTATTGGGGTGGTTGTTGAGGGGGGAGACTGTGTTTGAGGTAGCAGAAGGTATGTTCTTAAACATTAATTATGTTTTATTACCAACAAAACGAGTATAAAATTCAAAAATTTCATCTCCTCCGAACTATATATTTTGATCTTTATTTGTGTTTTTATAATGTTATGTGCTGATAAAATGATAATTTCTGTTTCTCTTACACCCTCTCTGTCACACATGATGTCCAGCGTTGTACCATTATATGAGAAAGCTTAACATTAAAATTGGTATACTATCGCTTGGTTTTGTGAAAAATTGAAATAATTTATTTCTATCACACAAAATCATAAATGAAGGAATGTTTTGTATTACAGAGGGCTAACCAAAAATGAATGCGAAAGTATGGGAACGAAAACGACGATGGTCGTGGTGGTGGTAGTGGTCGTGTTGGTGGTGGTGGTAGTGGTGATGGCGGCGGCGGCGGCGGCGACGACAACGACGACGACGACTACGGCGATGATGATGGTAGTGATGATGGTGATGATGATGATGATGATGATGGTGATGAAGAAAGAAGAAGATGACAAGAACGAGGGCTGAATATGGAAAACATTGGAAGCTTTATTTATGCTTCTACATTATGCTTTGTTTGCTTGTTTTCCTGTGAAACATACTCTTCTCAGACTACTCTGAAACCAAGAAAAAAAAATTTTTTTTTTCACACCAAATGACAAAGCGGAGGCAGCATCTAAAATTCACTTAATTATGCAGTTTTTATGATCAAAAAAGTTTTTTTGTTATTGTCTATTTGATAGACTGGCCAAAAAATGTTAGTCTATTCCCATCCGGAGCGTCGTTCTCAAATGGTTGTTTAATCAAGTTTCAAGAAGGTGGACAACTAACATTTTCTCCTAAAAAGGGCTTGTCATCCAATCCAGTTCTGTGCCATCAGTCAGTTTAAACATCATGTTAACACTTCACATCGTACTCTTCAGCTTTATTTGTTCAATAATTTGTAAGTTCATTCATCATCTTTCTATTCCTTTCTCCCCTCCTCCCAACTTTCTGAAATTTTTTAGCTTCAGATGAAGTCCAAGCTCAGCAGACTGCTTCCGATGTTTTGAGAAGCTTATGCATTTATAACCCGAGACTCTCCTTTTGTAAAAACTTTCCGGCATATCCTGATCGCTTAATATCTAAAAAGGCTGTTCTGATACCTCTGCGACAAAATGTAAGTTCCATTATGCTAATAGCTATTCTAACCGAGTCGGTTTGAATTGAAAATAAAAACAACCGATCTGGACGCCAAAAAGTTTGGAAATGACAGATAAGTGGTTGCTCTGGTATGCGCTCTCTAACCTCATGCTCAGTTGACGTGAGAGAAAAGAAAATATTTTTGCATATTTTCGAAGTATTTCTATAATTCCATTATTTTACAGACAGATATTTCTCAACGTATTCTTGACATTAAGCAAAATGAGTTTTTCGCTGATGATAACAACAAGCAATCCGCATACCCTGAATTGACAATCGGACCGGTATCGATATGCGTTTTTACCATAAAAAAAATCTTTTCAATGTTCCAGCTGTCTATTTGGGACTGGATGAACAGTGATCCTAGTTACTTGACACTGCCTCTGATCGACTCTACTGACTTACTTTGGCACCAACCTAAATCGAGCCAACTACGAGTTCATGAAATCCGAAAACATCGTCATAAAAGAGTATTTGACTATTACTTCGAAGCTGTTTTGATCATCTTCATTTAGGCAGCAGGCAGAACTCAAGCTTTTCAAGAAGACCAACCTACGATTGAGTTGAGCATGATATGTTTTTTGTTGTAACTTCATTATTTCAGAAATAATTGGGGCTTCGTTTCTGAAGAGAAGGAAGAAAGTTCAGAGGCGATGACAGAGGTAAGTGCATCTGCTCCGCTAGCCCAGGGACGTTGAACATTTTCAGTGGCCAACCGAAAAGATGGATAAACCTCAAATACAACCACAGCAAGTCAATCCCAATCAGAATGGGCTCTTGAAAGATATAGGTGGTATTGGTTCGTTCAGATCAATTTTAAGATGAAAACATTTTTTACAAACACTAGGTGTTGGTTTTAATGTTGGGGTGGCTGTTCCTGGCAATGATCCTGTCTCTGTTGGAGCTAAGGTTGTTGAAATGTGATACTACCATTTTAACTAATGTGTTGAAGGTCGGAGTGGGATTAGGAGAATCAGGATTGGCAGGAAAGCTTCCCATTGGAGAAAACATATTTCCCCGTCAGGTTAGTCTTGTTATAGACTTCATTAAATATAAACAAAAGAGAGAAAACTTAAAGAACAGGTAGCTGTTGAGAAGATCCTGTTCATGTCTTGCAAATGGCATCACATATTTTTGAGATATTTTTTGTCTTCATAATCAATTATGAAATATAACTAGTTGATATGAGATATTTCATCATATCTATCGTTTGCTTAAAATTTCAAAATGAGTTATTGGCTTGCATGATGTGTGAAAATGGCTGACAGCATGTGATGAGGGAATGTTGAAAAGTAATAGGGTGTGGGTGGGCTCTGTTTCAAATGATATTCTTTGTCATCATTATTGGCTCTGATTTGCAACAGTAACAGAAACGAGGGGATGAGAAGAGAAGTTGGAAGCCATCTGTGTAAATATAATCAAACTAAAAAGAGATAGAGAGAGATGAAGAGTAGAGCGAAAATTGTTAGTGCAGATTTGACTGCCACTTGCATGAAATCTCCCTTTCCCCTGCCTCCCAAAAAGGGATATGTTATAACTGATTGTGCTACTATACAAATAAATTTGAAATTAGCTTAAATGGTTTATATAAATACCTTATATGATTCATTGTGTTCTCATCGTCAATTGTCTGCATCTCTTGTATGGGCTCTTTGATGAAAAGCATACGCACAATCGGGATGTCTTTGTGTCCATGAAATGAAAATTAAAATGGCGAAATTGAGCCAAAATAGTTTTTGAAGATTGTCTTTGTTTTGTTCTTTGCAATTCAAGTCATTAACACAAACGGAGACGAAGCATCTCTTGCGATTCTTGTTTATTTCTTTTCGATCATAATCTCCGAAATGCACGAACTCAATTGCCACTCGATGATCCTATTTAGGTTGAATGCAATTGAATAACTTTTGCAAACAACCTCTCTAAAACTGTTGATTAAGTGGAAAATATACTTGAAGGAAGGTGTTTGATCTTGAACATATCATATCATTAGCTAATCTTGTGTTAAGCAGTAGGACGAAGGTAAGCTTTAACGTTACCTGCGGCACCACTACTTAGCACCCAAAATAGCTTCAGAGGTAATGATAGAGACAGCAATAACCAACTCAAATTGAAACACTTACACTGCACTGCTCAATCGGCAGAGGCATGAGGTTACAGCTGCGACTAGAGGTAAAGCGGAGAGAAAAAAAAGGTTATTCAGGATCATTTCTTGGAGACATGAATAAGTGAAATATGGGGACTTATTCGACAGCCTCCTGAAAAGGTCACACCGAATTCGTTATCTAGATCATACACGGTCCTCATTCTCTTTCTGTGCCCTCTGTGTCAGTCATTCTCTGGTTATCTAATTCTCTTTCTACCTCTATCTGTTGCTCTCATTTCATTTATCGATGTAGTAGTTCGCAACACACACAAAATGAAGATGAAGATGGTAGAAAAGGTAAGAAAAACCGTGAGATTTTGGGTAAAATAAAGAGAATATAGATGAATGGTTTGCCGGCTTTGCTACGACACAGACGTTAGGCTACTTACGTTTGTGATGTTGGCTGGAACAGGCTCGAACGTCGGTTGTTGTCTCTGCTTAAAAACAGGTCAAAAAATACAAAGTTCATCGTTTACGTATGTGTGATAAAGTGAAGGCGAAGCTTTTTATGGGTTTTTTCGATTTAGAAGAGGAGAGAAGAGGTTGGGGGTAAATGAATGATCACAGGTACACACATGCAAAAGGATACCATCTGGCGGAATCTGAGCAGATTTATATGAGCTGCTTGTTAGACAAGCTGAATACATAGCTGATATGGCAAATTTGGAGATGAGACTGTCAGAGAGACGGATAGTAAAGGGGAAAAGATAGAATGAGAGAAAAAGTGAGAGGAGAAGCAGACAGAAAAAAGGGGCTGGCCAGGAGCAGAATGGAGAGAAAGAGAAGGGTTAAAAGAAGTGTGAGAGAGAAAAAGAGTAGCTGGAAATGAAGAGAGAAAGAGAAAGAGAAAGAGGAAAAGAGGTGGAAAGATTGTCGACGTGTGGTCATTTGTGTGACGCTAATTCCCTATTGAAGTTGATCACAATCCGAGAAGAACAATTAATCAAAAGCGAAACACTTTGTGTGTGTCTATATATGGATAAAGAACAGGTGTGAAGCGAAAATCTTCTTCCTATATTGCTCCTATTGTATTATATCAAATAATTACTTTCAATAATGGAAAATTAAAGAATAATCTACAGTAATCGTCTCATACGGCATGTGTTGATGGCTGAGAGTGCCTTTTCTGAAAATTCAATTTGTCTAAAAATGGAAAAATGAGATTCATATAGTTTATTGCATTATAAATCATCTTATGAAGTTAATTTGCAGGGTGAACATCAGAGCTTGAATGATTATGATGGGAATAAGTACGATATAGTACCTGATAAGGCATCCAAATATCTTCAAGCAATCAGGGTATGTTATTCATAGAGCTTTATATAACCGTTTCTCTCTCGTTCATGCTCTCGCCTTGCTCTACATCCTCACTTTCAGGATGGTCGTCTACGACTACCGAACTATGCTCCAGCCAAAACCCTTATAGGAATTAACGGTGGCATTGGAGTTGGAAAATAAATGTTTCAAATGAACCACAACACATCAAACTTGAAAGATGACAATGCTCATGACTTTTCGGTAATCGTTCGCTAAAGTTCAAAAGATCTAAATTTTTCTGTGAAAATTGATTGTCGAATGGTTTGTAAAATGTTTAAGAGGACGAGATCTTATCAAGTTTTGCCACATTTCATTGATCTGCAATAATAAAATATTAAAAAACTCTTCTAACTAGTTCGTGGCGAGGGAGTGAGAACAGAATATGATGGGGGTGGTGGAGAAACGGCGATGAGCAGCACGTGGTGAAGAGAAGAAAAAAAAAGGGAAAAACAATGAGCGCATCGAAATGAAATGATCGTAAATGCGACAAAAATACTTTATATGTATATAATACTTTACTACAAAATCGATAAAACCGTTAGTCATTTCCTGTAGTTGTAAAGAGAATATTTTGTTTTCATTTGCCCCTCTATCCATAGCACACAACTCTCTCTCTCTCGCTCTTTCTTTCTCTCTCTCTCTCTCTCTTAAAATGATAACAGTGTCTAGAAGAAAAGAAAATCATGTGATTAGACTATACAAAATGAAGAATAGTTATTGGAAGAATAAATCAAATCGGTCTTAAGCCAAGGATTAGAAACCTTTATTGCTTTCAGACGACCTTTCATACATGTAAATATGGTCTTAAGCTGGGAGGCATCGGTAATGCTTCATCCGAGCTTTCTGTACTCGTTCTTGATGACTCTTTCTTTGAATAATATGATTTGACCAGATCGTGTTCAACCTGTTGATATGGAGGGGGAGCAGACTTAATAATGAAAAATTTGTAACCAAAAGCAAATTGTCGCCAACCTCAGAATCCGGCACGGGGATTGTACTCACGGAGATGTATTTTCCTGTCGATTTTCGACCTACAATTCATTCTCTATGAAATTGTGGAAAAGCTGGACACTTACATTTTTTGATCAATTTCCTCACACAAATGACGCAAATACAGAGAAGAATCAATAATATTGAAGGCTGAAAGTACTTGGCTGTGACAAAAAAAAACGATTTTGCACACACGTGTCTCGTACATGGCACAGTCGATGTACGTTCACATGTGAGCGGCCGTTAAGCTCATAATCTGCTTACCAGGATGACAAATTTGAAAATAGGGTCATTGAGAATATCACTGTGGCAACGCGATTCATATAGATCTCTGACCATAAAATCATATCTTTCTTTGAGTTCCTTCTCATTAATTTTTTCAGAGCCATCGTGCACTACGCCATGTTCCATCGTCTGAAGGTCGGCGTACTCTCTATACGAACATATGATTTGACAGACATAAGAGATATTTTAAATTCTCACGGATTAGCGATAACTTCTGCTTTCTGACATAAGAATCCAGTGTAGCCAACAAAACACTCACAAACCTGATAAATGATTTGAATAAGGAAAGTCTCAATACGAATCAAACTTCGAGGTCAACTTGTCCTCTGATACATCTCAGTACTGCATGACGAGCATACTGCTCTTCTGGGTTATAACAACTATAGAATAAACAGTTTGATTGTTAGCTTCATCTAAGAAACCTTATGTTTATCGGACGCCCACTTCGGCATTTATAGATCTTTTCACATCGATGTCCATAGAATCCAGGCTGACAGATACATCTACAAACAAGGAGTTAATAGATGCAGCATGTACTAGGATAACTGTTTCGTTCTACGTTGCACGAAAGTAGGGGTTAAGTCCGTGTGTGTTCCAACAAAGTCACAAATTTTATCCTCATTTTTGAATATAGGATCAGCTATAACTGATGTATTAGCAACAAGCTGGAGGGTTGAGACAAACTTGACGTGTTGACGTAAATACACAGCTGGCTAATAATTGCCAGAATTAGAAGATTTTTCATAATATTCTTTGCGGTGGAGAAAAAGGAAACTGTTTAGGCTGATTAACATTCACTATGAGAGAGAGCATGAACGATAAGATAAGAAACTATGCATAGCCTTTCGACACGTCTTCTAAGGATTGAGTCAGGACAAATGTTTAATTCAAATACGTGAATAATGCTTTTGCAAACCAAGTTTCATAATAAAGGTTATTTTCGGAGTTTTCAACATTCAAAATCGTCGTCATTCTTCGGGACCCACAGATACAGTAGTTGTCCAGCAGCTGATAGCAGGTGCTGCTTCTTTGGATGGGCAGTCACGGAATGAACAATCTTTGAAGGATGTTCAAGCTTTGCTAGAACATTCGAATCCAGCAGTCTGAAAATACCAAAGCCTCATTTTGAAAAGACTTTTCTCTACTAACCCATATATGTAAATTAAACCATCCTCTGAACCCGTCGCTACCTGCTCGATGTTTTGAAGTATACAACTTTCAATCTTGTATTCAGAGTTGGTATGTCCTTTATACCTGCAACGTTCCACTGAGGAGCAAATAATAAAGCTATGACGAACTGAGTCAACATCTTTCCATTCGACTTGTCCATCAAGCGAACATTTCCATCTTGAGTTGAAGCTAATACACAGTTACCATCAGGAGTGAAATGAACTGAGTTGACGCTTTCCCCCATGAAATCAATGTGAACCTAGATAGTCAATCACTGAGTTAAAATCTTTCATCATCTCACTTACGTTTCCATCACGGACACTGTAAATCCTATAGTTACAATCTGCAGATCCAGCTACTATTTCATGTCCATTGACATCAATAGATAAGACTCCATCAGTGGATTCATTAAACACCTTAAACCCCCCACTATTTATATAGAATAGTCAAAGTGAGAAACTTGAATAGCCTTGTCTGACCGACTCCTATTGTCAAATGCTTTCATGGTGCAATCCATGGAACCCGAGAAAACTATGTTCGACTCTTCATTGAAAGCCACAGCATTAACTCTCGCTGCAGAGCAATTCTTTACTGTTATTTCAAAATCAGCACAAACCTCCATGAGCCCTCCATCGACGTAACTGCTTACCTGTTTCAACATCAAACACAGTAACAGCTTTATCAGCACCACCAGTCGCTAGTTGTGAATTATCAGACGAAGAGGTTGCATCAAAAACCTAGACCAGCATATTATCAACAAACTAAACAAGGGAACAACAAACTTCATTACCAGTTCCAGTGTACGTTTTGAGAAGAGTTCCTTTTATAGGATTCCATAACTTAACTGTTTTGTCTGATCCACAGGATAAACAGTAGTTTCCATCAACTATAACCAGACATATCAACGTTTGAACGAGAGTACTGTATAACCATTATATCGCACAGCGCGAACTGCTCCTTGTTTGCAATCAATCACTCGAGCTCTAACTTGGGGAACTTTCTCCATCTGTGAATTCTGAAGTATAAATTAGAAGATGCTCCTATATAGGAAAGTACTCTGATCGACTACACGATTATCTTCATGAAGAGATTGTTCATTGAGAACCAGTTTGCAGTTTTATTAAAAATATCTTGAGCAATTCTTGAACTCGTGCTCCACACGCAAAAATTATTCCAAAAAATTTATATGTGAATAAGAAATTGAGGTTCACTTAAGTTTTAGAAGAAGGATATTTAAACAAGCAACTCCTTTTTTCCTAAACCGGGGTATGAGGGTGAAGTCACCAGATGTTGTACTCGTTTGTGCACATAGAAAAGTGTGCAGAACATAAAATCACACAAAAATCCTAATAAACTCCATATTAAATAAAAAAAGAGATCATCATAATGGCAATTCTTTCTGCTCACTCAAAGCCCTCGATTCGTGCAGAATTACATCGAAGGAAACACCCTGTAAATATATTACTTTCACAGCGAACTCCTTATCTTTCAAGTTACTTGATGAAAAGCTGAAGAAACAAAATGCTTGTTGGCTGTAGCCGTCACAGCTCTATATGAATCACCCGAACCAAATATGATCTGCAAGGCAACTATCTATTGAAGAATCTAGATCCGTCCCTCGTGCTTCCGTGGCGCAATAGGCAGCGCGTTCGGCTGTTAACCGAAAGGTTGGTGGTTCGAGCCCACCCGGGAGCGAAATCTTTTGCATTTTTGCAGAATAAGTTTTCAAAACATTTTAAAAAGATGAACAAGGAGCAATAACAAAAATACTAATATAACGGACTTACCATGCTTCTTTCATTGATTCGTTCTGATTTTTTCAAAGCCATTGTTCTTTCGGACATTTTGTCTTCAACTACCCGGACTTTCGTGAACAACTCTGTTAAGCGAGCTCTTTCACTGTCTCCTGCTACAGTTTTCATTATGTTGAGTACAGAATCATGAGCTGTTTGGCAAATTAACAATTCTCTGTCTGAGTAGCAAATTACATTATGAAAGAAAAAACACACAGACCTTTCATCAGATTCAAGAGCTCTACTCGGGCAGGTTTTTTGCGTTCCATCTCAGCTTGACTAGTTAAGAGAGTACTGTTGAACCTTCAGAAACAATAATGGAAGTTTCAGACAAAAGTAATTCACTTGTGTTCCGTTCCTTTAGAATGCGTCAAATTGGATACCAGAACGAACACTGCAGAAACGTCCAGGTTTATAGGAGGCGATGCAGTTCTATCCCCTTGTTCAGTTTCGGAACTGGAAAGTCGAAATAATAAAATTCAATATGAGTATACAAACTCGGATTCGTCAGGTTCAAGCATTTCAAGAAAATCCTCTGGAATATTCGCTATTTGATTCATTGGAATCTTAAATATCTTTATGAAAAGCAAGCCACAGTATTCCAACCTGTTCACCTAGTACTGATACTTTCATTGATATGAGCTTTTGAGCAATACGATCTGGCACTCCCGAAACAAATTGGAACACAACTTCTGGTGGGGTAAAGTTTTTCTTGAAAAGATTGGCCATCTGAAACATCTATTTGAGTATGTTCAGAAAAATGTACTGACATAGCAGTAATTGTCGGCTTGTTCAAATATGTTACGGTTTGAACTGGCAAGCCAGTCCATGCATATTCCTCGTGCTGATCTTGATATGATTTTAACCTGCAAAAGGAAGGAAATCATTAGAGAGCATCCTGGAGAAATCGAAAAAAACCCATTGTTCTCCATTTTTGGCAACTAGGTCTACCGTATGCTTTAAGGTTCTGAAAAGCTCGTTCTACAGTTCAGCAATTCGCCGTTAGAGAACTCACTCATTTGAAGAGGGATCTAATATGGAATATGTATTGAACACGGCTTTAACTTCGGGAAACTCATCAATAGCTTTGACGACATTTTCAAAATGAGTAACATTACTCGTTTCAATGTATTTCTTCTCTAAAGGACATTTCCCTTCTTCGAGCTGAAAAGCAAGAGAGGAGTAAGCAGCGGCATGAAGGCAAAACTGACTGATTGTAGGAACCGAATTTCGCTGGCTAAACGATTCCTTAACTTGGGCACGCCTTGTAACTTAGATAGTTTGTCATTCATCAATTGCTCATCTAATGATCGAGCAGTTCTAAGCCGTTGTTCTAACATAGATTTTAACGACTCTTCGGAATCCATCTATTGAAATAAGATTAGGTTTATACACTTTGAATGAAAACAGAAAACAGTTATTCAAATAAACGATATCGTATTCAACGATAAATAAAAAATAATTAAGTGACTTTCAATATTTCGAGATTACTACGTTCAATACATGAGATCAAGAATATTCTGAGCATCGGATACAGAGCTTATACTTGAGTGGGACAAATCCTGAGTCGGTCTGGAAAAAGTTTTCGTTTCTTTTCTCTCTTTACTATGTAACTCACAAAACTTGAAAAACTAAGAGGTGAAACGAATTTCATCTTCGAAACCATAGAAGAGATGGGCGTATGCTTGAAGTAATATGTACGATGAAATTATGATTGTTAACTTACATTTCCACAGATATGGCAATCGCTTACTGAAGTCTCACCGCTTAACAGCACAGGTGGAGAAATAAATCTATGCCAGTTATTGAATTTGAGTGAGGTTAAGAAAGATGTTTCGTTTCTTCCTTTGTATCTTTTTGAACGGTTTAGGTTCCGTAAACAGGCCCATGCGATACTTTCCAATGTTGATGGAATCCTTTCCGGGACGATATTCTCGTCATCAACATAAGCAATGTCGAAGAGGCATGAGTCTGCTTTGAAGGCATCCAGGCGCAACGAGGCTAAAGAGCCAGGCAGATAAGGCAAAGGGTTGTTAGAGAGATCGAGAAGCCTAAGTGATTTTAGATTTGAAATCTAAATCGTACGGTTTTAACAAAGGAGTAAAGAAAGTATTTAACTCACTTTAGGGCTCAGTACTTCTATTGAGCATCCCTTTATGTCTAAAGCTTGTAAGGTAGGATGATCATAGACACTTCGGGGTAAATAGGTGAGAAGTTTATTATTTGATAAGTTAACGTCTATAATGGTCTTGGGAATACAAATGTGTTGAGGCTGAAAGTGCGCTTGTATTAGCTAAAGCTGTGAAAACAACCAACGGGGATCTCAGTTCCACTTAAATTCAAACTAGTTAGAAGAGGCAACCTATTGAGCAAACTAAATTTTGAAAAAAAACAATCTATTCCCTGGAATATGAGATGAAATTTCAGAAACTGATCGTAAGACTTACATCTAGTTCAGGCTCGAATGTACAATTTATAAGAGAGAACGAATTAATGCTTCTGGAGGCGAACAGCTCTGGACGGATCTTCTTAAGGGTACCTACGAGTTACATATACAAAGAATGGTCATAACTTAAGTTACTCACATTCTGTAAGCGCTAATTCTTTGAGATTTGGATTCACTCCAGTTGCGAAGAACTGAGCAGCGTTCTCATTACCTATTAGAGAAACTTTACTACCACTAAAAGGATGCTTTTTGATTGGCTGAAAAGTAAACAATTTGAAAACGGAAGAAGATTGTGGATGAACTTTGTTGGAGTCGATGGTAACTTGCTCTCCTCGTAGAATTTTCGAAACATCTTGTAGTAATCTTCGAATATGAGTAGGGTTAGCCTGAAGAAACACTGAGAACATGTTGGGAAAAGCTTTGAAATACCCCGCTAACACAATAAGTTAGTTCAGGATTCATGAAGGTTACTTTACCAGCTGTGACATGCTCTTTGATTATTCGTAGGTGGGGACTGGACGTGGCATGAATCTGCAAAGAGCTCTAATGAAATTCATAATTCACATCAGTCTCACAGGCAATCGCATAACGCTTGATTTACTTTCGAAAACGACTTGGTATTCTGTTCCTGTCTACAAAAAATATCTCTTGTATCTCTGTATTTATATAAAGCTCTTACAGGGCCCCGCTTTGCTAAGCAAACCGTTCCCTTAGAAGGACGGACACAGGAATTGCCGGTTTTGAAAATGCTCAACCGGCATTCTATCTTCATTCTGCCCTGTAATTTGCATCACTTCGTTCAATTTCTTCCCAAGATAAGAGAAGAAAATATTCTCCAAGTTAGCATGTTAAGACGGAGAGGAACTGTGCACATCGTTGGAGAGAGAAAAGTAAACATAAATATCGTCTTTTACCAGTCTTACACTGTGCTGAAAGGGAAATTACTCAATTCCAGCACTGATGCCGTACAGATTGGAAGGATTAAATCTCTCGAACATGATAATATCTAATCAATAGAACCTTGAAAACGACGGCTTTATTCTGCTATGTATAGCCCAGTTTCAAAATTCTATTGTCTAGGAAGCCACGTCATTTTCTGATTACGGTATTTTCGAGGCATTTTCATGAAAACGTCTATTTCAGATTTTTGAGCAAGTCCTTATCGGCTTCTTCTTAAAATTTATGCAAACCTTCGATGAAGGATCAGGAGAAGAAGCCGTTGAGTTCATAAACTAGATTCGAAAGAATTTAACATGTTAGAAGATACTCAAAAAGCTGACAAGATTGCTCTGGCTAAGAAGAAGGTATTTCCGTTTGCCATTAGAGTTTCATGAAAAGTAATATTATTAGTTGAGAGAATATGAAAGTAGGAAACATGCTGACAATAATCAAAGTAGTAACGTCTCAAGTGTGGAGGATGGACGTAACTCTGTACTGAGTACGAGTTCCGCAATATCTTCAGGTATTTCTCCGCCCTACGATTTATATCCATACCATAACTTTTCAGAAGTGGTTAAGACAGGTTTGGAAGATGAGAAAGCTGTTTCGAAGTTCGAAGTAAAATCGTTTTGTTGTTTTCTTTCATGAATAGTGTTTGTAGTCAAATGGCAGTGTTCACATATTATCCGACTCAGAGCTAGCTCATTCGGCTAATCCTGAGCATTCTCCTTTCAGAAATGTGAGTTCGTTTTTGAATCGTTGTAGCTCATGCACGATCTTTGAAGGAGCGAGAAAGTTTTATAACGGAAAGAAATAATTTGATATCCAGCTATAATAGTTTAAAGTCACAGTTACAAGAATTGGTTGGTGGTTTTCTTTTTTGCTTGATAAGCCACTATATTTCAAGCATACTCACTACTCACAATTACATTCTGCCTACTCTCAATTGACTACAAATGGTTCCCATCTTGCAACGGAAAAACAAGTTATTCAACTTCAAAAGGTTAATTCCTTTTCGGTCGCTTATCGTTCTCTTATCCTCTCAAGGTTATCGCCGTTATGGTGGAAGAAAAAACGGATTTGAATAAAGAGCTGAGAAAGTACAAAGAAGAACTGGAGACTTTACAAGTTGAATTCGACAAGGTTGTTGTTATGATCACAGATTGAGTTCAGATGATCCATATTCCAGGCTTCTAGCGAGAAAATCGAACCTTGCGTTCCTGATCTTCCTAAGTTCTCTAATGATAGTTCGAAGCTTCTCGAAGCTGCTCAGATAGAGTTAGACAATCAACGGAAAGTCACAGCAGAAGCTCAAGCTCACCTCCTTGCTGTTCAACATGAGAGAAGTGAAGCTCAGGTATTACACTTTTTTGGTGTTGTGTACAATTTTGTTTTCAGTCAAGAGTCAAATTACTCTTCCGAGAAAAAGAAGAGCTCGAGTCTCAACTGGTCAAAACTCGTAAAGATTTGCAGATGAAGGAGATCTATTTAAAGCAATTATCCTCGCATCAATCTCCTATCGTAGAGAGCGCTCATGTAGATGAAGCAGAGATAAAACAGCTTCATGGTGTGTTGAGCATGTTGAGGCGAAAAATGCGAAGATTTTTCAGAGAGAATTTCGTCTTTAGAAGCTTTAGTGCAGGAGTTGACTTCTGAGAAAGAAACTGTTTGCCAAGATTTGGAGTTGTCTCGCAAGAATTACGAGAAGTACTGTAATGAACTATCGGATAAGGCTACTCGGACCGAAGCAGATGTAATTGTTTTTTATGTTCTTAGTATACTCAAAGGTTAACTGCAGTTAGAAACTGCTGAGCAATCGAAGTATATGCTGGAAATGAAAGTTACTGAACTTCAAACTCAAATCAATTTGTTGGTGCAGGTTTTCTATCGCTCAAAATATTAACAAAACAGTTCTATTTTGAGGATATGGAAGAGTTGAGAGCTAAGAATGAGGCTTCAACACTTATGGCTGAGAATAATGAAACGGCAACTAAGAATACTCAGATAAATAGAGAAGAAGTTCAACGACAAGTTGTAGCTGTTGAAGAGAAAATGAGCAGAAAGTACGAATCTAAACTGATCGAAATGGAGGAAGCGCATAGGAAGGAAATATCTGAAAAGGTGAAAACATTTTTTTGAAACAAAGATACTGTGTGTCAGCCATATATGGTTTAGAATCAAAATCCTTTCTATTTTCTTGTTGAATGTATATTGAAGTTCATTCTCAACTATTACAGGAAGCTGTTGTGATGGAAATGAGAAACATGGTGACTGATGCCCAAATCCGTTATAAAGATTTGGAACAGCGGTTTAAGGAATGCGTTCCAGACGACACTGTCAGTTCTTGGTTTTAGCTTGTAATGTTATTTTGTCAATTTAAGGAATTGCTCTCATTATCCGACCAACTTCAAAATGAGAAGGCTACCGTTTCTCGAGCTGTTGCTCAAAACAAAGAGTTGAAACAGTTGTTATTAGATACGGAAGACAGATTGGTAGCTCTGACTGAAGAGAAACTTCAGTGTGAGTTAGGTAGACAAAGCGCTGAACATTTGGTGAAAGAATTAACACGGAAATTGGAAGAGATGGTAATTTGAAGTTTTAAATATATACTCAAGTTATCACATGTTGAAGGGTTCAAATATAGGCACAGAAGTTGCAAGTTTGCAAAAATCTGATATTGAGAAGGAAGAAAACAGCAATGGTACAAGATAAGGTTGAAACAAACGCCAGAAGTTGTTTTTTCAGAGTCAAATGGGTTTGATGATTACAGAGAACGAGAACTGGAGTTGCGCAACGAGTTAGAGAAAGCTCAGCGAGATCTCGCCGAGGTTTGTCTTGCTTAGTATGTAATGATTTAAACATTTATATCAGATGCGAAACGAGTTGAGGCGAAGTATCAATCAAAATCAGGAAATGAACCAAATCATGATGCTGAATGCGGAAGATGAGAACCAGAACAGGTGAACAGTTTATGAAAAAAGTGTATTTTTATCATTATTTTTGAAGTTTCCACGTAGAGTTAGGACAAGCTGTAGGAAGAATCAACATTCTATCTTCCGAGAATGATCAACTCCGCGAGGTTTGACTGAACATGATTTTTAACTCTGATTATATTAATATAGACTATCAGTAACTTGACTCAGAAATTGTTAACACCTGATGATCCCAATTCCAATACTCTGAAAGAAGAGAACGAGCGAATGAAACAGGTTCCGAAGAAATAGTGATATTGAGTTAAATTCCTTTAGGAACTCGAAGCGTTAAGTGAGAAGCTTCTTGGTCTTGAGGAGTCGAAAAAATCTGATATGAAGGAAGAGCCGGTAATATGAATGATCCGACCCTCTTGAAACTCTTTTTCAGGTTTCCGAAAACTCTGTTACAACTTCAAACGACTATCTCAAGTTAAAAGAGGATTACGAATGTTTACAACGAGAGTTTGTCAAAATCACAGCAACGCTTTCTTCTTCTGACGAAAAGGCGAAGGCATTGTCAACCGAGCTCGACTCTCTAAAAGAGGTTTGGCGATATAGTTCGAGATCGCAATTGGTTGCTTTTTTCAGCACATCGTTAATAATCAAAGAGAAATTAACCAACTTCGATCGGTCACTGTACAAAAACTGTCTGAGCCACAATTTACTCAAGAAAATGTTGCTCCTAAACTATCTTCTGAGGCAGTCGATGCCGTTGTAGAGATGCAAAGAAGAGAGGTGCAAAGCTCAAATGAAACTATTAATGAGAAGTAAGCTCAGCTATACCCGTTCCTGCATCATTTCTTATTTTCAGTTCATCGCAAGTTGTTGGGAGTGATGAATGGGCAAGAGTTGAATTGGAGAAAAAGTTCTCTCAAGCGATGAGGATGAATGCCGAACTTCAAGAGAGTATGGAACGCGTAGAGCACATTAATGTTCAGCTTCAATTGGAAAATGATACTATAGCTGATCATGTAATTCTCTATCAGCATCAACGTCGTCTGATTCGTGAACGCCTGAGAGCAAAAGACCTTCAGGTTTTCGTTTGTTTAAACAAGTTTTTCTAACTGCGTGTTACAGTTGGCTGCTCTGGAAACTGAACGTCAACGGGTAATTGAGAGGTGTCAAGAGCTTCAGGAAGCTTTAGTGAACGTTTTAAGCAAAAATACTATTCCGAAGGTGTTTCAGTGTAATATATCAAAAATTACTTTTTTTTTAACAGGAAGAGCCAGTTACTGAAAGTATTGTGGCCAAAGTGAAAAGGAAAAGCTCTCGGACTTTCAGTCACAGTACAGTGGATGAGTTGAGTGGCGACGAAGAAGTTGTCGTACCACCTGAAATAGAACAGGTAATTATTACTTTGAAACGTTTCTCTCAATGAGTTCATTGAAGGAGCTGAAGATAGCAGAAACCGAAGATTTGGAGAAGCAGAACGTGATCGAAGAGGAGAAAACAGTTGAAAAGGAAAATGTTTCTGAATATTCCGATCCAGACATCAAACGTATCTTCAGCATAATCAATGACATAAACGTAAGCGTTTGTATTGATAGACTTGCCAATGAAAATGTTTATTTGAGGTTCCATTACAATCGAGGAGTAGCGAGAAACTACAATGTACACAGTGTATTGGAGAACTAAAACATCTTTAATTTATTTCCGCAATCATTAACTTATTTTCTGTATCTAAGTCTTTTCATTTTTCTGAGTTCGACCCTTTTGGCGAACGAACCAACTGTGGGGTCTCTTCAAGTCGTCTGAAATGTGATATGAAATGAATTTCTTATATCATTTTATAGTTTAAAAAAGTTTTATATAATAAATTCATTGCTTGTTATGTTTATTTAATATTTGGCACGTATTTTTCGGCAATAGTCTATTTGAGTGTCTGGCTTTTCAATGTTTATTGACTTCTTTATTTACGATATGGGCATTCGCCGCTTGTCTGCAATTGAGCGTCTGATTATATATGGATGCAGTGGTTTCACAGCTGAAGTTCCACTTTTCAAATTTAAGTTGCTTCAACTTTATCTTCTTCAGGTCTGTTTCACGGCTGCGTGGGACGCAATTGAGAATGGGAATCGTCGTTTGCTGGGCACATCTTCCATCTATATATTCTTCGTGTACGGTCTTTCCATTTTCATTATCGAGAAGCTCTATTTACGCCTAAAGGTATTACTCATTCCTATGATAACGTCGGTGACGCAATTAGCACTTCAGGGGAAATGCCGTCTATTTCCACGAGGACTCGCCTACATCACAATATGTTATCTGTTCGAATTTGCCTTCGGGTATTTCTTAAACATTTGGAATGCATGTCCCTGGGATTACGCGAGGTTATTTCCTCATTCATGAGGAGAAGTAGATTTTCATCTTTCCAGCTACTTCGACTACCATATTATGGGTCTTATTACAATGGAATATATACCTTTATGGTTTTGTTCGTCCCTGTTCTGTGAACAATACATTATTCATTTTGCACTGAATATCGGCTGGATAGATAACGATAAAGAGGAGTAAATAATCTTATCTTGTACATTCGTTAAACAAATTATAAGATATTTAATTGTAAGCATGTCGTTCCAGCACTCTGTCGAGGTTTGTCATGCTGACTCCTGAACTTATTTCTCATAATTGTTTTAAGCCTGACGGATCATCCAATTATTCCTTAAACTATAGTATGGATAATGAACAAGTTTCCGATCTTTTGTTGACTTCAAACGCACAGTACGAACAAGTAAGTCTAACTGCAGATTATGATTATGACAGTTCTACAGCTTCAAGATATGGAAGATGTTTCCTCATCTAATGCTTCAACTTTCCACCCTGTAGTGACAGCACCCGTGACTGATGTTACAAATGATGATCATCACAATTAAAAATCTTCATTTACTCGTTTTTACACCTGTTATCTGAAGGCAAATGATATATTTACAATCATGAGAAAGAATAAAAAAAGAAAGGAAGAGGTAGAAGAAAGCGTGTTAGTCAGATTTGAAACCTTTTCTTAGCAGCTTTCCTACCGATGAATTATCCGTAAGCAGACTACGAACGAGCGTTACCTACAATTACACTTTTTTTATATTCTGACCCTTTGTTCACCTGTACTACACATATTAAGAGAATGTATATTGTATTAATTATTCCCCAGAAGTTGATACTCTCAAACGTGTCTTCAACTCTTGATCGATCCTTAATCGAAACTTGGAATAAAGTTACAAATCTTCTCTACCTTATACGTAATAGAACGAATCTGATTCAGCTCGTTTTCGATACGATTGAGATTCAGTTTAATTTGTGTTGTTGTCGTCTTTAATGTTGATTTAAACTATACAGTCAGTGTTGAAAGTTCGTTTACCTCGAATACTTGTGTTGCTATCAGCACTTCCATAGCGGGATTTGAGTTTATCTTTTCCAAGTCAGAAATGTAGTTACCACTTCCATCTAACAAGTAAAAACTGATGGCAATCTGAGTTTCCCGGCTTTATCAACAAACGAGCAAAGTTTTACCGTTTTTGCTGATACTAAGCTGAAGGAGTTATCCATGCAGAGAATATAATCACCCAATTCCTCTGGAGTTATATCAAGTCTGAAGGTGATAAGATAAAAATTTCGAAATAAAAGCTAACCTATGACTACTAGTTCTTGAACGTTTGTCGTCAACGATGAACTGGCCATTTGGCTTCTTCAAGTTCAAGTCTATATCAGTTTGTCCACCTTTGGCCACCTTAGAAAACAAACGAAAATGTGAACGAAGCAACGCTGACTCACAATGTAATTCAGTTCGATCGTTCGATAAGAAGGTTTCCTAACAGGGAGAAATAAACACTCAATCTACAAAAATAGTACCTATTTAATAATAATAGGGACTAGAAACCTTTCCCGCATCTACTTTAATCGTCAAAGTTACTTCTTCTTCTGAGAGTAAGGAATGGGAGAGATTTAAAAAAGCTAATAAAAGTATTGAAATGGCCCGAATTTTCATCCTTAACAACACAGTTTGTTCAACAGTAGGAAAGCTCGTTGAAGTAATTCGATCAAACGTTTTTTTCAGAAAACTGTGAAACCCATGGAAGGAAAGAACAAAATATTTATGAAAAACATGATTATGTCGTCAAACCCAGTACTTACATTATGCAAAATCACAATTATGCCCCTATGAATAAGTTAAGGAAGAACAATAAATAAGGAAACAATCGACTAGTTATTAGAAGAAAACTATCTCAACAAGTAGTTAGGAGTTTAAGAACGGCCACGTCTAAGCATTTTTCCAAGTTTGGAGTTATCTTCGAACAAACTCCTGATCATGTAAACCTTAATTATTGTTTTTAATTCCTCAATTCCGTCTTTAGATCAAACCTGTATTGAACCAACACCGAGAAGAACAATAGTGTGAACGATGCTCCAGAATGTGACACGATCCAAGTTCGCGTTCATGACGGCACGATCACGAGCTTCATGAGCTCTCATTAAAGCTTGGTGATATTCGACTTTATTGAGTTGGTTTTTGATACGGTTAGAAACAGCCTAAAAATGTGAACTCAGAAGGTTTGTTGAAGGATCGAAGTAGCTCACATGAAAATCGGCTACAGTTACTCCGAACTGTTCCATTTGAGCTTGAACATCTCCTGTTTTCTGTCCAAGACTAGCAATATCGATGTCATCAAGGTTTCCATTCTCATCAAATAAGAAAATTTCGAAGAAAACCACCTACAAAATAAATTTTTCAATAACAAAAATCAGAATAATTACCTTTCTGGTTTGGTAACTGAATGAGTTATCAAAGCAAACTTGATAATCTCCTGCTTCTTGTAGCTCGAGTCTAAACGGCTGAATATTTGTATGAATTTACTAGGAGTAAAACCTGTGACTTCCATCAGTTTTAAGTTTATCCTGAATGAGAATATTAGCTCCGAGCAGTATCATGAAGTTTATGTTCAAATCACCACCGTCCACAACCTGAAGAAAGTCGAAGTTGACGCTAAATCATAGAAATATGAGGTACCTGATAGTCAACTTCCATTGTTTTGTGAACATTGTTTTGAACTGGTTGGAAAAAGCATTGGAATTTGCCTGGTGGAACCTCGACAGTAAAATCGTACTCTCCGGCGGCACAAAATGCTACAAACCCGATAAGTATAACACCCAAACTGGGAAAAACGTGCATTTTCTAAATATATAGCATGACATCACATTTCAAACCGAGTTAAGTAAGAAAATTCGGAAAAACGAAAAGTAGTCACAAACACAAAATAGTTTCAACTTGACTTGACCAGCATTAACATTTGTTCGGTGGAAGCTATTGTACAGCTACGTAGCAAATATTTTCGGCTCGACGTCCGGTACGCAGAACAGAAAATCGGAACACATAGGCAGCATTGTAACTCAATTGGTGATGATAAGATGAATAATAGCTAAACCAACGCTAATTACTTCGAAACTGTGAAAAAACACATTTTTGTCAAGCAAACTTGAGCTCTTCTTTGAGGACGTTCTTTGAGGTTTTGGTCACTCTTTAAAGGAAAAAGATGCATGATATGACAACATTTCGATGACCATGCTCTGTATCGAGTTAATTTCGAACACATTTCAAAGCCATAAACTGTGTTCGAAATATTGCTAAGAATAGAAGCTGATAGTCATCTTTTTTATTACGGGTTTTTCTCATTTTGGGTACAAGTGTTCAAGTGTTACCTTACTCGATGAACCATTCGAAACAAGTTATATAGAAGTAAGTGATAGTGACATTGTTTCTTCAATTTTCTCTAATTTTTGGCTAGTGACCATCTTAGTGAAAGACTGTATTAAATCTTATTTCCTCATTTGATTTCTCGAGTTTTCCGATTCGTTATAACCAGGTCAGTATGTGTCCAAATACGAAATGAGAACACACCTAGATGGAATTTTTATTTTTTTTCAAACAAATGTAAGCGATATGTTCTCGTGTTGGGTTTTCATGTTTTTAGTTGAGTGCTCGAATTTGGTAGGCGGAGTTGCAATCGGTGGCATTTACAAGCTGATATGTCATGGTTGCGATAAAGTGGGTTCGTTTGATAAAAAAAAGATAAAAAAATAATTATGTCATATGAATCATTCGGCCACGTTTTCCATACTTATTCAGCTCTCTCTATTGAACTCGATCTCGAATGAAACTACGAACTTTTATTTCTGATATCAGCTTGCCTGAGCGATCGGTTTGTAATGAATTGAAGGTGCTAGTAGTAGCAGTTTAAAAAAAAAGTTCATTCAATGAGTACGAACACATAGAAATAATTAACAACTTAAAAAGATATGGAATTAATAAAAATAAATTTACAACAATATTCTATCTTAGTCTATTTGAAATAAAAGACTAGAGTATATAAAAATGAAAATAACAGAATCAAATTTGCAAAGAGAATTATAATGCATGGAGACGGAAGATGAGTAAGTCGCGCACACCGAGTGAGGAAGGTTGAGATAATTGAAAACAGACAACTGATTGAAAGTTGTTAAAAGAAAGAAAGAAAGATTGATAGATAGATAGATATAGAAAAATGAAATACACTAATTACAATAGACACGGGATATTAGCTATGATGTAACATTCCGAGTTGTGATATGATTTTCAAATATTCCTGCTGTCCAATTTTTGGAAATATAAATTATTTAGAATTAAGTAGAAAATAAAAATATATTCATCCAGAGGATTATTGTTGATGGAAAGACATCTGTGGCCATGAAGGTTCACTACCGATTTCTTCATAACGGACATCACTTTCGTCGCTCCCAAGTGTCGCTGCCCTTGCCCTGTAAACATTTTCAAAGTTAATATCTGAGTAAGAAGTAACAGTTTGATTACAAGTCGAACAAACTCGACTTATGTTCCATTTACAAACATTAAACAGAGAATATGCCATCATGGCAAGGAAATTTGAAGTTTTAAATTATTTTTCGGAGAAATCAACACAAAGATGAACTGAAGAACTAATACGTCTAAGGGATTGAGGAAGGCAGGGTGAACAAAATAGGGAGAAAGATCTATGAACACTCTTTCAAACCTTCAAAGTTTGTTAGAAGTTGTTAGTTTACTCCCGCGTTTCAAACGCGAGAACTTTCTGTCCAAATCGTCAGACTGTAGAAGATAGTTGTTAGAATCAAACGAATGCTTGTTATGTATTAAAGAAAACATTATTTTCATTTATTTCTCTTACCCGTATTGAATTTTGACATTACTCTAGAAATGTTGATTGAATACTTTAAGTTTTGAAGGAAGAATTTCGTTTTTTTCATTCAAATTATATTATAAACTGAATCACTTACCTCCATTGGTTTCCAAGAGCAGTAGGGTAGTGGCAGTCCGTCTGGGCCTGTGGGACAAGGTGCATCTAATCCAGGAATACCCTATATCATATTTATAAAACATTGTTGAACACTAGCCTTCTCATTACCTGATCTCCTTTTTCTCCTGGATAGCCGCGTTCTCCACGATCACCACGATCTCCAATAGGTCCAGGAAGTCCAGGAACTCCAGATGGTCCCTACAAATGGAAATAAACTTAACATGCAACGCTTACTGTTCTTACCATTGGTCCGATATCACCTTTTGGTCCGATTGGGCCAGGCTTTCCCTGAAAGCATCACAATGAATATCAATTGAGATGTATTTTGTAATATTTTGAGACTATAGAAACACGCGCGTTCACAACTACAAGTAATGCAAAACTACTCTGAAAGTTTCATGCTCATGCAAGTTCCCTAAAAAAAATTATTTTTAATTATGCCCTGAATGCTTAAAAGATTGATATTTCAAAAATATTAGATGTTGAAGCTATACCGGTTTGCCTTCTCCGGCAGAACCACGTGGTCCTATTGGGCCTGGAGGTCCCTAGAAAAGATATTGTGATACACGAAGAACTTCATGAAGACTTACTGGTAATCCTAATGAGCCAGGTTGACCAGGCATACCATCTTCTCCCTTAGGTCCTGGGTTTCCAGGTAATCCTGGTGGACCACGAGGACCCATGACACTAGCTCCAATACCACTTTCACTGTTAGATCCCTAGATGCAGAAAGGGTAAATTTGTTTCACATGTATAACTTACAGGTTGTCCGGGTAGCCCTGGTGGTCCAATATCACCCCTTTCACCCTTTTCTCCGGCATGCCCAGGAAGACCTTGTGGTCCTCTGGGGCCATCGCGACCCTGAGGACCAGTAGGTCCGACGGGGCCTGGAAGGCCAGGAGGTCCATGTTTCATTTTCGAATCAGGCATATGTTTGTGAATAAGATGGACAATCTTTTGAATAAGATGAGGATCCTCTTCGATTGAGAAATTGCCTGGTCGGCCCTGTAGAATGAAAGTATGATATAGTATAGTTAATTCTCACAAAGTTGGCTACGGTACAATCAAAACAGTTTAGTACTCACCCCAGAGTTGCAAATCAAAAGACAAACATTTTCGTGAGCTCAACAAAAGAATCTTTCTTTCATAATTGAATGTCGTTATAGCTGATTATATCTGTTAACGTATAGAACTAATTGACTTCACTAATTTCTAACCAAAAACTAAGAGCTAATAGATAAGGTTTGACTCAAGAAAGCAGTTAGCACTGAATCATTCAATCAACTACCATAACAATCAATTACTATGCTAACTATGTGTTAAAATGCTACAGTAAACATAAAAATCATGCACCTACGCAGAACTAAATCCGATTATGAGTGCCGGTTGGCAGCTGGCTTTTTCAAAATTCATGTTTCAAATATACTTACCCGACGTCCTCTTTTACCCATAGGGCCTTCTGGTCCCATTGGCCCGATTGGTCCGGGCTCTCCTGGATCTCCCTGAACACACACAATTATGTTAATTCATGTTAATTAGAACTCAAACAATCTATTCTACATAAATTAATAATGTTACTCAGAAACATAAAAAACCAAAGTAACGTAGGAAGCAGTCATACCTTCTCTCCCTTTTCGCCATTCTTTCCATCTCTTCCTGGAGGCCCAGGTGGTCCCATCAAGATCTGGAGAGGTTCAGTTAGAACAGTTTCAATAATAGGGAAAAGATGGTTCAAAATAATGCTGTATGAGTAACAGTAGAGGTCACCTTGCTCACCTTGGTATTTTCTGCTGTTGCTCCAGTTTGAACTCCTGGTCTTCCGGGAATTCCTTTTTCACCCGGCATTCCTTGATCTCCACGTTCTCCCTTCTCTCCCTATTAAAAGAAAGGTTGATTGATCATATATTACAATTATTATAACTGATATTATAGAACGAAACTAAGTTTGGTAAGTTTGAAAAATAACTAAAGAAGTTCTAACATAACGTATTCTAAATACCTGTTGTCCTGGTCTTCCTGGAGTTCCGGGCAAGCCGGGTAACCCTGTTCCAGTCAGTCCAACGGGACCCATTGGTCCCGATGGACCGGGAGGACCCGGTGGTCCCGGTGGTCCAGCAACAACATGTTGTTGCGCTAACGGATAACTTCTACTGTACGAGACGGCTGCTTCACCCTAGACACAAATCACAATCTACTACAGGCAATAAGAAAAGAGAAGATGCTTCAGTTGAAAAGAAGAAGGGATGAATCTAACATAAATTGACAAAAGCTACATCTATTTCATCACAACCTCAACCACATTGTTCATCTCGAGTCAAACAACAAACCTTTTGTCCACGTTCTCCAGGTGGGCCACGTAATCCAGGCATTCCATCTCTTCCCGGTTCTCCTGGTTCTCCTCTTGGGCCAACTTTAGATTCACCGTCAAAGCCAGGTAAACCACGATCTCCTTTCATTCCTGGTCTGCCATCTTTCCCGGCTGGACCTGGTACTCCGGGTGGGCCCGGTGGTCCAGGTGGTCCTTGCAAAATCATAGGACCTGCTGGATGTCCATGAAGCTAGAACAACTCAAAAATTGTTTTGGCCGACTGTTCGATCTTCGAACCTGCATTTGTGAGTTAGGGTTGACATGTCCTCCACCTGTAGTTCCGCGTTCACCTTTGGGCCCGGGGAATCCAGGAGGACCGATAGGTCCTCTCTCACCGCGTTCACCCTTAGCTCCTGGCGCACCCTAGAAAATTAACATTCAAGAGATGGACAAGAACGGAGTACTATAACATATAAAAAAAGGAACCAGAAAAGCTGAAACCTTTGCTTGCTATCTTTCATGCGTCAACACAAATGAAACTGTTAGTTTAGAAAAAAGTTTTTGAGTGCGAAACAACCACAGTGATATTAGTGGTTTTGACAAATTGTGCCATAAAAGGCATTGCAAAAAAAAGCACAGTAATGAAAGAGAAACGAAACAATGGCAACACACAGATTTTCACCTACCGGAAGACCTCTAGGGCCATCTAAACCAATTGGTCCCTAAATGTTATTCATGATAATATTGGAAATGAATAGGAACTTAATGAAATAAAAAATGCAAAGCAAAAAGAACTTAAGAAAACTGAGGAAAAGAAAGAAAACACACCGGAAAACCAGGATATCCACGTCCTCCCTTCGGACCCTGTAAAGTAACAAAGGATAAAACTCAAAGTGTAAGACGGATTCTCAGACTGGGCTGGAGAAATTTTCAGGACCAGGTGATTGGGGAATGAAACTGAGAAGATAACACAACAGAGCACGCAAAAGAAGAGAAAAGTGAGTGTCAAGCAGAAGCATCCAAAGGTGTTTGAAAAAAAAAGAAGGAAAAAACTACGAACGGGTGGTCCAGGTGGTCCTTGTAATCCTTGAACTTGAATTGCTTGTCCATCCGGAGTATAAACCATGCCTAAGGCTCTCATTCTACGTTCCAAACGGGCATCCAGCTGCTGAACACACAAAACACAATACTTAACCACTTTTTGATTCCATAATTGGTAAGAAAAAGAAAAAGAAAAACTAATCACTAACATAGGCAGTTCGACTTTGCTTTCGCCGATTCGGAGTCCATCGTGGTCCCTGTAACATCACAACACATAAGAAACAGCCACAAGCACGGTATCATTCACTCAATCGAGCATAATGAAATAAATTAGGAAAAAAAAAGATTCACAGCATCATCAAAAATCTTAAAAGGAGTTAAAAAACGTACAGGCCATCCATTCATGCCTCGAATTCCCTACAAGTTTAAGAAGGTTAGACTTATTCAACGTTAAAGAAAAGAAGAGAAAGAGAGTTGATGGGTGGAGGTATGGGGATGAGAAGACAAATTTTCTTTTTTTTTTGTTTTTTTTTCTGTTGTTCTAAAATGTTTGAAAAAAAGGGATAAGAAAAAGTGAAACGTACAGGTGGTCCGGGTGGTCCTGGATCTCCTTTGGGTCCTGAAAATTCTCTCAAAATTATTAAAAGAGATGATGTAAGGGGAACAAGATAGAGAGAGAGAGAGAGAGAGAGAGAGAGAGAGAGAGAGAGAGAGAGAGAGAGAGAGATGGGAAGATGTTGAACTCTGTCAAACATACACGTCATCTGTCATTCTCTTAGCTTCTATTACAAAAATTAATAATTTTCATAAACATTACATTTATAATATTGTTAAATAAATATCATAAATGATATAACTCATTTGCATATTATGACCAAAATTCTGTGTTACTATATACGGTAAGCAAATATAAAAGTTTTACCTGGAGGACATCCACAATCTCTTTCAACTCGTAAAGCTCTTGCTGATCTCAATATGGAACTGTTAGCTGTTCGATCAATTCCCTATAATATAGAAGTTGTAAATCAATCTCATTTCGGATGTATCAAAGAATTTTAAAATATATTTGTCCCTTCATCACCCACAACACATCTTTCGTCTCTTACATTCCCTCAGGCAACAAAATGGTCAATTTGTTAGAATTTATGACTACAAGCTCTTGGCGACACCTGACTCATCTAAGAAATAAGTCATTTATAAGAGTTTCTTAATGATCACCTCCCTCCCTTTATAACATTTCCGACTCAAAGTATTAATAAGCTTTCGTGTGTTCTTGTCTTCCGAGATTGACTTCCACGAACACACTTTGCTAGTCGGAAAGTCAAATTTTCCTTTTTTTTCCTCCTTAATAGGTTAATCACAATAAAAACGGTTCCGAAAGCCATTTTACGGGTCTAGTCAGCTGCCATACAGACAGCTGTACGAACGACAAGTTCATAAAAAAAAGACTTCTTAAGACTTGCAAAGGATGAAGTAAGTGCCCAAAAGACATAAAGTTGTTGCTCGAATGGGGAAAATGGAAAAAAGAGAAAAGGAAATAGCTTTAACTGTTTCAGATGTTGAAAAGAAAAAAGTAAGCCAAGATTATACTTCAGAATCCCTTATCGTCATCATCTCCCCCCCACCTTCCTTATCCCCACTCTACATTCCAGCAATCATAACCTCTATGACTTCTTTCTTCGTTCATTTGTCTCCCGATGTAACATTCAATTTGTTCCACATGATCCGGGTACAAAATTGTTTGAGAAAGTTTTTTTTTGGAAATGAAAACTTTTTTCTTGAAAAGTAACAAATGACGGATAATTCCGACTAAGGTAGTAATCTAGAGAAACGTTCCATCTCAAAACTGGTTTTGGATATGTCGTTGAGATGATTGTCATGTTAAACCTTGTGTAGGAAATTGTCAACTCTTGCAAGAGATGGGAAGATAGAGAGAGAGAGAGAAGGTGAGAGTGAGGAAGAATATTTCTAATCACAGGAATGACCGGATTAAATTCTTTCAATCGGTAAACGAATCAAAGTTGTTAAAACTATAATTGGTTGACCAGGGTTTCGTGTCTCAAATCCGTCGAGATAAGCATTGATGGAGCAAGAGAGAGAAAGATAAGCATCTTAGTTTTTAAAGCCAATTAAGATAATAAAAGAAAGGCAGAGTTTGTCTAAGATTATAATCATATTAGAATCTTTTGTTGTCATATCATGTTTGATCTGACAATATAATCCTCTAATCGCCATAAAAAAAATGCTGTGAGAACAAAAGCCGTGACCCTCTACCACCCCTCATCTAGCTCCGCTCTTCTTCAAAAAGCATCAGAGGTAGCCCGTATGCCAATAGCACATGGTCATTACTATTATTATAGCGTTTCCTGATTAATATTCATTCCTCAAGTGTCAACCTGAACTAATATAAGCTCAGACATGCAGAAGATGAATTAGAATATGAAGATGCTATGAAGAAAGTTGCTTGTTGAGGGCAATGGAGCCTCAGAAGGCAGGTGCTTGCTTTCTCAAGAAAAACAGAACGACGGGTGAGGCCTCGATGAACAAGCAAATAACTGGTCCGAATTAGGCAAATTAGGCTTGTGCAGGTGAAAAGAGAGTCAAGTAGGGAAAGGATAGGTGGCTGCCAAATAAGGCGCTCCATAAGCAAACAATAGGCACATCAGGCAGATGTTCCTTCAAAGATATGCTTAACCATCTTCACAAATTCTCTTTTGAGCAAAGCAAGACAAATATGGTAACAAGAAAAAATAGTAAAAGAAAACACTTACGTCTTGATTAGGCTGTTTAGCAGTTCCAAAGGCTTCTTCCATGGCCTGTAAACGTTGCTCCAAGTTGACTATCCGGTAATGATGCTGGCTGAGCATTATCAGAAGTAGAATAGTGGGAAGTAGACTGAAGACGGCCAACGTCCAGCTTGGAACACGAAAAGCTTCCTGCCATGAAAACCATGGTCGGCTAGAAGTTGATAAAGACGTTGAAGACAATGTGTCTTGAGATGAATTCAATGGCCATGTAGTCGTTCGACCATTCTTATCCACAATCAATGACTTCATGATTGGGAGAAGTAGTTTTATAATACTTTCAAACTAATTATAATTGATAAATGAGCTAAGAAGACATCGAAGGTTTCTGAAAGTAAAACGAAATTGAGATGAAGTGGTGAATAGGCAGAACGATTCATACAATAGGTATAATCAAAGACAATTTCATAGAAAGATGTTAGCAAATAAAGATTTTATATTAGGAATGCAGAGTGTCCGAGTGGAAAATTAAGTTACGGAAATGGCAAATAAGGATTGCTTCAATGACTTCTGACCATATATAGTGTATGTGAGCAGTTGTAGAATGATCTCAAGATATCTTTTAAAATGAAAAAAAAAACACTAGCGAATGAAGTTCATTGTTAGGAACGACAGTGAGATGGAAGAGAATGAGAATGAGATGATGACATGTGGGGGTAAGAGATGAGGTGGCTTCTATTCAAATGAACTACATGACTCAAATGACCAAGTATGGATGGAAAGCAAGTACTTGAATAGTTTCGATGAGATTAATTGATTAATGTCTCATATAAACTTTGATAACTTTTCTCACTAGATATCCGAATTCATCTTGTTCTGTTTGGAAGAATACAAGGTGTAATGAGCCATGAGGATTAGAGAGTTGAAGAGATGACTTCAGAGAGAGAAGGAGAGAAAAGTTAAAAGCAGATGGATGAGCTAAGTGGTTGGAAGGAAAGTGGGAAGTTTTTGACAGGAATAGAGATGGATTGTTCTCTCATTTCTCTCACATTATCCTTCAATTTTGCTTTTATTTCATAGATAATAGCAATTTTCATTGATATACATAGGTGGAGGTAGTACTACAAGCTATAGCTCTCACTCTCTCTTGGTCTTGGCTGCTTTGACCAACCAATCTCGGGAAATAAGGCAAAAAGCTGAAAGACTATTGAGCCATTTAGCCTTTTTTCAAATTTCTCTCTTTCTCTTTCTCAAAGAAGGAAATACATTTGTTTAGACAGCTAAGGTGGAAAGATGATGAATGAGTTCATAAAATTTGAAAACTTTCTTGACAAACACACAGAAAGAGGGAGAGAGTGAGGATGAAATGCTGAAGATGACAATCAGACGACAAGCATAACCAATTGGCATATACAAAAATGAAAAAAAACAGTTCAAATGACCATCTTATGAAGTAGACGATTTGAAGAAGACAACACTAGACGTAGATGAAGATTTTGAATGAGACAGGAAGCATGAATGATGATGGCAACAGAAGGAAAAGCAAGAAATCATCACAAAAAATAATATTTTGAGAATATGCAATCGATTGGTGCATGAGTTAGATCAAAGCAAATTATACCATATGTAAGGGAATAAAGGTAAAGTTGACATACAAAAAATTATTTAAACGAATAGACAATGTAATCTATAATTAGCAGATGGGTAAGGTAATACACTGAGCTATAGAAGCTATGAAGAGAAGACAGCACAGAATGGCAGAAGGAATGAAGAAGAAAGCATGTTAGAGAGAGAAAGAGAGAAAGCAAAGAAGGATGAAGCCAAGTTGCCAGGTTGAGAAATGTTTTTTTAATCCGTGAGAACAGTAGAAAGAGAACATATGAGAAAAAGTAATTGTGTCTTTATCTTTTCATCTTGATTTCAACTATAAACTACATTAATCTCTCTCAAGCCTATGCTTTACACTCACGTCTCTCTCTCTCTTTCTCTCTCTCTCTCTCGGAACTGTGATGTTCACTTTTTGAAATTACAAAATAAATGAGAAGGACAACAAACGTTTACGAAAACAAGAGACAATTCATTATGCTCATAATCGAGATGCTACAGGCTCGGACCAACTTTGAGTTCTGTCCTTTGGGGGTCACATTACTCTTTGAGCGTCTAATGATCTCTTAGCTCCACCTACTATTTCTCTTATATCAACGGTAAATGAGAAAAAATGAAGAAAAGATTACATCACTCAGATTACTCTAAGACGATAAACATAGACCTTGGATGTCAGGTTTTGGATGTTATCCTGAGCATCAAAACATCTTCATTACCGGATATGGCGGATGTGGCCGAAATAAAGGAGGGAATCAGAGAGTGGAAAAGAAAAAGAGGAGAATCATCCAATTCAAAACTTTTTTTTCATCCAGCCCATACTGTAATCAAACAATCGCATGAAAGCTTCTTCGAACATCTTTAGATATTTGATGTGAAATGAGGGAAAAGCTATTGTGGACCATTTACAGCTGTTCGGCGGGATTGTCAAAAAGAAACAACTTTGACCGTACCAGCTGGACATGAGGTACGTTTAGGTCAAAAGAATAAAAACTCCAATCATTTCTTTCAGAAAAAAAAGCTTCCGCTATTAACAGTAGAATGGAGAAAGGCGAATTGAAAAGAGAGTAACTGAGTCGACTTGAGAGAAGAGAGTAACCTTATGAGGTAAATGAAACCGAACGGAAAAAGAAACAAGAGTAATACGGGGCGAAATAGGATTTTCAAAACAATTGTCGGACAATCTATCCATGTTTTCAAATCGAAAACAAATAGATTTTGAAATCGAAATAGGATTCTATGGTGAAGCTGAGACATATGAGTGAGGTTAAGGATAGACATCCAGAGTTAGTAGAATGGGGTTCGAAAGTTTTGAAGACAAGAGCAGCAAGTTGAATGCAAGCTTCTCGTCTCATAATGGAAGATTGAAGGAAAAAAATGATTTTCAAGTGATGAGTAAAGAAGCTTCAAAAGAAATCCTTATTCTTATATGGAAAAATAATAAGATAGCCGAGTAGTGATGTTCAATGAATGTTGGAATGTGTGAAGAAAGTCATTGGAGAACTCAAAATGAGAATCCAAAAAAAAAAGAAACGAATAGGAAAAATGAGAAGAAGAAACTGCTGAAGACGATTGAAGCAGATGATATGGTGGGTGATAAATGAAATGACACAACTGGATAAATGAGCTGAGTGAATGAAGAAATGAACACATAATGAAACATTCAATTATAAAATTAAAGAGCAATCCACCTACAATTTGTATTTTTGAGGCTAAACGGATTTTCCTCAGCAAAAGTCGTATGGGACCTTACTTCAGGTTGTATTTGACTCCGCCCCTGTTTGTGGTCGATTCGAGAGAAAAAGACGTTGTGGACCTAGAAGAAGAGGCTTTGTAGATGGAGATGAATGAGGGTTAAGAGATACGTGCCACGCCTCTTCTCCTCTTTTCCATCTTATGAGCTAGTGATGATCAACTGAAGCTTTGAACGACAATCCGTATTCGTCCTTCATGAGGTCACCTCTCGAAATACTTCAGCTGCATCATAATAAAAATTAATAAAAGTGATAGTTAACGACCACATAAGGAAATCTGAAATGAATTAAAACAGAGTGAGAGAGAGAGAGCATCAGCGAAAGCTGGCTGTGATTACTTGTTTGAAGATCTACCGCACAGCCTCTCCTCCTCATCCTCAACTCCATTACTCACTAAAAACAATATAAAACTTATGAAAAGAAAAACATCTTCTTCATCTTCTTTTACTTCTTTTTCAGAATTTTCTAATTCAGACGAAGCTCATCTGTCGACGAATCATATAAAACCATATTCTATCATTAAAATAAATGATTTCTTTAATGATTTTCATAATGAGTCTGTTAACGATAATCTCATTGTTCATTCTTCTTTCTCTTCATATTCAATATCTTTCTTTCTTCTTCATTATCCTTCATCATTCATCCTATTCATTTTCCATTTTCATTTTACAAATGTGGTAAAGGATCAGTTGTTTGATGCATATCATCATCATCATCATCATCATCATCGTCGTCGTCGTCGTCGTTTACCAAATGTTCCCGAAAGAACTTTTTATGATTTTAGACATTCCAAGACCTCCATTACTGTCTTCTCTTTCAACGCTTTATGACAAATGCCGGTACTAATTAAATCGTAAATGACTACAGAGAGTTTCTTAAGGTCGAGAAAAGACTTTCAGCTAATCAGCATTTACTCATCTTACAATTGCTTTCTTCTCTATAAAAACCATATGGGATATAGTTGGATGATGTTGAAGCTCATAAATTGTTCTGACCATCATCATCATCAAATATAAACACAGCATGATACTGACAATTGCCATTTATTTGGGCTAATGATAGATGTTTGACGTTAAGCGTGCTTACAGTATCAGTCCACGTGGATCTGCAACTTGATGTTGCCATTACCACGTGTTCTTTGCGCTTTCGCGACGTCATTTCATGATTGAGCATGCCCATAGTACGGTTGTTTTCAAGGTAAGTATCATCTTTTAATTTTATTTTCTTTTCCCATAGGTTTTTAAGTTCAACAGATGTGTGTTAACGTCATGCTGCGTGAAATCGCAAGCATTTTTCAATTTTTCCCATGCAGCCTCCACTTAATATGACATTTGCACTGTTTTAAAATCTCCCAATCGTCTTATGAGAATGCAATTCGCGCCTATGAACCTAACTTCATTTGAAATAGTTAAACTAAATCTTTGAGAAGATGTCATGCATGAGTTTGTCAAGAAAAGAAGGAAGTGCAGGTAGCCATGCTACCAGTCAAGATGATAGTCACTTAATATTCAGAAATAAACAAAAAAAACATAAAAGAAAACATGTTGGTCAGGTTGTCGTCGGTCAATGGCGTGCCACATGAAAGGAAAGGTCGATGACGTCACGGCTAGCCTAATCTTAAAAGATTACTGTATTCATTTGAGGATTGTTTGATGATGTAATATGAATGAATACGAGAATGAGGCGACAAATTGTGTGAGAATATTTGAAAAGAAGTTATATCATCGATTCTTCACACATTAATGGCTTAATGTGTATGACTAAAGACAAAACATCCGGTAGTGAAGGTATTTAGAGCTCTTTAACTGAAGTCTTCTAGCTTCATAAGCTCATATGTGTTTACTAAGCGTCTGATATTAACTAAAACGTGTGTTCTTCCAAAATGATAAAGCAGAAGGGGTGGAGTGGGGTGGAAGGAAATGAGAAAAGACCCAAAGATAGAAAGATAGTGAGAGAGAGAGGATGCGGTAACGAACGAAAAAAAGCGTGGAAACAGCTAGCTCGAAGGAGCAAGCACTTCTTCAAAGAAACGACATGAATGATTTAGGAAATATTTTAATCATTCGTATTCGCTCTCTTCGCATTTTCATGGAGAGAGAGGAGAGGGGGGGGGGGAATAGTTGAGTTTTCTCAAAAGTAATCCCAGTCTATTATATGAATCGTTAACAGGTGACTGACTTATTATAACAACAATTACTTTGGGACTGTTGGCTTAATGCAACAATCTGAAGATGACGCAATGTACCTGACTCTTCGTGGACACCTAATTGTCCTTTTTAAAGGAATCAACTTCAATGTCAATGCATTTTTCGTCGCTAAAAAAGGGTTGTATCTTAATAGTTTCTGATGCAATTTAAGAATCTTTGTTATAAGATTCGTCTGTTTACGGTCAATGCTTCTACGAATGCTTTTGATGGTCAGTAGTGACACAAGCTTTCGGCCATTTATCCATTTCGTCACACAAGTCAGGTAGAATAGCTAAAGAGAAAACGTTAAATAGGACGAGAAAAGAAGGCAGAAATACCTCTTTATCTGTGGTAACTGCATAATTGATTAGTCTGAATTTCAATGTTCTTCACACTTTGCAAGAGCAATAGAACAGAGAGGAAGAGGGAGAGAGAGAGAGAGAGAGACAGCTTCAATCCTTTGTTTCGTATACATCAGATATAGCATTCTCCTGCTATTTCTCTCACTTCAAGAATCTTTTGATGAGTGTGTGAGAGATGGTTCAAATCTTGTACCTCTTCCGTTTCTAAATATATTTTATTCATACAACTTTGTCCATTCTTGCATTCAGCTTATACTTCTCATTGTACTCTTGACAAGTAAAATATTTTCTTTTAGGGTCAAACACCCAACGATCCCACAACAACTAAATTAGTTGACAAATCATTTGAACACATATACACATTTATTAAAATAATCAGAAATATGTACATATTCACTAGTTCATAGATTCATCCTCAATGGATTAACGTTTCACAACGTTTTCCTGTATAGCCGATGTTACATAAGCAGGTTAGGGTTGTAGTTGTTCCTAAACAGATTCCTCGTCCATTACAATCTCGAGCAGAATCACAAATGGCTATAAGTGATTAGCCTTATAAGGTTCTTTTCGTTCAAAGCAACTTACTATCTTCGCAATTCTTCCCGGAAAAACCGATGGAACACGCACAAAGGTAAGTTGACTTCGTTCCAATGCAAGTTCCTCGGTTATTACAATCTACAGCGCCACATGATTCTTTCTGAAAATTCAGAACCGTCATTATGTTTTTTCATAGATCGTCTACAGGGATCAAACCATCCAACCCGTTTCCTTGTTTTGGGGTTTGTGTTGACATTGAATCAACCGTGGTGGTGTTGATATGATTCGACTGAAAGAAGAAATTACAAGCTAAAGGTCAGAAATCAATATACCAAGTTTCGAAAATCGCCATCGGCTTCAGCCAAAGCTTTCTGATGCATTGCTCTTGCTTTCTCTTCCATTCGATGGATATCCGTACGGATTTCTTGCAAGTGTGCCTCTGTTATGTTCTTAAAGATCAGTAGATGAGTATCAGAAAGAGAGAGTGATAAGATGGAACCTGGCATTGTATTCCACAAACCCAACTGGTGAGGAGCACGAGAATAACTTTTCTACTCATAATGAGAATCTAGAAAACCAACGAACACTTTAAAACACACTAGAAAAACCAATAAGGCATCAGACTGAACTTCAAAACAACATCAAGAACTCAGATGAAAACTGAATATCAAATCGAGATTAGAAAAATTGGGGATGCCGCTATAGAAAGTGTGACACAACCAGTACCGATCGAAATTATCCGTCATACTCTCGCCTAATCCAATTATGAACCAAGTTGATAATAGGTGGGCGAAGAGCTTCCCCATTCAGGTAATTTTGACAATGCCTCCCAATCTCTCTCACATTCTATTGTCCGTATGTCTATCTCCTGTTCTCACCTCTCGTTGACTACCTATGCTTTTTTTTGGTTCTTTTAACAACTTTTTGCTAACATCATCAGACTAGATTTGGAGAGTAAACGGAATACTCAAGCCAGAACCAGTGAAGTCATTTCGAACGAAAGTAAATTTGCCTTTGAAAACCTGTGGCACAAGGGAGCGTTATCCGGTTCACCGGGAATTAAACATCTGAACATTAGCTTTAGAAATTTATTCCGCTCGCAGTTAAAAATTTAAAACACAATACAACTCTTGTTGCGTTGTTCTACAGGCATAGTGTTGTTCAATTTCTCCAGAATTTCATAAATGCAGTTAAATTCAGCACAGGAATCGATCTTCAATGAGTACCATGTTAAGATTTGGATTTTAACATTCACAACTAACTTGAGTGGTATAGTCATGTTGAGCGACTTTGAGAAGATCATGATTACAAACCTTGGCATATTCTTTCATCCCTTTCAACTGAAAACCAAACCTAAGATTACTACAGAAATACAGAATACCTGATCTTCTTTGGAAGGTTTATGATGTTTGGTGGATACCAAAGAGGAAAGAATCAAAAGTACGAAAAGAAAGGACTTCATAACTTCAGCAAACAAGGAGAAATGTTTCAAGCGTTTGGTTTTCAGTCCCAAGCGCTCGATGCCATCTCGATTTCACATATTGAACAGAAAAAACAGTTCCAACCAAATTTATCAGGTTCTGTTTAGATAATCGATAACATGAAGCTGGGTTTGAATATCATCGTGTTCATGAGCACCGACTCTCTTCATCATTCATATAGTTGCTGTTTGAGGCTAAGTTTTCAAACTTCATAGAACATTGAAAGACATGTCATGACAACTGTTTTAATTGACGACAAATTGAATATCTGACCGAATTCCAAGGAAAAACACAAAAAAGTGTGCCTTTTTCGGTCACTGTCTAGACTAAGCAGAATTCAAAATGGCATGAGGTGACATGAAGTTTTGGTGATTGTTTTCACGTCACAGTACAGGCCTGAAAACTTCGTTCTGATCGCCCCATCATCATAGAACTGTGGCTCTTGTGTTTACTCTCTTTACTCCCTCCGGTGACACGATTTCAGATCAGCAGGTTAAGCGAAGTTTCGGAGCCTTCATAAACTAAATGAAAGCTATTCATCAACGAGAAATCAATCTCTACGAACAACAGATTTAAAACGGAAAAATTGCTTCATCACCACTTAGCTGTTTACCTGAAGAGCTGTAGTGTTTGTGTCTACTCACCTCATATAGAATGTGTCCGCCCCTCCGAAACTTTATGTTTCAATCCCAGCATTATTGTTGTTTTCTTATAATTTGTTAGCCGGAAACCTTCATTGACCATGTTCAATTGTCAGACAGATAATTGATAGACGCTTCAATCATTTCGGCTAACTATGCATGCTACATGCCCGTATCAGTTAAGGTCAAACAAACGGGTTTTTGCTCCACTTCATGGTTTTGGACAAAAAACTAAAATATAAACTGTTATTTTGACTTGAACGATATAATAATACCTTGTGATTCTAAATACGACTCATGCAGAACATCAAGAAAGCATAAATGACATACGTAAAGAACTCATGAAAGGGCGTAGGGAAATGTGACCCAATGATAATGCAGACGTTTTTCAAAAACCAAGCTGCGTTTACACATCTGGACCAACTTGTTTAGAGCAGGAGTGACTAAAGTTACGGTAAGATTTGACAAGCTACTCATCATGTTGTTTACTAAATGTGTTCCTAGAAAATTTTTTTCAAGAAACCATAAACTTCCAAAAATGGAATGGTTATCTCTTTTTCATACTTCCTGATTGTTGCATTCTCTTCTACACGTGGTTTTCACAACTAGTCAATTTGGGAAGAGAAGCAAGGTTTCCGAAATCCTGTGACCAAACGCAATTTGAAATATTCCATATAGTTAAGAATGAACGAGCATGACGACAGTCACCTAGTTTACAAACAACAGGAAGAAGTTAAAACGAAACACACGCTGACACTGAAGAACTTAACCAAAGGACAGGTGTTGAATTATGTGATAGAGGAGATTTAAGCTTCAATACCAAGAGAGTCACTTCTCGTCTTGATTCTTTTTCGCAACATTCGGTCTAATTCATTAAGAGAAAATATAATTGCCATTCTTTCCTTCTCATTTGTAATAACCTCTCTGATTTCTCTCGTTTTTCCCTCTGTTCCCATTCCCGCCTATCTTTCATATTAATATAATTAGTTGTTCTTTCTTACCGTATGCCTCCTGGAAGAAAAATAGGCGTGGTTGATAGTCAAACTGTATACATGGCAGAAGTATAAATAAGAGAGATGGCTAAGAAGAATTGAAGTCAGAATAAATCCATTTGTCTCTTCTCCTTGTAAACTAAAAACAGGAAAAAAACTATATTATGAACGCTAAGTCGTCCAAACGGATTCTTATAACAGGAGCTACATCCGGCATCGGTAAGTATTCATGCAAGTCTCATCTCTGTATTGCACGTCTTCAAATAGTTTTTTGGTAAATAAAAAATAAAGTTCATTTCTACCGTTTTTTTGCTAATTTCTTGCACTCGCTCACATGCAACCGCTCTCTGTGTACCCGTGTTGAAAATGAATTTGCTCTTGTTTGGCGGAATGCCATATGCGTTTCCACGTGTATTTTTTTGAAACATGAAACATCAACCTGAATTAGAAAATCTGATCATTCAGGCTTGGAGACAACATCGAAACTGTGTGCTCTGGGAAATCATGTAACAATCACCGGGCGTACTACTGCGAAATGCGAGAAAGCCATCGAACAAATCCTCACTTGCTGTGTACGTCCACGATTCTGTAAACATCTTGATTGAGTGTTTGATTGTTTCAGCCAACAGCTCATATTTCGTACTTAACTATGGAGTTGGGATCTTTCGAAAGCATCAATCAATGTCTGAAGCAAATGGAGAGTTTACCGTGAGTTCTTCATTCCTGTGATTTTAAAATTAGGAGGCAATGTAAAAAACAATTGAAAATTACCTTGTACACTTGTCAACAAATCAGCCGAAAACATATTCCTACATTTAAATTACATATTTTTAAATACTTGTACTGCTTAGACTTGTCAAAAAATCAAGTTTTTTTTGTCAGATTGTTTGATATAATTATTCTCAACGCTGGTCAAATGTTTCCTGAAAAATGTATAACAGAGCATGGACTTGAAGCAACTTATCAGGTTGGTTTTTTTGGTTGCAAAACTTGAAAACATCACATTATATGCGTTCTTCAGATAAATTATCTGGCGCATTTCCATCTTGCTAAAGCGATAGTAGCAAGAACACCTAAAGAGCATCGGCTGCACTTTGTTATTTTATCAAGTATCCTTATAAAGTAAGAATAATAAGCGTCACACAAACATGTTTAAATTTTTTTAGAGCAATCACTTGGCCTTTCTGGGCCGTCCCAAGTGTTAATAATTGGAACAAGATTGTCAGTGAGGACAGAGAAGAATCTGGATTCCGTGAATACGCGTACAGTAAATACGCATTGACCGTGTTGGCTTCTGATCTAGAATCAGAAAACGTACAGATCATTCTTTGAAATTTGATTATAAACTTGCATCTGTTCTAGGTTACAGCGGTCGCTGTACATCCAGGAAATACGGTCACGCCTTTGGCGCAAAAGATAACAGGCAGAAAGAGAAAGATCCTGTCTATATTCAAATACACCTTGATTCCTTTGGTACGTTTTCTGCTAAGGAATATTGATGATATTCATATTCTCTAGGAAGACGCAGCAAATAATGTCGTGAGAGCGGTTACAAACCCATTACCAAGAGGATATTTCTACATGAAAGACAGTATTGCCAAGCTACCTAAAGCTGTTTTCAGTCCTAAAGACTATAAAGTCATCATCGACACCAGTGAAGACCAAATAAGGATCATGGAGCAAGTTAAAATGTAAAGCCAGCGCCATCATGTGCAATAACAAGCAACAATAAAATAATTTATTTAGAAGAATATTTTAAGTAAAAACCAAGTATGTCTATAAACCCACAGTAATGACCAGAAATAATAAATTACAGAATCTTAGTCCAAGACGACAGTCTTCAGTTGACCAATTTCATGAAGCAACAATTCCTTAGCAACTTCATCGTCCTTATTTTTTATGCAATTGACAACGCCTTTCTGACAAGAAGTAAGCAATTCATGAGTTTTCTAAATAGGCACTTCATTCATAGGCGTTTGATGTCGCATTTACCTGTGGCACAATATCAGATAGTTCCGCGACCAATCTTGCCACGAATTTTCCACTTGCTGTAGTTGGTCTACCAGCCTTGGCCAGTAGAAGAAGTACAACCGTCAAAAGAACAGAAGCAGGATCAGTCTGAGTACTTAGCGATTCCTTCAATTCTTGGATGTATCCTTGAGTCCAAATAGCACTGCAAAGCAAGTAACAAAAAATATAAATATTTTCTTTGGGCCTCACATAGTCTTGTGGTCCGCGGGTTTCAACAAGAGGGAACAACCAGCTCGGGAAGAAACCTTTTCGATAGCATCATGTATATTTTGATAATCGCCTTTTAAAGATTCGTAGAGAGCATTCAATGCTTCCTGCGAACCAGAAGGCAAATTCTTTATTGTCTCATCTCTCTGCTACAAATAAATAATTTTTCTTCGGACAGGTTTTTCCCTTATACCTTTTCAGATAGAGATCCCGCGTTTTCTGTTCCTGAAGCGTACGTAAGAACAGCGGCAGCTAGTTCACTTCCTACAGTTCGTACAATATGGGCAGTCAAATCAGAACCGAGTGGATCTAAAAAGTATCAGTTCGTCGAAAACCATTGAAGGGTTATCAACCTGGGTAAGAAGTAGACGCAGACTCGAATGCACAGAGTGAATCATAAAGGGACTTTGCCTTAGCTTGCACAGCCAAAATGTTTCTTTTTTGGGACTGAGCATCAGCAGTTTGTTGAGTCAACAACAACTCCTTAACTCGATTTCTAAGTTTATCATGAATCTGAAGGAAATTTCAATGAGTCAATAACGAATAGATAATAAACCTGTTCATTCAATTGTTCAGCCACAGATTCAACTAGAGTTTCAGGAAGATCATTTGTCTGGGTTATCCATTCCGTAATGGTCTAAGTAAAGAGTTGAACTGTTTCCGGCAGCCATCAAGATTACCTCGGAAGGTATGGATAAGACGCCACCACTACCCCGATCTTCGTTGTCTGGAGATTTTCCTTTGCCTCCTTTAGCCCCACCACCAGTCTTTCCACCTTTTTTCTTGCCTTTGCCTTTGCTATCTCCCCAATCATCATCCTGCAAATCTCATTTTAATTTAGTGCGAAAGATCAAAGTTTGTCACATCATCAACTTTTCTGCCAACCGAGGCTGTCTGCTTCGCGGAATTTTTCTTTTCATTTTCCATTTTTCCTATCTTAACAACGACAATTAGTTGGAAAGATATTCGTATCCTCAACCTCAGAATGTGCTCTCTTTTCGATCAGTTCTTCCATTTGAGTTAGAACGTCACGCAATAAGTTTACAGAATATAAATAACCATCAGCCGCCGAAATGTTCTATAGAAAACAAATTTCGACTTTCAGTGAAATTGTTTGATACCTTATCACCCTTTGACAGTTTTTGTGATAGTTCATCAACGTCATCAATTTCCAACGGAATTCCAATGTTCTGAACGACATTTTGAACGTCACACACTTTGTTGATCTCGACAGCCTCTGAAGAAAGATTCCAAAAAAATTGTTATTGTCAAATTTCACCTTTTAACGTCTGCACGCATTGGTCGTAGAGAGAACAGGATAAAAACAATGTTGGAAGGCTTTCAACTTTTTTGTCAGTCGTGAACAGAGAGATTGATGCTGAAGTATCAGCCACGCCAACTTTGCGAAGCAAAGATTTTTCTAAATTCGAAAGGTAATTTCAATAATGCTGAGGATGCTTACGAATATACTCGTCCTGACGATAACTGCTTTGTAAATAACACTCGACAAGTTTGTCATGAAGTGGTGGGATGTAAGTACAACTAGGAGATGTTCGAGATCCGGACAATCTTCCAACAATCTTAAAATAGCTTCGTTTTTTACATAACTTCGACACAGTTTTCAAGTTTCACGTGATTAGAATAATGAATTCCCATAACTCTTTTTTTTTTATTTTCCTAGATGATTTCGAGAGAACCGGTTGTTTCGCTGATAATTCACAAAAAAGCTGATTAAATTGAACGAATAAAACTATTTTCGTTTAAATTATATGAAGATGGGTATCATATAAGGTTACCTCTCCTGCTTCCACAAGTTCATCATACGCTGCCCAGAATCGTTTACTAGAGAGATGGACCCGGTTCTGGATTGCAGAAATAGCTGTAGGTCTGAAATGAAAAAAAGTTAGCGGGGAAACAGATGAAAGTTCACTTCGTAACGGAAACAATAACAGCTCGGAGAATATTCTTGTGTTCCTCCAGGTACTCCTTTGTGTAAATCGTTGGTCCATCAACAAAACCGTTGAATTCAGCTGGTAAGTTGTTTAGTACTAATGAGTTTAGCAAATCCTCAAAATCGAAGAGTTATCAGTGATTGAAAGGATTAACTAACGATTGAGATGTCCCAAAGTTTACATAAATTATCCAAAGTCTCTGATCCGTTTTCTTCCAAAATTACACGAAGATCGCTCAGAAGGTTATCAACATATTCCCTGAATATGTCATTTACAAGCAAAATCAAGATGATATTCCTATTACTTAGCAAAGAGCTCTCCTTTACTGAACACGTAATCAACATCAGTTTGGATGATTTCTTTGACAGCTCTGTCAATATGATCGAAGTCGACATTCAATGCTTTAGCAATATCAGTGAGTGAGGCGCGTCCACGGTTAGCAAGGCACTCGTTTTTCACCTGAAATTGAAATCGGGAATTTTGTTGTGATTGATGTGGTAGCACTTCGGTACTCAAATGTTTTTTTGTTACGTAGGAACGTCCATCTCTCGTGAAAACAACATCAATGAGTTGTCTTTCAATAAGTTTTGTTACAACTTCAATACAGTTAGCATCAGACAATCTAGATATAAAAATACATGTCAAAAATTAAAATGATTTTCGTACTTTTTTGCTGACTGCGACAGCTGGACCCGTTGTAGATCAGCAGCCAAACGCTGAATGTCAGCCCAAGTTGTCATCTGAAATTTTCATGAAGCAAGAAAAAACACAGAAAATGAGGTATGATTCCGAAAGAAATGACATTTCCGCAGTGAGTATAAATGAACAACGATAGATTGATTATATTCTTGAACATAAGGTCACAATAAATAGGATCACAGCATTATTAGTTCTCATTTACAAACCCAAGATATATTTACATACATTCTCATCATAATTACCCAAAAAACATATTAAAGTTCTTCTTCTTCCTCCACATTCTTCGCGGTCACAGCAGAAGCTGTAGGAACTACTTCCGGGGTTTGGCTTCGTTCTGAATTTTTCTCACATATATCTTTTCCTACGAATGAAAGCTACCTGTGACCTCAAGATGAGATCTGGTCAAGACAATTTGTAAATCATCACAGCTTAAACCTAGTTTTTCTGCAGTTTCTATACAACTTTTTACATCACAGTTGATCTAGAGAATGAAATTACAGCACAAGTGTGTTCTCAGAGAGTACCTGAGCCTTGATTTTGTCATCATCGGAGACACCTTCTTGAGCATTACCCTTTCTTTTGAAACGGGATAAGCTGGATCCAGTAGCATCAACACCATCCAAAACCTAGAAAACACATGAAAACTTATATTGTTGATTACCTTGCATACCTCTTTTGCTTTCTCACAGAAGTGATTCAAAGCTGATGAGTATATGTTAACGATAACCTTTTCCTTGTCGGGATACTCCGTTTCCTGTTGTAACGAGAGCTTATTTCCAGAAAAACAGAGACACTTACATCAAACTTTTCAGTCAACTTCTTAACGAAAGAAAATGCTTCTCCAACGTAATTAGAGCTTGTTGTAGGTAATGGCTTACGGGTCCATCGATACTGCTTTGGAATATCACAAACACTATCAAGAACCTGTAACAATTAGAAAAATAACATGAAAACAGAAACGCATGGTTACCTTATTGACTTGCTGCTGCACTGAACTAATCAGAGATTCATCATATTTGACACATTCTGCATCAATCAAGTTGCCCAATCGTGTTAAACATTGGCCGAATACTGAAGTATCGACTTCGAGATCTCTGAAAAAAAAACAATTCTTAATATTCAACACTATTCTTACCTTAGTTTCGTCCAAATGTGTTCCAGCGATAAATCAAAGATCTTATTATGAACTAATTTGGCATCTGTTCTTAGATAAAGCAACAACTCCCAAGTATCAACGCCATCTATGGCAACAGCACCCTCCACTACAATACTTCTAAAAAAATAAATTTTAGGAAGAATGAGAAACGGAAAACGTACTGATACATAGCTTTTATCCATCCGTAATGCTTTGAGGCCATGCGTAACGTGAACTCCCATAACTTATCAATAAGGGGAGTCAAGTATACGTCATCATCCCAGACAGTTTCGATAGCGTGTAAAGCTGATTTCGAAGTTGTGAACCATAAATCACCTTCCTTGAAAAATATATTTAGGAGATACTTCGAAGAATCTGTATACCTCTCTCTCACTCAGTAAAGTTATAGACTCAGGAGCCAATTCTGAATCCAGTTTTCGTGTGAATTTATGTGTTTCTAACTTGAAGTACACAGTGAGATTAAACTTATCTCGGATTCCTTTCAACAAAGTTCTTTAAAAACAACTCGTACAATAGCTTGAAAATCAAAAATACCGGCATTTCGGTCCTGTCGGCCATTCAGATATGAAAGCTTGCGTAGCAAGATAGCATTTATGGAAGAGTCGAGTATCACTCGGTACAGCAACTCGTCCTAGCTTCTGAAATCAGGCTGAGAAACCTAATGCATTCTCGCCAAACCTTATCTATGAACGTTTGTATAAATGTCAAGAGAGAATGGTCCAAGAATATCTCAATATTGCCAACAAAGTTCGCTCCGAGTGCACTTTTCCATTCCGATCTCGTCTGAAATTGAAGAAGTAACATGGATTCTTTCTTATGTGTTCACCTTCTCAACTCCTTTGTAAACTGACATCATAGATGTAAAAAGATCATTACTATCTTGTACTAATTTGGGATAAAGAAAATCACCGACCAAAGCGGAGGTGAAACTATCTGTTGACTTGATTACTGTTAATACTGACAAGATCTGCAGATAGAGAGTGAAAGCCTGGGCTCTTTCAATAAATTTACCAATGGAAAAGTGGCACAATCCGAGTCCAAACTTTTAACTCCCTCCAAACAAAGTTTTTTATCGAGTTGTTGCAACACCTCGAAAGAAAGAAAAGTCTGATTAAATGATAGATGAATAACCTTTGTTTTTTGTTGGTGCTCTTTCTCAGTTAATAACTCTTCTTCATGAGTAGATATGTCCACTATACATGAAGATACTTTTTCCAACCATAACAAGCTTGGAAGGCCTGAGGAGTTCTTGATTAGACTATTCAGACGGTTCAAAGATGAGATGAACGCAATTCTATTTCTTAATGCACTCTATAATAATATAGTTAAGAAGTTTTATGGAATGCATCAGTTTATACTTGTGAAGATCTGTTGGCTGTTAATTGTTCACAGTTTATTTCTACTTTTTCCGCAATACCCACTGCATCTCTCGTACTCGACTCGAACTCTGTCCAAACTCCCTAAGAGAAAATGAGTTCAATGGGTAATGATGCTGATTTACCGTTAAATCTTTATCCAATTTGTCTATATTTGAATGAAGACATACTAAGTTCGAGGACAAGTGTACAAAATCAGCATAGTCATCGTTGATAAGTTCTATCATTGAATGTTGTAGGCTTTTCAGATAAAGTCGGAGGTCTTTCTGAATCTGATCAAGTCCAGCTCGTCTCAAAAAACATTCTTCAAAGAAGAAACATCAGACACAATGATTACCTCCGAGTTAAGTTCATGAAACGTTGAACATTGAAATCAGGTCTACTGAAGTGTGTCTTCGAGAAACAGAGCTGAGAATCATCAATATTGAACGTAGAGGGAGCGAATATCCGCGGCGAAGCTACCTCTGTAGCTTCCATGTTGAATCAATCTATAAATGAGGATCTTTAACAGATTTTAACAAGCTTATATGAGATCATGCGAATTTGGTTACGGTTGATTCTTAAAATTTGGAACGTTTGTTCCCCAGTTGGTTTGTGAATAATGCAGGAATGATCCTACATTTTCGTTGAAACGGCTGTTAGTTAAGTTCTTATTTGAATAATGTTTCTCAATGTTTAAGCGTTCTGTTTCTTGTCTGTACGTTATCTGTTGGTAAACAATTTCATTTTTCGAACTTTCAGTTATGAATGGGGGAAGCATACCAAGTGTCTCTAATTATGTGAGAACATCTATAAAACGAGAAGGAAAGTTTGATGCTATCCGAAAGCAAGAATTAGCTGTATTAGAAAATAGTGATATTATGAATGTTCTGAAGGTATAACAGTTTTTATCATATTGACCAAATGTTGTTTTTTGCAGAATGATATCGAACGGCTTGTTAATGAGTTGATCAAGGATATGCCAGCCAATAAACAGAGAGAGCAGGTTCAGAATAAACTCCGAGAATCTTTGCGAACTCCTAGGTTAGTAATTTCGAGTTAACTACTTATAACGCTTATTGGTAGATTTGAAGCTCCAATAAAAAATTCTGTTCATTCACATGTGCACTCTGGTGCGATTCAGAATGATTTGGAGGAAGATTTACGGAACAAGGTATCGTTGAACTCTATGACGTACATTACTTGAATCGTTAGATACGAGAAATATACGGATTGCCTCCAAGTTCTGATCAAGAATCTGATAATAACAAACAGGAGGAAGACGTGGACATCATGACCGTTTAACCTCAAACTGATCTCATATAATTAGCTGAAAAGCAATAAATTGTAATTGTTTGCAAGACTGACAGAGCCGGGAAATTTGTGGCTTTTGACTTCTTGGACCTCTAGGTGATCTCATCCTCAAACAACTGTCATATAATGGCTTTGTAAAAGTCTCATTCTCTAGCGTTTTTAGAAGTTCGAATTTCTTGTCGAGTTCTTGAACTCGTGTTTTAAAACCAACAGAACGGTTGCATTCCAATCAAAAAAAAATTTTTATTCAACATTGCGTTTTATAAGCAGAAAATATAAAAAAATTTTGAATAAAAATACATTTCCTATGTATATTATTTACATTTCTTCCAATATTTTTACATGACAATGGTCATTCGAATCCCTAGCATAGCATTATACCGGTGTTGCTTTCAAAATATGTACATAACTGGTTTGAGCAAAAAAAAACTAAATGAACTGTACATGGAAAAAAAATAAAACTATTTACAATTATATACAACTATTTGGGAGAATAGCTGACTCGCTTATCTCTCCAAGCTCCGTAACCACGCTTCAGGTTTTGAAGAGCACGTGGTTTCTGCAAAGAAGAGTAAAGATGATCGAAACGAGATAACGAACCTGTAAAGCACGTTGCGTTGCCTCTTCTATTTTCGAAGAGTTTCTCCGCACATATAAAACTGCATCTTGCTGCATCTGCTCCAATCTAATAAAAGAACTATGGAAACTATACATCAATCTTTTGTACCTGTCAGGATCAATTTCATCTAACCCATATGGGTATGTCATGTATGGATTCAATCTGAAATAGTTGAATTAGGAAAGCCGATCAAGTACCATCTCACCTATAATAAACGTCGGCATCAATCAAATCATGCATACTCATATGAACGGCTTCTGTATCTGTAGCACTATCTATGAGCCTTGCTAATTTGTTTTGAACTCCTGTTGATTTCACAGTGGGAGCTGGCTCAAGTTCCACAACCTAACATAGAACCAATCACAGGTGATAAAGTTTTTTTCTTTCTCATACCGATCGTCCGTTCCCAACCGAAACAACACAATGTAAACTTTCATTTGGCCATAAAAGTTTAGTTTCGTGTATAGCAATTGCAGTTGGGTTGTTGGCGATAACCTTGAAATAGAACTTATATTTTTAAATCAAAGCCTTCAACCAACTCCTCCATCTTGCAGTAGGATTTCTCCAAGCTGCACCTCCTCGAAGTAAAAGGGAGCAGCAGCAGATGCTTGAATAGCCTGCCACAAAGGATGATTGGTTCCACCTCGATAATGAGAATCCCGACCAGCAGGATGTTCGTAGTTCCGAAAAACATAAGGCTATAATACATTAGTTAGTTAAATGCATAGACAAGATATAGAAACCTCTAATTTAGGCAGATTAACAATAGAAGCTATGATTGAGAGCCTGGGTATACCTTTCTCTTTGCTTGTTTCAATCAAAATGTCATGTTCACCAATCAACTGTAGCATATGGTCAATAATGAATAATTGGAGAAGAGAACTATCATACCTGCTTCAATATGGCAATCCACTTCGTGGTGTCATAATAAGAATGCTGCCTTATGAGGCCAGTGACTCCTTGGATTTTACCCTGATTAAACAACCTAAAAACGTCAAAATTAATTCCTTCCTAACCAGCTCAACTTACTTCCTAGAAATTTCCATATAAATATCACGACATTCTTTCACGGAATAACGTTGTACTCCTAACAAGGTAGCAATAATTGCTCCAGTACTAACACCAACAACGTGATCAAACAATTCATAAATCTAAATAACAAATGTCTTCAGTTTTGTCCCACAAGACTTACTTTCTTTCCTGATATTTGTTCCATATGCTCGAGGATTGCTAACCCCATCATACCACGGGTTCCTCCGCCATCTATGGTCAGTAAATTAATACCTAAAGGAGGAATTAGAATATAAATAAAGTGTGTTATTACCTCTGCTTTTCACTTCAGGCTGATGTCCACATAATGTGAGACATTGTCGAGCTTCATTACGAAGATTTTGATCAGTAGCAGTCTCTTCTAACTTCAATAAATACGAAACAAGGGAAGACTCCTTAAACAGATCCTTGTATAGTTATACAGAGTAGGTTACTTACTTGAGCTGCTGTGCATCTAGTTGGTGGGTAAGTCATAATATGATTACTTAAGTCTTGAATTCTTAAAAGACGAGAAGCGTCAGACTCAGACAGCAGCAATCGCTTTACTAATCCGCGAGTCTAACAAGAACATTACAAAACGAAGTGATAAGCTAAGTTCTCACCTTATTAGTAACTTCTGTACGAGAAATTTTTCTTTCTATAAGTCTATCGGCTTTACTGAAAAAAACTAAGTTGAGATTATTTCTATGATATATATTGTTATACACTGCTTTAACTGGTGCTCCTGCTGTATTTGTTTTCAGCACGGTAGTTTTTTGATCGGCCAAAGAGATTTTTGGAAGCCCAATGTTAAAATTAAAAGAACCCTGAATAGAATATGAGTAAGAGTAGTTGAATAACAACGTACTTTAGGTAACAACGATGTGATTGCCCCTGAAAGGTATCCCAAATAGCCTGGAGGTGGCGGCAGAGGATGAATAGCAGACGAAGTGACATTACTTGTGTTCTGTTCAACACTGAATGGAAAACTCAAAATGTAACTTTAAATGGAAAACTAACCTGGCAGGTTCTTTGGTTATCGGTCTCTCAGGAGAAAAAAAGAAACGTCTTACGCTTTGTTTAGGTAAACGACATGGCGAAGTTATCACCATCTCCTTACAAAATAGAAAATAAGCAAATTTAGTTGGAATAAAGCATAGAAATATTCATAAGCTCGATATAAACTAGACAAGGCGGCGGCTAAATGAATATTGGGATGGGTAGGCGTGTCAGTTGAGATAGAGAGAAAAAGAAAGAGAAGAGAAGAAGAGAAAGCACGTGGTGTTAAGAGAATGTCCTCTTCAAAATCAGACCACCTTTTGTTCGTTCAGGCAGTTCATTTTAAGCACAAAAGTTCAACTTGTAAACTTCAAATTGTGATTAAAAAACAAGGAAATTTCATGAAATCGACAACGGGTTAGGTCAATGTCGACATTGCGCCCCCTCGCGCATGAAACTTGTACGCATTTCACAAAGGTCAATAATGTCTTTTTTAGAAACTGATAAAATATGAATGTTCATTGGCGCAATCTTGATACCAAATATAAACTTCAATCATTCGCTGTCTTCCTTATGCTTTACTGGAAGTTTTTTTTTTTATTTTGTCCCGCCAAAACTGATTTTAGTATGGCTTTTTAAAAATCAATGATTTATATTTAGTGCATATTGGATTGATAGGATCATGAATGCATGAAAAAGAAATCACAATTGCAAAATGGGGAATGATCACAATAAATAATAAGAAAAGAACGTAAAACTAGAGAATATTTGGAAAAGAGGCAAGGACTTGCTCATTGATGGTCAGATGATGGTGGGACCAGCGTTCAGTCGCCTCCTCTCGGCGTCTCTTCACGTGACATGCTCTTTCTAAATTCATTTCATTTCAAACAGAAGCGGTGGTCGGTCGGATTTTAACACAAAATCTCGAAAAGTACAAATACTACGTTGAACTTTGAGAAAGTTGGTATTGCCTTTATAACAACTGCAAATACATGTATGCAATAATTGAAAACAACTTTTTTCCGGAGGTAAAACAACGTTCGCACTGTAGGTTAGATATGAACGTAACTTACAAAAATGCAACAATAATTTCATTTAACAACCCGGATTTTCAATATCGACTTTTATATTTTTTTTAGTTTATCATGCGAAAACGCATATAATTAAGCGTATAGCAGGTGGGTATGTCGTGCAAAAGAGAGGGATTCATCGTTTGGGCGGGGCGACGCAATGGTCTGTGCCGCGTCTCTTTCTTCAAAGGCTATAGAGTAGACTCGTTCCCTCTTCTATACTCACCTTTTTTGTGTTTTTTTGTACTTTGAATCAAAAGTAGCTTTTTGAAAGTGTTTCTCGCTTGAAAACCATTTTAATCGTTTTCACTTTATTCATAAATTATACTAAAAATTTTCTTTTTTTTAGTTTGTGGTTGTTTTCTCTTATCTTGGATAGCTCATGGAGCTGCATCCTAGACATGGCACACTTTTGAAGAAAAAACAAGAACAGTGGGCTAAAGAAAGAGGTAATAGCGTTGTTTGTTATTTTGATACGAGGGTATCTATTAAAGCCGATAAGGAACAATCTGGGGAATGGTATCCATTTGGGTCTCCAGGCGGAGGATCACCTAATCGAAAACATACTACCATCTGCTACGATTCCAAATCGAAAGAGGTTAGTTCAGTTTTGGGTAACTTTCGTTCGCTTATATTTTCGTCTTTCTATTTGTTTTATTAACCATTTTGCTACGTGATAAGCTCATTTTTCTTTTTTATACCATTTTCCTCCACTTATTTGATAGCGTCTTTATCATCTTGAACAGAATGTCAAAAATTGTTTTGGAGTATTCTGAAAAGAAATGTAACGCTTGCGTAGAATATCGTTTCATATCTTGCTAAGAAAAATCGTAGATGTAGATCAGTTCCTAGCCATCATCTTCTTTTTCTATTCAGCATTCTTTTTCTCTGCTGAATAGATAACTCTGCTCTATAGAAACGAAACCGGATGATGTGTTTCTTTGGTGGTGGAAAAGAAATGCCGTTTGATACAAGACAACCTCTCATTCAATCTCATCCTATAAATTGCTCTAATAGTATTTTACTAGTGTTATGATGTGATGGGTGTAGATAAGATGTTTTGGTCCAAGGTGAATGAATCGTCTGGCATTTTATCCTTTTGTCCTGATGAGTATCTACCGCAATATTTAGCCAATCTTTGTTAACTTATCTAATAAGATGTACAGAACCTTGATCATTTCCGATTATACTGAAAGAGTAGGAAACTGATACTTATTCTATGTTTTTAGAGAATATCTTTGTTTTCATCTGGATTTCTATTATGCATCCAAGTTTCAGAAGCTCTTATTTGCATTATAAAAATATATCTTCTCATACAATCTGACTGTTGACTCAACTGCGCTTCTCGCTTTCAGCATAAGCTCATTTTACGCTCGAGCGAGGTCTCATAAGTAATTCATAAATGGTCACAAACATCCAAACCGCTTTTTGAAATGGACTTTTTGCCGTTTTCCCCTTTTTAATCAAATTTCGAATCTTTTTGAAAATCCCAAGCCAACTATTCGTGTTCGTCTTTTGTTTCTCTTTTTGTCGATTTTCTCATCAATCTTGTTCATAAACACCTTGACTCAGTTCCCTCTTTTCTTTTTGTTTGTTCAACTTATTTCACGACTTTCAGTTTATGATATTCCTTCTTCACGCTGTTGATATGATCTTTTGTATTCAAATAGAATATTTCATAATAGAATACTATCAAAACATCATTGTAACTCAAATGTTTTTCTTTTAGGATACACACCATGTCCCCACAGCATCATCTAATGAAAACACATCACAAGTAAGAGGAACAAACAATTTAGCAACAATCTTTTATTCTCTTTAAGATGGCGGATCCCACAATTGATTCATCAATGAGACAGATGATATCGCCCACACCTGTAGATAACGTGCCCTCCGTGAAGTTGAATGAAAATAGTTTCGCTTGGGAACAATTATAACTTTCAGATCTCAATCGGAAAACCCTAGTGCTCAGTTTCGTCCATATCTAGTACCTAATGTGAGAGTAGAGACAGTTTCCCCTTTTAACACATTTTCCTTCTTACAGTCCTATAATCCCAATGTACATGCTTGGACTAACCAAATGCAATATGCATATAACCTGCTCCCCCCTGGGATGATCCCTATTCCAATCAGCGTAACTTTTCAGAGAAGACATCGTTCACTCTAGTTTCTGTTTTTCTAGGTACCCTTACAACCACCTGTATCTGATGGAAACAAGGATTCATATTACGCTCCCATCATTCCGGGATATACCGGCAACTTTTACTATCCACCAGCATTATATAACAATACATCCAGTAATGAAGAAATCTTTATTTCCTGTTTCATTGTTATTGTTTCAGATCAATTCAAAATGAACCCCACTGATCAGGACAATAACAATTCGCAGTCAGGACCTGCAAACAGTCAGCCGTCTCGTGCCTCATCATCAAGTAAGATATTTTCCTCACTTCACTATGAGAACATGGCAGTTTGTCTATTATTCTTGACTAAACTTTTGTAGATCAGTCGCTATCTCCAACGTTTGACTCACGCTCTAAAGATCCAAGTCCTCGTGACCAGGAAGAACAAAACCAAAAGTATTGTTTAACCAAATTTTTATGTAAAACACGCATTGTTTAGTCATCAGAAAGAGAATGATGAAAATCGTATAGACTGTGAAGAAAACTTTTTCATTGATCGTAAACTAAGAGAGGAGAATGAAAACCGTCGTCACCAAGAAGAAATAGAAGCATTGAAGAAGGTGGGAAATATATTTTACATAATGTAAATTTTTGCTCCCCTCTGTTCAGAGACGTGAATCACAATTGGCAGAAGCTTTAGAAAAGGCAAAACATGAGGCCGAAGTGTTGAAAAAGGCTAAATTGTTCAAACACGTTTTAGAGGGCAATAATCGAAGTCCTGAATTGGAGGAGAGAATCTTAGGTGTAGACAGCACAACAGGAAATCGCATATTGAATGAAGTAATACACCTAGTAACTATGTAGTTAAGTTCCCATTCACCTATTATAGATCAACCAATGGGAGAGACACAAGAAAAGAGAGCATCAAGAGCTGGATAAAATACGCTCTAGTCGTAAAAGTCAAAGCGCAGGTGGAAAGCCTACAAGTGCGAGATCGCAGGTAAATTCTTGTGTTCGCCTATTTACTTACAATGAGACAGATGCGTCGATTGTTTAAGTTCCTCCTCATCTTTTTTATTTATCATTATGTCCAGAGCGGTTACTACACAATCAGCTCTTAACTAACATTTTTGCAATTAGTTCAACTGTTTTGAACATCAGCTGTCCGAAATTTTCGAATTAATCTGTCACTGTCGTTTTTATAAATTCTCATTAAAATACGCTTTGTATAATGATGACGCCGACACTTTTTCCAGAGTTCCCCAGCTAAAAGTCGTTCAAAATCTATGGAAATCGATAGTGGCAATGAGTATTGCCAACCTCACCATTTTAATCCCTCGCAAGACTTCCACAAGCAATCCCGAAATGGTTTGAAGATCATTCTTTTGCCTTCTATAGTGTTTGCTTATTACCAGAACCGGCCTCGCGAAATCAAAACTCTCACATTCCATTGTCCAGAAATTGTCAGAATAGGCTGTCCTTACGCGCTCCAAAATCTATGTCAGTAACAAAGTAAGAAATTCCAACCATTTATTTTCCCTTTGTCTTTCGAAATCTTATAATTTGTTTGATTAAGGGACGAAATTCGTAAGAATCCCTCCATGATGAATATGTTGTCCTCATCTCAACAAGCGAAAAATTCCACATTTGCATCTCCCCGAAATCAGTCCGAGTCTCGCATTCCTGTGCCACAATCTCGGAAGTAAGCAATTATTTTTAGACTCGTTTTAAATATAAATTCAGACCAGCTCATTTGATAACACAAGATCACAACGTCATATCACCCAGTACGAATCATATCGAATACCAGGTAACATCCTGATAATTAATCTATTTGTTTCTCTCATATAAAAATTCACTGTTATGTTAAAACCGTTATTTTCAGCCTACGCCTTCAAGTGCAAGAAGAACATCTAAAAGATTTGAAGATAAGAATCTCTACAACGATCAGAAGGTACGTGTTTATTGATTAATTGCACTTCGTGCAATTATTTTCAAGTTTTCTTATTCTTGTGCTCTATTTCGAAATCATGCTTGCCTTGATAATTGATCACTTTTCTTCTCCTTCAAGGGAATAATTGAAAATGATTGACTAATCATATGCTTTTACATCTGTTCCTTTGTATCAACAGACGTGACTCATGCCATTAGCAATTTGCCTTATGTAGATTTTAGCGACCATTCTGCTGTACTTTGCTGAACATTTAGTTAACGTTCTCTACATATCTAATTCTTTTGCAAAGCGTTGAAAATTCTTTTCATCTTTGATATTCACATGACTTTGCAATGCTCCTTATCTGAATTAGTCTTTATGACCCTCTAAAGATTGTCTGTTGCGTTTTCAAGCTGTTATGTCATGTTCAACTCCTCTTTTTTGAAGCATGATAAGTATGCGGTCAATCAGCGATAGGGGTTTATAGTCCTATCATCTGCGTCAATGTGCTTCCTTTCTTTCTCACGAAACGTTTAATATCGAACAAGCTGTTGTTTTTTCTCCCGAACAAATGTTTTGATTCCCCACCCAATCCTTGTCCTGTAGTACATAGAGAAGACGGAACTTCACATATCATCATTCTTATAGGGCGTGCTTTGTAATCCGATTAGAATTATTTAATGATTCTTATCGGGATGAAATTCCTGAGTTCCTTGAGTTATTTCTCCATCGCGTGCCAATGAGAGCATTCGAAATATGATCCGTTTGTTTGTTTACTCAACGGTCAGTAGAATCCCCTAGTCTGCAACTTTATTTACAATTTTTGTGTTGCATCACAATATTATTCATCCTCCAAAGCTTACTTAAACGATTATAAAACTGTTGAGATGACATTGATTTAATGATTTCAACATCTCCTTCTTCACACATTCAGTAGACAGCTGCTATTGGTCACCAAGAGGGCCACATGTGTACATTTTTTATCCGGTGTAATCATCCTCTTAGTTTTTCCTTTGTGTGCAAACACTTCCTACCCGTCTATAGTCTGAAAGCAGTTACAGTTTGTAGAAGATGTGGTTTTACTTGTCCCTAACAAGGCCACAATATGTCAATTAGCCCCACTTTCGACACATCAGCCATATATAGATAAATATATATATCCATTCCATTATTCTTGAATATCACTTTTGAGGTGATTCGTCGTTTGCAAAAGTCGAATAGCCTTATTTTCATGATTCTTGTGTTATCTTTCTTCTGTTCCTTGTTCTTACTCCCGCATAGAAGGGTGACCTTCGGCAAGTTTATTGCCTACACGCACCTTTTTTCGTAGAGTAATGATTTATTTTATGAATATTTTCCTTAAATAGCTTGTTCGAACTGCTGGGTTAAATGATTCATTCCTTGACCATCTTCAGAATCCTCTATTGAATCCGATCGCCACTCGTAAGATGCGTCCTACGATGAAGACCTTGTCAAATCTTAGTGGAACTGCTGGCAGTCTTGACAGCAATGAAGATAGTAGCAGCGGTTCCGAGCATGTCTCGCCCAAGTAAGTTTCTTAGATTTTATACAAAGTGCAAGATTTTTACCGCATTGCAACGTTTCAGCGGATCTCCAGTTCCTTCCATTGTAATAGATACATCACCATCCAAAAAATCTGTGGAGAATGATATTCAAAGTACACCACAAACTCAGCCACAGACCCCGGTATTACAGCTTCTCATTATTTGTCTGAACTTCTTCTTTTAGAAAAGTTACCGGAATGTACTTCAATCTCCTAATTATGGGACTCCAGCCAACGGTGGTCTAAGAGCTGCCATTTACAAACAGAAAATCACACAAAAGGGGTGTTCCACACATGACGAGGTATTCCAAAAGTATGTAACTCTGCTTAAATATTTGTTTATCAGGATACATTGTCCCCTGACGTGAGAAGAAAGGCTGAAGCTTCTTTATCAAGAACGTCATCGATGAATTCACTGAAAGGCTCCATTTCCAACTTAAGAGGCTCAATGTTGAATCTCAATATGAACATTGAAGAATCTCCAGCTTTCAATCGATTTAAAAGCATGGTAACATATTTTTTCTTTGATATTGATTGATTTTTTCAATTTGCAGAATCCAGCGTATCGCTCTTTTAATAATAAAAAATGTAGTGAACGGCAAAAACAGACGTTAGAGAGATTAGCTCAGTTGAGAAAAGAGTTCCGATCAACAGAGAACTTCGTTGGTCGAAACACATTGGCTATTCCTACGACTCCAGTGAAACCTTGAAGCTTTAAAGTTGAATTGTTGAAATTGTTTCACTCTACAAATCACTTATTGTTTATGTCACTTCCAAGCGTCATATTAATAACGACTAAGTCGAATAATATTTTCTTTTTTTCCTCGCATTATTTGAACTGTGAAGATTTTCCTCGTAGCCTGATTAAGCTCTTGCCTGTAGTGCTTCTCTCATTAGGTTCAATCAAGAATACCACAACTTGAAAACTATTGTTATATCGATCTTTTGTCATTTGATTTTACGGATAATTATTGTATCATAGAGGTTGTATAAAGAATAAACTTTTTTGTGTTTACTTTGCTCTGATTTTGTTTTTACTAATCCTTGGAGTTTTCGATAACATTTCGAGAAATTAATCCTTGTTTTCATTTGTAAGCTCCTTACCCTGATAAGATTCAAACCGTCTCAAAATGTACCGAGATGACGCCGAAAGACGCCAAGTGCTAATTAGCATAAATTTGAATTTTTACGTGGAAACCGTGAGACTTATGCTAATGAAATGAGCTAGCGTCTCTTTTCCCATTCAAACACAAATTCCCCTGACGATCAGTTCTTTAACTGATTAAATCGTACTTAACGATATTAAGGAGTTACTGATTCTTTCAAGATGCCTCCCGCTATAATGATAGCTCCTCCTTCGGAGAGTCCTCTGAAAATTACTCCCAATGCGAAAGATGTGAGTCGATCCAATTGAAAAAAAAAAAAATTTTATATTTTAGTGGAATGCAACTTTTCCTAGTTCGTTCGATTGTAAGGATGAATCCGACCTGTTTATGTCCCGCTGCTTGTATGTCGCCTTCTCTCACATCTTAGAAAGCAGACGTCTGATCCCTCCAGAAGTGTTCAAAAAAAGAACTATCGAAGGTTATCTTAAGCATACTCTAAATCTAGCAATACCCTTTCAGATGTGGTGAAAACTTATGTAATGAACTTGAAACATCCATTAGGCTTGAGGATAGCTAATAAGTTCCGCGGAGCTGGTGAAGCCATCAAAGCTGGCTATATGGATACCTTCGTACTCGTGATTTCGGAAAATGGTCAAAATCCTGATGATGCTATCGAAGTTTATACTTGGAAAATGCATTACAATGAGGATGGAACTTGCAGTGCCTCGCTGTCTAGGTTTTCTTTCAAAATTTTCTTATAAAAGTTTCGAGTTTTACAGTCGTGATCAAGAAGCTTTGGCCAACATTGTCTATACTGGTCCGGAATCCGTGAGAAAACAAACTCGTGCTCTCTTACAAAGAGTCCGCTTTGTGTGCCGTAATTTACTGAGCTCTCTTCCTGATGACGTGTGCCCATCATTCAGAATAACCTACACCAAAAGTATATAATTATATTCTTATTAATCCGTTTCTCACGTTTCTGTTTCAGATACTCCCAAAGGCTATCAAGCAGAAGGTTTCAAACCTCATCCTAGAATGGAAATTTATAATCTGGATCAAAGAGCTAAAGATGTCAATATATCCGGAGTAGCAACTGCTCATACTAAGTTAGTAGTAATCATTCATAGTTAATTAACCATACCGTATAGGATGCTGCTTTCCATCAAGAGTATTTACATCGACGATGAATATACATTCTGTTGCCGACTTAACGAAGTAGATCATGCTGACGTCGGAGATGTTTCATTACTAAATATGAGTGTTGATAACCACTCTTCGGACGATTCAATCGAACAAGCTCGCCATGAGGTACACTCTGTGTTAAAAATAACTCACCAAATTTTCAGATGAACTCAAGTGTTGAATCTATGACAACAGGAAAACCGCGAAGAGGCAGCAAACGTATGATCAAGATTGATGAAGGTGATGTAATTCTCGTTAATCCCTAACTTTACTTGTAGGCGCTAAACTAAATGTGAGCTCGGATCTTCGTACTTCTCGTAGAGGAGCCCCGAAAAAGGTTAATCGAAATCAAAAGGAGGTAATTTTTTTAAGTTTACTTTCTTCCATAAATAATCACAAACAGAAAACTCCTATCGAACTCAACTTCCCTGGTTATGTAAGCGATGTTACCAAACTGTCCCCGGAATGCACTCCTAAAAAGTGATCTGAATAATCATTGTTCTGTGAATATGTTGAATTTATACTTGTGCCTTAAATAAAAATGTTCTATCTGAAGTGTTTATAACTCGTAAAAATACGTTGACTTGTACTTCAGGAATACTAACATTTTAGGACATAGGTAGTATGAATAATTGATTAGTCCTTAAGCGAAAATATGCGAGCTGTTTACACCAGCTTACTGTCTACAAAATTTAGGTATGCATAACGAGACTCATTATGACGTATCCTAAAATTTATTTTGTAGTTTGTAGTTTACATAAAATAATTTCCAGCTTCATTATACGGTAGTTTATTATAACATTTGAAACATTTTTACATCTCTTGATGGCTTGCAGTAACTCCATTTGTTTTTCCAAATGATAACGCTGTATCACTAGCCAATTCGAAAAACTTCATCTTTCATGTCTTTGCTACTAACATTCATCACTCTGTCTGTTCTTTTAAAAATATCTTAACATATTTCAGGAGAGTCTATTTGAAAAGACAACCGCGGGTCGAGAATGCCACCGGCTGTTATGTCGCCTAGTACCGAAAGTCCTGTGAGGGCAGGACCCGGTAAAGACGTGAGAGAATACTTCCCAACGAATTTTCGTTTCATATAATTATAGTGGAATGCAACGTTTCCTAGTACGTTCGATAGGAAAGAAGAATCTGATCTATTTATGTCCCGCTGTTTGTACGTCGCCTTCTCTCATATCTTAGAGAGCAGACGTTTGGTTCCCCCTGAAGTGTTCAAGAAAAGAACTATCGAAGGTTGATCTTAGCTGGGTTTATCATACATACAACTTAATTTCAGATGTTGTGAAGACTTACGTTATGAATCTGAAGCATCCTCTAGGCTTGCGTATAGCTAACAAATTCCGAGGAGCTGGTGAAGCCATCAAAGCTGGCTATATGGACACCTTCGTTCTTGTTATATCGGAGAACCGAGACAATCCTGATGATGCCATTGAGGTTTATACGTGGAAGATGAATTACAATGAAGATGGAACTTGTACTGCCTCGCTCTCAAGGTTTTTTTCTATCAAAAATTATCTGCAAATTAGTTCCAAACATTATAGTCGTGATCAAGAAGCACTGGCTAATATATCTTATAATGGTCCGGAATCTGTGAGAAAACAAACTCGTGCTCTCTTACAAAGAGTTCGCTATGTGTGCCGATCTTTGCTTGGTCAACTTCCCGAAGACGTTTGTCCATCGTTTAGGATAACCTACACCAAAAGTATGTTTATATCTATTTATCTTCCCGTGATACTATTTTTCCAGATGCTCCTAAAGGCTATCAAGCAGAAGGTTTCAAACCTCACCCCAAAAAAGAAATTTATTCACTAGATGAGCGAGCCAAGGATGTGAACGTTTGCGGAGTAGCTACTGCTCATGGCAAGTAAGTAACACTCTCATATTTTGTATTTTTGATTCATTTTGCAGGATGCTCCTCTCTATCAAGAGTATTTACATCGATGATGAATATACTTTCTGTTGCCGACTTAATGAAGTGGATGATTCCGAGAATGGAGATGTATCTTTATTAAATCAAACAGTAACAAATGATTCGTTCATGAACGATTCAATTGAACAAGCTCGCCTAGATGTAAGGCATAACGTTTCACTATCTTTTAAAGAAACTGTATTCTAGGGAATGGATTCTAGTTCCGAGTCAGTAAGCTCAGCCCGAACAAGACGAGGACAGAAGCGTGCCTTGAACAAGCTTGATGAGAGCAGTTAGTTCTAACGTTACGGGCTCATAAATCTTGTTTTTTATTTAAGGTTTAGTAAGTGATAAAACACCAGAACCTGTTCGTCCAACGAAACGAGGACCTCCGAAAAAAGCTGGAAGAAACCTCAAAGACGTAAGAACTCACTGAAATCTAAAAATTGATCACGTGTGTATTTCAGAAATCTCCCATGGCCACAACGCCCGGATATGTAACTGATGTCAGAGCTCTTTCAGCTGAATCGTCACCTGTTAAGTAATTCTGTGTGAATGCTCATTCTGTTAATAATAATCTGTAGACTCAAAGTGTTTTGTTCTAGTTTGTTATATAGTTTTGAATATTAACTTCAGTAACGCTGTGCGATAATTTTCTTAAACGACCTGCTTTGTAAAAGTGTTTATCTCATTTATCTAATTTGAGATTGTTTGCCAAATTCCATGTGTATGTCTTTCTGTTTTTTGATTATTCCTGTGCCATGAAATACGTACTTCAATAAACATTTTGTTTGAAAAACATTTTTAAACTACTCGTTATCAAGATCAGGACGTTTTCGAAATGTTACCACGTCCCAGTGCGGACAAACCAGTAAATGTCAGTCATGGATAATTGGCGGTCAAGCTTAATCGAAATTTTCGTGTGTTTCAAAACCTATGTATATGCTGTCTTTTATATAATATTAGAACTGACTTTTGAGTCCTTCGGTAGTCCGATTGAACCAATGTGAGTTTCTATCCACTGTTTTAAGCTTTTAAATAAGATGATTCTGTAGATTATTGGAAGAAATTGGATGTTCCCCAGTTTTTGAGAAAAGCAAGAAAGTTGCCATCATCACTGGAGCTGATGGAACACTAGGCTCCGAGGTGAGGAAGTTTCCTATCTTCTAACTCTTCATTAATATATAGATCGTGAAAAGTTTATTGTCACGAGGATTTAAAATTCACGCTCTTGTAGGCGATAAAGAGAGGGTTCGTAATATTTTTTTCCGAACTAAGTAAAGCTGATTTTTAGGCGAACAAAGTTTTTAAAAGCGAAACTGTTGCTATCACGAAGGAGAAGCTGATAATCCATGCTACTAGACTTGATGATCCCTTTGAGGTAACCGATTTGATTGTGTTTGGTCATCATTCTTGTACCGAAGGTGTTGGATTTTGCCGAAGGAATGGCTTACAAAGAAAGTCCCATCAATTTAATTTTTCTCTGTGCTGGAGTAATGCTTGTTGAAGAACGAGTAAGTTTACTTAGTCTATGTAGAAGTTTATTCACTTAATCAGTATATCGACGGGGTTGAGAGTCACATGTGCATCAATGTTGTTTCACAAGCTTTGCTCTTAGAAACAATAAAATGTAATTTGGCTGACGATGCCAGGTAGTTTCATATCTCTTTTTAGAGATGAAAGAGGAATTAATTTTAGGATTGTAGCTTTGAGCTCGGTTTGTTCGCGTGCAGCTTATTTACCAATAAGCTTCGATAAAAGTAAGGGTAAAGAACAATTGTTTGAACTCATCTGATGTTTCAGAAAGCACGCTATCAACTTTTATAGGACCGTATCAATCATACGCTTTCTCAAAATTCGTATTATCCGCTTATGTACAACACTTAGCCGATTATGAGTAAGTAGATGCTGTTGTCACCTCGTAGCAAGTAATTCAGAAAATTACCAATAGTGAGCTTGCACCCTGGGGTTGTTCCAGGGAACTTGTACAGAAATGTGAACTATTACTTCCGTTTCATCATTTTGAATGTTCTACCTTTCTTCATGAGGTGATGAAAGCCGTATGGCTTTTCTACTTTGTTTTCTAGAACTGCGAGATTCTCCTCAATCCTCATCCTTCACACCGCACTAAAAGAAGATTTCACACCTGGATCTTATTATGAGAATTCCGAGATCTGTAACATTCATAAAAAAATAACAGAAAAGGTTGGCCTCCGTGGCATTTCTTTTCACAACTTCTGTTATAGGATCGCGAAGAAATCTATGATCACATCAAGAAGCAAATGTCCAAATGGTGCTCATAACTCTTTCATTAACTTATTTCTCGCAACACGGGTTCAGTTGTTGATGTATGAAACAATAAAATACTTTATTAACAACAACAACTATGTGGGAATAACAACGATGAACTATTCTATGACATCTAATGAGACCGTTTCTAATGAATGGATTTGACAGCTTTTTCCGCTGCTTCTGATAAGTTGGATGCTGTGATTATTGATAGTCCAGACTGTTCCATAATTTTCTTAGCTTCTCCAACATTTGTTCCTTCCAATCTTACAACTAATGGAATGTCCAATTTGATCTTTTTGCAAGCCTCTACAACTCCATTGGCAATCGTAGCACAGTTCACGATTCCTCCGAAAATATTGACCAAAACACATTTCACCTGAAGTTAAAACTTGGCTTATCGAGTAAGATTATAAGTGTCAGACCTTATTATCTCCAGTGATAATCTTCACTGCTTGATAGACTTGTTCTTCGGTTACAGCCCCTCCTACGTCCAAAAAGTTAGCAGGTTCTCCTCCTTTCAGTTTGATTTCGTCCATAGTGGCCATAGCTAATCCAGCACCGTTTACTAAAACAAAGCATCCAAGGAGGGGAACTCAGTATGTGTTACCTAAACAGGCTATGTTGCCATCCATTCCAATGTAGTTTAATTTGTGTTTGTGAGCCTCAACTTCGCGAGCATCTTGTTCGGAAGTATCTTCCATGGCAAAAATCTCCTTCTGTCTATAGGCAGCACTATCATCGAAGTTCATTTTGGCGTCTACACAGTAGACATTTCCATCAAAAGTTTCAACAAAAGGATTGATTTCAACTTGAGTTGCATCAACAGCTATGAACAAATTATAAAGTCTCGTGATTTCTTGAGCAGCCTATAATTTCGGGATCAGTAATATGCTCAAAAGATCTGAAATAACCTTATTTACGAGGTCTCCCTCAAATCCCAAATTCTTGGCAATCTTCTCAGCTTTACTCTTGGTCATTCCGATCGCAATGTCAACAGGCTCCTGAACCATAGATTAATCCAGATCACTCTCTTTTCAATACTTTGAAGATTAAATGAGGTGTGGCTTCCGCAACGTGTTCAATATCCATTCCTCCAGCAGGACTAGCAACAACGACAGGTCCATTTGATTCTCTATCCATCAAAACTGCCAAATATGTTTCACGCTTGATAGTAACACCTTCAGCGACCATCACCTAAACATAAAGATAAGAGGAGATGTTAATCCTTTGCTACCTTTTCGACTAATACTCCACCTTGAGGTGTCTGCTTCGTGACAAGGTGCTTGCCAATCATTTCAGGAATTACCTCTAAGGCTTCATTACGGCTGAAAATAGAGTTTAGTGATATGAGAATTTCATGAACATTTCAATACTCATAAGTAATGAACACTCCGCTCAGACCTTCCTTGCCGTCGATGAATCTCCCCTTACCCCGACCACCGGCCAGAATTTGGGCTTTCACAACAAACTCAATATCACCTATAATCAATTCCGATAGTTGAAGAGTTCTCTGGTAATTCTACGTAACTACGTAGGTCCAAAACAATTTAAAGTACAGATAGTTATCATCATGATGTCATGAGCCTATCGTCTCAAGTTCGTTACTTACCGAAATCAGCCAACTTGTTAGCTGCATCGGTCTTGTTCGACGAGACGATGAATTTCTGAACACTGCATCCGTGCCTAAGGTTCATCAGTACACAATGAGAATTAAAGAGAAAATGTTACTTTTCCAAAATTTGTTTACTTTGATATTCTTGTAGATTGAGAAATCTGAGCTGTTGAGCCTGAGTAGTATGAGATGAGAGAACAAGCTCTTTTTAAATACTTACATTAATCAAACTACGAACTTTCGTCAAACTGCGGAACATCCTGGTAAGGAATATAAAGTAAACAAAGAGTAGACAGATCCGGTATATGATGTTTCATAACAGGTGATGCAATAGAAGGAAAATGACTGAATGTTTTATACAAACGTTGTATACGAAACGTCATATCAAAGGAAAATTAAATCCTACTTCATTACTTAGTTGTATTGTAAAATTAGTATGGCAATAGTATTTCATGATTAACCACGAGTATAAAATATTGAAGGCATAAACGCAAATTTAGCTCAACACTGCTGAACGGATATAATTAAAGACATCCACAATATAGAAAACAGGGCCAACAATCATCAATGGATATGACAACCAGATGAAAATCTTGGAAATACAAAGAAAGGCTTTCTGACAAGAATAGAAATGGTCAAATACGGTAAATGAGTTTCATTTGGCATGTCTAAAAACGAAATAGTTTTGAATTATCGCAACTCTATTAATAAAAAATATGAAGGGTAGGATGGAATAATCTGATATTCTTATCCTCATTTGAAATCTTACTGTATAAATCTATTCTGCAACAAACGTTTGGACTTATTAGGACACAGATTAACTCTCGACTGCCTAGCGATTTTAGTTCAGCTTTTGACTCACATGTTTCGTGCTCAAGTTAATAATCAGATATAATCTTAGGGGAATAGAATTGAAAAACGGACTTCTTGGCATCATCACATACGGAACTAACTTGATTTTACGGGAACCAGGCATCTAATACTTTTCTCTCCTATAAAGGCTTGGAATACATTTACTATGCTCTTACTCATCTCTTTTTGGTTGTGGGGTACAAAGGCCCACGAAACGAAGTTTGGAAAAGCTCACTAGTCATAGCTATCAAAAGAATTAATCTCGTTAAATGAAGACACTTTGCAACTCTCAACCTTAAAAAGCTACGCTTCAGAGTTGCATTTTCTCAGTAACAGCTGCTATTAAGGCTGCTCCTCGGGCACTTCCTTCGTCAGCAGGCACAAGCTCCCACTGAAACAAAAAAAACTTCACTACGAATGACATGAATGACGTACTTTAACATTTTTCGGAGCCAAATCACTCATCTTCTTTTGTAATAAATCGTGATAAGTTGGATGGAATTGAATGAGTGCTCCACCGACTCCAATCTTAACTTCTTCAATTTCCAAATGTCTCAATAAGGCGCTGATGGCTAGAATGAATGGAATAAAAATCGCTCACAGGGACTCGCAACGAACCTGCCGCAACAATGCTTGCACTACGGAGAGAGACAACATAACAAACTTCTCGGATTATCATATAGTCGGATGAGCCGTGCATTGGAACATCCAGTTCATCACATATTCTCCGACATGTCTTATAGCTCTCTTCTTCCTCGCTAAGAAACGGTTTCTTATACAAAATCCGAATATATCCGATACCTTAAGATTTCACTAATGTATTTTGTAGGGAAAGTGTCAGCTTCATCCAGTTTTTCGCAAGGTTGCCCATCGAACAATACCCTGGAATATAAAAAAAGGTAAAAACAACATGGTCCGAAATAATACCTATCTAGTACAAGCTGTGATAACACACGGCGAACAAGTTCACCAAGATATAGAGCCCCTGTCAGCTTATCAATACTGAATATGAAAAAATAACGAAAACAGACAAAAATACGACTCACATTTGCTTGCCTTGATGAACAGAAGCATCATCTATTTCGCGATCAAATTGAGTGAGGATATCATCCAAATCTCCCTGAAAACCAAAGTGATTACTCAACGCTCACAAATCAGGAACATACTTTTGATCCGAACTCCTCCCATTCTGTAACAACAACCATACTAGGATGCGTGTATCCAGCTTCTTGAGCGTTAAACTTTGTGATTTTCTCAGTCTTTTCCAAATAAGAGGCGTTACATCTAAACAGAAAAAAACAATCAAGGAGAAACAAAGATTCGTTTACCCATAACCAATGACAACCCCAATTGTACAATCTGTTCCATATTTATAACTAGCAGCAGCTAATTGTCCAACTGTGTCATTCATAACTGCTTTAATCTGAGCTTTAGTAGACTGGAAACGAAAAAGTTTGATGAACTAAGCGCATCACTTGCCATATTCATTTCTAAAGCTTCTTCTAAGAGTAGCACAACATCTTTCTTCAAACAATCTTTAATATCGAAGCCTTTGGTCCACCAGAGTAGACGAGCTGATCGTATTGAAAGTAGTTCGCAAGGATAAGAGAAAACAAATCCTTAAAGGGTTAAGCATGATTTAAGAAAATGTAAATTCAAAACCTATTGGGAGATTTGCATCAACCAACTCAAACTCTTGCAGAAACCTTTGCAGGCAATTAACAATAAAAGTGAATAACTAGAAAGTGAAAATAAAAAGGAAATGAAGATATAATGAAAGCCTAACCTGATCTCCAGTTCCCTTCATAACATGATTAGGCACAATGTAGTTGTTGTTAACGGCGATAGGTTCTTTCCCAGGACCAAGTAGGGTTAATAGCATAATCCGCAAGTTCTTACCAGACAAGTCAATAGCTACATACTTTCCTTTTTCTTGAAAAACATAAATAATTAGAGAATGAGAACAGTTTCAAGCGACAAACCTGTTCCGTCAGGAAGAGCAGGAACGTAGGACGGCAACATAGCGATCGAAGAGCCGTCTTTGTTGGCAAGTCCTAACTTAAAACGAAATCGAGGTGATTGCAATACGGAATTCGAAGTAAAATACCTTTATTTCTCCATAGATCTTCTCACTTATCTTTAATAATTTTTCATTGGATATTCTAAAAGATTCTAAAATCTGGAAAAAAAAATGAAAAGATGAATAAGGAAACGTGAAGTCAAATACCTCGTGAACATCCCCATCTATTAAGCGGACACTCATTCTGCAATGTATACATAATATTTTGGAATTAAAAGGAACTTATGAACGAAAAAAAAGTTGAAAAAGTGGAGAAGCAGAGGTTGGATAAGTGATCGTCTCTATTTAGCCACAATTATACGCAATTCTTACTTCATGTACTACATTACGTCTCTAAAACTACCGTAATTTTCATAAACAGCAAATAGCGTTTTAATGCTTTTTTGTGAAAGCTTTTTTGCTTTTCGTTTTGTTTCTTCAACAACAGTCACCGGTATTCGAAGGAAAATTTATTATCGAATCTTATTAAATATACATGAAAGACTTGAGCATCATAAATTACACACTCATTGATCCGTAGTGAAATTATTAAAACTTTTAACGAACGACAAATACTCTATGTTTTACTCTGCTTAAAAGCTTGATAGAAATCAAAGTTTTAAATAATTTGATGATGTAACAACGAGGTTTAACATTGAAAACGACTAGCATTCATTGAGTTCAGCACACCATAAAGCTTCCACAACTTGTTGATCCACAAATTTAGCCAAATCTGCTATTTTTTTATCTGCTAATTGATAGCATTTATCAGCAATATCTCCTTTCGGTAATTTCGTGCAAGCACTGTTTGCAAACATGGCGATGTCGGCCTGTAAAAAATATATTTCTTCGTGATTCTTCGAGGCTAGGAAGTTTTTTTTATCAATCAGCCACTTTGCGTTAATGGCGTCGGCCATGATGGAAGTACATGAACAAGAGTTCATTTCGATAATTTGCTTAGCAAGAATCGGTTGTGTTCACCGATGCCAATTGAGAATAACTGTCTCATTTCAGTTTTGCTGTGACATTTTGGTAAAAATAGAAAAACGAATGATACCTTCGTCACGACCGCATAATTTTTGGCATTTTCGAGCATTTTCTCGCAGAAATTGCATGTGAGTTGTTTGTTTTCCAAATTGAAATTCACATTCTGCTCTTCCTCTTTCTATAATATCGGTCATGATTCGGATTTCAAATATATGTATGTAATTACAGGATGAACTTCCATGTTTTTGTTCCCTATTCTGTCTTTTGGGGCCTTCTTCGACACATTTGATGGCCTCATGTAGGATGTGGTTGTCCAACGAGGGTTTGTTGTGGTTGGACTGACTGTTGTTGTTTGATATGTTTCAGAGCCAGTTTCGGGTGGAGGTCCTCCAACCTAAAAACATCATTTTCTCTTAAAACTGTTCAGAACAGTTTAGAAATTACCGCGAAAGGATTTTTCTCGTCGCACAGATTGAGGCGAACACAAATGTCTTTTGTCGAGAAGTCATAGTTAAGCGAAAAGTAGATTTCTGGTAATGACGTTTCAACAAAAGAGAAGCACTGGTCCTGAAAAGTTTTGGTGTCAAAGAAATGATCAAAAGAGGAAATTGGTTGGATGTCAAGCCAGTGATTGGATCATCAATCTAAGCCTCTTACCTTGAACACAGCTGGAAGCATTCTGCATTTTTCGTACAACGAACTTCGAAGTTGGTTCTGACTGAGTCCCACCCGATGTTTAGTAACGCTCAATAGTTGAGTACAAAGAAAACATCCCAAGTTTGAAGGTTGCTGAGACTCTGGTACAGGACGACTAGAACGGGTTCTTTGAGCTTAGAGTATTAAAGGATTGAGGTGCTAAGTGAAGGATATCAAATTTCATAGAGGAGTCTCTACGTGAGATGGTGAAGAGCTTCTTTTTTGGAAGGTCGATATTGATAGTCAACAGTACGTACCTGTTTTCAATTGTCATTTTAGGCTCATCCTTTGGTAACTGTATCCAGTTCATATAAGCACCTCTTGTTATAGGAAGTAACAAAATAAATACTGAAAACATAGAAATGTCTAAAAGAAATCGGTAGGGGTTTCATTCATCAACTTGTTAGATGTTATAAGGTTATTTATTTAACCCCAATACTTCCATATTTGTCTAACAAGTTAATTAACTAAGCCAGGTGTTATATTCTAGCATCCAAAAATTTTCCAAATGTATTCATGCAGGTCACTGTTCTTGATTTAGTCACACGTCCATTTACAAATTTACCGTCTGAATGGGCACTGACTACTTCTTGCCGCTGTTTCTTATTCTCATCTATCTCACAAGGGAAGAGTGGAAACGAAGTTTTCAAAACTTATTACTAATCATTCAACATAAAAATTCGAATGTCCTTTTCAGCATAGGCATGATTCAATAGGGGGGAATATTTGAATATCATCTCATAAATGCTATTTTGGAAGAAACATCAAGAGCGCAAACTCACCATATAATTTCATTTTGAAGGTTTTTTCCTAAAAAGGAAATTCCGTTCACACCTATCTGGGAATGTTTTCTATGATTACTCTGAAAATGACAAAATTGCATATTCAACACAGAAATATACGATATATATTTATGAGAAGAAAATAGTTAACGACACTATTATAATGGCCATATAGAGGAGTTTTTAATAGAAGAAAGGGAGGTGAAAAGGTGGATATTGGTGGGAATTATGCGCTGGTTAATAAGTACGGAATACAATTGCTGTCCTTTGTTCCCGAACTCATTGAGTGGGATTGAGTATATTCATGAATATTCTCTATCCGAGTTGGTCAACTCTTACTTTGCACGATTATCAGATGGAAAAGAAAAAACTGCAGAAAACACTTAAATTATTAGAGAAAGCGAGAAGGTCCGTCTGAAGCCAAAGCAACCACGACTACCAGCTATTCAAGAGGGGTGTGGCTTGAGAGCTGACCGTGTACGGAAAACTCGATGAGGTACTAGAGAAAGATTGATAGTGTTGGCTGTTGAATATAAGACGAAAATAAAGAAAAATGTGGCTGAGAAGCCAGCTAATGAAGTACTTGGTCATCAGAAGAAGATGAATGAGTAGGTAGAAGCCAGAGGGGTATGTCCTTTGCTCGCACGTGAACCGTTTGCGCATATTTTGGCAAACACTTCACACCTCTTCTTCTCTCGAAAGAGATACACCGTAAAGGGTATTGGTTCATCCTTTGAAGAATTTTTTTCTCTCACAGCTTTGAAAATCTGTAATGATACGTGAATAGTTTGTTCAAAATGGAAACTTGGGAAATTTTTGAAAGTAACTGAATGAGCCTTCTAGAGGGCTGAAGTATGCCTTCTGGTCATCAGGCCATCATTCTGTCCTCTTATTCTTGATTTCTTCTTATCCGGTTCGGCCTTATACGCATATCCAAACGAATTAAACACGTTCACAATACCTTCAAGAGGTTCCATATACATAAATTCTAAACAATCAATACGCCATATGTTTCATAACAGCTTTATTAATTGTAAAATTTATGAAAATACTTTTACGAACACACATATGATGGTGAATTGAGAAAGTTAATGGGGAAAACTCTCCATCGTTTGTGTCGATCGAAAAGGTGAGAAGACAAAGGGAATTGAGTGTTTGGGTCAATGTAAAACATATTTGGATTCAAAAAGTTATTTTTAAGATACAACCATCCTCATTTCCGAATAACATATTAAGATATCCGGATAACGTCAAACATCAGATGAGGAGCAGAGATATGTGAACCACGATACACGTTACCGGATTCTGTTCAATTGAACACAATACGAAACTCAAATTATACAACATTGCAAGAAAATCCTAGAAATCAATGTAAATGTATTAAATAACCATTTTAAATTTTTTCTTCTAAAAAGATGACTGTAAACAGGGATTAGTTCTCTAACCGGTTGGACCGAAACTGCCAAGATTTATTGTTTTCATTCCGCAATGAAAGTATATGAACCAAGAAACATTTCTTCTGTAACCAATCAACCAATGTACTTGAAAAATAGCCTACAGAGTATACAAATGCAACCGATCAATTCGCGCCTGGTATCACCCTGACTTTGATCATCAACATAACCAATGGCATGTCGTAGAGAATATCGACTTTACTTTCTTTTTTATTGGTTTTTCATTTTTTTCTCAAAAATGTTTTTTGTGTGTTGTGCTCTGTCTGTACTACCTTGATTTTCTTTTTTTTTACCACCTTTCTTGTCTGTTGTGTACAGAAGCGATTAGTTGTTGCCGAACGTTCCTTGTTGTTGTGCAATATTTAATCACTTGATACTGCGTCGACGACCTGTTATATATAAGTCGTAGAGTTTCCGAATTGCATGTTACCAGCATGTTATTTTACCTATTATTCTTCGTTTTTATCCTTTACTATGCGTACCAACTGAAAAGAAGGTTAAAACTGCCACCTGGTAAAGCTTTTGCTCTTTTCATTTCAATATTCTTTGTTTCCAGGCCCTGTGCCATTTCACCTTCTCGGAAATTTACCTCAGTTAGGATTTTATGTATGGAATGAAGGATCTTTACCTAAAGCCTTGCAGAAATTCCACGAAGTTTTAAATTATTTTATTTTATCACTTTTAATGTTCATTAAGCATCATGGCGATATCTTCACAATCTGGATGGGACCTCTTCCCACCGTTCACATCGCCAGTATGGAACTTGCTCATGAGTTGATGGTCAAACAAGGAAATAACTTTGCTGACCGATGGGCACCTCTGCTTTTCCGATATGTGAATAGTAAGATTGGAACTTCTCCATTTTCTTCATATCTCTTTTTATTAAGAAGGCCTCGGAATCTCCATGTCCAACGGCAACTATTGGCAAGAGCAAAGACGGTTCGCTCTTCAAACTTTAAGAAATTTTGGACTTGGCAGAAATTTGATTGAGGAGAGAATCATGTTGGAATTTGACTTGCAGTAAGCAATTTGAAAAAAATTTTTTGAAAAAAAATTATTTTAAGATGTTCTGAACTGGAGGAAAGGAGGCAATCTATGAATGATGATGTTGTTGATATCAAGAAGTTTTTTGAACTCATGATTGCAAATATTATGAACAGATTACTGTTTTCTGAAAGGTTCACTAAGGTTCTTACAGTTTGATAAGCAAAACTGATTGCAATAGTCATTTTCAGGACTCAGAAGAAGAGTTTTTTGTTCTCAAAAATAAATTTGAGGAGACAATGGAGAACCTAGGCTTTCTGGATATTTATGTCAATGAGTGGATGTTGAAAGCTCCATTTATGAAGTCACGCTATGACAAGCTACTTCAACCTGTCGAAGAGCAAAGTGATTTCATCCACGGAAAGATTTTAGAAAGGTAAGCTTGGTCAGTTCACAGTTTGTTTCAGCTGCAACTATTTCCAGATTAGAAGCCATTCGTCAAGGTGAACACGTTATTACCGATGAAGGGACTGACTTTGTGGATGCATATTTGAAAAAAATTGATGATGAGAAAGATAACCCACATACTTCATTTACGTAAGATCCAAGACTTTCTTAGTTTGTTGAAAATGCGAGTTAAGACAAGAATCTCTGAACATGACATTGTTGGACTTGTGGGCAGCAGGCCAAGAAACAACCACAACAGTCCTTCTTTGGGCATTTATCTATTTTTTACATAACTCAGAAGTATACCAAGAGGCTAGTCAAGAAATCCAAAAAGTTACTCAACGATCTCGTGCCTTATCACTGAAAGATAGAACGGAGACACCATATTTCAATGCCACAATAACAGTAAATTTCCTTTTCTGAGCTATTATTTCAAATTATGTTTAGGAGGTTTTGCGACAAGCTTCTATAGTCACTATGAACAGCTTCCGCTTACCAAAAACCGATTGTACCATTGGAACATACACAATTGGAAGTGATGTTCCAATAACAGCTCAAATTTCTCTCATCATGTCAGACGAAAGATATTTCGGACGTACGGAACAGGTATCTAACACGTAATAATAAAATATTAAATCCCTATATTAAAGTTTCGTCCTGAGCGATTCTCCGAAGATAAGAAGCTGGAGCCGAGAGTTATTCCGTTCGGGATCGGCAAACGGGCATGTCCTGGAGAGTCATTGGCAAGAGCAGAGCTTTATTTGGTTAGAAAACTCTATCTTAATTATTATATGATAATCCTCTGATTTTAGATTATCGGTAACATATTGAACAAGTTTGAAGTGGAAGCATCTGGTGATTGCCCTATCATTGATTCGACTAATCGAAGTGGAATAGTTAGAAAACCCGAAGATTACAATGTAAAATTAATTCCTCGTTATGTACTAGCCTGATATAAGTTAATCATTCCATTTAACGATGTATATTAATGAATTAAATAGATTGTACAGTTCAATCATTTGTATGAATGCGAGTTTAAAAAACAACTACCGCTCCATAAAGCGTTCAGAAAAAAAAAACAAAAAAAAATATTTGAATGATATATCTACTGATTCATTGGTTATTGAGATGAAGAGATAACAGAGAAAGAGATATATCCTAATGATGTATTGAGCATCTTTTAATACACTATAATTCTATAATTATACCATGTAACACGGCACTCCCGAACCAAATAGCGTTCGAACCGACCTTGCGTCTTTTTTCTCGCGCTCTAGTGCCAATATATTGTGTATATTTACGCTCAGTGAGGAGCTATATGGTCCAAATCAGCATATGATACTAAATTCTTCATATCGAGTGATCAAAATATGGGCAAAAGTAATCGGCCGAATAAACCTAGGAATTGCGATTCAAAGAAGTAAGCTCTTCTTCATTGACATCATCCTTTCAATGTTTTTTTTCCAGAACCAAACGTAAAAGGCCCACAGACGAGTATGAACCTCCCCCTCATATTTCCGATTGTTGGGTAATTGAAAATTAATAAATTTAAATGGAAATATTCTCTTTGTTTTTCTCAGGATCAGTTAGTGGAGGACGACAACTACAATAGCGAACTAGAAGGAGAAGCTTCAGCATTAGTCTTGGCTGAGTTTAGTAAAATTAAGAAAAATTATGAATCAACTGTATTGAAAGATGCTAGGGTTTGTTAAAATAATTTTAAAAAACATGCTCTTTCTGTTTATAGAACAAATTTGTCGAAGAACGAAGAAGGTTTTATCCCAGTCGAATAGGTTATGAGACTTCGGATGGGTCTGAACCCCTTCAGCTCAGCTTTGTAGATCTCGTCGCACAAACTTATTCGGAAAGAGGTGTAACGGTTTGTTTTGACCTCAAACCTAAAATATATTAGTTCATAGGTAACCAAGCCAGCTCCAACAAGAGTGGTTATCAAGTCCAGATTCGATTCTTCTCCTGCTCTTCCACGAATGAGGTATTGGATCCATAGCGAAAGAAATATCGAGGTAAAGCACGAAGACGATATTCTTGAGTTGAAATTTTTTCAGACTATTGATAACCCTAGGTTATCCCATATTCCTCACATCAGTGATAAAATGGATGATCGTAATTTTGTCAGCGAGCTTAGAGAAGTGTATACTGAAGTATGTTAATACTCAAAGGTTCAAAACTCACGTTCTATCAGGGAATTCATGGTGCCGACGAAGGCAACGGAGAGTACATAAATGATTTCATGATGTATCAACTGCTTACAATAACGATGCAAAAATGGAAGAAAGGTTCATATTTCCTTTCAATGTGTCATCTTTCGTTGTTCCAGGTTTATCTTACCTCCATGCTGCCGTTTTTAAATTGTTTCCGAATAAATACTCGTTCAAGGAACTACAAGATCATGCGTAAGGGTTCACGGACGCTTCATCTGTTAGCATATTTTCTCAGATATTTGACGTTGAAAGAGCGATTCGATCCTTCACCTCCCATGAAAACTGATGAAGCTGATGATGAACTCAATTCCATAACGACAATGCTTTGCGTACAATGCCCTGAATATGATTGCACGTTGCACGCATCGACAGAGCTTGATCCTCATATCAAAGATAGGCAGAAAATTGGAAATCAAGTTATTCCGGAAGAAGCCTGTGGCAAAACTTGTTTCAAAAAATCGCCCGTAAGCTTTCCTCCTGAAACCGCTGTTTTATGTAAATTCAATTTTAGCAGAGAAGATCCGTAGGTGTCGAATTCAACAGTGAAGTTATGTTACAAAACCTTCGAACCTTGATCAAAGCTCAAAACTTCAACGTATGTAAATTGACTAGCATGTTCAGAATTATGTGCGAAGAACTAGGAATGAAAGCTCTGTCGTGTGCGGAAGTGAGTATTTCATGTATTTTGTTCTATATTGCTTATCGAACAGCTCAACCGAGTGATCGAACAGTTACGGCAGGAGAATATAGCATTGCGAGCAGAGTTACCTAGTAAAAAAGTAAAAAAATTGTGAGTTGGAAGCCTTTTGTAGGATTCTATTCTGTGTATTTCAGAAGTAAAAGTGAACGCTATAAACAGTTCCGAAGATTCAGAAGTTCGGTGAGTAGTATTTTTGAAACTTTTCAGGCTTCTTTCTTATAGCTTGCTAATAATAACCGAATGGAACCCTGTAGTCATTCGGGTCCATGCCAGAAGAGAGATGATTGTTATTGCTTTGTTAATAATTTGGCTTGCTCCAAATACTGCAAGTGAGTTCTTATAGAACATCGACTTTTCTATGTCAAATGAATCATCTTTCAGGTGTTCCGATGATTGTGCCATTAAGTTTCCAGGCTGTTCCTGCGGAGCAGGTTTCTGTGGAAACCAGCACTGCCCTTGCACCAAAGGTGGATGGGAATGTGATCCAGATACATGCTCTTCTTGTAACTGTGATGTTGTCAATCCTCTACGCTCCAAAGGTTAACAGATAGATATCCAGATAGAAATAGAGATGATTTTATAGACGGTAGAGACCTTCCTTTCTGTAGCAACATATTCATACAAGTCGGTGCCAAGAAAGATATAGATGTAAGCTAACTTTTCTTGCATGATTTCTAACGAACTTACTCAGATTGGAATATCAAGTGTTGCTGGCTGGGGTTGTTTCATTAGAGTTCCTGCAGAGAAGGTATGAGCGTTGCAATTCATAGATTTGCAGTGAAATCTTCAGGGTGAGTTGATATCTGAGTACACAGGCGAAATTATAAGTAATGACGAAGCCGAGCGTCGAGGAAGAATATGTGATGAAAGTACATGTAGTTATGTTTTTGGTATAGTTTTCAACGTTTTTTCCTCTGATTTGTTATTGATTCAGGTCTGAGTGGGGAGAAGTCAATCGATGCAGGAAGAATGGGAAATATTATACGTTTTGCAAATCACTCGGGAACGAATCCGAACTGTGAAGCTAAAGTGAGTTTTTCGAGTTGAAAGAAGTGGTCTTGCTAGCGATTTTGAACATGTACGTTGTCAAAAATTGCAAAAAAGACTCTTTGGAGTTGCCGGAAAACAGTCTCTATGGAAATGATAAATTTATTTTCTTAAGATTGTGATTATCAATGGCGATCAAAGGATTGGGCTTTATGCAAGTAGACGAATAGAAGAAGGAGAGGAGCTTTTTTTCAATTACGGTTATAAAGAGTTCCGTAAGCATAATTGGGATGTAAGTACCTTGTAGTTGAAGACATTTTTGAGGATCTCACTTGCAGGGTTGAATATGGAAACCACTAACAATACTAATCTCCAGAGTATCTCAAGAATTTATAGATAAAATTTGTATTTGAAACACTATTAACTAAGTTGTAATTTATATACTAGAGAATTCTCCAAAGTTGGCTACATTCTATTTATTTATAACTTGTCTTCGAATACTATATTCTGAGTGTATGTTCATATGATATGAAGAAAAATATCCTGCTTGTAAATGCCTGACTTAATAAAAAAAAATATTTTCTATCTGCATATGACTCGGATGACTAAGACTTTTCGCGATATAGATTTTTGATTAAGGCTGAAAAACATGAAGATTCATCCTCTTCAAATTCAATTGTTGTTTTATCAAACTGTGGGTTGTGAAAAAGTGTGTTTTGTATCTTGTGGTGTAGCGTTCAACTTTGCCGATAAGCGAGCGAGCGTCCAGTTTATATTCTCCAGGTTAGAGTCTTCATTCGAAGCAGCTCATGTTCCTTATACTACTCGTCCTTCTTTTTTCGGCTTATTTTCTTTACCAGTTAAAGCGGAGAGCCCAACTCCCACCAGGTTAGCTAGATTAACCCTCTAAGTTTCCAAACTGATTCATTAGGTCCCGTACCTTTACATCTGCTTGGTAACTTGCCACAGTTCGGTTATTACACGTGGAAAGAAGGTGGAGTTGTCAACGGGCTCAGAGCTTTTCAAAAAGTAAACGGATTCTTGATGTCTCTTCTATTTCATTGTCTAATGTCAGGAATATGGAGATGTTTTCACAATTTGGTTGGGTCCTGTACCAACAGTGCACATTTGCACAATAGAACTGGCACATGAACTGATGGTCAAACAAGGAAATAACTTTGCTGACCGATGGGCTCCATTCATGTTTCAATACTTGAGAGGTCGATTATCTTCAAATCCTTTGAACGGTGTATATTTAAGAAGGAAAAGGAATTATCGTTTCTAACGGAGACTATTGGCAAGAGCAGAGACGATTCACCCTTCAAACTTTGAGAAACTTCGGAGTAGGAAGAAACCTCATTGAGGAACGAATCATGATGGAGGTTGATTTGAGGTGCGTGTTATCTTACAGAAGATATGATTTTTTTTTGTTAAGATGTAATGAACTTGACAACGAAATCAAATCCTCAGGCGGTGTTATTGATCCTCGTAAGTTTACCGACTTACTCATTGGAAGTATCATCAACCGCCTTCTTTTCTCTGTACGATTCACTGAGGTAAAACAGTTTTTCTGAATCATATCAAATTGCTTTTAAGGATAATCAAGGAGAATTCTTCCATTTGAAACATAAATTGGATAAGGTAACAGCTGACGTGAACTTCAGCGATATGTTTATAAACGAATGGCTGATAAAACTACCATATTTCAAACAACGATATGAGTCTATTGCTTTACCAACCAATGATTTGTTGAAATTTGTTGAAAAACAAGTAGATGAAAGGTTAGATAGAAACTGGTATTGTGAAGACTAGATATTCTGAAGGCTGACAGCAGTAAGCAAAGGAGAACACATCATCACAGATGATGGAACTGACTATGTCGACGCTTATTTGAAGAAAATTGAAGACGAGAAGGATAACCCAAACACAACGTTCACGTTAGTTAGAACAAAAGAAAAAAAAGTTCAATGGCTGTTGCAGAAAAGAATCATTGTTAATTAACTTGCTTGACTTGTGGGATGCAGGACAGGAAACAACCACAACAACCCTATTATGGGGGTTCACCATGCTTTTGAATCATCCTGAGGTATTATCAATTTTCGACAGAACGATGGGAAATGATATGATATGATCTTCAGATTGAGAACAAAATAAGAGAAGAAATTCATAGCGTAACTCAGCAGTCTCGCTCTCTATCCTTGAAAGACAAGAGCAGAACACCATATTTAAACGCCGCGGTTCATGTACTTGTCATTAAGTTCATGACCATCCAGAAATGTTTTCATGTTACAGGAAATTCAGAGACATGCATCCATTTTGAATATCAATCTCTTCCGTCAAGTACGGGAGAAGACAACCATTGGAGACTATATCATCGAGCCGGGAGTGCCCATCACTGCTGAACTCTCCTTGATCATGTCAGATGAAAAGAATTTCAAGAACACAGATCAAGTAAGTGAAGAAAAAAAAACCTGTAAACTTCTTCGTTAGTTCCATCCCGAGCGTTTCATTGAAACCGAGAGGTTAGAGCAGAGTATGATTCCATTTGGTATTGGTAAACGAGCATGTCCAGGAGAATCATTGGCAAGGGCAGAGCTTTATTTGGTAATAACATGGTACCGGTACTGTACATAGTTTGATAATTTAGATCCTCGGTAATTTAATCGCAAAATACAAATTCAGTCCCGATGGCAAGACTCCCAATATGAAGTCGTCGAACTCTTCAGCAATGTTCCAAGTTCCTGATAGTTTCAGTATGAGAGTACAACCATTCAGTTCTGATGATTTATGAATAATCTACATAATGAACTTGTATTTAGTAAACGGTTGTCGAACAACCACTAACTGTAAATCAATGTTTGAAAAAATGAATGAATCGTGAGTATTATCTTTTCTGTACAAATTTGAAAGAAGAACCAAAAAACGTTTCCCTTAGCAGTACAACCAGTCTGAACGTCAACAGTATTAGATATGAAAAGATGATCTTGCGATTTTTGGAGTTTTTTCAAGCTTTTTTTCATTTGATAACATGATAATGTCACTAGCATTTGATGAATTTTCCCAAACTACTTGTAAGGGCAAAAAATAGATGAATCAGAGAAATTGATAAGACAGAGAGTTTGTGTAGAACTGTATCTTCACTTGTGGTTTATGTCGTTGCTGTGTTATCTTTATCAACGATAAGATTAAAGAATGAAATCCAAAAACGTTTAAATAAAGAACTCGCTCGAGAGAACGATTTCTAAGAAGAGCAACCATGCTGTTCTATCTGCTTATTTTTGTTTTTGCGGCTTACCATGTATATCTCATGGCTAGAAGATCGAAGCTACCTCCTGGTAATCACATAATGAATAAATCATCTTCTATATTGTGATTCAGGTCCTGCACCGATTCACTTGCTTGGTAACATGCCTCAAATGGCATTCCATGTCTGGCAGAAAGGATCTCTGAGCAAAGCGCTTAGAGCTTATCAGAAAGTAATAAATTCAGGTTTTTATCTTGTACTTACCGTATTCACAGGAATATGGAGATATCTTCACACTCTGGATGGGACCTCTTCCCACCGTTCACATTGCCTCTTTGGAGTTAGCGCATGAATTGATGGTTAAGCAAGGAAACAACTTTGCTGACAGATGGGCTCCTGTTGTTTTTGAATACATTAGAGGTGCTTAAGAATAAATAGAGTTTGAACAATTTTTGAAGATGGTAAGGGCATAGTTGTCTCTAATGGGGATTACTGGCAAGACCAGAGACGGTTTACCCTCCAAACTCTGAGAAACTTTGGAGTAGGAAGAAACCTGATTGAGGAACGGATCATGATGGAGTTCGACCTGAGGTGAGCCGTGCTAGACACCTCTTAACTCGAGTTGTTCAACAGATCTGCTGAATTGGACGAGAAAATTAAGAACGATGAAAATCATATCGAAGAAGCCAAGGAATTTTTGGACTTGATGGTTGGCAGTATCATCAATCGCTTATTGTTCTCTGAGAGGTTTACTAAGGTTGTTCATTATTTTCTGCTATGGGCTAATTGAAACCATGTTAAGAGTAACCAAAAGGAATTTTTCCATCTGAAGGGACAAATGGATAAGATTACAAACGATGTTGATTTATTGGAACTCTTTATGAAGCCCTGGATGTTAAGCATACCTTTCGTGAAGTCGAGATACCAACGCTTCGTGACACCCCTAGCTAACCTGTTGAGCTTTGTAAAAAACCAGGTAGAGGAGAGGTATGGAACATCCAAGGAACATACATGAATACTGATCGTTTAAGGAAAGAAGCCATACGCAAAGGAGAACACATCATCACAGATGATGGAACTGATTATGTCGACGCTTATTTGAAGAAGATTGAAGACGAGAAGGATAACCCACATACTACTTACACGTAAGACGACATGGTATAGCTGATGTAATATTTTTTAGAGAGCACTCGCTTCTGATAAACTTGTTCGATCTATGGCTCGCCGGACAAGAGACAACCACTACAACTCTACTCTGGGGATTCGTTTATCTTCTTAATCACCCTGAGGTAGTTGAGATTACTAAAGACTCTTACACTGATTACAGGTAACGACAAAAATAAGAAAAGAAATTCACAATGTAACTCAAAACTCCCGATCTCTGTCACTTAAGGACAAGAATGAGACTCCCTACTTCAATGCTGCAATCAACGTGAGAAACTCCTTATGTATTAGCTAAATGACATTATGATATAGGAAATCCATAGATTAGCTTCTATCCTAACAATAAACCTCTTCCGTCAAGTACGGGAGAAGACAACCGTTGGAGACTATATCATCGAGCCGGGAGTGCCCATCACTGCTGAACTCTCCTTGATCATGTCAGATGAAAAAGATTTCAAGAACACTGAGAAAGTAAGTTACGAAGAGTTTGTTTTTTCTACTCTTGCATTCAGTTCTATCCTGAACGATATTTGGAAACTGAGAAATTAGATCAAAAAGTCATTCCATTCGGTATCGGTAAACGAGCATGCCCGGGAGAATCATTGGCAAGAGCCGAAATATATTTGGTAAGCTTCATAGAACTTACATGATCAAACCAATGCATTCAGCTATTGGGGAACATGATCTCTAAGTATGAAATCGAAGCAGTCGGCAAGGTTCCTTCGATGACAGAAACCAACTGTGGCGGTCTTTTCAAATTCAGCGAACATTTTTCTATGAAATTTGTTCCGTGCATAGGGAAGTAATTGAAATCTTGTAGATTCGTTTGCTTGTAAATATGTGAATAAATTATAATTAAACAACACAACAACAACAACCTACACTTATGGTTCTGTGACGATCGTACTTTACTGTTCAGTATACTAGGCCAAAAAATACGTTCGCGAGCTCGAGTTGAGCTCGAGCCCAGCTCGAAATTAGAAAAACGGTTCGAGTCGAGCTCGAGTACAGCTCGAGCTTGAAAAAAGGTCTCGAGCTCGACTTTCAAACACGTCGAGTCGAGCCGAGCCCGGCCAAGTATACTGTTCAGACGCCAATAAATACTAGAGAATACAAATTTCAGTTGTAAGGCGGCGGCCTTCTGAACCGGTAGATTTAATAGTTTTTGTGTTGTTTCGGTAAGCACCGTATCCAAAAGCTGATATCAATTTGTTGTACTTATGATCTTCTGATTGATGATCAAATGCTACTATTTCTTACCTACAACGGGGGTGTTTTTGTTTTCTTCTTCCCTTATCGATATTCTTTATTGATCTGAGGAAGAATGCACGCTCCTTACACACAGGTGTTCTCTAACATATGCACTTTCTGTTAATACCTTTGTTTGGATGAGTTTTGTTTTTCAGGATCACTTGATAAACTAAGCATGAGCTCTTCATATCTAGTTAATTCACATTCCATTAACGTTCTATGGTGTAACCATGCTACTCAATTTATTTCTTATTGCTCTTGTTGCGTATTTTTTCTACCAATTAAGGAAGAGATATTCGCTTCCACCAGGTGAACCAGTAGAATAACTCAGAGCCTGCAATGTATAGCATATATTAGGTCCTATACCCGTACACCTCCTTGGTAACTTACCACAATTTGGATATTACATTTGGAAGAAAGGTGGTGTGGTAAACGCTTTGAAAGTTTTCCAAAAAGTAATGAACGGACTGCTGTTTCTTCACCGAGTAGACTGTTGCATTTCAGCAATATGGGGATATTTTCACAATTTGGTTGGGTCCACTACCAACAGTGCACATCTGCACGATGGAACTGGCGCATGAACTGATGGTCAAACAAGGAAACAATTTTGCTGATCGATGGGCTCCTCTTCTCTTTCATTATTTGAGAGGTATACTCTTCACTATTTTATTTCACACCATCAATCAGATGGCCACGGTGTTTTAACCTCAAACGGGGACTATTGGCAAGAACAAAGACGATTTACCCTCCAAACTCTGAGAAACTTTGGAGTAGGAAGAAACCTGATTGAGGAACGGATCATGATGGAGTTCGATCTGAGGTATGTTCTAAAAATTGGCGTTGTAGATAGAAGATTAGATGTTGCGAGCTGGAAGATCAATTGAAGAATAATAATGGTCATATCGTGAATGCAAAAGAATTTGTTGATCTGATGATTGGAAGTATTATAAATCGGATGTTGTTTTCTGTTAGATTCGAAGAGGTTCGAAGAGTCATCGATAATTTTAAATTCGCTCAATAGCATAATCAAATCGAGTTTTTCGATTTGAAGTACAAAATGGATCAATTGACAGAAGACTTTTCCACTGTTGATTTGTATATCAGCAAGTGGATGACGAAAATACCTTTCTGGAAGAAAAGGTTCGATGTTATGTTCCAGGCCTTTGATGATGTATACAACTTTGTCGGCAACCAAGTAGAAGAAAGGTAAACACCTGAAAAACACATATTTGAGTATAAATTTTAAGGAGACAAGCCATTCGAAATGGTGAACACATCATTCTTGATGAGGGTCAAGACTATGTCGACGCTTATTTAAAGAAAATGGATGATGAGAAGGATGATCCAGATACCTCATTCACGTAATATTCTTCCAAAAGCTTCATCTACGATATTTTTAGGATGAAATCACTCCTTGTTAGTTTGTTAGACTTGTGGGCGGCAGGTCAAGAAACAACTACAACAACCCTTCTCTGGGCCTTCGTCTATCTCCTTCATTCTCCAGATGTAAATTACTGATTTCAAGTGTATCTAAAATGAGGTATTGCAGAAAGCTAAGAAAGCGCGCGAAGAAATTCTCACAGTCACTCAACAATCTAGAGCACTATCGTTAAAAGATAAAAATGCCACTCCTTACTTCAACGCCATGCTTCATGTAGGCTTAATGTGTATTTCTCAAATATTCTCATTATCTCAGGAAATACATAGACATGCGGCCATTGTCAGTATAAATCTTTTCCGGCAAGTCCGAGAGAAAGCGAACATAGGAAACTATGTCATTGAACCTGGAGTGCCTATCACTGCTGAGCTCTCATTGATCATGTCAGATGAAAAAGATTTCAAGAACACAGATGAAGTGATATAAACAGTTCACATATATATATCTTTATGAGAGATTATTGTTTCAGTTTTATCCTGAGCGCTTTCTAGAGACTGAGAAGTTGGAACAGAAAGTCATTCCATTTGGAATCGGTAAACGAGCATGCCCAGGAGAATCATTGGCAAGAGCAGAGCTTTACTTGGTTAGCGGTTTGATGAATTACAGATATTGATATGTTTCAGGTTCTTGGAAACTTATTGGCAAAATATGAATTCCAACCCGACGGTCAATTACCGTCTATGGAAGGATCAGCACCGATGGGGCTTTTTAAGAGACCCGAAAAATTCAATATTAAATTAATCCCACTCATGTCACATACATGAAGCTATCAATGTTTTGTTTTTGATGGCTCAAACAATCGATCTCTGAAATGTGTGTCTTGAATTTTGACTTTGATAAGAAAGAACACTCAATGATAAAGAATATTGCTGTAACGGTAAAATCCAATCAAACATCAGAAGCAACACAAATGAAAAGGTAAAAAAAATTTATAACAAAGTTTTAACAATTAAAACATTCAAAAGTAGAGTTCCTAGAACAATCAACAAGTTACTTCCTATTCCCGTTTTTCTTTTGTCCTTTCTTTACATTTCCACGATCACCGGAGGTTTTCTTCTTTTTATATTTCTTACTAGGATCAGCTATCTCGATCTCGATTGGGACGAACAACTTGTTTTCCTCTTTATAGCCATAGTCGAACACTAACTCTTCCCCATCATGAATGGCCCTTTTCGCATAAATTCCTATTCGTTGACGTCCATTAACTATTTTGATCTGAAGACGAACAAAATAAAAAACTTGATAAATATAAACCCAAACTAGAGTCTCGCAGTTGGGTTTGCTTTCTGAATGATTAGCAAACCGTATGAGATTTCCGAACCGCCCAGCGTCCACTGATTCATCTAGATTTAAATCTGAAGCATGGTTTTCATTAAGAAAACTACTCAATGTGACTATACCGAAAACGTAACTGAGGGACAGTTTGTCATAAATTCGCCCTCTCCGTTCTCCCTCACTTTGCGAAACAACTTCTCCAGTGTATTCCGAGATCAAATCTCCCTAAAGTAGTACACATGATAACACCACTTGCAGCTCTTACCTTGTTGGCAGTCCCACGAATAAATATACCCCACCCCGATATTTGAGACAATCCAATCTGGAAGATATGTGTTTATTACTGCACAATTTTTCTATCAAAAACCTCAATGTCTTTCTTCAGACCTAACTGTATGCCAATGTTTTTGCAAAAACTGTATCCTGAAGACAGAAGTGCTTCTTTACAGTCAGCAGGCTTACCTGATTTGGGTCGAGTAAGATCGCAGTTGCAAGATAAACATATATCTGGATCGCACTCAAAATTGGCTTTGAAACACCAACAATTAGTAGAAGAACAACATCCTGGACCACAACTACATCCCGGCATCTTGACGACGCAGTCAAGGTCACAGCTAGCAAGGCTATGTTTTGGAAGATAATAAATGAACTCACGAGCAATGTTTAAAACAAGCTAAACCATTTTTATAGCATTCACAATTGGGGTCAGAGTCGCATTTACCGGCATGATTACAAGGATTCATTTTGTTCGGAAAATCGACCTGAACAATGTTTTCGGTGGGAAGTATTTTGAGAAAGTACTTACTTTATTCATGTTCCTACAAAACACTCTATAATGTTCCCGACGATGTGCAGCACTGAAATTTTTTTAATGAGGAACCAGGATCAGAGAAACATACGATTTGAATAAAACACTTTTCGAAATGCTTCTTTTCGGGTTAGTATTGTACACCTACAACTATCATGAATATTATAAGAAGGAGGATCATGTTTACCAAGCTTCGATGATTATGATTATGATGATTATTAATTTTATTATTATTATTATCATGTATTCCTCTCACTGTATTGGATATGCGATACCACTTAAACAAATGTGACTTTCACATCTAACCTTCAGACAAACCTGTGCACATGTCTTTGAAGATATCGCTCGTTCAGCACAAATCTTATTCATGATGTTTGCGACTCTACAGAAAACGTGCTGCTTCGCACTTAATAGATTTGAAAGAGTTTGGAGAGCGAAGCTGTCATTAAAACGTAAATCTTGCAACAAATCCAACTGAAACTATAAGAATCCTTCTGTTTCCGGGTATTGTAAAACCTCTGGCAATGTTTTATAGCACCAATGAGAACATAGATGCTTCGGCTCAACACCAGATACTACATTTGGCCGTTGAGAACCTAACTTAGGTGGTGGCTCCGATATGTGCACCAAGCAATCATATTCCATGCAGTCTTCACAAAACAGGCTTTGAACTAAATCCATGCTGTGAGGAGCTAATCTGACATCAAGTTTCTCGAAACGATCTTGCAAAGTTAAAAACCTGAAAAGCGAAACGTTGGCAAGTGTTAGAAAACTTTACACTTACATTCCATCTTGGAACTGTGTGTAAGTATACTTATTGGGAAAGAGCTTGAAAACGGCGATATAAATATAAAACTTCTCTGACAAAAGATATGTTCGAATTGAAAAGTAAGTGTTTACCTAATTTCCACAAATTATGCATTTCTTTCAGGAGCACATACAACATATAATCGTTGATGTATTTCTCACATCCCCGATCAGCTCCATGTATACCCTTGCGAACAAGTTTTGAAAGCATCAAATCGAAAAAAAACCTCAGAATACATGTTTCGTAAGTCTGTTACAAACTCCCGATCATCCAAGTCGTCCGTGATATGAGGAATATGTGACAGTCGCAGGTTATCAGGAGCCTTAAAACACATAGACAAATCCATTTTTTTGAAATGAAAATACTTCGTGGTTCTTCTCTGAATGAACCCAATACTTCATTCGAGGTAAGATCGGTGAAGTTTGAATGTGAATTGGAAAACATTTTTGGATTTCGAAAACGCCTCTCGTTTCCACTTCAACCTGCGCAGTTAAAAAATCCATGAGTTGTATGAAAAAGAACAAACTGTAGTTGGTTTCAGTCTATACATTTCTCTTCTTGAAGGAGTATAGGGCATCAAAGGAGTAGGCACCGACATGAGTGATCCTGGACATTTGTATTCTTTCCGGCAGCTCCGACTTCGCATAGAATTTTTGAAGTTATCCTGCTCATACAAGAAAAATAATGAAAAAGAATCAAAGGTGACGAACATATGCATCTTTTAGAACCACATCTCTATATTCTCTTTCAATGTTTTTGAAAACTGACAAAGTCAATGATATGGCTTGTTGTTCGAGTTCAGGCACAAACTCATCAGTATCAATGATGTCTTCCTAATCATAACATTAGTATAGTTTGCAAAGTGTACTTACGTTAACCCAGACATCAGATATGGGTGGAGGAGTCCATGAGTCATCACTCTCACTCTCATACATGCTTCTGCAAAAAACAAAAGAATATAACGATAAAGCTGAAGAAATAATTAAATGTGTATGCGAGTTAGGCGCATTTGAACGCATTTGCTGGCGTTTTTCTCATTCCAGTCGTTAAACTACAGTACGCAATTATGAAAACTTAATTATGAAAAATATTTATTAAAAACAATAAAAGACTGTAAAGTGTATAGAGTATACCTCCTGAGAATAAACAAACAAAGACAATGATTGGTTGAAAGCTAATGTCGAAATAGTTATAATATTAGTAATATTTATTATTATGCTGTCAATTTCATTATATATAATCTCGTTAAGTTCAAAATCCCTAATATAGAAAATCTGTTTTGTATTCATTTAATATGGAATAATTCACCAAAATTTGCAGTTACCGGAATAAATCTTCTTCGTTCCTTTGCACAATTAATCGCGGCACCGCATATCTTAATGCTTTAGCACATAGTTACCAGGGAAGGTACCAAACTGTCCGGTACGAAGAAGAGTTCCTTAAAACCATTCATTACATTGCTGTGTCATTCATCTAACTAACCTATAAACCAGCCATCATCACACTTTTCTACAACGAAAATGATGTCGTCGACTTCCAAATCTAACTCATCTTCTTTTTGAGATTTATAAGCATAGACTGCTCGATACCTGAATTATCAAACATTGCGAACAATTACTCAAAAGAAAACTACGTTTCACTTCCTCTAGGAATTAAGCTAGCAAGTCCTGCATAAGAATTTTGTGTTTTAGAGGGTTGAGATTGCGAAAAATTAGATGCAGATACATCATGTTGCCATTCAGCTTGAGGCTTCATCTGTGGCCTACAACATCAATAAATTTGTAAGATAATAAAGTTGCGTCTTACTTCTCTTCGAAGCTTTGGCTGTCTCTTGTCATTAGAGACTTGTTACCGTTGAAGTTTTCTGATTGACCATTTGAAATAGTTTGAACACGTTTTATATCACGCTGAATCATAGGTTGAGTTTCTCGTTGATAATCGGCTTGGAGTTCTCGATGAAGATCACGGTGAATATCAGGGTGAAGATCTCTCTGAATATCCGGATGAAGTTCCTTGTGTTGTTCAGATTGATATGTTCGTTGTGGTTCAACATGAATGACACGATGAGCATCAGTTTGAATTTCTCCTCTGTGAACATCGTGCTGCATAACTCGTTTAGCCTCAGGAAGGAGATCTCTTTGATTTTGAGGATGAAGTGAGTGAAGAGAATCGTGATATGTTTCTCTTCTGATTTCTGGAATCGGTTCAAGAATTGGCTCGCGGATCTGGATTTCTTTGGCTGGTTCTCTGAGAATAAAGATTATTGGCAAACACAGATGTAAAAACCATACCTTTCGTAGTCTGCCTCGAACCCTGGCGTACTTCCAATTTTCGGTGTTTTAGGTCTGTCAGGAACAACTGAGGAAGTTTCCTGAAAATATTACAAAGATAGTAATGGGTTTAACCATGAAATCCAATATTACCTGAGCATCGTCAAGCAACCTGACGTAGCACTTAGGAAAGATTCCAATTTCCCCAATATGATTTGAACCTTCTGCCCAGTTGGCATCAATATCTCGACGGTATGTGATAAGCTCACCCTATAAATGCAAAAATCATTTTCATTTCAAAGAAAGAAGAAAGTTGAAACTAACCAGTTTAAGACTCATTTCATTGCTGTTACGAGCCGTGAATGGGTATACTGCTCTCATTTTATTTTTTTTGCTGTGAACATCATCATCAATCTGAATGAGCACATTATTGTAATGATAGACTGTAAGCTGAATTACCTGTACATAACTGGAAGGGAATATTCCTACTTTTCCATTTCTCTCTCCCTCCATCCAGTTTGAATCAATTTCTCGATGAATTCTGATGATGTCCCCTTTATTCAAAGGTAACTCCCTTATAACATAATGATTGAATGAAGTTATATATGTAGAAGCTAATACCTTGCACCTTTGGCTACAAATTTATAAATGGCTGTTGCCGTTTGTACAGAGTTCATTCTATTTGACTCAGCTGGCACTTCACCGCTACCATAGTTGTTCATTAAACTTTCGAAACGATCGAAATTCTTTTGAAGAGCGGGAGAAGCAGAAGGGCTTAAATAGAATTTCGTTGTCATTTATAAACATTCTGAAACTTACATAAAACCATGACGACGTTGTCGTTCTTGTTGTAATTCTTCCGTTAATCGTTCAGCCTTTTGACGATACATCATTTCTTCTTTAGATATCCGTTTGAGTTCAGCAATTTCAGTTGCCAAATTGGTGGAGGATGGCTTATCTAGAATAAGAAAATCTTAATAACCATAAATGGAAATGATGAAATAAGCTCTTAGACTAAGTATATTAACAATCAGTTAGTAGTCATTAACACAGCAAACAAATTAATGAAACATACGCTTATAAACAATCATTGGTGAACTATGTGATCGTTTCCACGAAATATCAAGTTGTTCAATGAAATCTTCAAGCTCTTTAGCTGTTGAATCGAGACGATCAGTGATACAACGAGTTGCTAAAGAGGGTTAAAATAAGATATTGTAAGTCAAAACTCATGCTTAACACACACACAAGCACAACCGTTTCATATTTGTATCAAAATGAAAATGAAATCTGTGTTACACAATCTCACGTAGATGACGTGTATACAGTATTATATGCTAATTAGCTTAGAATTCTTTAGTCAATCAATAAAACAAACCAATATTTGATAGAATTCTTTTAGTTTTACGTTCTTGACGTAATTCCTTCTCTCCTAATGTTTTGTAGATGAAATCGATTTCGTTCCATGATAATTCTCTTCTTGGTTGGCCACATCGAAGGCATTTGGCTCCACCACACACACATGCACGTGGATCTTCATGCCGAAACTTGTAAGAAGGGAGATGAAAGTGAGGCGTTCGTGTTCGTTCTAAGGCTGAGCGATTTGCCGCCAAAGAAGAAGTAGAAGCTGAACAGATGGTTAGTAAGGTTAAGTATGTAAAGGAAACGTTAATTGAAACACGGAAATTGTTAAGATTGGTGTATGAAAGAAGCTTCACATGTTAAGCATTCAGCTTCCTATCCTAACGCATATTCATAGATTATGCAAATCTCAGATAGAAAACAGAATAAGTAAAATGAAAAGCGAAAAGTACAATTTCCTTTCTTAATTTCCTCTCAAAAAAATCTGCGTAAAGCAATTGAATTGGAAAGGGAAAACTCTTCTTTGTATATGTTTATGAGATGTGAAAAGTACGTTTTCCTTCCCTAACATCACAATGAAATGCTTACAATCATTATCTTCATAAATCATTGTGAAGAATAATGTTTTTTACATATAAAAATCATATGTAAAGCTTACCCGATGATGGCTCAACGACACGTCCAACCGATTTTGCCCGTCGTGGAGTTATTTCACACTCAAAACGCGATGGAGGACGAGAAACAAAAGTATTGGGAGTGATTGGACCTGAAAAACGAAATGAAAATTAAGGTGAAAACTACTTGAGAAGGAAAAAACAGCTTACGGCTTATGTTGTTGGCGGTCGGAGCTTGCTCACGCAGCTGATATTTCAATACCGACTCTGAAAATAGAAGTGATGATATGGAATTCAAAAAAAAGAAGATTTGAAATGAATAGAAAGGAAGGAGAGAAGAAGAATTGAGCATTTTCTTTCTCATAATTCTATTAAAGACGCGACTAAGCACAAACTAAGATATTGGCTAAATAAGGAGCCGTTTTTAACAGCATCTAGGGAAAAACACACACACACACACACATACCCACACACATACACATACACACATTTGAAAGATGAAGAAAAGCTCTTGGAACAAAACTGAAGAGAAGAAAATGTCGTCAGTCAGAGCAAAAAGTCTTGGAAAGGGGGTGACAGAGAGATCGGAAGCTTTAGAGAATCGACATACCATGTTGACATTTGGCAAAAGAAACAACAGAAAGAGAGGCGAGAAAACTACATGCACACAGACTAATTCTTGTGGACAAAAATAATGAAAATGGGGTTGAAGAATAGAAAAGAGAGACTTCTGAATCAGATTTTTAGTCATAGCAAAAGCTGAAGGGGAAAAAATGAATTTTCTTTAAGCAAAAGCTATACAAAATAACTTAAGAGAGTTGTTGCCATTGATTGAGAGAGGGAAAGAGAAGTAGAGAGAGAGAGAGAAAAGAAGAAATAGAGAAGAAGAAGAAGAAAATAGTTTTTTTGCTCGGCTCTAAATGAAATGGAAAACTTAAGGAAATGAAAAAGAAGAATGAAGTGTTTGACTTATAAGGGAAGTAAGCTGAATGAATGTGATATGCAAATTTCAATGAAACTAATCATATTTGAACAAATTATTAAAGAAAGAAGTGATTTTTGCTTAGAAATCTCGTATTCATAGATGAAATGCCTTCAAAATCAACAATGAAATGAAGGAGAATAGAGACGTAGTAGATACATGGAGAGAAGATATGAACGGAAACAAAGAACTTGGAAGGCTGGAGAGAGAATGAGAAAACTAGAGAGAATGTGTGAGAGAGACAGAAAGAGAGAGAGAGGGTAGAAGAGAGTAGTTAAAGAGGACCTGAGCGATTCGTTTGTTGTCTTTAGCAAGCTGGACACTCTAAGCCTCAAATATATTCTCACTCCGGACTGTTTCAGAATTAAGAAAGTTTTCTATTATGAGAGGAACTAATACGCAAAAGATTATGAAAGGTATTCAAATGTTGAAAATACAAAATCTTACCGTTGTGGTCATCTAGACGATGCATCTTCTTGAACATATTTCGATACCAGGAAGACATTTCAGACATCTGTTCGAGATCGTCTTGAGCAATACGTTGTTGTCTTAGTAGAATTTCATCTTCTGTTAACGGCTTTTCTTCCGATAAATGATGTTCAGCCGAAGATACAGATGATATTGGTGCGGGATGAGATGAAGGCGTAGTATTCAATCCGTTGTATGGGGCGGTGCCGTCGTTCTGAGTCGAGTACGACATGAAGCTCTCAGGCCTGTAATCATGAATAATTGAAATGGACTTCATAACTATCTGAATTTGAATGATTTCAACATCCACGTTCGTCTAGTTGAGGAAGATAGACTGAGGCTTCACACAAGCTTTTTCTTTTAAAATGTTATAATTTTGTGAAGATTTGGAGAGATGAACTGAAGAAGAGCTGGAGAAAGTCTGTCCGACGGATGTCGATTGGTTGTATAGACAAATACAACGCGCATCTCTCTCTCTCGGGCTTTTCCTACGCTTTTGTTGTTGTAAAATTGAGAAGAATATTCTCAGCTACCATAAAAAGACAGAAGAATATCTTACCTGCGAGATTCAGATGACATGACACTGAACGTTCCGTCGTCACGTTGAGGAGAAGTTACAGATGCCGAATCGAACGATGTGTTATCCTGTACAGAAAGATTTTGGAATTGTAAAAAAATCTGAAATCGATTACAAACCTTGAATGATGGTGTTTCCATGAAACCACTGTCATCAGTATATGAATAAACTTTAGTACCAGCTGGAGACAACAGATCATCAGAAGAAGGTGTTGACAGAACTGGAGTAACAGGGGAATATTGACGACGCCTAAATATGAGAATATTATAACCTCTCTATATATAAGCTTTATTTACCTTAATGTCGCAAAATGATCTCCGCTACTCGATGAATACGTACCAAACGGAGCTGGTGAACGAGACTTCAGAAGCTCTGATGTTTCGAGATCCATGCTCTGCCGACGTTCAACACCATTCTTAGGAGAACATTTAGGATCCTCTGGAGGACTGTCCATCGATACGTTTCCATCTCTCTTGAATTACACAATGTTACACGTTACGAATGTTTAAAAGAGAACCTGTGTGAAGGACTGTTGAGAATTAGTCATATCGTCATCAAAGTATGTCAGACAAGAAGTAGTCATGGGTTCAGAACTGGTGGTTGAATGTTCGATTCTTGGATCGTTGATTGTAGAAGTGCAGCTGACGTCAGGAAAAACTTTAGCAAAAGCCCTGTCTGCTGGTGTGACATTCGCATTGTCTGGAAAAGGGGTGATCCATTGTTTATGCTTACGAACTCATCATACTTTGCGATGGGATATCGTTGATTCTTCTTTCAGATCCTCCCTCGTAGAGACTGTGATAGAATTCAGAAGCTGTTTGATTACTTTTTTCGTCGTCCTTTTGATTGGGATAAGAAGCTGCAATAGTGAGGTTTAAAAAGGTTGAGAAAGCCGTCGTACTTGACGGTTTTTCTTCTGATATACTTGAAGAGTTTTTATATTGGTCCTGGGAAGAAGGTTTATTTGTATATTGATTGTTTCCTCTAGGAGAATCCCGAACGATGTACCTAGATATACCATCAATACGAGAATACTGTCATTCATTATACTCACGTGGAAGGAGGTTTCTCTTCATAGAAGTTCTCATCTTCTGGTATATCATCATTTCGAGCAATTGAGTTAAGAAAACTGTTCTGCTCGTAACGAACCGGCTCGATGATATGAGATGATTGTGGTTCTTCACCAGATTCATGAATTGTTACTGCCTTGTTCGGTTTCGGTGGAACTACAGGTGGAAGTGGAGGCTTTGAATGTGGTTCTGTTGACTGAGGAGTGTATGAGAGATGATAGCTTGGAGGAGGCACCTTAATCATCAAACATCACAAAAATATTTGAAAGTGTCGTCTTGGAAGACAGACAATATTGTTTCTGATGTAGCAAGTTCTTTATCAAGTTAACGAACCCCTTGAAAATATTTCGTTGGAGCTACTGGACCATCCAGTACTCGTCCGAGATATGGTCTATTGTCTTCTAAACCTTCAAACACTTTGATGCTAGCAGCACTCCATGTTGGAGTTTCTCTTCCGTCTACAAAATAATTCATGAGTGAAAATGATATTGAATTACCTGAATAATGATTGGATGAAGGAGTTTTTGGGCGAGAGCCAGCTGTTGGAGTTTTCATTTCAAGTTTGTCGGTTATAGCTTGTCTGAGAGCAGCGACACTTCGTCTTCCAGGCACCTATTAAAGCAATTAATGTATTCTATCTAATGCTTATTTTGATTGTCGAACAAGGAGAAATAAAGAGAACAAAGGATATGAAACGAAAAATTTTCAAATTTATGAGATACATTACCTCTACATCTCCTTCAGCCGGGTTGTGCTTTTGAATATCCGTCCGCATACCCCAATCTGGATTTGAATTGGCAACTCGCATCTGTAATCAAAGAATGTCTGTCATCAACTAGTACATGGTTGATACAATATGGATTATGAAGGGAGCTGATACAAGATGATGTTTTGATGGGGAAAAAGAGAGAGAGAGAGAGAGAGAGAGGTATAAAGAGAGATCAGGTCAATGTTTCGTTTCGAACGATCATCTAATAATATGCAAATAAAAGAGTAAAAAAAGAAAATTCATAATGTTATTCTTACATAAAAATATATTTTTATTTGTTTTTTGCATATTAAGATGAATAGAGAGGGTGTGGAAGATTATATGGGGGGGACTGGAGAGCAAACCATTTGCAAAAACAATAGAAGGAGAGAGAGACGGTAATGACCTTATATAGAGGACACAGGTTGGGATTGCCATTCAGCTAATGGATTAAAATTAGTTGATTATTATTAATTTTATGAATTAATTGTCGAGATTATGAGATGACCGTGAGGCAAATGATTCGAAAGGTGAATGAGAGATGAAGAGAGTGAGAGAAAGACAAAACGAACACCGTTTTTTTTTTATTTTTGTCGGAAACGCAAAGTTTATATAAGGAGAGAGGAAGACGAAAGAGAGAATGAGTTAGATGCAAACTGGTTTGTATATAATTAGAAGATGAAAGAAAGTTGTAGAGGATTTGAACCAAATCAAGTAATAAATTTGTGGAATGACAATCGATAAGATATGCAACAATTGCTCTTCTGAAGCATCAGCTGTTTAATAGTTTGGAAGGAGGTGAAACACAAAAAATGCATAAAATATAATGTAATATGAAGAGAGTTAAGAGAAATGAAGAAGATAAGAGAAGGTCAAAATGTGTGTAAATCGAATAAGAAAATTACGAGCTTCTTTGTAAAGCTCACAGAGCTTATATGGTGAAAGGGTAGATTTCAAAGACATCTCTCTATATTGTATTTATGAAAGAAAGAGATTATAAGAATATATATTAGAATAGCTTAGAAAAGGCTTTAAAAGAGAGAAAGGAGGGAAGGAGGGGGGGAGCAAAAAGAAAAAAAGCTTTTCGATGTGAAAGTGAGATAACGACTTGCACATGTATCCAACACACATACACACACAAAACTGTTGTTTTAAAATATAAAAGAAGGCAAGCAGATTATGACAATGAATTCAGCGAATGATAAGATAACAAGGAATTTCCTTTTTTTTTTTTTGAAGTTCGAAACACAACCTCTTCCATCTGTAGATTATCAGTCATTGCTCCTCCATTTTCTCGGCTTGTTTGACTTTTACAAACTGCAAATATTGAAATGTTTACGATAATAACAATTATAATTTTTCCTTTTTTTCACATTCAACCATTGATTAGAAATTTTAAAAAACAAAAATTAAAATTAATTGGAGAATGGACAGACACAACCGCTTCATGCTTCTACATTTGTGACAATAATGATTTTTGACGTGAAATTGACGTAAACATACCATTTTATGGGGGAATGCTTTCACGTAAATTACACGTGCGAATCGAAATATTCAAATTAGCTAACTTGGCATTTGACGTGAATTCAATTGATCATTCAATGTGTTTAAACTACACACACACACACATGTTAACATTACAAATAACACAATAAATGAGAATTAACAGAAAGTTGCAATTGACATACCTCTGGACTCTAGTAAAGTCCTATCAACATCATCCATATTCAAGGAGCTAGAAATAGTGAGCATAAACAAACTTTGATTGACAAGTCGTTGTTACCTATTAGGACTACTTCGTCCGCTATGAATATCAGAGATTGAACCACCGGCAAAGTCAGCACAAACACTATCATATCCAGTTGTCGTACTTTCAGAAGGTAATCCTACATTTCGAAATAAAACCCATAAAAATGAGGAAGCGTTTAAAAACCTTGTTGAAAACCCATTTGGATTTTTCGTTGTAGGAGACGATCAGTTGCCGGCGAGCGACTCGAGCAGATTTGTTCAAAAAGTTGTCGTTTATTCTATAATATAAGATGTTTCAAAGTGAGTGATAAAAACGAGTGGAACCTGTGTAGCTCCTCTAATCCCTTCAAGATCTAGTCGAATTTGTCGAAGCGGTGACGAATTGGTATGAAATGGATTTGCTCGTGGAAGGATTGGAGATGAAGGCACAGATGTCGGTGAGGGCAATCTTAAAATTAAACTTTGAAAGATAACAATGATTAAAAAACAGATAATGTTAAATGAATTAACAAACTCTTTTCGTATCGTTATAGGAGAGCTGTGAGCTGAAGTGCTGAGCTTCTCTCGACGGATTGTCTGATGATAGCTATCAGAATCTCTATAGATGTATTATCAATAAGTTCATCAGCTAATATTATCATTTAGTAATTACCTTATTAAACCGATATTCAAAGTATTTTTGGATTCTGATATTTTCTTGTAAACATCTTCGACTGATTCAACAACTTCATTGTTTATAGTGTCAACAACGTCACCTATTCGGACACCACCAACATTCGCTCTTCCTCCTGGTAGAATCTACAACGAAATGTTTTTTTGAATCATTTCTCATGAGATAATGTTTGTTTTTGTTTTTTTTTTGTTTTTACCTTACAAACAGTTGGTCTCATCCTCTCATCAGCGCTTAGCCGAAGCCCCCATGGTGGGCCACCCATAAGAGTCAATGATATCGACATTCTACAACAAAAAATAGGTTAAACCAAACGTAAATGAAATAAATATAGCTGAATTCATAGCATAAAAACCACTTTCATAAACGAGCTAGCCAGCTGTTCTACACAATCCCTGTTGTAATATTCGATAAAGCAAAGCAAAAGTTGATTCGATAGTTTTTGGAGGTAGATAAGGAAACTTGAAGCTGCAACGAAACTATTAACTACTTGAACATGTTTTGATCCATCTTGTTATCAATTCTACTATCGAGTAGTAAGTTGATCAGCCGGTCAATTTTAAACTTAATCAAGTTTATAAGCATCGATGGTTCAATGGTAGAATGCTCGCCTGCCACGCGGGCGATCCGGGTTCGATTCCCGGTCGATGCAAATCTTTTTAGGCAAACTCTGAAAAATTGTCAGTATTTTTCATATTTTGTTTAGTGAGTTCATTGAACAATGAGTCACGTGAATAGCAATTACGTTCTACATGTTGGTCTGAAATTGACGTTTTCAGTTCCTTCTTCTTTTTTTTTGTTCGATTATTAGCAAGAAGCCATACTTCAACAGAGTCCTAAAACTTCTCCCTTGAGCTCCTTGTTGAAAAATGAGAAAGAACTACTTGCCTTTCATCCAATGTTTTCACTTCAGAACTACATGTGCTCATGATTTCGCATTCTCATATGTTTCCAATAAGCTTAAATATACCGTTGACTTACTTTCCACACCCTCATACAAACATGAAGAGTGGATGAAATCCATTTTTCTTCACATTCTTGTTTGGTGGAAACTTTGGCTGCTTTAAAAGCAGTTATCAACATTGAAGTCTTCAAACGGAGAGAGAGAGAGAGACACTGTCTGTGTTTTCGCTATCTCATTGTGGTTTGCAAGCTAATCATATTTTTTAAGAAGTTTTTCATCTGATGATCAGTTTAGAAGTTGGTCATTTTTTTGGGTAGATAAGCATCGATGGTTCAATGGTAGAATGCTCGCCTGCCACGCGGGCGATCCGGGTTCGATTCCCGGTCGATGCAAATCTTTTAGGCCTACTTATGGAGTTAAACTCAGAAACCCTCGGTAGAGATGTTGAAGAAGTGTTCGACCCCTTATTTTTGATTTCGAGGCTCCAAGTTCAGTTTTTCATGAAATTGATTTCAATCTCTAAAAGTGTGAGAGAATCACAACATTTTAGAATCACAATCTTATTTTGTTCTTAAAACGACCTCAAAATGTTAGATTTTGTTTCCAAGAGTACTCTTCGGACTCAAATGGAACATAGACACGAGCACTAATGAAGAGATACAAATGTGGATTTGTTTCATAGATACAGAAACAATAAACGATCGGTATTAAATACTTTTGAAATGTTCTCACAAACAGGATAACATCCTGAAGTGCTCAATGCTACAACCTGAATACATTCCAAACTGAACGTTCTGGTACACTTTCAAGTTTCACGCAAACTTAAATTGGTTCAGAACGTGCTGAGTGAAAGAGCAAACTTAGGTAATCTACTGTTAGATGATGCAGATACCTGGCTGCAAAATATTTGCGAGTTAGCTATTTAAGTTAAGATCAGCTTCTTGAAGACATATTATTCTGAAGTTAGATTTGGAAGAGAAAAATAATAGTTCATTTGCATACGTTTTTGAACCTCAAAAGGTTTTACTCCTTCACTCTCTCTATCTTCTCCCTCTCTCTACCTACCTACCTAACCCAAACATTCCAATCGTGTGAACTACATACAAGAGTTCAATGCTTAGCTTTTGCGCATTCTAAAAGCAGAAAATATTTATTTTGTTTCGGATAAAGTTATTGAAATGATATCATCGAATATCTTATCAATTCCGCATAAACTATGAAAAGAGCGATGATGATGTTTCTTTTCAATTATTCATGGAAAAGAGAGGGAGAGTAAGACCAATGTAGAGAGATCGAAGGAGGGAATAACGCAGAATACTATTTTTCTGACAACAACAGCTTATATAAGTTGCTCATAGCCATTAATTTGTTAATTTTGTGACTACGGTATGAGGTTGAGACAGACATGGGTTACAAATGAAATTACATTGGTAAGCCTCAAAAAATGACATTATACTCCTGAAGATGTTTGAAGATGAAAAAATTAAAGAAAACAGTTGTTTTCGAGGTTTGTGAGTTTGCAACGCTCATGTAAATGAAATCTTCTTCAATTTTTTTCTTGAAATTTGTATTTTGTGTATGCAGTCCCCCCTCTCTCTCAGTTGTCCCTCTCTCTGTTCTCTTCAACCTAGCTCCAGCTCATTTCTCTTTCTCTCTTACTTTCTGGTTCTCTATCTCTCTCTCTCTATTATCATAGCAATGCCCTCTCTTATTCGGACATAGAATATACAAAGAATAGCGTGAAATAGTGGAAAAACTTTTGATGAAAAATAATTTTCCCTCCACGATACTTATAAGCCCCCCTAGAAGAGGAAGAAAGCAAAACGCAAAACAGAGATGAATGACCTCCGAAAGCGATTTGGTGGTTCCTTTCGGGCGGTATAATCAAACCAATTTATTCATTTTTTTATCCAAATTTTATTGTTTGAAGAAGTTATTTTTCATGAAAAGCCTCTCTGTCTTACATGATATCTGTAAGTTTCTCTATTGTCGTCCCTCCTTCAATCTCCCTCTCTCTCTCTTTGTTCTATAACTTACCTGTAGCTGAAGCAGACATTCGAAACATTCGCTACAAAGCGAGTTCTGTCGTCCTCCTACTCCCCCTCTCTTTCAACTTTCAAAAACAACGTTAACTAAGTTGAAAATTTATTTTTATTTTCATAATTTCTTTTTTTTTTGCTCTCTTCAATGATTTGCCAATCTGCCATGCATGACTTTCAAGCCCAAAAACAACAGCCAACCTCTGATTTTTTTATTTAATTTTCAGTTTGGGAAGTTATAAGCCATGCAGACGAGCTTCTTGCTCGCCTTGGATTAGCGGTCCTTAAGTTGCCTGAGGCATTCTGTCTTCAAAACTCATACTGAGCTCGCACTCTCTCGGCTTATCTTTCAATAAATTATGTGAAAGACATATGATGATTTATATATCTCTTTTGACTTCTTTACTACGGAATGATACTAGAATGCAGAGAATGCGAAGTAGAGGCTTGAAAGGATGGGCCATGCGAAAGAACCCAGCATTCGCCACTCAACTTCCATTTATATATATATTTTTTTTTTCTTGTAAAATTTTTCGCTAATAATCAGACTTTCTGCTTCTGTTCTCTTCTGTCCAACTACAATATGTGCTCAGCTGCAAATCACATTCGTTTACCATGGAAATCAGTCTTTTGTATCTTAAACTTCTTTAACAGATTTTGTGAGAAATGAAGGACAGAGCCGAGAAAATCATTCATCTTCTCAATAGTTTGTGATTAATTATTTTGTCCTTGTATCAATATATTAACAGCCTCTTTACACCCTATATTTTCATCAAATCGCTTTTTTCTTTGAATTCCAACCATTGTTTTGCTTCCAAGAACTACGATGAGAGAACGACTGTGAGAGTAGAGGAGTAGGGAAACGTTCCGAGAGAATGCGCAAGAAGGTTGAGAGAGAGAGACTACCAAAGATTGAGAGAGAAAGAGGGAGAGAAGAGTCATTAGTATTCTCTCTAATTCTCTCTCTGATCAAAATCTCATACAGCCGTAGAACAGAAAAAAAAACTTTCAGCAACTATTTGAAATTTTTTTTTCCACTTTCACTCTCTTCTTCTATCTCTGCATCAGCTGGAGCAACTGATTTTGATATTGACGAACTTTCGTTATCAGCGAATATTCGTTGAAAACGCCTAGCAATTTGATTAAATTATTAATTTTAATTGAAAAATTTATAAAAATTGAGAAACTCATTAGCGATTTGTGTGTTGATAAACTGAAGATGAATACAGCTGTTTCAATAACATTTCATGCTTCTCCACTGTCCTCCTCCTCTCTCTCTAACTCTTCCCCCCCCCTCTCTCTCTTCTTTTTTTTTCCTTTTTTTTTCATTTTAATAAGAACAACATTGTTTGAATGTCATTCCCAGCTTAAAAGAAAAAGCTCTTAGTTTCAACCAAATGACAGTTTCTTTTGAAGAAAGCAAAATCGAAAATGCTATGAGGCAGCTATGTCCCCCAAAAAAGCGGAAATGGAAAGTTTAATTTGAATCCGGAACCATCATTTTCCGGATAAAGAGATGCATGATCTGAGCAGAAAGAGAATATTCTAAGAGAGAGAAAAGTTCTTTTTTCCTTAAGAAAATTTGTCTCTTTTTTGATGCAAAAGCTCAAAATACCTTTGAAGTCGATGTTGACAACATATGCCCTCAGGCGGTAGAAGTGAAAGAATTGAAAGAGAGAGAGTTATGGAATTGAGAAGGTGGAAAAGGAAGGAACAAAAATGAGAGTGAAAGAGAGAGAGAGAGAGAGAGAAAGAGGCAGAGATTCATATTCCATTTCGAGTCGAATCGTTCGAACCGACATCATCTTCCCCTCTGTGGCTTCTTCGTTTCTTGCCTCTGTCGTGACAATTGTTTGTGAAAGACTTGTTTGACTGTTTTTGTTCAAAACATTTTAATTTTTCGAAAATGTAGGTGAATTTGAATGAGATGAAGCCAGACGTGAACTAAAATGGAAAAACCTTTGATGAGCATAGATCTTTAAAAGACGCCAAATGTGAATAACGTCATAAAGCTCCTAGCCGTCCCAAATGATTGTTGTGAACCTGTAAATGAGAAAATTGGAAACGTAAAGCCATTTATGATGAAAGACGGAACAGCTAAAGCTTTATTCGACAACTTTGTCAACGGCAACAGCATAAGCAGCAGCAACCGCAGCCGTTGTTTATGTCTTAACTATATGTATTTCATATGAGGGCATAGTTAAGAACGGTACTTGAACTCTCTGCCAACAGAATAGCTTTTCGTCGTTCAATCTTTCATTCAATTCAATTTTACTTAAAAGCTTTCCTTTTTTATGGTTTATCCACCAATATTCTGGCATAGAAAGAAAAAAAAATTTGAATTTCATCGCTCAACTTGATCTTTAATCGGTAAAAGCCGATGAAACTCTAAGAAATTTTTCCATTTTCTCTCCTATTTATTTTTGTTTCCTTTTAAATTCTCTGTGAGAAAACATGTTTCCCTTCCCTTCCATTGCCACCTCCACTTTGCCTTCTTCAGCTTATCAGCTTTTTTTTTTCTTTTAATTTTATTGAATTTCATATTAACGTTCCTATATGTACTCACTCGCCTTCTCCATTTGCCGTCTGCTTAGTGATCATCTAGATGTCTTCAACTCAAACATGCTCCCTCCGCCTTCTCTCTTTCCACCCAACTCATTCTTCTGTAAGCATTACCTTTTCGTCTTTTTCAACAGGAGTCTTCTCTTTAGCCTTCTATCTCCACCTCAATACGTTCTCACATATTCCCTCTCTCTCTATCTCTCTCTCTCTCTCCCCTATTCAGTGTTACTCTATCTCAGATATCTCTCTGTATAGCATCGTTTCACTTCCGTTTCTTGGAAGATTTCGTGATTAAAAATCACCATAAAATCATTTATAAAAAAATTGGAATTTATCATCATTTTCCCTCATTGAGAATTCCGATTGGGTTCCGCCTCAGAAATTTTTGGATTCTCTCTCTCTCTCTCTGTCTGTCTGTTTTATAATAAAATTGTAATTAGAATTAATTACTTTACTAAGATACATATACTCATAGATAGTCGCTCGGACATGCTTACTCTCCTCCCTCACAACCTTCCTCCTTCCCTTCCTCCCTCCTTCTCTCTCTATCTATCTCTCCTTCCCTCCTTCTGTCACATGAGAAAATTGCTTATGAGACATGTGTATATCTAAGATTTTCTTTTTTAAAATATAAAAATCTTTCTTTTTTCCTTTTTCGGAAGAAACAAAACAGTGGAAAAACAGATTGAAAGACAATTTTTCGTTTCTCGACAGAAGAAACAAAGACAGAATAAGAATGAGAGACAATCTGTTAGTTTATACAGATAAAGAGAGTAAGAGAGAGAAAGGGAAAGAGAATGAAGTAAGATTTCGAGAGGCAGCTTTTCCAAGGGAAAAAGTGATTTTCAAAGGTTCCCAGCTACTTCTCAGCGTATGCTAATATCTTTTTAAAAGATTATATAGTTGCAGTCTTCATGAAGCCTTCTGAGCCTATGCTCGATCATAGGTGAAACAATGAAGTCGTCTCATTTTTCTTCTATTTCCTCTATGTTTTCTTATTACTCAGGTATTCTTTTCACTTCATCAGTCAAACAAAGAAGTTTTTTTTTCGTTTCTGAAGAATAAAAAAAATGAAGAAGAAGCGACGAAGAGTTGATGAGATGAGATAGAGAGAGAGATGAAGTCATCTGAATAGGAGTCGAAGAGTAGAATAAGGTGTGAAGGAACACACTACATATCTCTATATATATTTCATTTTGGAAGAAAAAATTCTTTGTGTTAGGTCTTAAATCCTTCCTTGTCTCTCTGTATTTCCCTCTCTCCCTCTCTATCTTCCTCTCTCTCTCTCTCATTGTCTAAACGAAGTTTCCTAACAAAATACTTTTTGAAATTCTATTAAAAGGCGAAAGTTTTCAATCTTTCTAATCGTGCGTGATCATTCAAGCTTTTCCTTTATTTTAATATTTAAAAATTAAATTTACACGAAGACCAACTTAAGAAAAGTAAAAAGAAAGGTTGAAAATGTGAGAGAGAGAGAGAGGGAGAGAGAGATTAGTTAAAAAGAAAGAGAAAGAGAGAGAGAGAGAGAGAAATGGAGAGGAAAGAGAGAGTTCACTGATCTACAAGCCGGAGGGGGAGGAGAAAGCACGTCTCTTTCCTCCCTTCCTCCCTCCCCTTTTCCTCAGTCTTATGTGCCCAGTCTATTGGCGTGTTCGTTTTGTTGAAGAATTTGTCTTTCATTCTTTTCTTTTTTTCTTCAATCATCTTAATTTTATATCATATATATATATAACTATATATATATATAATGTAATTATATATTTATCTATTCTATTAAGCAATGGAATGTCTACCATCACCCGAAGATCGCCTCTTATCACAACGTTATCTCCTTCTAGGAGTATTCGGATCTGGCTTAGCATTATTTGGAGTTATAGCAAATGCTTTATTAACAACATTATTTCTTACAAGAGCACAATTCAGGTAATCATCATTAAGATAGCCTCAGGGCATTATAATGAAATTGAGAAAAAGCTTGAAGAATAACTTCTTCTTCTCTCTCTCTCTCTCTCTTTTTCTCTCTCATTCTCTCTCATTATCTATATGTGTGTATATTAACTATAAACACATATAAAATTCATGACTGTTGTTGTCATCTGGAAGAGATGATGCTTTCCAACACTTTTTTTTCTTCTTTTATTTACTTTTACTTTTAAAAAAAAATTTCAAATTTTTTTCTTTCCTTTTTTTTTTTCTTGTTTAGAAAACTTTTTTTTTTCAGACATTCGCCATTCTTTTTCCTGGGATTTGTTGCCATGTTTGATACTCTACTTGATGCCACATATATCTTACTTTTAGTAAGTTTTTATTTATGCAAATGAGCTTCCCCCTATATATATATATACTGATTTGCATAATATTTACGTATGTTACGTTACTTTCACGTGTGATTTTCATTTTCAAATATATCTGATAGATGGAACGGTTGCATCTCTCTTATAACCTTCTTCTTCTCCTCTCTTGTCTCATCTCATTCTCTCTCTCTCTGTCTCTCTCTCTCTATATATATCTTTGAACTCGTCATTTGTCTTCCTTATATCAACTACTAAACACATTTTTTTCTTCAATATTCGTTGAAAAATAGGCTTTAGGAAAGCAACAAAAAACTGAAGAAAAGGATAGCAAAACCTTCTGTTTATTACCTTTGCCCCTCTGTGAACACTCTCTTCGTTTTCTCGTTTTCGAATTAAATGAAGATTTTCTCCAAACGAAGAAGCATAAACGAGATTTTCTCTCTTTATTTTTCCTTCAAATTTTCGTACTTTTTTTGTCTTCGTCTTCTTCATCATCAGATTCTACTTCATCGTCGTCGTTGTCGTTGTCGTCTTCTTCGTCTTCCTCTTCATCTGATTCCTAAAACATTTCTTTCGTTTCGCTTCAACTCTCTACACAACAATTAGATAAATGCTTCAAAGGAAACATTCAAAGACAAACATCCAGCTAAAGCAGTTGTTTTCTTTTAATTTTTATTTCATTTTTTCTAATAAATATACTTTGGAGTTTGGTCAGAGAGGGAGAGAGAGATGGAGAGGAAAAGGCTGAAAGAACAGAAAGTCAACATGCGATGAACGATTTAAAGCTTCACTTTCATATAAGGCGCTTCCTTTAGAAGGAAATTGAAAATACCTCATTTCATGGCTTTTCCCTTCGTCTTTTCCTTACTCTAACTCTCTCTCTTGCTTTCCATTACAAACAGTTTTATTTTATCCACCTTCACAACCTCTCCCCCTCTCTCTATATATGTTTCTCAGTCAAGTATTCTTTCTGTATAGCTATCTCTCTCTCTCTCTCTATCTCTCTCTCACTCTTGTCATTTCCCTTGTTTCAATTTTCCGGTAGCCTCATTTTATGTGCAAAAACAATAATTTGTCATCCACGGTCCATATTTGGCATCTCTTTTAGTCAGTTCATAACTTCAATTATTTATGATTTTCATTTTTCAAGAATCCTAAAGCAATCACCAGATATTAGATGAAAGTATTGGGGCGAACCGTAAAAAAGGCGAACAAGAGAGAGATGACTGAATGCAGTGAGGGAAAGTGGATAGAAGAGAGAAATATGAAGAAGATGAAGCTTAAACTGACCTTTTACCTCTTCCATTTTTCTGCAAAAATTTTAATTTCAGAGCATTCCAGTGACGGCGGAATTTTATAACCATTTGCCATTATGGTTAGTATGGCTTAACTATATGCCATTGCTGCATCTATTTGGTCAGATCTTTAAGATGTCATCTGTGTTCTGCCTAATCATGGCAAGCATTGAGAGGTATGACGTCGAGATATGAAAACAATTGACTTTTAACCGAATGAACTTCCAAAGATGATTTCTGGAGAGATGTATGTGCGTACGTATGTGCCTGTGTGAGTATGTGTGTGTGTGCGTGACCTCTTCAGATGACGAAAGCTGATAATATTCCTCATTTTACTTCCTTTTATGCTCTTTCAAATATAATTTTGTTTGAAAAAAAGAAAAAGAAAAAAAAATGTACGAAAGAATGTAACGTCGATGAGATTTTGATCAGAAAGCTCATCTTCAACACAACCACTTGATAGTAAATGGCTTTTCCTTTTTCATCATGAATACTTTCGGCCGTCTCTCTCACTCCTTTGATTTTCTCTCTTTATAGTTAGAAGCAGAAGAGTAGTCTATAGCAATCTTTCTTCTCCATCTATCATTCTCTCATAATCCTTTTTGAAAGAGAAAAAAGAAGAAGAAGCAAACCTTGAAAAATCAAAACCTTCCCATATATGTATGTGTAAAGTTCAAAAAGTTTTTTTTCTTCTCCCTCTCTCCTCTTCTCCACATACATCTCATTCGCTTTTCCTCGGAGAATAAGCTTTATAAAGAGCAAAATCATGATAAGAGCTCGTCATGACGCTCTGAGTATTCGCATAATCGCCCCAGGCAATCCTCAAAATTAACAAGGAACATGATGGTTGATCTCGGAAAGTAGAAAAGCACAGAGAGAGAGGACGAAAAAACTTTTTTGCAAATAAAAAAAAATTAATTTTTTAAGCTCATTTTTGGAGGGAAAAAGTTCAAAACAGTTTGCTTCATAGTCATTTAGCATCTTTATAAGCTTGCAAAGCTTTCTCTCCCTGTGTGTATGTGTATGTGTGTGTGTCAAACCTTCGAACTAAAATATTTGAAAAACGAGTTGAAGCTCCAAGTTCTTTTACACAATGTCAATAACAGTTCAGAGTTATTGAAGCTTTTGTCTTAAATGATGTCCAAAAACAATGAACAAGAACATCTATTTGCTACTTTTCAGATATTGTATGACAAAGCATTGGACTTTTACGGGATTTGAACGTCGTACACGCTGGATGATGCTTGTTGTTCTGATCGGATTGGCGATTGTCATCAAGAATCTTACTTTCGTTCGTTTCTTTATAGTTTTTTGTACTATTAACTCATTTTCTCTCATCACTCTATATATCTTTAGCTCTAACATCTCTTCTCATCCTAAATCTCTCTCTCTCTCTCACTCTCTCTCTCTCTCTATCTTTGAAAAGCTTTTTTTAAAGAAGCTTTTCAAAGCTCATTTCTATAGCACTCCTCTTTTATTTGTCTTTTGTTTTATCTGAGACAATTTTAATTGTTTTGTTGTAGGATGTGATGATCGAAGAACGACCTCAATGTTGGGGATTCCGAAGATATCGGATCGGAACTCAACGAGCACGTTTTTATCATTTCGGGCTCATTAACACGATTGCCATATTTGTTCCGTTTCTCACGCTCATTTTTTTGAATGGAGGGATTGTTTTGATGCTCCGTCATCAACATGTTCAGGTAACATTTCAACGAATTTTTCAAATGTGCAAACTTAGAACAAAATAAGAACAAAACGTTTTGGAGGTAAAGCTGAAAAGGCAAATCCTCGCTGGCATTGATACAATACAAAGAGACACAGAGAGGGAGAGAGAGAGACAAACAAGAAAGTTGTCTGAATGAGTTGAAGTTTACAATCAAACACAGAAATTACCATATTTCTCATGTTTTTCATTTTAAAAGACTTTCCTTCACTCTTGAATAAGACATGAGAAGCTGATGTATTCTTGAAGCTAAACTAGATGTATAGTTAGTAAGCTTTATGTTGCTTTGTTGAAAGCCAACTGAAAGACAGTAGAGATTGTAAATGAAGCATTGCTGTCTTTCAAATTCACATTCAACAATACCAGTCAGTGCTTTACCAAGGACAACTCAATTATTTCGCTTTTTTTTCTGCTCAATCAAATCCTTCCATAAACTATTTCGTTACTCGGCAGTCGCTTTTTTCTTTTTGTTCTTCCTCTCAGCTTTAACGAGAGAAAAAACTTTGGAAGATGAGCGATTGTAAGCTTCTGTCGAACATCAACACACACACACACACACACACACACACACACATGCATATACATACACTTACACTGTTCACATGACCCTTTGACAATGTTCGATTTAAGAACATCGATATGAATTCTGAATTCCGATAAAGCTGAAGAACAGAATGAAAAAGCTAAGAATGTGATGAAAAAAAACTAAAAAGCGAACAGCTGCTGTTGATTATCGATGAAAATAGTTTGAGGAGGAAGAAATTTAGATTTTTCCACGCATTAATTGTCGGAAGAAAATAAAAAAAGAATTCTTTCATGACTTATCATTGTTATATTATTGAGCAGAGCTAATTGATGATGAAGTAGTGACAGTGGGATGACAGTCACTTTCTATACTTTCGAGCTGATCTTCTCAGTCACTTCTCTCTCTCTCTCTGTTCATCCCCACTCCCACTCTCTCTCTCTCTCTCTGTCACTCAATTGTTTATAAATCTCTTTTTTTCTGCTGAAATTAGAAAATGAGGGATCTTGATAACATAAATTGCCATTGTTCTCATTGAAAGCCTATATATCTAAAGATGAAAACAGCACAAAAGCATAATACAGAAGGCTGCTGCAAGCAAGTAGCGATCTACATGCATAGCTTCATCTATAGGGAGAGAGAAGAAATGAAATATGAATTATGATAATAAGCCATTTACACAATTATCTTTTTCGTTTCAGCAACTTCGATCATTAATAACTGAATTTACAATGGGACATGACGTAATGAAGATGAGACGTCGAAATCTACGTTCAGCTACCCGAACGCTCATCGTCATCATCAGTGCCTATCTTATTTCAAATTTATTGTATTTGATATTAACAATAACGGAATATTTTGATGCCGGTAAGCTCATTTTCTAATGTTTATTTATTTTCATTCATTTTCTGCCATCAAATAAACAAAAACAATCCGTGTGTCTGTCCTGTCAGCATTTGGCAAGTTGGCAAATGACAAACATAATTTCAATGCTTATTTTTGGAATAAAAACGAAATTTTGAATGCAAAAGGAAGAAAAGTTTGACAGAGAGAGAGAGCAAGAAAGAGAGAGAGAGAGAGAGAGAGAGAGATAGATAGAGAGATAGAGGATTAGATAAAATTCTTATTCGTTCAGCTTAAAAGTAACTTCTTCTATTTCTGATGATTGCGTGATAGAGATAGAGTAAGTGAATAAAGAGAGTGAGAGAGATTAAGAAGATTTACTTACAGAAGAAAATAAGTTAATTAAAACTGTTTTTCTGGTTACTTCAGCTTCTGAGCCAGATAATTCTCATCAAGTTTTTCTTGTGTGTTTGTTTTTTTACGGCAAAATTGAATTTATTTCATGGACGACATGAGCAAACTTTTGCAAACATTGCCAGGAACATCACATGACTAAATCCTTATTAGCACTGTTTTCAAACGAGCATTATTATGAAGAATTGTAGAAGAGAAGAGTTATCTTCACACAAAGCAGAGAGCAAAGGAATGAGAGAGAGAGATAGAGAGTTAGAGAGAGAGAGAGCAAGAGCTTATTCCTTGAATGCAAACGTTATGTGCGTAATGACAATCATCTCCTATGTGATATCTCCAATAATAATCTGCCACGTGACTTTGAAATTAAGCTTCACATTCTATCTTGAGTAGAGAGGTGTGAAAACACTAACAACTTTCCATTTCTCATTTGTCAAATAGATAAGGAAGCTTCATCATCCAACATACGATGTCACAGACTCTTAGTCACATGTAACTTAATGACAAATACTTTTCATTATTTTCAGATTTTCTTCATGTCAGTCATCCAGACTTTCATCTGTTAGCCAATGATACAGCTTCCGTCCTTACCGTCATTGGAAACGTCATCAGATGTCCTGCACATTTTCTATCAAATTCTGAAATCCGTCAACAATTCTACCAGCTGCTTTGTCCTGAGGTTAAAGAGCCTAAAGTTGCCGCTCTAACACACGTCGCACTTGTGAGCTTTTTACTTACATACATACTAAAACTTACACTTTTTCCTAATTCTAACGGAGAGAAAAACTAACTAATAGTTAATCCTTTATGGAAAAACATACATTTGAGGAAGTTGCAAGAGAAGGAGGGGTGGGTGGATGAATGGATAGAAAAATCCTTAACATGTCATAACTCAACTCGCTCATGTTGCAGAGCTGCAAAAAGCGTTATCGTTATGATTTCAATCATTAAACCCAATCAATCCCATGTTAATACCTTATGTATGAGTGATCAAACACCATATGTCATTTTTGCATCAAACTTCTCGAATGGTTTTAACATAATGTTAAGTTAATCCTCTTACATGCTGTGCCTTACAATCAACTGCTTTCAACTGACATGATGGCCTGGAAACACAAAACTAATAATAACATTAGAAAGTTGAATAAGGAACAAAGAAATATGATTTACTTTTGATTTTTTTCCTTTCCTTCTTGTTTTTTGCAAATATGTTATTAAAAGTTTATGTAAACTAATGTTTACTTGACGAAACGTTTCCTCCCCACGACATCTCTTCGAGTTGTAAGATACCATGATTGACATGTAACAAACATTTTACTCCCACTTATAAGCTAACATCAAAACATACCTTAATCTTCAATAACAACAAAGTTTAATAGGCAAATGCTCATTATTGTCATTTTTCAGGATCCTGAACAGTTATCAAGGCGACGTAGTGAACGTTTAGATAATCCATGGATATCACTTCTTCTGACTGTGCACGAGAAAGATGATCCACAGTCTCCTCTGCTTTCACGAAATTATGCTAAGCGACACAGCACAATAGCTGTTTGTTGATAAAGCTTATACTGTTCATCTGTAATCCTATACATGATTATGAACAGCTGACGTCTCTCTTATGATATACCTCTATTCATATTTCACTGATAACGTCTTCTAGACTGATTCATTTGTTATTAATTGTATATTTGAACTTTCGGATCTCCCATTATAGCTAATGTACCAAAACGGGTAACATTTTTATTTTTCTTTTTTTTTCAATTCTTCTTCTCATCTTGTCATGTTGTCGAGCTTCCCTTTGAGTATACGGGTTATGCAGAAGTACCTTAAATAAATCTCTTTTTTTTTCAATTTTCGTTGTATTTAATTGGTCATTTTATAAACGAGGTTTGCAATTTGAGACACAAATTGGGCACAAGTGTAAGTATGATCTGAATAGGAAGTATGTACATGGTGAGCAGTCGATTGAAGCACTGCTCTATGATTAAAACAAACATTTGTACAAATATGTGAGTGATGTAACTTTAAAAAGTCATTTGGGTGATTTTAATCCGCTCATAATACGTTCTCTTTGAATCCGCTATCAGCCGTATCTCTTTTACCTCGTGGTGCTAGAACAGATGACATACTTTGCTTTTGGATAAGCTGTAAAATAGAAGTAGATGATGGGAATAGGAAGTAGTTTTGCGAACCTTCACACCATCTTGAACTTCCTCTATAGCTTTGGAAAGCTCAAACTTAATTTTCAGAGCTGTATGTCGTCGATGAGGATTCATGTGCCAACACTCTTGCATAAGCATTTTTAACATATACATGGCAACCTAGAGGGATGAGAAAATGTTGAAAGTTTCAACAGCAGGGAATGTCATGCACTTACATTTTTGTCTCTAGTCCAATTTTCATCTAGAGGAGGACGAAGCCCTTTTTCAGCGACAACAACACGCATTTCTTCAAAAGAAGGATCACTTTGAACCATTCCTTCGAAAGGGGGAACATAGGGCAATGCCTTGCTTGTCTAAACAATGAATTAATTAAACAGAACCATATATATGTTTAACCATATCCAGACTGGGCTTCTGCATATGCTGAATTCGGGGTGAAGATGCATCTTCCAGAGATTCCCCAATACCACTAGAATCAGATTGCGCAGCCGTTTGATTCCCTGCAACCCTTTGTGCAACTAATGCCTGGGTCTCCTCAGATGTTTGCCACTAAAACGATCATAAAAATGAAAAACGACCATTGAATAAGTTTTGGCGCCACATAGTCGCTCCATAAATCTGAGCTCCATATGTGTTCGAAGGTCAATTACATTCACCAACCTCTGTTCTTCTGGATATTTCCCATAACACCAAGGCAAACGAATATATGTCAGCCATTTTGAACTGATCAAAGCTTGATGGCATAAGGGTTTTGCTCAAAACTTCCGGAGCCATGTATCGTTTAGTTCCTACTTGAACATTAACCTTCTCAGGGATCAACCGTCCGTCACTGAAACGAAAGACTCATGACCTGTACCGAAAAAAATTTCTTACTATCTAACAGCCAATCCAAAATCAGCAATACAACATACTCCTTTACGTTTGACAATAATGTTTTTAGACTTAATGTCACGATGAGCTATTTCTGGTTTTCTCAGATTCCCAGTTCCATGTAGCCCGTTGTGGAGATGATCTATGCCACATATGGTGCTATGAGCAAGACGTAATGCTTCTTCAACAGTAAGTGTCTCCTCTCTGCGCAGATAATCGGATAATGACCCGTGTTCATGATAATCAGTTATTAGTAGCATTTGAGTTATCGAGTTCTCACTACAAATGTCAGCAGCCACATATTCTGAGAGCCATGAACGTTATCATAAATTCTGAATTTAACACTTACGAAGAATATTTTCATGGTTGAGCATTTGAGTTTGATAAACTGCTTTCTCATTTCGCCACGATTCTTCATCAGTTGTATAGAAAGTCTGAAGTAAGGATTATAGAATCAAGAAGTTCTTTAGATAAGCAGAATACCTTCACAGCAACGTAATTGCCTCTGTACATGGCTTTTCGAACTTCTCCATATCGTCCTCTACCGATTACTTCGATTATGACAAGATTTTGAGCGACGGTTCGCTGATTAAGTGTTGTTTGCCCTGATCCGCTTCTGTATCAGAAAATTTCATTCGTAAGAAAAAGCATAATAATATTACCCGGAGTCATCAATCAAGATGGGGTCTTTCTCAGAATCTTTTTCCAGTAACGCTTTCTTCTCGGTGATTCCTAGAACAAAACGACTGTCAGTTTCCAAAAAATTTTGTAAATCATAACATACGTGCAATGTATCGTTTCCTCAGATATACACAAAGAAGAACTATTAATACCAGTTTAATGAGGCAAAGTGATATGAACAGAATTATATAATCCTCTATAAGTTCTAAGAGGAAGCCTGCAAACAGTCAATGATAAAGCATAAGAGCACCATGAGCAAATAACTCACTAGAAGGAACTTCAAGCGGATTAACATAAGGTGGTGGAACAACGTGCAAATTACAATAATTTCCTTCATAACAACAACCAATGCTTTGCGGTTTCCGATGAGCTGATCTCCATGAATTACACTGATGAGAAAGGTCATCAACTAATTTGATAACGAATACAAACCGTCAGATGCGAACCATCGCTCCCTTTTTCGAGAGGTGCGCAACCATATTTATGTAGTGTGACTAATGAACGTTGCTTACGATCATATATCTATAATAGAGAATGATTGAACGAAAGTTCTGATTATTAGTTCCTTACCTCTTCGACGGCATGGAAGCATGCAGCTAGATCATCCTTTATACAAGTCTTATTATGACCACATATATCTTCACTGTATGTGCAATAGCATTTATTCCGTTCAGACTCTGGTATACTATTATTCAAAAGGTTTCTTAACACACAAATTAATACTCTAAGTAAATAAGTTGCAAACCTGACTGGCTCTTTTGGCCTTCCAATAGCGTCTGCAGGTATCCATAACCCATCCTCAGCGGAGGAGTCCAACGCAAGGACAGCGTAAAGTAATAATGTGATTCGGACGAATAAATGAAGCATTCTGTTCTTCAACGTTTCATGACATTCTCATGGGGTTTCTATAATAGAATCATTTAAAACAAAACCTATGTATGGTCTCATGCTAAGAACAGTCAAAAGCAAGGCTCAAGAGTGCTGGAAACCTGAATCGGCGGGATGGCAATCAGAATCAGATGAATGTTGTCGTCGTCATTATGGCGCCGTCTAGTCGGATGTGTGTCCTTTCGTCGTTGTGTAAATTGATTCTTCATACCGTACTCCAAAATTTCTTCTAATTGTTGACATTAGGATGAAGCAGACAAGCATGAGGAACGTTATCAGACAACAATCATAAACTTTGAAGATAACAGTAACTAAGATCATATTCAAATTGTTGTGAAATGTGACAAAACATATCATCGATGATACTTCTTACATTTGCTGAAAGATTAAAAAATCTTATCTGCTTGTAATCAGGTAGCTTCAACCGTTCATCTGAATGAGTTCATAGTTTCTGGCCAGCTACAGCGTCAGTGACGCCACTTACGTGCTTGCCACGTGCATCCAACCGTATATAACTCAAATGAGAAATTAACATATTGCAAGATGATATTGCTGTTGAGATAACATTTGAACTCATTTGAAGTCTAATGCGATAGTCAGTTTCAAAGAAAAATGTCGCTTTGACGTTGAGATGTGAGAGCTTCATTGATGCCTTTTATTCATGCTGATGAATTGAAATAAAATAAAATGTTATATGAAGATGACTCAGAAGTATGAATATCAAGATAACTTTTACGGTTCGTTCATTACATCATGCATGATAGGGATGATTGCCTAGAAATCAGTTTCTCTGAAAACCCGATGTTAAAATGATTAACACAGAACATTGATATAGGAAACAAGCTTAATACCGGAAGATAATTTTTGAAATTCTTTTTGTGTTGAACTGAAGTTCATTGCAACTCTGTTGTTTAGTTAGACTGTCGTTTAAGTAATCAACCTTATGAACTTCAAACAAACTTTACAAGCTTAAAAAAGAAAAAGCTATATACTATCAATGTTGAGACACAGTTATCTCTCATCATTTGACAATTCATTCACATTAACTATTGGAAATAATTTTGAAATTTTTTTTATTCTTCTCAAAAGCAATTCATTTGATTATTCATGATTTACAAATAGTATCAGAGACTTTTTAAATTTAGAGAGCACATCTTGTTCTTCTGTAATCATATCAGTCAGAAGTTAATCCACGTTTGTCTTATCAGTAAAATCATTTTTACTTCTTGTTCAGCAGGCAGTGGAAAGAGGTGAGCATGGCTGCTAACGTACAAGCTATCTTTCAAGTGAGTTAACATTTGTATCTTTTCTACTTTTGATATATCTTATTAAGGCTGTACTGTTTATAGCCTGTTTAGCTATTCTCGGAGTTGTCATAGCTAATCTGGTGACAACTATCAATGTTCAAAATCAAAATCAAACTCCAGTCAGCTTGAATTTGAATGTTACTAACAACAACAACAACAACGGCCAACCTCAAATTCCTATAATTTATAATGTTTCTTCTGCGACCAATAACTTCACCATCTATAACAACACTGTGTACAACACATCTTCAATTATTTATTATCAACCAGGTGAATATTTCGAGAAATTATTTTTCAACATATGTTTTGATCTTTCAAAGATTCTTTGATAGTAAGAGATTTAAGCTGAAGATGTATGAGCCTTATAAGATTACACGGTGTACTTAAGCCTCTTAAGCAGTCTTCGATCATTACTCTTACCCGAGTTATCTTTTCTACCCGCTAACTACTAATGTAGTTATTGAACTATCAATAGAGAGATCAAAAGAGAAACAAAGAGAAGAGAGAAAGAAACATAGAGGGCGTTAGAATAGATAAGAAGAGATAACGCCCTATCAACCGTTCACGACGCCCTCGGGCACATAAAGTGAAACCTGCCTAGAGTCAAAGGTCATACAATTGTATCTTACGTCATTTAGTTTCGAACGATTTGAAACAGTTTATTTTGATTTTCAGCCAGTCCACTAAATGTTCAAAACAACCCAGTTATTTCCAATACCAGTGACCAGTACAGCAGTTACAGAAGTTTCGCTCAAAGCTTGAGGTGATTCTACAGTTTAATATTATTTATAAATTATATTACCTTGCAGTTCAACATTGAATGTTTTCTTGGATCCTTGCAAAAATTTCTATGAATACACTTGCTCTAACATCAAGAGTGCTATGAGTTTCGAAGTCTCCGATGACTCCAACACCGAACAGATGCGTCTTAGGTTTGAAAACCAAGACTACAGAAAGAAACAAGTGATTTGAAATCAGTTTTTGAGATATATTCTATTTGTATTATAGAATTCTACAACTCTGAAGAACATCTTCAATTACTATGACAACTGCAAATATGCTCGTGCTAATTGGGATTCTTTACCAGGTGTTAAGGACGGACAAAGAATCACTGACGTGATCAACACTATCGGCAAAGGTTTCATATTCATACTGTTGCGACAACTATTCGTTTCTTTAGGTAATCCAAATAGAACTGAAACAGTGTTCAAATTCCCACTTCTGGATCAAACAACAGTTTATAAAACATTCCCAACCCCAATTGGACTCGGCTATCTTGCCGGTATATTAAAGCCGATCATCTCACGAAAGTAGCAACATCGTTTCAGGCTTCCCCTTAGGACAATATGGTATTCCAACATTCGTTTCTGCATATACTGACACAAAATGGAAAACACCCGAAAAAGGATATGCTCTTCTAATTGATCAGCCAACCACTTACCGTCCAAACACCTACTATCTTAAGGATCCAGTAAACACTAAAAATGCGTAGGTTCCTTGATATTCTTCAGAACTGACTTTTTATTTCAGCTTGATTAATGAAGTTGTGGGTGTTATGAATGCCTACGCCCAAGTTATCAATAAAAATCTCAACCAAGAAAAGCTTTTGAATGATGCTATGGGAATTGTTAACCTCGACTTTGCTCTGGCTCTTAACTTCAGGTAAGAACAACTAATCATGATACGCTCATACAAATTCGTTTAAGTACCGATGACACTACCAGACGACAGTTCGCAAGAAGCAATATTCTGAAAACTATGGATCAATTGAAAACAGAGTTCGCAACATTCAGTTTCCATACTTTCGTGCCAAATGTGTGTAGATTTACCTCCAAAAATTTCGACGTTTCTCAATATTTAAGGCTCTCATGGCTTCTGATGATGCTGTGCTTCTCATGCTCGACCCAACCAAGAACTCTACTTTTGTTATCATGGAAGGCGATAAACTCCATCAACTCTTAAACACTGGTTTTGTTGATGCCAATAAATTCAGTGAGCTCACCTATTAATTATTCAAGTACATCATATTGTTGAAGGTATTACTCCTAACGATGTTGTCAACTATGCTTACTATGCTGCTGTTCGTCAATATTCCGCCTATCTTCCTCAAAACAGTGACTCTGTAAGTTTGTGTCTTACAGAAAAAAAAATGCAATGTAATAAATTCCAGATACGTATGGCTCACTCCGGCAAACCATTCGTTCTCCCCCAACGTCCAAATAAGAGAAGAGGAATTATTCCAGGTGCCTTTAACTTCCGAAAAAATTTTTTCAATTTTTTTTTAAGAGCGTAAGCACCGTTACGCTATGAAGCAGTTAGATGATGATACGCTTATTGGTCAGTCTTGCGCCAGTGAAACTATGGATGTTCTCCAATATGCCAATGCTCGTGTTTTCATCGATCAGATTTATCCAGACCAAAATAGTAGAAATGCCATTAGAACTCATGTTGCTAAGGTAGCCAACAGTATTCTTATCGGTTAGCATACTTGAAATATATATTTCACTAGACAGCTTCTTAAGGTATGAGATCTATGATAGACCAACTCAACTGGATGAGCCCACAATCTAAAGTTGGAGCTTACCAAAAAATTGAAAAGTTAACTAAGAATATGGCCTATCCAGACTTCATTGCTAACGACGACGATCTCGATAGATATCATTTGGTTATTGAACTCAACTCTTCATATTTTATCGACTTGGCTTCAGACTTTGGGATTCACTGACAAATCATCATATTTTGACATGGTTGATAAGGCCAACACTTTCGGACTTTATTGGACATGGCAAGTTTTGCTGAAGGCAACGACTGATAGACAAGATTTCGCTGGTCCACCAGGAACTACCAATGCTTGGTATCAGGTTAGTGTAAAGGTCAAAGAATTTACTTACAGGATGTTTCAGGATGAATTGAACTCTATTACTTTCCCTGCTGGTATTCTTCATCCCCCATTCTACGACTTCAACTGGCCAGCTGCTGTTAATTTTGGAGCCATGGGAGTAATCGCTGGTGATCTTCATATCTGTTTCGAGTTTAGAAGTATTTCATTTAGGGCACGAATTGACACACGGTTTCGATGATCAAGGAGTTCAATGGGACGGTCTCGGTGCTTTGAACACGTTTGTTTAACAAAACAATGACTGACAATAAGTCATTTGTTTCAGCTGGATGAACGATACGCAATCTACTGACGGATTCAAGAAGATGGCACAGTGCGTTATTGACGAATACAGTGGTTTTTGCCCTTTGAACAAAACCGTTTACGGATCTGCTGCTTGTATTGACGGACAACAAACTCAAGGAGAGAATATTGCTGATAATGGAGGTATGAAAGCAAAGAATATGATGTAAATCATTTTGTACTTTTCAGGAATTCACTCAGCATACAGAGCATACAAAAACTATATTTCTTTCAATGGACCCGATCCACAACTGCCAGATAGCCGTTTGAGTGATTTCACTCCAGATCAACTCTTCTTCCTCAGTTTCGCTCAAGTACTTGTTCTCATACTTGAACTGCTATTATGGCATTATCTTAGGTTTGGTGTCAAACAACTCCCTCAGATGCGAGATTTGAAAGACAAATTTTGACCGACGTTCACTCTCCTTCAATTTATAGAGTTTTCGGAACAATTCAGGTATATTCCATAAACTTATAGTTGAAATATTCTGTAATTTCAGAACTTCCCTGCTTTCCGTAGTGCTTTCAACTGTCCCGCTGGTTCGCCTTATGCTCCGATACCAGGAAATTACTGTAATGTCTGGGTTTCTGACATTGATTCTTGTAAACAAGCTTTAATGATATTGAGAAACTAAACCATGATTTCAGCTTACGGATTACCAAAGTGAAGAATTGCATTGTCTCAACCAGCGAAAATGGAGCTTTACACCGATTTTTGATTTAATAGAGAAAAATTTTTTTACATCTTTAATAAACATTATTATGAAAGCTCAAACACATACATATGTTTACATGCTAACAAAGAGTGTCTAGGTAGGGGAACGCAGGAGTACTGAGACAGAATCATTAAGCGAATGCTGGGACAGATTTATTGGGCGAATGAAGAGTTACAGCTATGAGTTATGACAAGACCAGCTCTAACAGTTAAAAAAAATTTTGTTTCTATGAAATTCAAATGGTTTCGTTGTATTGTGTGAATGAGTTTAGTCATAACGAATGAGAAACAATAGAGAAAACAAATGGCTGTGGATGAAGGATGGAGAGAAAGGAAAAACGGAAAATTGTATTAAGTTTTGAATGAAAAAAGATTTTTTTTTATTTTTTGTCGAACAATTCTGAAATAGAAATGAAAATTCAGTTGAATGTTTACTAAAAAGGCACAAAATGTTTATAAAATATCTTATCTCTTCATCATCTTCTGTGTCTGCATGGTAGAGAGGACGTTTCTTCTTTCTCTCTGATATTATTTACTTATTGATTTCATAGTTAACATTTCAATTATATAGTTTACATGTGCATTGTATGATATTTTATAATTTGTATCTTTTTAATTATATTTACATCTAGTTATATCTACTATTACACTGCTCGTGCTTATCTTCTAACTGTACTGATACTGTCCGAATGTCCATTTTAGGAGAAAGCCCCATAATGCTTTCCCTTCGTTTATATCATCTTTCACATAGAAAGTGAGAAAGAGAGAGAGAGAGAGAGAGACTGAGAGAGAGAGAGAAAGAGAGATTTGAGAGAGAAAAAAAAGAAAAATTCATAAAGTTATTAGTAATAGGAGAGAGAGAACTAGAGATATAGAGATTTATGAAGGAATAAGGAGAAAGGAAGAGAAAAAGAGAGACTCCTCTATTCTATCCTTTCCATCTCCTCTCCTTTCTTCTATTCACTAAGATGAACTTCTACTGCTGTTCGTGTAAAGTTCATTTACGGCAAAAACTAGTTGGATTTGAAAGATTCTCTTATCATAATTCTCTCTTGTACGGAAGACATTTTATATTGACGTTATCTTAATATCAGTAAATAATTCCTTTCTTAAATTTTTATTTCATCGACGATGAATCGATCATAGTTTTTGGCAAAAATAAAGAAAAACAAAAACCGTTTGTCATTTCATTGCATTTTCTCGCTTCAATTCGAGGTGTCATCTCTTGACTCATCTATCCAGAAATCATCTTTTCCATTGCCGTTTTTGCTTTTAGCCATACCATATAGTAAACGGTCTTCTATTATTCTAAACAATCAGTTATTGAAATTCATTTTTTTTCTCTGCTATCACGAAATTATCACAAATCACTCATATGACTAATGTTCGAAAAAGAAAACGAAAATGTTTTTGAATCATCTCACTCGCTTCATTTCAACTTCCAGTACTTCTTAGTCATTTCCGGCTCGCCTATTGCTTCACTTTGTTTTTAATCTTTGTTTGAAATGTAATACATTTAAATATAGATACGTATTGTGGTCCCTGCTGGTGTTTCAATTAATCGAACACTTGCTCTGTCTTGTCGTTTTTTATTTTATTTTTTCCACTCAGAAAGTGACTGTCTGGATGGACTGTCCTTCCATTGAACTTGATTTAACATTGGTTTACTCAAAAATATGGATTCAATTTCATTTGAGTAAAAAGTTTCAAATTTCTTACTTCAATCTTTAGTTGCGACAGTCACCTGAAAAGGATATCAACTATCAAATCAGACGGAAATCGTTTTCTTTCTTGAGATATGAGAGGTGAAATAGGCAAAGAGCGAGAGAGAGAGGGACTCTTGAATCAAGGAAGGATTTAGAGAGGTTGAACGAAACAGAGGGAGAGAGAGATAAAGAGAGAGAGAGGTAAAATGAAGTTGGTTGTCACCTGATGTGTGGGATCTTCTCGTATTCCTAGTGGCTAAAATGAATGTCTCGAGCAAAAGTAGCTTCTCTCGTATATCACCAGAGCCGTCTGGGCTGTTTTAACTTGAAATTTGTATAATCTTTCTTGATTCTTTTAACTTCTGCTTATCTTGTATTAGCCTCATCTCTCAGCTGTCTGTTCGTTTCGTTAAAACTTAGTCAAGCAATTGAAATCAATGAACTCTCTCTATCTTCCGAAAGTCCCGTCAGCTGTCTTTGAAGTCTCTGACTACCATTGTCTTTCTTTAAAACAGAATTTTTCTCATAATGTGCTCATAATTTAATCTATGATGACTATTCTCAGCGATTTTCTTCAAACTTTAGTGAATTATTGAGGTTATTGACATTTCAGTCTGCCCTTCCTTTCCAATCGCTCTGTATTTTTTTTTCGCGCACATGACGTCACGAATTTTGATGACGAACTTTCCGTTTTTTTCCGGAAAACCATATGTCCAACAGTCCGAAATTGTATTTAATGTAACTTATTGTCCTTGTATATCATCAAGTGCTCAATCCTTAATAGATTCATCAAACAAACAAAGATAACCATCTTTCTCCGTCTCTCTCTAACGTTCAGCGTTTCTTTCCCTTCTTCTTTAGCATATATCAAGTTTGTCCTCCATCATGAAAAAGAGACAGATACCACATGCAGTCGCATTTTACTTGTTTAATTTTCAGGCCGTGTTTTCTCCTCATTTACACCTTTTTCTCGTTTGCTTTCTCCCCTCTCACTTCTTCTCTCTAACAGCTTTTCTTGCAAATTTCGTTTCTCTTTTATTTTTACAACTTTCTTTACTTCGCACCAGCTCTCTTTCTTATCAAGTACATCAGTTTTACCTTTTTTGAGTGTATCAGTTGAATGCGTGGGCAGATGGCCGCCCTTCAGAAAATGATCCAAACTGATTTCTGAATTTTTTTGTATCTTCATCCAGTCCATGATGATTATGAATGCAACTCTACCATGGTAATGAAGTGTTCATATGGAAATCGTTGGTCACTTTACCATCCGAGTTTCACTATGAGCAACCGCTGAGAAAATGAGAGACAGAATGCTGTCAGCTAGTTTTGTCACAATTCTTATTTAAAAACTTGTTTTGCAATATCCCAATAATGTATTCTCGAACTCACTAATTATACTTGCGAAATTAACTGTTTAAAACTCCCGCCGAAATTCAAGTTTGTTTTCGCCTGTAATAAGCATAATCGATTTCATTTTCACACGAAATCACTGGCATGTGCGGTTGAGTGAACGGACCTCTTCAAATCAATTTTCCTTACGCGTTTTTCGTTGCTGCAAACATCAGATCGAGTTTTACTACCTACGGGAAACTTAGAAAACGAAACGACAAGGGCGTTTTCCTGAGCGAATCATCCATGTCTTTGAAGAAGTCCTTCTAGCTGAAGAAAGGTAGCTGGTCAGCAAGAATCAGACGCGCTAAAGGCTAGCGCTATGACCTACGCTACGCTACCCCACTTGCTAGTCCGGTTTGTTTATGCAGCCACGAGCGAGTTTGATCGGACACAACGACAGAAATTTCGAAGACCAGGAGACCCCACCCGTTACATATACTCAGTGTGTTCGTGGTTAGTTCATTTTTTGTAGGCGGATTTGCTCGCATTATGGTCCCCATACATATCGTATGGTTTCTGACTCGTGAATTGATACGACATCGTACAGTTCGCTTCGCAGGTTAAAATTAAGTACAAGACTATTGAATCGAACGTCGAATCGAACATTAAAATGGACTCTACTTTCATTTCTACAACCTCTGACCTTTATTTGTTCTCGCGCTTATGCGCGCATCAGCTAAGTTTGTATGTGACGAGCTTCTTTTTCAATTCTTAACGTTTTCCCTTTGCTATTCTTTTCTTTGAATTGCTTTTGTTCTATTCGTCTTCTTCTGTTTCGTCTTCACATATAGTCATTTATATTATAATGTTATAATAACATAGCTTTTCAGTTTTTTTCTGAAAAACTGTTAGCGACACATTAATCTAGCCACTTTGGCTCCTGACCACTATGGCAGACACCTCATCAAAATCGAGAGAGTTGGAACAGGAAGCAGAGGTTTGTTTTCAATACAGATATTTGATTATTAAAATTGATTTCTTAGATTATTCCTGCCATTAGACATGACGATGCAGAATGGAAAATGATTCAACAGAATACATTTACCAGATGGGTGAACAACCATCTAAAAAAGGCAAACTCGTCCATAGCGACTTTGGTTTGTTTCATCTTGATTGTTTGTTTTTATTTGAGACTCTTTTTTGCAGGAAAACGATTTCTCGGATGGCTTAAAACTTATCGAACTTGCTATGGTTCTTTCTCAGAAAAATCTAGGGAAATTCAACAAGAAGGTTTTTTTCACCTCAACTCGTTCCATTATAAATTGAATTCAGGTCATGTTCCGTTCACAGAAGTTAGAGAACGTTTCTTTGGCTTTGAACTTTTTCCAAGATGCTGAAAAAATCAAAATAGTTAACATAGGTGAGACTGAAAAAGCTTTCGTTTGTGTACACTATAGTTTTCTTTAAGACAGTTCTCACATTGTGGACAAAAACAAAAAGCTCATTCTAGGATTAATATGGACTCTAATTCTTCATTATTCCATTTCCATGGGTTTAATCACGGTAATTTCATTGCACTTGTCGTTTTTCAATTTATATTCAGGAGAAACGCGAAGGTCATCCTGAAGAAACTCCAAAGCAAAAGTTGCTTTCTTGGATCAGATCCAAACTTCCAGGTGGAATGCCTCTTACCAATTTCACGTCTGACTGGAATGATGGTGTTGCATTGGGTGCTCTCGTAAGTTGATACATCTTATAATAATAATTTTATCTATTTTTCAGGTGAATGCTCTAGTTCCATCTGCTTGTTCCGATTGGGAAAGCTGGCACCCAGCGAACTCATTAAAGAACACCGAACAAGCCATGAAGAGTGCTCAAGAAAAGTTGTCTGTCGAACCTGTAAGTTGTTTTCGTTTTGTTCGAAAAGTTAATCTTCCGTTTTAGTTAATCACTTCGGCTGAGTTAATCCACCCCGAAATCGATGAGATGTCTGTAATGACATACTTGTCACAATTCCCTACAGCAAAGTATTGTTTATTGGAATTTTACATCTAATTGTTCAGTTTTAGGCCCGTATCATCTCCCGCTAAACCTCTTCCACCTCCAATTGCTGTGCCAAGTGTTCGCGGAGAATTCGTTGGTCTTGAAGATTTCCCAACAGTTCATACACCATTGGAGTTTGCTATTCAAATCTCAGAAGAAGGTTACCGACCAAAGGTAAAGAGAAAGTGATTCAAAGTCGGAAGTTATCTTTGCTTTGCAGGTTACAAGTCAGGATCCTCAAGGAATTGATTTACATCATACGATCAATAAAAAGAATTCTCAGTTGTATTCAGTCAAGTGTACTCCAACCAAAGTTGGCGACCACAAAGTAAGACAAGCATACCATTTTATTTAAACGACGTTTTTCCCAGTTTCAACTGTTTCTGGTTGATGTAGCTACAGCAGAAACTACTCCAGTGGACGATGCAACTGTCACTATCAAAGTATAGAAAATTACGTTTACTGGTTCAAGTTTTCTTCTTTGTAGGTCCTACCTTCACCTCGTCTCGTACCCTTTACTGACCGTGTCAAGCTTGGAGATCAGGTCAAGTTTCAAGTTAAAGATGCGCTTATGGGCTTAGTCGATATTGTCATAGTAGACCCTGCTAATTCTGAGATTCATCTTCCTGTTCTTGGTACAAATATTTCACTCTATTTTCACTCATTAGTATTTAGAAGAACAATCCGGATTTCATAGTGCAGATTATATTCCATCAATAAAGGGACTTCATACCGTAAATGCATTTTATCGCAAATCACGTATTGAAGGAAGTCCATTTGCTCTCCATGTTCATGAAAAAATCCGTAAGTTTTTCTTTTATAGCGATGTAATGAAATCCCTTCTCTAGCTGAGTTCAATATTTGGGGAAGAGGATTGAAAGATGATGGTGTCCGAGTAGGAGACGAAGTCCCCATCTATCTCACCCCTATTGGATCAGAAAGCAGTACAGATGACGATGTAGAGATCAGTGTGACTGATCCAGGTATAAAATTGATCCTTTACTGATATGAATTCCAAATTAATTTCAGCTGGTCTTGCTGTACCTATCACTGAACCTAGTAGGCATACGCCAACTAGAGTGTTCACATACACTCCTTCCAGTTCTGGAAAACATAAAGTTGAAGTGAAAAGTAAAGATTCGGCTTTGGGAAAATCCCCATATTTTGTGAGTTCAAAATTCCTCGTAGGCTTCACAAAAAAGGGCTTTCAGGTTGATGTGTTACCGGAAACTAATTCTGCTGTTCGTGCGTATGGACCCGGTCTTCGAGGTGGAGTTGCTAATATGCCTAGTGTTTTTGAAGTACTGACTAATGGTCACGCAGACTCCTTATGTTAGTTCAGATTCTTTACACCTTGGTTAATTTTTTTGTTTAGCTTTCTCAATTGAAGGACCGAGTAAGACTACCATTCAGTGCTTGGACAAATCTGATGGTGTTGCCTCTGTTGCTTACACGGTATTTGAATAATGAAAAAAAAGAAACCATTGTTTTTCAAGCCTACTGAGCCAGGAATTTATTCTGTTAACGTGTTAGCTGGCGGTGAACACATTCAAGATTCTCCTTTCGTGCTTAATGTTGATCCTTATGATAACTCATTCCAACCGGGAGCTGTTCGAATTACTGGTCTTGATTCCAATACCATTCATCGTACTCATGAGCCTGTTATCTTCCAAATCGATTCTAGAAGATCAGGAGGTAAAGTTCCGCATCGCTGTATTTAACTTTTTGTTGGTCTTCAGTACCGGATCCGGTCGAGTTAGTTGTTTTCAACAACAATATGGAAAGTATACCAGTGAAAATAACTGAGAAAACACCTGGAATGTATGATGCTGAGTTTATACCTGACCAGCCTGCCAAGTATCACGTTGATGCTAGTTTAAGAGGAGTAGCTGTTCCAGGAGCTCCATTCTCGGTACATGCGATTAGCATTCGTAACTGACGGGTTTTTTTTAGATAACAGCCAAAGAGCCTGTGGATATATCTAAGTTGCGTATGTATGGACCCGGCATTGAAGGACCTGTATATAGTCAAGAGCCAACTCACTTTACTATCGATGCCAAACAAGCTGGAACGGGTGTAGTCGAAGTCTCTCTTGATGACAGAGCTGGAAGAGCTGTTGATATTGACGTGTTGGATAACAGTGATGGTTCTTTCACTGTTAAATACACTGCCCCAAGACCAGGAGCTTACCAAGTAGGTTTTTACTTATATTCAACTTCTATTCAAAGTGTTCTAGTTGAATGTCGTCTTTGCTGGAGAAAAAATTCCACCTATTCAAATTAATGTGAAACCTCATGTAGATACATCTGGAATTCATGTGGACTTCTTAGAAAACGGTTCGTTCCTTTTCAATTTCCGTTTGACGTGCATAATCTTGAACACGTGTGTCGTGCCTAATTACCGAGTTTTCCTTTATACTACTTGAATGCCGTTGATTATTGATACTAGGTGTGGTGTGAATGCATATAAGTAGAGTTTGATTTGGTCTGACTTGATAAGTTTTTGCGGTGGATACTAACGAAGACGAGAACTTTCATCACCTCGTTTCGTTTCAGCTATCGTTACCGTTAATTGTGAGAAGGAGTTTCATGTCTTTACTGCTGATGGAGATAACACCAGAATAATCATCACCAGCCCTTCGGGCGAAGTTGTTGAAGCGATCATTGAATCCACTGAAAGTGGTGTGCGTGTACGATTCACACCTTCTGAAATAGGAGATTACAAGATCGATGTAACATACCAAGATTTGCCAGTACCAGGCTTCACCCCTGTATATATGCATTCAGTTGCCCCTGGTCCCAGTGGTATGCCTACTGGAGCTAGATCCCAAATTGCAGAAGCAGAGTACGTTGTCTCTCGTACTGGTCCTGCAAGACCAGATTTAGTTGTTGTCTCAGGCCCTGGTCTAGGTCCTGTAGTTGCCCAATATTCCACTTCTGTAACTATTGATACCAGCTCCGCTGGTTTTGGTGATATAGATTTGTTTGTTGATGGCCCTACAAGAACTCCTGTACATTGTGTTGACAATCAAGATGGCACATTGACCATGCATTATGTGCCAAAAGTTCCTGGACTGTACTGGTTGAGGGTTATGTTCGATGATGAACATATCCCTGGAAGCCCTTTCCAGATAATGGCTGTCGCTCCCCTTATACCTAGTCCTTCACTTTTACAAGCTGAAAGAGAAGCTACTGAAAGCTCGTTCAGTGGTTCTTCTTCACAACGTACAACTCCTGTGGTTTAGTGCTGCCATATTTTTTGAAAGTTGATCTCATGTTGTATAATTGAAAACAAGAAGTGATTAATAAACATCCACTGAATCATTACATTGCTATAGTTCGGGAGTTTTAGGATCTGTTTTGATTGGACACAGATGGAACATCAGTGTTGACACCGGAGTGCAGAAACAAAAGACGCAAGGTTTAGAAGTTGTTGCTGTAATTAAAGACAAGGAATATTTGATTCCTATGAAAACGAACGAAACTAAGTACACCGGGACATTTGTTGCTACGGAAGCTGGCGAAGTGAAGTTCAAGGTAAGAACTTGTCTAACCGATAAACAATAGATTAATGAGCTTTTCAGGTACTTTTCGACAACTTACTTGTGAAAGAGTATGTTGTAAACGTTGCTCCTGGTTGTGATGCTTCGAAATGCAAAGCAACTGGGCTTGGGTTGACTGAAGGAGTTGTGAATGCTCCATCTACTTTCCAAATCAATACACAGGTTTGGCAAGATGAAGAACAATTATTAACTACCCTTCCGCAGAGTGCTGGTGTAGGGGATCTGGCAGTTGATATTGCTGGTCCATCAGATACTGAATCACGTATCGTAGACCATGAAGACAGAACATGCACAGTTGAATTCATCCCTAGAGAACCTGGTACATACACAGTTGATGTGATGTACGGCGACAAGAGGGAAAAAATCCCTGGCTCTCCTTTCAATTGCAACGTGGATTATCCTATCGCACCTTCGACTGTGCAAGTTTGTGGACTTGACCAACCTCTCAGAAACCGTCAGCCTTTCGACTTCATCATTGATGCCTCTAAAACTAAGATCGGACCAATAACATGCAGAGTACCTCCAGGTAGTTAAGATATCGCGTCATGTTTGATCACGATTTACAGTTTATCAACAACCACTCGTACTTCCAACTTCGAAATCAAAAAGAATTCACAAAGTTCGATTCACCCCTGTGGGCGATCCTGGTGAAGAGATACCCTTAGAAGTTTTTTATTGCGATGAACCTGTTGGGAATAGGTATTTTGTTGTTTGGATAGTTTTTTTGAAGATATTATTGCAGTCCTTATCTTCTCAAACTTTTGCCAGAAGTTGACGTTCACAATTTAACGTTGAAGAACGATTTAGGAGGTTCTACCTCACTCATTGCAAAATTGTATTTTTATTTCAGGAGTTCTGAAAAACGTGCGAGCCAAGAAGAATGCAAGGTTGATGCTTGATGGGAGTAATTGTGGTTATGTTAAAACTCTGCAAGCTGATGTTCTGGTAAATTGATTTCTTCTTTTCTTCTGCAATTATGTGTATATAGGGCCCTGATGGTTGTTCTCGTGAGTGCACTATTGAACCACATGAAAACAAGGGATTATTCATTATAACTTTCCCTGTCGACATGGCTGGCAAATATAAAATAGCTTCTTCCATCAATGGCATTAGTTCACCACCCCAATTTGTGAGCATAGTACCTGTATCGGAACCGGGCGATGCTGTTTTGAAAAGTATGGTTTATTAAAAAGTGTTGAGAATACTGGTTTTTAGAACCACTGAACTTACAAGACTGCCACATTCCATTGAATGTTCCATCTAGTCTTACATTCGAATTGAAAGATGATCCAGACCTCAATCTTGCTATTATCCCGACTGTGAAAGACGCTGTGGATATCAGTTGGTTTTGGAAGCTGGGCGTTTACTAAGTATTTATATTACAGAGAGAATCAGTCAGAAACTGCCATCTGGGAAAGTCTTGGAAGAAGTTATTCTGACTCCCTTGGCGCCAGGTGTAAACTCAATTGCCTTCTTCTTTGGCGGAATCAAAGTTCATCAAATTGATTACAATGTAAGATTTTTTTGCCCACTATTTCCATGTTCTATATTTGCCATGTATTTGTCTCCATTCGACCATACATGGCAATTCCACGAGATTTCATTGCATCAAAGCGATTCATGAACTGGTTTCGGTAGATGTTAATACACACGTTGAGGTCGCGCAGCCTGCTTCATCAACATGAAGTGGAGTGCGTAATTATGCGCGAATTTCCGCTCACTCCAGTTATGTTGAACAAATCCTTCCGATTGTCGCAATGGTATCCTTTGTCTGTCGTACTGACAGCTTTAAATACATGTGGCGTCGCGCGATGCATTAGTAAAAGATAGGCTCTGTGGGTTCCTCCCGCGAGCTGCTACTGCTATTGCTTCATCTCAGGCAGCCCTTTGCAACCAACATCATTTTCGTCGTTGCGCATTATTGATTTTTCCCATACTAATTTCTAACGCATTATGCGTTTTCAAACACGATGAAGTCGTTGTTTCATTAGTTTCCTCTCTCTCTCATCTCTACTCGGGCTGCGTTTGGAAAGCGAGTTTTAAGTTTGATAGTTTTTCACAAACATACTTATTCTCGTTTTATTGAGATGAAAGGTTATAGATTGAGTAAGTTCCTCTAAATCATTGTATGCTAGTCAAAAATTTTGTGTATCTTTTCTTATCAATAACAGTTGGTAGCCCTGGAAAAGAGGCGGGTTGCCGTGTGGATCACTCCTCTCATTAGTCTTGAATTGTTGTTTCCTCTGGTCACGTTTCTATCAGGTGTCTATCAGACAATGTCTTGCTCTTAAACATTTCACTTGTTTAACTTCATGGTCCCTAGTCATTATGAACAAGTTATGTCAACTAATTTTAAGCATCACCTTTTCAGGCAGTTGCTCAATCACAACTTGACCCCAAGGAAAGTGTTGACAAGTTCGAACGCGATTATACAGTTGCGCCAAACTCCAAGCCTTTCCAACAATTAGATTTTAAGGTAAACAATTATTTGTCATTCACCAGTTGCAACACACACTCCACGCTGTTTTAGTTTGATATTCCTGCAAGTCCAAGTGGTTCTGATAAGTTAGAAGCTTTTGTGACCATGCCATCTGGAAGTCGCGACGTTGCTCAAATTATAGATAACCATGACGGTATACATATCAGTTTTATTTTGTTGTTCTCTAGATCCCTGAATCAATATCATTCTGATTGCTTCTGTTCTTCGGAAATCATTAGCTTTTGTTTTTTGCCTATCTTCTCATTCATCATTTTGCACCTTACAACTTTTCATTTGTTGAAAACCTAACCCCCATCACCTGCTCGATGTCATTTCTGAAAACATTTGTTTAGGATCGGTTCTGGTAAAGTACCAGCCAAAAACTCATGGACAGCATGAACTTAGTATTGTTCAAAATGGAGCTGCTGTTAATGTGAGAGGATTAGGGGAAATATTATCATACTCCTTAATTGTTATAGGGATCTCCTCTCAAATTCTTTGTTGATGCCTATGGTGATGGTCTAGCTACCGTTTATGGTCCTGGGCTTTCCAATGCTGTTGTTGGTGAACCCGCTCATTTCACCGTTTGTGCCAAAGGTTCCAATGCCAAAGAACTTTCTGTTAGCATTGAGGGTCCAGCCCAAAGTACTATCAAGATTCACGACAACAAAGTTAGTCTGAATGATATTTCATTCTTAATTAATTGTTCTAAGGACGGAACATGCTCTGTCAATTGGACACCACCAGTCCCTGGAGAGTACAAAGTGCATGTAAAGCTTGGTAAGCATGAAGTCAAGGAATCTCCTTTCCGCGTACTTGTTGCTGGATCCGGACAGGTAATCTTGATTTGGGAAACAGTTTTACTATCCATTCATAGAAACGTGCTCATCTTTCTGTCGGATCTACTTCTGAAGTAGCTCTCACTATTGCCAACAGTACTGAAATCAAGGGAATTTCTGCTTCCATTAAATCTCCATCTGGTATTGACGAGCCCTGTCTCTGTCGTCTCATTGACGGTGGAAAACTTGGTAAGTTTCTTTCATAATAAAAACAGTATTTTTTTCTTCCTCAGGTGTTTCGTTTACTCCAAGAGAGGCTGGTGAGCACTTGATTACTGTAAAAAGAGATGGAAAGCTCGTATCGAAGGCTCCATTCAAAGTCAAGGTTTTCTCATTGACTTCAGTTGAAAATTGTGAGAAATATTTTCTAGGTTGACAAGAGTCAGGTTGGAGATGCCAGTAAAGTGGAAGTTACTGGAAAAGGAAAAGCTGCGGCTGTCTGCATGCAAGACAACGAAATTATTGTGGATACGACAAAAGCAGGTAAACCAAAAGCATTTATCTCTTTCTCAAAGTTCAGCTTCTCTCTTTTCAATTTGTTGTAACATTGGTGTATCTTTCAAATATTTAAACAACAGGAAGTCACGTACGTTTTCTTCAGGATACGGAGGGTTGTCTGTGTCTGTTCAAGGACCTTCGAAAGCTGAGCTCACATGCAAAGAAGTAAAAGCTGGACTCATCAAGGTCATGTACAAGCCTACTGAACCCGGAGTTTATGCCATTGCAGTCAAGTTCGCTGATCATCATGTAAAAGGTATTTGTTTATTCTTATATAAGGGAAGGGGTTGAGCAATAAAAAATAAGGGAGAATCTGTTGCAAGATCAACGAGTATGGATTGTTGACCTTCGTTGAACGGAATGCACTGTCGGTATCCTGGGAGATACATGTGCTTTCCTATCAATCACGAACATAATGAAACTGAAATATCAAATGTTCATTCATTAATGATTCTTATTGTACCCATCGACGCCATGAGCCAGATTCCAGAAATATGTGTTACAAAAAAATCTTTGCCACAGCGGAATTTGGTTAGATAAGCTCTGATACAGCATATTGTCGAGAGCGAATAGGGCATCCTGACATACGCACTACAATTCAACTCTTTGTTTTCATAACGAATTTTGCTGCTGGAAAGTGCTACCTGGAAAAGCTTCCAACGTGAGCGACTGAGGCGTTTTGAAGTTTCTTCAGATGATATAAACTTATTTTTATGCTTCAAAAACTTTAAGACGTTTCGTGATGGATGACTTACCAGCTCATAACATATTTTGAGGAAAGTTGTAAGATGACAAAGCGCTGAAAGTGTCATAGTACCATTGAGAACGTTGTTTACTATCTCTCTCATCAGCAAAGCACATGGCTTTTCAGTGTAAAGCCAGGATAGGATATTAGGGGCATAATAGTACATGCAAGATGAAGATACTAGTCTAGGGATTCCATAGGTTGCACCTAGTACTATGGGAATGCCGCAAATAAACTGTGTGAAGTAATGTGTTAAAAGAGAGAGAGGAGAGAAAGATATGAAGTACCATAGTTATTAAATGGTTGGTAGATCGTAATGGATTGAATACCACGTAACAACTGTTTATAGCTATCAATACTTGAGCCATTCTACCTGCGAAGTAAGCAGCACCCTCTACGCCACCAATAAGATTGTTTACAAAATCTGGCAGGTTATTGCTTTTGCTTAAACAAGAAACAGTTTATTGCAAAGCTTGTTATGGGAAAACATACATGATAGTTAAGCTCGCAACATATAGTAAGAAGATAATTAGAACTATACCGTTGGTTAAGGCTTTTATCATACATAGCGTTATGAATATATAGGCTTGTCTATAAGTTCTCGTCATTCGACGAAAAGCAAGAGTGTTAAAAATAATTCCTAATGTAGAAGCCTGAAAGTTATTTTGGTATATTCATGAATTAATAAAATGAAAACGAAATTTCGTAAAATAAAAACGTCATAAATTTTACCAGTATGATGAAGGCACTGCATAAGTAGTAAACTCTTTCTTCGGTTGCGGCTGCTAACTCAGTGACGTTCTGGTTCATTTATTTGGAATTCTGCAAAACGAACATTTCTAGTGTTGTGATTACAATTTCTAAACTACAATAGACCGCTTGATGAAAGGGTGGATAATACCTTTGTGTTTTCAGATAGTCCTCTCACCGTGAATTGTACAGGAAAAGGAGCTGGAACTATCCAATCAGTTCTCAAGAAGAAAACTGAACAGGTGAGTTACATGAGAGAAAATAATTTAAATAGAATTTAACGAAAAGGTAGCGTAACTAAGAACTGAGATGATAAGCTTACTCAAAAGTAACTTTTGACCGCTAGATCGAGAATAGAAAATGAACGTTGTCTCTACGAAACTGGTTTTCATTGAATGACAGAGATTAGGTAGAGCAATGGAAACACGCAGACTGAAGTCAGCTGTATCCGAATTCAATTTGTTTTCTTGTGTCCATAATTCACTCGTATACTTAATCAAAACTTCATTGTGTGCATTCATAGAGGTAGTGGAGGTGTGAGCAGAAGAAACGTGAAAATTATCTTATTCAGCGCAATTGGTCTCAGTTAGTTCAAGTAAATTTAATGATAAGATTTTTTTAAAAAATGCAACGCATGAAATAACTCAATGAAGTGGCGATAATTGAATAACGAACAGCAAGCGGAAGTTTTCTTAGAAAATAGTTGTTACATTCCTAATTTGGCAGCGCATAAATCTTGGTCGTATGAGACAAAAGCATAACATGTAATTTATTACAGGCCGCTATGTGTTTGCCAAACCAGGAAGCTGTGCTCTACATGAAACTTGCTAGCTGTTCTCCAATGGATACCACAGCTCGCGTAATGGACCCCAAAGGAAAGACCGAAGATGTTGAAATGAGGGATACTGGAGATAACTATTACCTCATTAAGTTCTTATCAATATTCGTTCTCTGGTTTAACTCACCTTCAAATTAGGTTCCGTCCAGCAATGGAAGGAGTACATAATTTGTCCATATTACATCGTGATACTCATGTGAATGGATCTCCATTCCAATTCACAGTTGGATCATTCAAAGAAGGAGGAGCTCACAAGGTTTCATTCTCACAATTAGTTCAATAAGCCTAGATTTGAAGGTTCGTGCTTCTGGTCTTGGAGTTGTGAGAGGAGAAACCAACAATAAGCAATACTTCAACGTTTACACTCGTGAAGCAGGAGCAGGAGATCTTTCTGTTACAATCGAAGGACCAAGCAAGCCAACTTTCGAATTCAAAGATCACAAGGTATTGTTGATTAATGATGGACGAAGTAATTAAGAAAAAACGTTTCAAGGATGGCAACTGCCATGTCGAATATCAGGTCGCTGCTCCCGGAGAATACAATGTTTCTGTCAAGTTCAATGACATACATATTCCTGATTCTCCATTCAAGGTTCGTATCATCTCGGGTTCAGCAACCAAAAATTTTGAAGGTTTTCATCGCGGCTGCTACTGGAGAAGCTCGTAAGCTTGAACTTGCATCTTTCCACGATCAAATCCCAACTGGAAAGGCGTTCACTTTCACTGTTCTCACTCACAGAGCTAGAGGTCATTTGGAAGCTAAAGTAAGGTTATCATAGTTTCTCTATTATCAGTGTTCTTGCAGGTAACCACTCCTGGTCATCTCACTGAGACCATCGATATTGTTCCAATTGAAGAGGGTGAAAGCTATGCTCTTCGTTTTATTCCAAAAGAATCTGGAAACCATTACATTCATGTTACCTTGGATGGAGCTCCAATGAGAGATTCTCCATTCCGTATTCGTGTTGGTGGAGCTGATCTTAGTGATCCCACAGCCATTCACGCTGAAGGTGAAGGATTATTAGGCGGAGAAACAGGCCATGTGAGAGATTCTTATTTTCTTCTTTATTTTCTTTCTGATGTTTTCAGAAATGCGAATTCGTAATCAAAACGGTGAATGCAGGATCTGGAGTTTTGACTTGCCAAATCGATGGTCCCAGCAAAGTCACTTTAGACGCCTATGAAGTTCGTACCCTATAACTATGTTTACTAGTTAGTTGTATTTTAAGACCACTCAAGGATATAAAGTCCGCTATACCCCTCTCGCTCCCGGTGACTACTTTGCTGCTGTCAAGTATAACGGTATTTATACACTGATTTTAAAAATTCATTTTTTTTCTCCATTCAGGAGTTCATATCCCTGGATCACCATTCAAAATCGTCATTGACGGAAAAGTTCTCGGTGGAAACGGCTATAACGAGTCTTCTGAAGTCAAAGTTGATGCTCGTGCCAAGACAAGTCAAGGAAACGTCGCTACTGTACCCGAGTATAAAGGAGATGCCTCGAAGGTATTTGCTAATATACATAGGCTCTTAAAAGTTTATCTTCTTAAGGTTGTTGCTAAGGGTGCTGGTTTAAATAAGTTCTTCCCTGGACGTCCATCTGTTTTCACAATCGATACTGGATTAGCAGGTTTCCGCTGCTAGCATTTCTCGCTCTCATTATCATCTAAAATGAGCTTTAGGCACAAACCTCTTGATGGTTGGTGTAGTTACAACGAAAGGACCATGTGACGAAGTAATCGTCAAGCATCAAGGAAATGGTCACTATGCTGTTAACTATCGTATTCCCGATCGTGTGAAAGGATTTGTATTTATTAAATATGGAGACCAGGTCAGTTCCCCTTTGAATAGCTTCTCAAAACAAACTCTTCCAGGAGATACCCGGTAGTCCATTCTCCATCACGCCATAATTTTTTTTTCAAAAAATGTTTCGAATGCTTCTCAGAACCGAATATACCTTGCCTTAGTTGTGTGCCTTATCTTTCGACTTATGGTTTGATGCTTTAGATCTTTAAGGGTCATTTTTCTATTGTTCTTTTCAATTCTTATCAATGACATTAAGATTGCTCAAAATCGCCATGTTGTTTAAAAATTTTTTTTGCCTTTTTTCGCGATTCAACCGCAACCACCAAAGTTTTCTTTCTACTCAAACACATATATCATAGAGTTTTCATTTCAAATGTGCAATCAGTAATAATAATAAATAGTTTTTTATACGGATTGGAAGGCTGTTCCTCTTGCGACATAGCGAACGAGTTTTGCGTCAAAACGCCATCCGCAATTGAACGGACTGACAACTGTGGTGGAGTGCGTCGGACACGTCCATCCCGTCTCCGCTTTTCAGGCATCAAACTGATGAAGCTTTTATTACAATTGAAATGTTTTTATTAAATTTACTTGTTCAATTCATTTTCATTCTGGTTTATACCATGCAAACATATCTGTATTTTTATCAAGTTTATTGAGTTTCAAACACCAATTATGGATTTGCCGCCACGAACGAATATACGATAAACACGCTTTATTTATTTTCTGCCCTAATTAGTTTAACTTATTGGAGTATTATCTTCTGACATTTTGACGCATTTTTGAGCTTCCAAGAAAACTGGCATGACAATTGGATTTATCTTATTATATTCTCTTTTTATTTTTAGAAATAACAAGGTTAGGGCGACGACGGCAACCACAGCTTCAACAGCGTCAAAGTTGAGTTGAACTAGAGCGATATGCAAAAAGTTTGTTTTATATTCTTTTAAACCGTTCTTTTATAATTTTCTTTCCGTGTTCAGGAGGATGATTGTGTTAGCAATCCTTCAACGTCGAACACTTCGAATGAAGATTCAACAAATGACAGAAGGACTGATAATTCTCGGTCTGTTGATTTAAAAGTAAGACTTTCCTTTTCCTAATCTTTCATTAATATGTTTGTGTTCCTATTTAAGGAGACCCCAATGAGTCCTGAAGAAGCTAGGAAGCTTGCTGATGAAGTGATTGCCCGATTAAAGGAAGGAAAGAAACCTGGAGAACTTTACGATGAGTATCGGCCGGAAACTCAAGTTGCTATAGCGGTATGTTGAGAATTCATTTGTTGTTTCATCTCTTCTTTTCTCAGCACAGTCGCAGGAGTAAACGAAATGCTTTGCATGCTATTCAGGATGATACAAATGAATCAAATACCGACGAAAGAGACGAGTGAGTTTATCGTAAAGTAGCAAAGCTTATCATCCCATATTGTAGTGAGGGAGTACGTCTAGCGACCTTAGCGTTTTTCACACTCATGGCTTTGATGGGCTTCATGTGCACATACCTTTTAGTATATGTAGTAGAGCCGATGACAAGGAAGGAGCAGGAAGAATTAATGAAACAAGCTCGGGCGGCCGGCTATGACCTGTAGGCTCTTTTGACAACTTTTTAGAGACTGTGGTCGTTTGATCTGTTGTGAATGTGCTTGTTGTTTGCATGCAACTCATGCAGAAAACTCCTTGAAAACGAATATTTATTTTAGACCCTTCAACGGCGATACGTATCTGTTCTTTAAAAGTTTCATAGCATTGGTTGTGATACCAGCCCTTATATGCTTCTGTTCTTGGAGATACAGAAATATTTGAAGGAAAGATCAGAAAGTAGGCAAAATTCGACAACAAACGATCCGTGCCTCTCAAAATGTTCTTAAAGTTTCAAGTTTGTTGAATACGTGTACTACCATTCTTACTCACACCTGAGTTATTTATATATATATATATATATATTTATATAAATATACTTATATATATATATATATAGGGTATCTTG